TTCCCGTCAAATTTGTTATCGTCATGTAATATTCAAAACATATTCTTTCACATGATTGGTAATAAGAGCTTCCATTTCATTTTTTGAAATTGGGGCATTTCCAATACTGGTCTTTACCTTTAAACAAGTTTTTTTTTTAATTTAAAGACTTAAAAACATTGGAAAGTTTCAAGCAAAATGTACTTTGAATATCTTACAGTACATTAGATGATTAATTCTCCTCTTGTTTATCTGTTTATGTTGATGGTCATTTTCTGGACTACTTGAAGAAATAAAGTATATGCCATTAGATTAGGACCCAGTGGACTTACATTGTATGTTTAAAGTCCTATTCAAGGGACGTGGTAATTAAAAATAAGGATTTATGCCTTAAAAAAGGACATTAATGTATAAACAACCAGCCATAATTCTTATTTCAAGATATTGTTCAAAATTGTCTACAAATGTTAATTTCAGAGAAACTTTTTTGTTCTTTGTTGTCTTTTTGTTCTTTAAACTTAACATTTGAACTGATTTTATATTTATATCCTAAGAACAATTCAGCTGTACCTTTAACTTGCGGTCAGCACACTGCCTTTAATGATGTAACTATTGCTCGTCTAGACTGTATATGTGTGAAAATGAACTGCCGGTGCCAAGTTCAAGCTCATTAGATTGTTCTACGACTTCTCCCCAGTCCCCAGGCCCTGATATCATTTGGTTTCAAATCACCGGAGTCTTGACATAGTATAGCATTAGTCACTTTCAAAGGTTTTCTCATCTTTAACAAGTCCAGGTCATTTGGGTAATTGTCAGTCAGTATTGAATTACAGAAGGGAGTCACACTTTTCTGCTAGTTTCAAGAGTGTAAAAAAAACCCTGGGGATTTTGACCCAAAGAAGTACTTTTTACTTTTTTTTCTTTCTTTTTATTTCTTTAAATTGTTGTTGCAAGTAGTTAATTTCTACAATTTATACCATGTTCACATGCATAATTTGTGTAGCACACAGACGAATAATTCTTGGACAATTTTTTTTTTCTTGGAATAGTTTTTTTCCAGGGGGTGGGGGGGGGGGGGTGGGCTTGGGGTCCTTTCATTTATTTTCTACATATGCCTTTCAAAAACTGTGGATGGGGCTTGAAGATATTCAGGGGGGTTGCTTAAGCCCACCCCCCCCCCCAAAAAAAAAAAAAAAAAAAAAAAAAAAAATTAATAATAAAAATAAATTAAAAATAAAGAAAAAAGAAAGAAAGAAAAACCACTCTAGAACCACTCTTGACTGTATGATGCAGTTTATTGACTGTTGTTTTTCAGAAATATAGAAATGAGAAAGAAATCTCATCATCTTATCATTGCTGATTTCTTTGTCAAGAGCTTCATCTAAATTCCAGATCATATTGTTTATACTGTCATTTTGTCATTACTTTGATATCTGTGTAAAGTTGACAAGTGTGAATAAAATATAAGGAATGTTCAAATGCAAAATGTGGAATCAAGCTGGTGCCCCTGAAATTTCATATATCTTCTCTCAATCATCAATAGACCACTTCATAATGTAATTTAATTGAAAGCATACATCTTTGTGAAGTGCCTCAATACAAACTTTACAAAGTATTTTAATCACATAAATAATCATATTCCAATAGTCGGAATGCAGACTGCATATATTAGGTGTTGTAGGTAGGGCAAGCCATAATGTTTGTCCTACATAGCAACAACAAATACTGTATGCAATTTGCATTCTGAGTATTATTTGTAACCGGTGAATGAAATAATTTGTATCGAGGCACTTTACAAAAAGAAAGACGTATGCCTTCAATTTGGTTACATTACAAAAATATCCAATTGGAGAGACTCTTTAAAAAATATTCAACCTGTGTTTGATTATGTAAAAAGTTTTTCCTTACATTGGTTTGACGCAAAGCCAGGCTGAATTAATAACCATCCGGATTGTCCAGATGAAACTAGGAAGAGCTCGGCCAATCCAATTTCCTTCAAACTACATTTTACACTGCTGTGATGTCATTCTAGATTGGAAACACAACTATTTTTTCTGTCCCTTTCCTAAGCTTTTTAAAGCCCTTTAAAGGGCTTTATCAGTCACTAGAAAAAAAGGCTCAGTAATTAAAAAAAAACAACAACAACCTTTCTTGCTAGTTCTTTCAACTTTTTCAACTTTTAAAACTTTTTTCTAGCTACAGATTACAGAATAAGGGAAATAAACACTAATATCATTTGATCATCTGTTTGTTTAGAAAAGAGAGATCTCCCTGCAACTAACTGAAAGATAAATTATTTTAAAAGAAAATCATGTTTAGGGAAAATGCGATAGCATAAATCATCTAATTATTAAACATGATCATACCCTACGCTGACTCCACTTCTCCTTCTTTAATTAGATGAACTCTTCATGTTTTAATTTTGTTTCTCATTCCTATTTTACTACAAAATATGTGATTATAGATGTCAGATTTTTTCTTCTTCAAATCTGAACTAACACCAATGAGATTTAATAAATTAATGTGTATTGTGAAAATGATGAAGATCATTGATAATGATTGTGACGAATCTTCAGTTATGAGACGTAACTAATGGAGATCCTGAATGGAAACAAAGTTTCAAGAAGGAAGAGACAGATGCATAAATATAATTTTCTTGTAGGAATTCATTCAGAAAGCATTTCTGATTTCATTGTTCTTTTGTTTTTAACCCATTCCATATTCCAGTAATGTCTCATAACCCATTCGTAATGTCTCTTGCCAAGGATCGTCACAATTAGATGTGGTCCTACAACCTTAGTCATCTCTATGTGGATGTACATGTAGTTGATACAGGGTTTGTCGAGGTGGTGATCTGGTCACTGAATTGCAGGAAGTGATGCCGGCCAACTACTTCCTAGTAACACCTAAACTTTTGAAATGGATGAAAAGCAGTGTAGTCCACTGACGTAGCGTTGCATAAACATTTAGAGGAGGAGAGGGGGGAGTAGGAATTGGGGAACATTTGGGGGGAGGGCCAACTACTTTTTTTTAATAACATAAACTTATAGGATAGAATTTACATTTCATACGAGAAAGAATTGCTTCTCAAAGGCATTTTTCTTGAGGAAACAATTTGACTTTTCGATGATGGTTCGACGTAAGGGGCATCACATTTTTTACCTTGTTTCATGTGAGAAAGAATTGCTATTCATAGGCATTGTCTGAACACAGTTTTTCTTTAGGAAATAATTTGGCTTTTCAAATTTCAATAGAGTTTTGAGGTAAGGAGCATCACTTCTTAGCTTCTTTCATGTGAGAAACAATTGCCTTTCAAAGACCTTGTCTCTATACTTTTTCTTGAGGAAATACCCCCCTTCGAACATTTTTTCTTCTTTTATTGAGGATTGACGCAAGCAGGATCACTTTTTAGAAAGGTCCTCATGATGATTAAGTGGAGTGGAGAAGGTCACAGATGAATCACATTTATTAAAAGAGGTTTTCCATCTTGTCTGCATTTGATACATTAAAATCTGTCCTGGGTTGTAAATTGTTGTTGAAAAGGGTAACAACTGGGACATTCTATTTCCTGTGATGTTTAAAGGGATTGTGTCATCAAAATATTGTTTAGAAATATCACTTATTTTGAATTTTGAATCATAAGATGTTTGCTATACCTCTGGTGTCGGCCCACAATAAATTATAGGACTGAAAAGTCAGAATCTCTCCTTAAATGGTGACCAATTACCGGTACTACATTTCCTGTATGTTTGGGGTTTACACTTTATTGCTTATGTTCAGTTTGAAAAACATGTATGTTACTGAGATGATAAGTGATTTTTCAGTTTTTGAAAATCCTTTTCGTTCTCAAGGTTGAATAGCATTGATATTTGACAACTGAATTTGTGCAATAAATCTTATTTTCATATCAAAATGATTTATTCCACCCCAAAGTGACAATTTCTTGCTTGATCAAGTTGCTTTGTTCATACTTGTCCTTTAATTGGACGAGTATTCTGTTTTGACCTTGAGACGTAAGTTGATAATTTTTGTTTTAACTTGAATCGTTACCATTGGCGAGACTGGATCTGGGCGTATACCTGGATAGGAACAGTGGGATGCCACCCGATTATTGTTGGGCTGCTTCCTCTGTTAACTCATTAGATACCAAATCATTTAAGGTAGCATTGATCTCAAACCTGAGTATGCTCCCATTCAGTACTCAAATGCTTAAACGATCCACAAACATCGGAACACTGCAAACCATGGTGCATGTCTGAATGTTTGCAAGTTGAGTGTGGGACAATACAGCAGTCATTGAGTAGGAATGTTTTGTGGCTTTAAAGCACTGGGTTTGATCTTTTTGCTGAAGGAGATGTAACCGAGATACTACTTCTTGACGCATTGGTAAGAGTTGAGTAATCACAGCAGAAGTATAACCTTTTGGTCATTAAAGGGAGCAATTGCATTTGTGTAACACTAGTGGTAAAAACTTGTACTTACCGGTATACATTACTTTCAGAAAATTACCATGTAATTGAGAACTTTTCTATAGATAGGGTTTGAGTGTGTATATAGTCATTCAGATTTTCTTTGTAAAGATGTCTGAAGACTGTCAATTGAATGTCTGAATGTTTACTGCTTTTATTTTGTGATATTGTTTCCTCCTCTTTCTCTCCCAAAATGGATTTGAAATACCATTTCTTACAAATGAAGTCAAATTCTATATGTTTGAAGGATGTGAGCAATTTAATTCAGTGTGCTACAGTGTACAGTACCACTTGCGTGTATAACACATAGTGGTGTGCTTCTTCAAATTGTAATTTCCCATCGAGTAATGACAGCTTCTAAATACAATTTTGTTTATGTATGGTACCTCTACAATTTATTGCTTCCATACAATCAGTGCCTATATAATTAGATGAAGGCTCGTGCTGTCATGATAACAAATATTCTGTGAGCATCTTGGTGAGTGGCAATGCTAACGATTATCATATTCATGACAAGAATTTCCTTTTCTCTCTCTCTCTTCTGCTATGCAGGGCATTGACAACATGGAGGAGTTTGACCTTCATCCTCAGACTCCTACCAGTGCACAGGCCCAGCCCGATCTGTTTGCCACGCCCGGCTCCCCCGACCCCTTCGTTCTAGCGGGTCCTCCAGCAGCAGCTCCTCCAGCAGCAGCTGCATTTGGAGCCTCAGATCCTTTCAAAGTCCAGGTATGGGATTGATTGACTGTAGCAATGATGGTGGTGGTGGTGGGGGGGGGGGGGGGGGGGTGGTGGTGGTGGTGGTGGTGATGGTAGTGGTGGTGGTGGTGGTGGGGGTGGTGGTGATGGTGGTGGTGGTGGTGGTGGTGGTGGTGGTGGTGGTGGGTGTGGTGGTGGTGGTGGTGGTGGTGGTGGTGGTGGTGGTGGTGGTGGTGGTGGTGGTGGTGGTGGTGGTGGTGGTGGTGGTGGTGGTGGTGGTGGTGGTGGTGGTGGTGGTGGTGGTGGTGGTGGTGGTGGTGGTGGTGGTGGTGGTGGTGGTGGTGGTGGTGGTGGTGGGGTGGTGGTGGTGGTGGTGGTGGTGGTGGTGGTGGTGGTGGTGGTGGTGGTGGTGGTGGTGGTGGTAATGAGTCTTATGTTGATGGTGGTGCTGCTGCTGATGGTAGTGGATGTGGTGGTAAAGGTGGTAGTGGTGTTGGTGATGTTCATGTTAATGTTGGTGATAGTTGGACGTAGTGGCAGTGATGTTGGTGCTGGCGGTAGAGTATTGTGATAGTTATAGTATTGGTAATGATGGTAGCGATAATTTACCCCCCCCCCCCCCCCCCAAAAAAAAAAAAAATGTAAACGTTCAGAGCGTTATGGAAGAATTTAGTAATCTCATCTCTAATGCTCCTTTCTTTGTTCTACTTCTATTTTTTTTTAAACAGGCAACTCATTCACCTGCAGTAAACGGCGCTGCACCCCCTCCTGCAGCCACTAGTACCCCATCAAATGACCTCTTTGCAGAGTTCAAAGACACATTCACAGCTCCACCAGCTCAACAGGCAGTCCATGCCTTTGCAGGTATGTCCATGGGTCAGACGGCACCTAATCCCTTCGGGGGTATGCAGACCGCCCCTGCACCCTTTCAGGCCAACTTCGGTGGAATGGGTGGCATGCCAGCAGCATTTGGCGGTGCACCGGCAGCCTATGGAGGTGCACCAGCAGCCTTTGGAGGTGCTCCTGGAGCTTATGGTGCCCCTGCACGATTTGGGGCTCCCCCTGCGGCGCAGCAGCCTGCAGATCCCTTCGGCGGAAATGACATGTTTGGTGACATTGTGCTGAAGCCAGAAGCAACAGCAGCAGCTGCCCTCCTGAACAACACCCAGCCTGCCGGGTCGGATCCCTTCTCAGGCCTCGGAGCCCTGGGTTCTTCTTCCAAGGCAGATGCCCCGAAAAGCACCAAAGATATGTTCGCCAACTACAAGATAGGGAAGCCTGGTGAAGCACAGCCTGCACCTGAGATTAAGCTGACAGGAGGACCCAAGAGACCACCACCAGCCATCCCAACGAGTCCTCAAAGCAGTACGTGTCCAGCTGTTCTACCCCCATCTAGTCTTAAATTGATAAAGCCCCACTCCCAAGAGAAGGGGAATTTTGATATGCCCTCCCCCCAGGGGCCGCCCCCTCCTCTCCCTCCCGATGCCATTGACATCAAGAAACAGGATAAACCTGAGGTGCCAATTAATGCCCCTTTTGCCCCCAAACCTGAGCCAAACAAAGACCATGACTTAACCTTGCCCTCACCTACTAACTCACCTCCTCCCTTGCCTAATTATATGAATATTAATGACATCCATGCTAGCTTTCCACTCCCCGAAATCAACTTTGATAGTAACAGTCCTCCCCCGCCCCCACCTCCTCGCTCAAGACCAGGGCAGCTTAGACTGTCCAACTCCAATCCCCTTCCAGTTCCTCCAAGAAACAGGACAAGATCCTCCCAGTCGTCACCACCCCACAGCCCCCACTCAGAGACGGCGAGCATCAAATCGTGCGATGCTCGCTTCTTCTCCGCCCCTTCTCCCGACCCCAACCGAGTCTCGTCCCCTTCCATAGTGTCCACCTGTAGCGCTTTAAGTACCCTTGATGAGACTCAGGGCGAGGATAGCTCGTCAGGTATTACCAGTAACTCTGCTCCATCGCATTCTAACAGTATGAACAGCTTATCTAGTGTCTTTGATAGTAACAATGTATCCACTGACACATTTGATAATGAATCTAATACGGCTTCACCCTCGCCTAGTCCCATTGCTCCATCTTTGTGTCATGATAACTCCACCACTAGAGCTATCGACATTATACCATCTCATTTCACATTGTCAGCTTCTCAGCCCAAGAGGCCATGTTCCACCTCACAAGACTCTCTCTATAGCTCTGTCGAAACCCTCTCCCCTTCCTCCACACAATCTATGCATCCATCTTTCACAAGTAATCAAAATTCAAGTCACGACACGTTTACGTCCTCATCCCGCTTCATGTCATCGTCGACGACTGTATTCTCCACGTCGGCGCCGGTCATTCACGACTCCCTCATGGTCGGGAAGTCACGTTCACATCACTCGCTCTCGCCTCTCACGCTTCCGCAACTCCCAGTCCACGATGATCCATTTGCAGACGATCCATTCTCGCGCCATTCTCCATCTGTCAAGAAAACATTCGTGCTCAATTCATTCGCGGACTTCTCATCTTCCGTTTCCACCACCACCGACACCAAGAGTCTCTCGCAAAACTCTGAAAAAGTGTGGACATCTCATACAATCACGAACATGAATAATGACTTGCCGTCTGATGTTGTCGTCAATTCAGATCCCTTCGGTGGTGCTCCGGTTACCAATGGCAACAGTGGAAGCAGCAACCTATTTGGAAATCAATTTGATACCTTTGACTTCAGTACCAATTAATTGTCAACTCTATTCTTCAACTGTCAGGTAAGATTAAGCAGTCTATTTTTCTCTTCAAAGCCTCAATCATACTTATAAAATCAAGCATATTATTCTTCCTCGTCACACATGTTAATTTCTATCATAAATTGATATTATAGGGATACTCTTTTACTTAGTCATATACATGTATGCTTGACACTTTCAGCCAGTACAACATTGCTTCCATTCTTCACGCGATAGTGAAAGTGTGAAACACAACAAAATGATATTCTGAAAAGCAATCAATCATATAAATAATAACATTTATTCACAATATTTATATAATCTACAGATTTCTTTTAAAGTAACTCAGCATTTCCACATCGGCAAGTATAGATATATCTCCATGTCATTTACATTTTTACATGTATGTATGTGCATTTCTTTGAAGACCACTTTCATATATTTATTGTATATCCAAAGTATGAATATCTATTCTGTATTTAATCCGACAAATCAAGACATATGTCATTAATTTTTTTCTGATATAAAACCAAACCTTCTCATGAAATCACAATATCATATTAAAGGCGACATTCATTTCATCGCTAAGAGTTTAAGACACATATTTGTCATGTTACACATAGATAACCTTTTGTGTCACAAGTTATTTTTTTATCGGAATAGGTAAATCAAAACATCACATTCATACAGGTATAAGAGGCCAAAAGAAATCGTCACAATATACAATTTGGAGTCTTCATCATTGCCAATTTCCTTCTCTTAATGTACAAACTTTCTCTCTTGTTTTCTGAACTGCTATTTTGAACCATGTTTTGCATTTTTCTGTTTTCAAATTTGTATTGTGTTTCCTCAGAACCATTGCATGCTACCCTTGATTAAGCCCACGATTTATCAAAACTCCTTTTTAATAATCATGTGCATGATCTCATTAATTTTGTTCATAAACTATATTTAATAAAGCATTTGTTTTGCTATTTTATGCATGACTTGCAATTCCTCAGTTCCCCTCGCATAACTGCATTTTCCAAAGACAGGGAGATGTGAGTTATTTATTCTTTTCATTTTTATTTTGTTTGATTTATTATGATTTTCTTGAGTTTGTTGATTTTGTCTTCCGTGCAGATTTCAAAATGGATGCAGTCATAAGATTAAGAGAGAAAGTTTGTATATCCCTAAGAGGAATACACTCAACACATATTCCAATTAATATTTTTAAGAAAAGTTTTCTTTGCTTCTGAGATTGCTTCTTTCTAAATTAATTGATACAATCAAATTTAATCCATCTAAATTACAAGAGATATAGTACACTTTTTAGAGAATAAATCAAGATTTAACACCAAACATCTGCGAAAAATTACTATTGTTATATTTCAAACATATTTCAAAGCAATAGATAATCAACATTGGAAAAAATGTTCAATAAATATTTGTGTCACATTTTCTTGTCAATTTTCAGTGAGAATGAACGTGGCAAGTTACACCTTCAATTATATTATAAGAGAAATTAAACAGAAATATTAATAAATGTTGTCTGTAATGTTTTTAAACAAGTTAGACAGATGATAACATGTATATTTTTTTTAAATATTTGGTAGAATTTTTTTATAAATTGTGATTGAATGCAGAGTTTTTGTTTGCAATGGTTCCATAAAATAATAAAAAAGTTTCTGACAAAATTCAACAACACACATGACTTGTTCACATCACATAATTTGATAATAGGTAGTCCGAAGTGGCAATACAAATGATATGTAGAGAAATGAACTGTTGCTTTATAAATACAGGTATATAGAAAGTAAAAAAGAATTTGATAATGTGGATTTCTGATATGACTTAGGTAGATATTTATTTTCATTGACCATTAAACATGTCAAGTCCTGGGCTTTTTTAAATATTATGTTCTCCTTTTCTTTCTTTGTTGTCTTTGTTTAAATGTCTCTGTTCTTTTATTGCGGAAGTACCAGTAAAGTGATGTACCGGTACCAGCAACCATTTATTTATTTACATGATACAGTAATAGCACAGTGATGAGCTATCACTTACGATTTTTTTTCTCTCTCTCTCTCTCTCTCTCTTTTCCTCATTCTGATGTTCTCCCACAGCTATGATTCTGAACTAGCCAATCACAGTGCTCGTTCACCATCAACCAGCCAATCACAGTCCTCGCTCACTCACCATCAACCGGTCAGCCAATAGCCAGCAAGCTTCTTGTCGCAGTCTCTTCGTCTTCCTTCAGATAATTTTTGACACCAGTATGAAAACATTCCTGACATCAACGATGATGAAATTTTTTACATGACACATGCTCGATCATCGGCTTAATAAAGCTGGTATATGTCTTTGGAAATAAATTGTACAGTAGATATATACATGTATTGTGCTTGTGATGTGAAACGTATTCAATCAATGATATTCCTGTATGACTGTAAGGACTTTATGGTCATTATGATGTAACAATTATATAGTTAATTTGTTATAATGCATACAGACTTTGATATATATATATATATATATATATTTTTTTTTTTGGGGGGGGGGGTACATATAGTATGAACCATGAATGCAACAGCGAAAGTATTGTTTTGGAGCCTAATTTGACATGAATAGGATGAAACACATATCATATTCAAACATATTATCCACATTACCCCATAAAGCATTGTGTTTTGGGGAACGCTCGGGGAAACAAATTCTGCATGGCGGATTGCCCAACTATTTTTGTTTGAGTTTCCCTTACAATTAGGGCATTTCCCGACATGAAATTTTGCTCGACCAAAATGAAAGCTAGGCTATTCCCTTTCAGCTTCACGTTAATCTTCCAAGTTTTATAATACACGTACATACCACTGTTATGCAAGATACATGTACATACATGTACATAATTTGTTTTCACAAACACTGGTTGTTTGTGGGTACAAGCAAACCATACAAGCAATATCAGATTAACAGTATTTCAGCTACATGTATTGAAAATTTCCTCATTTTTTAGTTAATTGTCTTTAGAATGAAGACAAATATTCAGTATTTAAGATAACCTATCTCTCTTTATTATGCAAGAATATAAATTACTTGTGTCAATCTTTGAGTCCATCCATCAAGCACTTCTTTTTTTCCTTTAAAAAAAATGTGCATGGCACCATTGCTATATTAGCAATCTACATATACAGATTTATTTGTAATAACTAATGCTACAACTATTTTGTTATCTGATAACTTTCATTGTTTTTTGCCAATAAATATTACAATGTCTTGCCTGTCTGGAAAACAATATATGTCACAAAAACTCAACATCTATTATCATGTGAAATGTAGTAGTACATTGAAGAATAGTTCTGTGATGTAAACTCTAGAAACATATCAACTCATTTTGCAATGTATGGCCTTTATTTTGCCATTGCTCTTGATACTTTTGGGGCGAATTTTACTCAACAAATTATTGTGTATTGACGATACCACTTTGCAGTATTTTGATGCAATATTTTCTTCCAATTGCAACACTTTTATACAAACATATGGGAATCGATATGCTTGGAGTTCTTGTTGTGAGGACTACACACTGAGTTTCACAGTATTTACTACATGTAGTTTTTAGGTAATGCTTCCGTAAGTTGTCGGTCTGTGCCTGGTGTATCATTCTTTCAGCTGTGCACTTTTTTTGAGATTGAATTCTTATAATATCGATCGGCAAAGTTTGTTTCTTTCATTTTTTCAACTTTTTTTGTATAGTGCATGAATGCAAGAAAGTAAATAATTCAAATATATCCTTTATTTCAGTACCATGAATAAACTTTTGTTTGCAAACAGAGTATAACGTGAAAGGGAATGTGTCACACGGACTTGTAATATGAAGTCTAATACTTTCGGGGAGCCTGCCTCTTCAATTTGAGTGCTGTATCAATGCTACTGATCGTATCAAGATCATGAAGTACATGTAGTCTATTGGGAGCCAGTGGGATGGTAATTTCGGTACTCTCAACAAAGTTTTGGTACTCTTTGAAGATAAATATTGTGGAATAGCTACTGCAGGTGCTATTGTAATCGTTACTGTCTTTTTTTCTACAGATGTTTATATGAAATTGTATGAATATGTTTAATCGTGATGGACAACTCATGAGAAGTATAACTACTGATGAGAATAATGTGGTAATATGCTTGCCAGAACTTACAGCAAACAAAGTAACTTTCTTCCTTTTCATTCAATGCCTGTATTTTTTTTTTTAATAATGTTATTATACAACTTTCACATTTTCATTTTGTCTTCCAATTAAGTCTTTTTTTTTAAATGATTCTTTCTTTTGATTGTACAATGTACATATATAAACATTCCTTATCTTTTGATCATACACATGTAGATAGTGTAGCCTTATAGTTAGTGTTTACAAAATTGTTTATATGATTATGATTGTCTTTGTGTTGTATAATTGTGTACAAGTGATGTTCACTACATGTATTCATGTAATTCCAGAGCAGAGACCTAATTTTCTACAAGGCAAACAACCTTCATCAAAACATATATCTCTTAACTCTTCCTTTCAACTGTGATTGAAATTTTCTTACAGATATATTCAAAATATTATACTCCTTTGTTGACAAGTACTTGAGTGTGCATGGAAGAGAGTGCAACAATTTTTTTTTTTCCTGAATTGAATTTTAAAAAACGTTTCCAATACTAGGATGGATTTATGCTAGGATGGTGAAAGCTTTGCTTGAAACATTTTTATATGCAAGCTTATACTTTGTTTGGACAGGTACCAGGTATGCAGATATGGGTATTGATGACTAAAACAGAATTAAATTAAACTTTAATACTGTTGTATATGATATATCGCTTTAGTTTGTCATAGGATATTGGGCGAGGGGAATGAAATCTTATCATCACAAGTGTTTTTGCAGATCAGTGACTCTTTACACTTTGATTCAAGAGACATTTCAATTTGTATCATGTTACATCTTTTCTCTTTGGCTATATAACTTCATCAGACTATTAATGAGGAAAGGTATTCTCAGATAGAGGGCTGTACTTTTTCAAACTTTTTTGTTCGAGGCAATGCACTTATTTGGTATGAGGAGAACATGGCTTCAAAAATATTTTGAAAAAACCCCAAAACATTGATACTTTATATTATATGTTTCCTGAAGATACTAGTTCCGAATCACATTACTCTGTTTTTCCACCATTTTTCTTATTTAATTCAATTATCATTTTGTTATTTTTCTATTCAAATGTATTTCATAGATGGTGACGGCGATTATTTTTTTCTCAATTTCTACTAGTGAAGTTTTCATCTGGGATGTTTTTCTTCTATCTCTACGACGACATCGGCAAATTTATCTTTGCGATTTTCAAAGCTTATGATTAATATTTTGTTATTGTTTCTTTATATCATGTTTCTTTATATCAGATTTTCTTTTCAATAGAAAATGATGTCTTCCAAACGATGAGAGGCAAAACATCAAGTAAAATTGAAATCACCGCAAAAATTTGATCAAAATAGATTCTTTCAGCTCATTTTAAAGTTAAACTGGATATTTTTATAGCATCAATTGATAGGAATAAATAATCAGGTGAATCTATTCAAGATATGAATGATTTTTTTTTTTACAGAAGTTTTGATCATGGTTATCTTTGAACCATATGAGCATTCAATCAAAAGAAATCTGATTCAGTTGGGTAATCAGAAAATTTCGATAAAATTTCTATTCTTTTGGGGATTTCTAAAACACTATTTCTAGATTCAACGATGCAGTATTTCAATATACATGTGATGCTTTGCCCGTGTGATTTGTTGATTCTTGCCAAAGTATTATTGAGCAAATCATTTCATTACTTATGTCTTTTTTTATTACTAGTAAGTAGAGCTCTTTTTTAATCATTGTGTAATGAGATAATCTCTTGATTTATACAAAGACTACATAAATATATTTACTTATCATCAAATATTGATGTGTGTTATGTGCCTTATTTGTGTATAATTTTGTGTCTATTTTTAGATGAAATTGTCTTAAGTGTACCAATCACCTAAAAATAATTAGCATATTGGTAGAATGTGTAAAATCAAACCTCAAAAACCTTCAGTAACCTTCACCTTGCTTTCTATGGGCTAGAGGATAAAGAGTATGAAGAAAATAGAAAAAAATAAAGAAAAATATAAAACCAAAGATATGGAACCTAAAGGAAGATATACCCATGCTCAAAACTGACAAATACTCACAAAATCTTGTCTGAAAGTTATTTGATTTGCTGGTGCAGTAACTTTATTGCATCCTTTCTCTTGTCTTCCTTAAATAACATATATCTCCTGTTATTTCATATACCTGTACGTAAATGTCTACACAACAGCGAGTACATAATAAATTTACAATGGGAAGCACAGGACAATAACATATATGATGAATAGTAGTACAGACATACATGTACATTAAGTGATTTCAAGTTGGGTGTTGGTGTTTAGAGCAGTCAAGAGCTTTTAAATCGAGCTAAAATTTGCTGATGACATTAAGAGCCCGATACCAATATCAATATTGATAGCTTAACACTAACACCGAACTGGTAATCAACATTTGCTTAATCCCTAGGGGCTAGTGTTAGTGAATAAGGCATTTGTACATGAAATATTAACACCAGCCCACAAAGGTCGGTTCATCAGACGACAATTTTGCAAAAAATCAACAACCGGAATTTGACGATATTCAAAGCCTTAACACCAGCTGATTTCCATTTCGGTGTTTAAGGCTGGTGTTCATGTTTATTAAACACTAACACCGGCCAAAAACACCCAACTTGAAATCACTCATTGTATCTATAGAGGCTGGTTCAGATATGATGCGTCAAAACCATGGCGTTTTTTTATGATAACCTGGAGTGTAAAACTTCACATTTCTGTATTCTAAAAGACCGAGCTATTATAGCGAATATAAAAAAAACACATAAAAAATAACCTTGTTTTAGTTTGTTTGATTTTTGGGAACGGTTCACCACATCATATGTGACCTAGTCTTTACAGTGCTGAAAAAAACTTACCTCGATACATTTACCAAAATGTAGTATTTATACATGTACATGTACATGTACAGTAATATCAGTTTAACTTGCTCATATAGAACAATTCATGATATCTGCAGTGTTCCTGGTATAAATGTAGTTGAATGCATTTAAACTATATTGTTATTGTACAAATTCAAATTTCCCGTATTGCTAATGATAAACTGAACTATAAACCTAAACTCCCAAAATGAAACCTTTCTTTAATAAAAAGAAATCAACTTATTGAAGAAAAAAAATCATGCAAGCATTGTATTCATTACAAATCATGTGACCTCTACTAAGAAATGGAAAATAAGAGAAAAATCTTAAAACTGCATTTTCTTTATACAACTTCAGTAATTCCCAAAGTAAACAGGAAATTCTCATTCCTTCAGCCTTTACTATTATCAAGCTTATACACTGGCACATTATCAGAATTATCCATATACTGTACAATAGAAACTCATCAAAATGAGGACAATGGGACCATAAAAATTATTGTTCATCTCTTTATAATGAGTTACCACTGCACACTGTACAATATCGCAGCTACTGTATGGATATACTCTACTGCGCTTTAAAAGAAGTATCGTATCATTTCCCCGGCTGTAGCTGTTATAAGGTGCTAAAGCATTGAATGAATTTCTTCCTACGGGGTACCCATTTACCACATCTGGGTGGAGGGTGGCAAATGTAGATTAATGTCTTGCCAAAGGACATCAGAACTGCAGCGGGACTCGGAACGGCAAACCATGTGATCCACGGTCCGGTGATGTAGCCACTAGACCAAGACACCTCTATGAAATGGGGGACATACCCTTCACGTAGACATACCCGGTTAAATTCATCTACCAGAAGGAAATGCGGAATGGCAAGAGCAGAATAGAATCAAAGTTGCCCGTCCATGATACTAAGTTTATTACACATCATTTCACCATCATCATTATGACCGACGTCAGCATAATCGACATTGTAAAATAGAGGCATTACTTGTATGTCATCAAGACATCATAATTGTCATTGTCGATCACCACCACCACCATCATCATCATCATTATCACACAATTGATCTAATCAATACACAAAATATTTTAAGAAAGAAATTCGGACTAGATACATGTACTGTAATGACCTAACATTTGCTAGGACGAAAATTTGCACTTGCCACTGACTGTTGATGTAGATATGTATTTAGCGTTAGGATAGCAAGTGGGTTTTAGTTCTCAATTTAGGGTTAGGGTTTGGTTTAGTGTTTGGTCCAAGATTGAAGTTATGAATTCAGTATTTAAGGGATAATAAATTGATCATTGAGCAATTTTCACTGAAGTTTGTACTACAGAACTGCTACCAATGTACAATACCTGAGCATTTACGCTAGGGGTTCTTGGAAGAAAAAAAATCCAATTATGTGAATACAGTACAATCCTAAACCGATCTACCGGTATTTCTTTACTAAAAGACACTTGTCCAGATAGTGTTGATTGTACACTGAGTTGATAAAACAAAATCTTTATTTTATTATGCCTTTTCAGTCTTGTTCATTCTCTCTGAATGTTGATGTACTGAATCTATGAAGGCTCTGACGTGTTCTGGGTCAAAGTCCGGATAGATGCCGTGTCCGAGGTTGGCGATGTAACTCTGTGTCCCGAAACGTTCCAGCATCTGGGCCACGTACGAACTGATGTCTTCTTTTGAACTGTAGATGGCACAAGGATCGAGGTTACCCTGAAGTGGAAAGTTGGGTCCGGCTTGAGCTCTAGAGACAGGAAACAGAGATAAAGAGACAGTTAAAGTGTGAATATTCCCTCTCACACAAAAGATAGAGAGATAGTGAAAGTGTGAACATCTCCTATCACTAAAGATAATAAAGAGTCGGACAGTTCAAGTGTGAACATCTCTTTTCAGAGAATTTGAACACAAACTCACAAAGAGTATTGACTAGCTGCCACGAATGCAGAGTAGATCTCACTAATCCTCCTTCCCCCCCCCCCCCCCAAAAAAAAGAAGAAAATGTAATAAAAAATGAGACTTTTAGCTTGCTTGCTCAGTTAGGTCCCTTGTCTGTTTTAAAACATTGGTTTATAGCAGTCGATATAGACAGGTTTGACTGTATTTGTATAATGTTGGGTTGTGGAATACCTTGCTATCTGTGGCTGTACGTCCCAATCTAAACTCATGACATCATAGTCACTCTGTGATAGCTCGCTGATGGCATAGTTGGCTCCTTTAGCAAATACAATCTGAAAAATCAAATCGAAAGGAAAGATGATTTTAAAAAAACCTCTCAATCGTTCATCTTACAAATAACACAGCGGCATCCTGTAAAAAATATGTGTGAATCAAGAAAATAAACCAACTAAAAAATACAAAATTAAAAGAGATCTAATTTACTTATTAAAGAAAATAATTGGCAGATACAGAATTGATACATTACATTATGATTTCAATTTCTTTTATTTACTTTCATTTTCATTTTATGCCATACTGCCCTTGCCCACAACTTTCAATTACACATTATAAACAACTGACATATCACTATTTATAAGTGCATGAATTGTTGTGTTTAAATACGAATAGTAGTGGGCTCTCATGGGGAATTCGAAAACATTTGGGTGCTAACCCAATAATAGATGTTGTCAATCACCAGGATTCGCCTTCAGTTTTATGACCAACAGGCCTTATGTAATGCTTTGCCTTTTTCACCGATCGCCCCATATGGAAAAGACATTATTTTACATTTCCCTCACCTGAAGATTTTCTGAGAGACTAGCGTGTATTCCTTGATGGGACTACAGGTTTGCTATGTTTGAGACTTTTACACTCATTCATGGTATTTCCACCAAGTCTGGTGTCGACCGGCGAATTATGACCTACTGCACATTGAAACCAGTAACCATCTTCCCTTTAAAACTGGGGCTGTTCCTATCATTTTTGAGGCAAATCAACACAATCCATATCAATCCATATCAATGATTTCACTATTTCATTTTTAATATCATATCTAAATTCAGTCTCAGTTTATTGTCTCTTAGTCTTACCATGGGTACAGGCTCTACTGACTTGGCCCTGAGCTTTTCCTTGACTTCTTTAGCTATCTGTTGAAGGTACGGTAGACAGAACTGACAGAACTTGTCATACCCCAGGGCACCGGCATGGGAGTCAAACACCTGCAGAAGCTGTCAGAAAGAAAAGAAAGAAAAAAAAAATTGAAATTGAATACTTATGGTGACACCCTATCTAAAATATTGTAAATTGTTAAGTCTTTTCATGCCATGACCAGCAATTCCTGTGGTATTTGAACAATTGTTTGTAGTTGTCTAGCGCCAGCTACGGTGGAATGAGAAAGCAGTTGAGAACAAAGATGACTAACACCAAGAAAACACAGACTGGAATCGTTATTGCCATGTTCCATATTTAAGTTACTCCCAAGGTATAAACACTCGGTTACTACAATTCCCATCCCCAATTTTGAATGGTCTACCGTGTGTTTTGGCAAGTATTGGCTAGTTCATCTTCCTAATATAGAAACCCTGCATGTATCGTAAAGTTTTCTCCCCTTAAAAGATATTTTAATGCCTACAGGTAATTAAACTATGAATCGAATTATGAAAACTTAAGCTTGGCACTTGAAAGTTAATAACAAATGCTAATGTTCTATGGCAAATTTGATCTCAGCCAATCAGATGCCATGCTTTCAGTGGCTTTCAACAGTTATTTTATCTTGTCATTGATAACAAGTTTTATGAAACAGTGCCCTGGTTCCTGTTGACGAAGGGTTCAGTAGGTGGTGCAGTAAGGAGCTAAAGATGAAACGCTTGGACTTACCTGTGCTCCGGCAAGGACCTGGCCAACAAGATAGTCCACAATGGTCCTAGTAAGAATCTTCAAGAGTTTATGGCTGGCCTCTGGCTGGGTGTACAACCATTTTTTAGCCTTCGAGAAGGTTTTGGATCCGCCTCCTTCTATGCAGTAAACCATGAGTGTCCACTGAAATAGAAAACAAAATGGAAATAGAAATAGGAAGAAAAGAAAAGAATTGCTCACTTCGTTGTTCACAATAATAATATTGGACATTCTTACAGCTCACATATGCACCCTGCAAGGTGCTCAAGGTGCTTCAATAATACCCTGACTCTTGCTAGGCTATCAAATTTGTTGGTAAAAGCTTTCAAGGAATTCCTTCATTCCAGTACCCATTTAACACCTGAGTGGAGAGTGGCACATGTAGATTAAGTTCAAAGAACATTGGTGATGCTCAAGGGAGACAAGGAAAATGGTCTTTATAGGCAGGTGGTCTTTCTAGACAGGTTGCTTTCATACAGGTTTAAATGGGATTTTTTTTTTTCAAGGGAAAAAAATATGGTCTTTATAGACAGGTGGTCTTTCTATACAGGTGGTCCTTAAAGCCCCTCTGTACTAGTTTGGCAGGGAGGGATTAAATACAGGTTTAAATGGGATTTTTTTTTCAAGGGAAAAAAATATGGTCTTTATAGACAGGTGGTCTTTCTATACAGGTGGTCCTTAAAGCCCCTCTGTACTAGTTTGGCAGGGAGGGATTAGACCTCACTGCAAGGGCACTGGCAGGTGGTTATCTCATCAACTCAGCTCTCAGTAAACATAAGAAAAAGGGCATCATGGGGGATCAACGAGTACCGCTTATGCATTGTTGGCTGTATAATAATAATAATCTTTTTAAGTAGTGCAGCTGGGCTTTAAAGCAAGTTTCACTGTAATAATGCAGGATTGAATACCACAGAAGGTGACTTACGGGTGCTCCTGAGAATCCAATAAGAGGGACTTTCCCATCCAGTTCTTTACGAGTGAGTGTGAGGGCCTCAAAGACATAGCTCAGGGCCTGGTTGATATCGACCTCGGCATTGAGCCGAGAGAGGTCATCGGGCGAGGTCAAAGGTTCGGGGAATGAAGGACCCTGACAGGTGAAAAGTTAGATGAGAAGAAATGGGAGAAATGATTAAATTTGTGATCTGTATGTTAATTTTACCCCAAAAATAGTTTTATCGAACGTAAGAAAAATACGTTTTCTTTTAAACAGAACTTATTCACTGAGAAATGAACTGGTCAATATGTGCAAAGGTTTTAAATAGCTGATAATTTCTGTAGTCTCCCGTGAATTTGTCCATCTACAGAAATATCTCAAAGTAATGAAACAAGAAACTGCAAATGAAAATCATGATAAAATATATGCATGAAAGGATGCAAGATTGTACAGTACATTATCTTTTACCGAAGAAATATAACAAGTGGAATTGGAGGTAAAAATATTGAAGTATATTCTTAAAATAATAACAGGCTTTGTTTCATGATTTCACTCAGTAGAACAGTATATCTCACAGCACTTTACATCAATACACAAACCAAGGAAATAATGGCTTCTTACTATATTCCCTTTAAAACAGTACATGTCTGAAGGCAAATAATTTCTGTGGAGGCTTGAACTAATGCGTTCTGACTTGAGTTAAGCACTGACAAGCTTATTACCTTAACCATGCATAGGCCTATGAGATGGGGGGGGGGGGGGGGGGGACAACGCCCCCTAAAAGTTTTAAAATACATGGGATACCATAGAAGAAGATGCCAAAACATCTGGTATCATTCTGATCACCATATGAATCCCACAGACAGAAAAGCTTGCAAAGCAGCCCCACAAAGTGGGACAAATGGACTCTAAATGCTGATGATGATGAGATGTACCAATAGTCAGGCAGCTGCCACCTCACATATGGGTAGCTGCCATCTCATTACTTTTAGTACTTGATGACACACTGAAGCTTACCGTGCCAGGAATCATCTCAACAGTCAATCCAAGTGCTTGAGGGATGACCAGAATATCACAGAAGATGATGGCAGCGTCAAGATCAAAGCGACGGATCGGCTGGGATCAAAATGGAGTTATTAGATATAAACAGAGACTCTGTAGTTACAGACAAAAGATTATTTTTATCAAACTAAGAGAATGAATTTATCGAATTAGAATCCTTGGTATACTAGTATACAGAATTGTTTATTAACAGTGCTATAACATAGGTAAACTACGGCAAACATATTTGTTAGAAATGGAACTTCTTTTTTTAGAGAATGCACATTACCAAAGACTGCTTTTTCTTTAAAATTAAAATTAGATTTTTACATTTCCCATCAGAATACTATTTTTGCACTGCTACATTTTATCCATAGTAAGGAAACATTTATCTTAAAAATGAAACTTCTCTTTCAAAGAATGCAAATTTAATACCAAAGACTGCTTTTACTTTAAAATCAAAATTACATTTTCTATTTCTCATCTGAATATTAGTTTTGCGACATCACAATTTATCAAAAGAAATCCAGAGAAATGGAGTAAGCATTATTTCTACTTGCAGCTCTGAATTCATAACTTGGAGATGTAAAGTAATATTGACTCAATCAGCATTCATAAATACAAGTATAAAAGCTGTAGCGGGAATATGGGGGAGTAAATTATTTGACTTAACTCTCATATTTAAGGTTCGGGACATAATAACAAAAAATAAGTAGGATTTTTATACAATCCTCTGTAAGAAAAATAATGAAGATGATCTACCTGCAATGTGACCTCACATGCCAAGGCAGGTGTCTGGCAGACTTTGAAAAAGTTGTGTTCAGCTCTCATTTCACGGAATTCTGCACAAGGAAAACAAGACAGAATTTGCTTCAGGTTTTGTTTCTTCTTGGGTAAGCGTTTAAATAGGCTTTTAAGCTAGTAGGTTATAGATAAACTTGAGTTCTGGTAATGTGATTGCATTGTGAAAGAAAAGGTGTGGAATGGATCAGAAAAGTTGATCATATAGCATGTAAGTAATGGTGTGTAATGCAAGGTTCGGGAGTCATCAAAATCATCATAAATTTGGCAGAGTCTTGGTAAAGTTACAATCACTTACACAGAAAGATGTATATGGGACAACACACATGGTGTCGGGGCTAGTACTACCCTGATTTCCTTATCTTTCTATGCTCATTACTCAGCCAGTATACATTTTCTTCCAAAATTGTTTGGCACATGACATTTATTTGTAATCTTGAACATTCAGTGAAAGTTTTGTTAGATTCTGTGAGAATTCATTTTTATTTTTTTTTACCAGAACTCAAGTTTATCTTTAAGGGTTAGGATTACGTATAGTGTTATAGATCCATGTTTGAAGTTAGGAATTCTGTAAGTGTAGATTAATGGACACAGAGCAATTTTTGCCCGAACATGAGTCTTGGAACCCTAAAATAAAATAGAATTCACCCACTTGGAATAGGATGGAATACTTAATTTACACTAACCAGCTATTTCCATTTGAAAATTTGGGCTGTATGAAAATATATACATGATTTCTGCAATGTTATACTATTCTTTGGTTTGTTTCACTGAAACTCCTGCAATAATCCGTTATGGCTTCCATTTCGTTTCTTTCGATTTATGTTTTCCTAAAACTATATAAATATTCAAACGGACTCTATTTTTCTTAAATAGTCACTTTGTAACTAAATAAAAGTAATATTTTAGGTCTCTAATTTTGAAAGTAGCTGCAGTTCCACTTAGCTCAAACTAGTCCACTAATTCACAAAAGGGCAAGTGTCAACCCCTAATTAAACTAAATAATTTCAGCCATGAAATGAAAACGATAAATCAATTTGATAATGTTTGGTATGTTCATTTAGATTCATAATAATGATGAACAGGTTCCAGAAAACGTTGATATTTGACATTTCTTAAACTGGTGAACATTCAACTCTGCATGCTTAGGTGGTATTACTTTAAAGCCCATTTGTACTAGTTTACAAGAGGGATTAGACCACCATACAACAAGGTCACTGACAGGTGGTTATCTCATCAAATCAGCCCTGACTTAACATAAGAAAAAGAGGATTATGGGGGACCAATGGTCACCGATTAGGCATGGTTTGCTATATAGAGGGCTCAAGCAGCTATAAGTAGTGCAGTGGGGCGTTTATCTTTCTTTAGTGACCTTTCTTTACCTGGGAGATATCTTCCTGCTTGCCTCATCAACCAAACAGGAACTCTCTCCGTCTTCTCCCCTCTCGCTGCTCGAAGAATCAGATCATTCTTCAAAGCAGGAAATTGCTGCAGGAGAAAACAGACATAGAATATATTCATCTCTTATAACTTTACTTTTATTCATTTATTTCATTTTTTTTTTAAATTTAGGGGGAGGGGTTAAAGCAGCAAAACTTTCATACTATCCTACTAAATTGGCTAGCTATGGCATTACGGCTGCTGAATTTCATACCAATTTATTTTGAGTGCAGTTACTTTGATTTATCTTTCTTCCTTTTCTTTATCAATTATCCTTCTTTAACATATATCCTTTTGTTTCTCAAGTCCCAATTCTTCTTACTCCACTTCTCTCCCTCCCTTAATCTTGATTAGATCTAGATCTAGAGTCTATGTTAGGCAAATTCATGCAAAAAAATATATTAAAAAAATTGACTTGAAAACACATCACACAATTGGTCTGAACCGAGTCAGGAGCAAATTTGAAGAAATTATATTTTTAAATGTTGTAAAACCAAAGATTTAAGAAGAAAACTGACCAAGTATCTGTACTAAAAATCGTACATGTAAAATTGGTCGTACACATTCGACAGCTGAAAATGACGCGCACGGTTGCGTTACGTGCGTTCTCGAATCCAAAATCATACCTCACACACACACTCTCGCCATACCGCGAATGGTCCGTCGTGGGGAGCTAGCCGGCTGAGAGTTTGCAGCGATACCAACGCAGCTTCAAAGCTCTGCAGCGCGCCATTTTAGCGGGACTCGGAAAGGTTTGCGATGGGAAGGCAGCGGCCTAGCTTTTTGCCCAAACAACGCTTGAACGCTAGATCGGCTGCTGGCAAAATGAAAATAACTACGATCGAGAACATCGTCGGTTTCTTAACTTTTCAGTGAGATAATTCTGAATTCTAATTGAGACTATATAATAAATTAAATCGACAAAGAAACCTCGGTAGAACTCTTATAACTATACAAAAGCTTGTTTATTTCTTCATTTGACATTTTGTTTTCGACCATTTTTTCGTGCGCGAGTCAATGTAAACTATGTATTACCAAACTTTCAACACGCAAGGAACGGGGAACACTCACGGACCCGTAACAAATTCGTTGCAAAAAAATAATTTCAAGGGTGATTTTGAAGCAGTGAAGAACATTGGCGCTGCGATGCGCAGAAATATACTTAAAAGAAACTTAAAAAATAATACCTGAATTTTCAGAAAATCGTATTTGTATTAGTGTACCTAGATGTGACTTGTTTATAAATCAGATTTTATGAAGATTTGTCGGGAAAAAATGTCAATTTTTTCCGTTTGGTGGTCATTTCTAGGCTAATATTTTAAAAGTTGCATCAGTAATGGGCCCGATGTTTCTCTTATTGTACTCGCATGTTATTTCTACATAGATTAAACATAGGATGGTTAAGGGTAAGACCAGATAACATTATAAAAAAGATATATCCTTCCACCCTCCCATATCCAAGTTTTGGGCTGATTATTGCCGACCCACCGCAGCAAGGCCATTCGGATTTTCGTACGCGCGCAAAGCGCCCTCTAGTGCCCCATGAATGTGCCTATCTATGTAACCAAAATGAAATTTGAGAAATTGGAAATAAATATTGCTACATGTAAAATTAATTTCTTTTACTTTTAAAAGTATATTAAATAATGTTTACAATATTTTCCCCATGATTAATATAATTATAATTCACACAATCACGAGCGCTCGACTTTGTCACATTCAAATTTTTGTTGACAAAAACTTAATTCAGCAGACCAAGACAGTATGAAATAAAAAAAAACTACTTCTGACGGATGGCTATGTTTAAAATGAATGATATATAAAGAACAAGACAAGTGCAACAATTTTATGTAGATTATAGACTAGTTGATTACATCATTTTGTTTCCAACACAAATACACACGTACGGGACTGTAGTCAACTCTTGCATAATGTTTGCCAATTTTAGCTGTCGACTGTCACAGGTAAATCAAACCAAATGTGAAATTTTGGCATCGTAATTATCTTATTCCAACCTATTCATCAAACTATAGAGTATATGAATAACCTTGATAACTAGAATAACGCTCACTTTACATCACAATCCTACAAGTTTTCATAGAGTCTACTCACATGATCCATGGAAGCTGCCATTTTGATTTTACAACCTCGAGTCCGGTTAAATTTTGAGCGAACAGAGAAACTGCCACGCCCACCTTGTTTGATGCAGCGGTCGGTTTTCTCATTTTGTGATTCTATATTTATCATTTGTATAACTATTGATGAATGTTCAACTACTCATTTGGAATATCTTTTTATTGTTCATTCGTAATTACTTATGACCTCTATTTCAACAAATTGATTGGATTGGATTCATACAGAAAGGAAGGGGGGGGGGGAGGGCAGGAAGGGTGTTACCAGTTACTGCAAAGGGAGTGTGAACCATATTTTTGTTGTTGCTGTTGTTCTTGTTTACGCTTTTACCTTATTTTTTGTCTCTATTTTTTATTATATATATATATATATATATATATATATATATATATATATATATATATTTTTTTTTTTTTTTTCTTCATTTCATTCTGCAAGGCAAGTTAGCAATCAGGCAAACTTGCCATCATATGCATTTTTATATTGTATATAATTTTTCGTTCTTGCAATTTTAATATTCTTTTAAGGCACCACCCCCCCCCTTCTAACCCCACTTTTATATATTCTTGATAGGGAAGGTTGGGTTTCATTTACTTCATCTTTTTACGTTACCAATGAATGAAAACATTTTTTTATAAATTACAATGGGATCAATAACCCCTCCTATACCTTATATGCAAATCGTGATCAAACAAATATTTGTTTCATTGTTCTAAAAATAATGTAGACCTAGATATAGGCTGGGAAATCATAACAAAAATTAAGCCATGTACATGTTTATAATTTGTAACAGTGGCGGATCCAGGGGGAGGGGCCCGGCCCCCCCCCCCCCCTTTAAAAAAACATCATGTAAAATCACGTGATTTTTACCTTTTTGGGGGGTTGGACAAAAAAAAAAAAAAAAATGCTCCCTACCCCCCCCCCCCTCCCCCCCCCCCCCCCCCCCCCCCCACGGAGCGACTTTTCGGCCGGCGCGATTTTCAAATTTTTGGGAGCAAAAAAAAAAAAGTTGGGCCCCTCCCCTAAGAAATCCTGGATCCGCGCCTGATTTGTAATATGATCTTATCAAAAAGATTTCATTCCAAGTTACCTTTCCTGGGTACAGGGACCTTATTTATTGTTTAAAGTTGGCATAGCCCCCCCCCCCCGAAAAAAGGAGTAACAAAAACACTACACACTATTCAAAAGCCATACTATAGGCCTTAAATAATGTCTTTAAATCTTTGAAATTATTAAAAAAAGAGGTAAGTATGGTAACCTAAAAAAAAAAAAAAAAAAAAAGATAGGGATCGTTTCCCTTCCTTACTTTTTCAAAGAGGGGGTCAAAGGCTAGTCCCCTTATTGTTTTAATATCTCTCTTTGAAGAAGAAGAAGAGAAGAAGAAGAAGAAGAAGAAGAAGAAGAAGAAGAAGAAGAAGAAGAAGAAGAATTGAAGAAGAAGAAGGGGGAAAGGTTGAGGAAGAGGAGGAGGAGGAGGAGGAGGAGGAGCTAGAGGAGGTTATTTTATGAACACCTTCCAAGCTCCAGGAATAACTAAAGTAATAAATGTTGGATTAAAAGAAACTTCCCCACTGCGCTCTGAATGCATTTTACGTAGGCCTATAAAGAATGATTGAGTTTCTAATCCGGCCATTATGTAAAGAAAGCTTAATTGGTTGTTAGCGGTTAATTAATCATGAACATCAATCGAATTATAAAGCGCGGTTGCCTAATGATGTACTAGCTCAGCAATGACTCCATGATGTTTCAATGAAATCCTCCAATCTATAGAATTTGGTGATCCACCGTTCGATGAACGTTTGACATTAAGGCACGGTAGACTTGACATTGAAAAGATACATACTCTTTCGACAGTATTGAGGAGAGTGCATCATATTTTTTTCTTTCTGGAATAATGATAACCAAAAGAGCGAGAGGGGTGTGACGTGTCCCGTCTGCTCAGTCACGTGACAGGTGGCTCTGGTAGCGATCGCTAGCAGTCGCCGATCGACCGCTGCTACTATACTCAGCTGCTTTGTATGGGAAAATTGCGATACACACATGCACACTACTGTACTGTACTGTAACACTGCATGCATTGATGATAATGTAAATCATGCACATATGCCAGGTCACGTCAATGGCGATGAGCTAGCTGAAAAGACGACACTGGAATATGGTGAACGAAACCCTGTAATCGCCGTATTTGTTTCTATATTTTGATGATTAACACGGGCCAGTAGAAGCACCAACATGTCTGTGACACTGAAGAAGGTGAAGGGGAGCTTGGAGAGGGTGTTTGAGAAGAATCTGCAGGATTTGGTCCGTGGTATTCGCAGCAACAAGGATAATGAAGTAAGAAAATAGATTCTGTGAATCTGTCTGACTCAAAGTGGATGCATTTTTAGCAATATAACAACTAGATCTACATGTTGCAAGATTCAAGAATAGATGTTTATGTTCACATGTAAGCTCAGGATATGTTAATGAGTAGTGTGTTTAACTGTTAATGCATATGAAATAAATCTAACTATCCAAGGCACAATCAAGAGTGAAGTACAGTTATAACCCTGAGTAGATCTAGATCGAGATCTATACTGATGCAACAGAAACAGAAACAGAAAGAGTTTACATGTTACAGTACAAGGATTTACAGATTTACGCCTGGCTGGCGCTGCCCGGTCTGCCTTAGACCAAAATTTCTGTCTCTTTCATTCGTTAGCCTCTGGGCTGATTTGGGTAGGGTCAGCTCCTCTCTCTGAAATTTCTGTCTCTTTCATTCGTTAGCCTCTGAGTCTGATTTGGGTAGGGTCTTCTCTCTTTTTTTTAAAGAGAGGAGCTGACCCTACCCAAATCAGAGGCTAACGAACGAAAGGGACAGAAATTTCGGTCTACGGCCAAGCCTGCCTGGGCCAGCACCAGGCTGCTCACCTGCTGGATGCGGAATCAATGCGCGTGATGCCTGTAGCCTGTTTACAAATCCACCATGTCCACTGATCCAATGATGTACATGTAGATCTATGATGTAATTGTCTCTGACTGGAACAGTCTCTCTTAAAAATGTACAATAATTCAATTGACTGGAAGTCGAACTCCATCGATACCTTCAAAGCAAGATTGGATCAACACTGGTGGTCTGAATAATTTAATCAAATGTGAAAACCATCTCTACCCTGCGCCAGGAGCATCACTATCCTGGCTGTGTAGTAAAAGCTGTGCTTTTGATTCTTAACATTTCAAACACCACTGTACAAAACTCAACTGATTTCACTAAAACTCGGTACTTTAGTGAAAATTGATGACACCTACAGCAGAGCTGCCAAGTCTCCCGGATCCTGCGGGAGACTCCCGGATTTTGACCCAATATCCCGTTTTCCCGACCCCATGCAAAAATCTCCCGGATTTCCAGATTTTAAGTTGTATTATTTTCATAAACGACTGTTTCACAAGACTAGCATGTTGAGTTCGTACGTACGTATACAAACACACGGCAATTCTGTAATATGAATTTTCCTGTTATCCAGTCGTCGAATATAAATTTACCGTGATATCGTACTTTATTTAACAGCGTAATAAATGAGAGTTACGCCGAACGACTGGCGGGCTAATCTAACAAACCATTGGGAACATGTGATAATGTGAGTGGTGTTTGTGTGATAGCAATTCGCCTGCTTGCTCTGCCGGGCGGCTTCCTCGCCGGCCCCCGTAGCGTCCCGGTACGTTGGTGCCGGTTTCCGATCGGTCGCGTCAGAGCAGCCAGAAGTTGCACTGATACAACAAGCAGACTTTGTCTGCTGCGATCGGCCCAAAAAACTGCACATTTCAACATCAGTTTTTGGATTGATTTGGGGACTTTTGCGATGTGATTTTTAAGTGGATTATCATTTGATACCAACATGGCAGTGTTACTGCAGAGTGGATTTTGAAGCCGACTTTTTTTTTCTGATCTCCTTTGCCGTTGGGAACGCATCGATATAACTTGCATCTTCCGAAGGCGTAAGTCAACTTTGTCCAAAACAAGGCTGTATTTTGCTCTCTGTTTGAGTATTAAAATATCATCCAGGACAATGTCGAAGTCGAAATCAGAGAATGGAGACCTGGACAAGCTTGAGCTGGAATTTGCACAATACCAGGTTGAAGACTTTTCAGGGGAACCAGAGATCCTGAACAAAAACTTGAGAATAGACAAGAAATGGTCTGCAATTTCAAAGATGGAGGATGGCAATGGCTCAAAGAAATACACACTTCTGAGCAAAGTGATGAAATCTTTGCTTGTGATACCACATTCCAATGCTTCATGTGAAAGAGTTTTTAGCATTGTTAGGAAGAACAAAACTGATTTCAGGGGATCAATGAATTTGAAAACACTTCAAGCACTCCTAACAGAGAAAATTGCCAACACAGATGTCCCATGCTACCAAAGGGAGTATAGCAAGGACCTCCTTAGCAAACTCAAGCAAGCAACCTACCAGTCACTTCAAGGAAAACCCTCAAGCACACCCCAGTCCTTGCCTTCCACAAGTACATCCCCCATTTCACAATAGAGGTAACAGGAGTTCATAGTCTGAAATATGATGTGAAGTTCATATGTTATCAATTGTATGCAAATAAAATGTGCCATATCAAAGCCTTCCATTTTGAGAAATCATTGAAAAAATGTGTTCTAAAAGGGTTTCAAAGAGGCTTAAAACCAAGAGCTTTTGGGGGCCTGCCCCCTGCCCCCCCCCCCCACCAGGGGCACTAAAAGGCCATTCTTGGTTCCCGCCAACAATGAAGTCGTTCGATGCTGCTCTCTCAGAAATCTCCCTGATTACCCAAATCAAATGTTGGCAGCTCTGCTACAGTACATACATTTTTTCAACTTACTGATGTTAAAAAGAATAATTTAAAAATTCAAATTGTAAGTCTACTGTTAAACTTTGCTTACAGCCGCATCGGCATGATTGTATACAGTCTATGCAATATTGTGTGGTGTGTATATTTGTGTATGGGTCTAATAATACCTGCCTCACAGCACGTATGCAGTGCTAGAGGTCAATACGCATTAGCATTGACTCTCTATGCTTTGCTGGAGTGCCCTGCGCATGTATACATCATACATGTATGTGCAAAATTAAGGCATTGATTCCCCATCGATCGTAGACTATAGAACCCTGCAGAAGTGACCAAGGATTACAGGATCAACCTCTCCTCATAATATCACGATGATGAGGAGGATGATGTTTCATGAGCATTATCCGTGTATGATATGAGTGGGAGGGCTGGGTAGGTGGGTGTCTCTTTTGCCTTTAGATTTAATGGAAAGTATTCATCACATTGGACTAACCATCATGGATATTTTTCATTTATAATATTGTCCAGCATAAGTCTTAGAAGATTTAAGATATATTGCTTGTAATGTAAAGTTCTTCAAACTCCTGTTTCAAACCAACTGTTGAACATAACCTCTAGTTTAGACACATAACCTCTAGTTTAGACACATAACCTCTAGTTCAGACACACATTATCAGGGTATACATTATAGACTGTAGAGTGCAGACGGCCATTCCATATTCCATGGTGTATTAATCGTACCTGGACTACATGTAGCTCACAGTGCTGTTTTGTCAAGTGCCGAGTAAACTGTCAATAGAATTTAGATCTATAGACTTGGCCTTTCTAAAATAGATCTACTGTAGTGTTTGAAATAGCTCTAAGGGCTATTATTATTAAAGTACATTAGAAGTATGAAATATGATACCGGTAGTCATATTTTAAGGCTAGTTTATGTATTTTATAACTTGTTTTTAATTTGATGAGATGCTAGGCATTCTATGTACATGTACATTGTGTCGTTGATAATATATACAGAACATACTGTATACTGTAGGTCACCTTTTTATTACTTTTACCAGGGCTGTCAACCCTCCCGCGTTTGGCGGTAGTCTCACGCCACCACGCTCATTCTCCCGCCACCCCAGAAGCTTGTAGCGGGAGACTCCCGCCACCACGCCTTCCTCCCGCTCTCCCGCCAGCGATGTAGAATCTCCCGGTTCATGAAAAAATCTACCTCCAAGCAGTTTCCCAAAGTGGACAGCCCTGCTTACACCAGTTTTAGTTTTCCCACCTCGAGATGAAATCTAGAAAAATTGCAATCATACACCAAAATATGGATTTGGCAAATTGAATGAGATTTACCGGTAGTGAAAATGAATGAGAGAGAAGAGAGACACTTGTACATTTTACGAGCTCCGGAAAGCTCTTAAGTGCCCTGGAAAGAGTTAAGCATTTCAAAGTTTAAAGACACTGTCGGAAGTGAAAATGAAATATATGAATTACATCAAGCTTTACAAAGTACAGATTATAATAAAATCAATTGTACATGTACATTATGTATGCTATTTTAGTGTCTGTCAGAGGGGAAACAGCTCTATGAAAACTCAAAATTTAAAGCCTTGAAAATCAGAAGTTGTAGACCTAAAAACTAGCTACCGTAATTAACGTTGTATAAACCGCCCTTGTGTATTAACCGCACCCCTCTTTTTTGCCCTTAAAATTTTTTTTTTTTTTTTTTTTTTTGCCGACTTTTTTTGCCGGGTCCGTGTTAAAAAACCCACGCGGGAAGGCCTTCATTTAACTGCGAGGTGCAGCTGAATGTGTAAGATTATTAATGTAAATTAAAAAAACAGTAGAGGACCTAGGATAGGACCTTGTGGTACACCATGTAATAGAAGAAAAATTGGAGGAATTATTATTATAAACTACATATTGAGATCTATCAGAAAGATTGATTTCAAACCAAGATGACAGACAAATTTGAGTGTTGTTTTAGTTTCCAAGTGGTGAGTCTACATACCGATTACTGAGCTGGGAGACATTGCCAGGCATAGCGCCATAAATCGAAACTTTAAAAAAAAAAAGTTTTTTTTTTTTTTTTTTTTTTGTGTACCGTGTATAAACCGCACCCCCGACTTTGAATTTTTTTCGGCGGCAAAAAGGTGCGGTTTATACACTTTTAATTACGGTATTGACTTGATGACATCTTATGTGGAGTATGCATGGCTCATTGCCTCAGCAATAGAGGCAAGCTGATCAGCTCCACATATTATGTCGTCACCGCTGCAAATTTGTCCCTTGTTGACCCGTAATTCAGAGGGGTATGAAAAATTAGGTTTTTATTTTCTTTTGTGCAATACTGATAGGGAAAATATTTGTATTCCCTAATACAGTCAAACCTGCTCTATTGACCACCTGTCTACAAAGACCACTTTTTGAGTTTCCCCTCAGGCGGTTGATATAGACAGGTTTGACTGTATTAATCGATATACATGTACATGTACTACTTTCGTTCAACTTTCCATTGGTACAAAGTTGTGTTTTCATCGGATAAGGTCTTCAAAGAGTTGAGTTCTGAGGCTTGCTCCACACATTCATGGTCCCCACACACAGTGAGTGATTTCAAGTTTGGTGTTAGTGTTAGTGTTAGTGTTTAGAGCAGTCAAGTGCTCTTAAATCGAGCGGAAAATTTGCTGATGAAATTAAGAGCCCGATACCGATATCAAAATCGATAGCTGACGTCACCACATACTTGATTTCACGACATAAAAACTAAAGATATCATGAAAAGTACAGAATGAATTTACACCTATTTTTCTGGTCTTATAAAATAACTAATTTTACACAAAAGAATATGTGAGTTACCTGTTTCACATATTTTTATTTGATCGTCAGACAATAAATTGGCGTCGTTCGTGCGTTGACTGTGTGCGGGTACAACACTAACACCGAACTGGAAATCAACATTTGCTTAATCCCTAGGGGCTAGTGTTAGTGAATAGGACATTTGTACGTAAAATATTAACACCAGCCACAAAGGTCGGTTCAGCAGACGACAATTTATCAAAATCGATAACACTAGCTACCGGAAGTTGACGATATTCAGAGGTCAAAGCCTTAACACCAGCTGATTTCCATTTCAGTGTTTAGGCTGGTGTTAGTGTTTATTAAACACTAACACCAGCCTTACTTCATACATGAATTTATTAAAATGGTTTGATTGCCCTACAACCACAACTGTAGTGCATCTGAGATACCTAACGGTCTGTGAAGTGCGTAAGGAAAACATTTAATTACCTGATTTAAATCTGTTTCCCGATTTATAAAAAAATAAAAAAAAATAATCAGATTTTTTTTTTTTCCTGATTTTTTTTTTCTGATTTTTTTTTCTTCCCAATTTTACCCCGATTTTCCTGATTTTTCCCTTATTTTCCCTATTTTTCTCTATTTTCTCCCAATTTTCTCCCAATTTTTTCAAAATTTCCTTATTCAAAAGGTGGGGAATGTTGTTACATGTAGATGCCATTTTTATGCCTCCGCCACCGAAGGTGGTGCCGGAGGCATCATGTTTTCGGGTTGTCCGTCCGTACGTCCGTCCGTCCGTACGTCCGTCCGTCCGTCCGTCCGTACGTCCGTCCCGTTTGACCGTTATCACAATATCTCAAGAACCATTTAAGATTTAAACTTCAGACTCGGGAATAGTATTTATCACCATAGGAAGATGATCTGATTAGATTTTGGAGTACGTAGGTCAAAGGTCACAGGTCACAGAGGTCAACTTATGAAATTCCTTGTATTGAGTTTGTTAGCGCGATATCTCAAGAACCATTTGAGATTTAAACTTCAAACTTAAGGATAGTATGTATCACCATAGGAAGACGATCTGATTAGATTTTGGAGCACGTATGTCAAAGGTCAAGGGTCACAGAGGTCAACTTATGAAATTCCATACATTGAGATTGTTATCATGATATCTCAAGAACCACTGGAGATTTAAACTTCAAACTTAGTGATAGTGTGTATCACTATAGGAAAACAATCTGATTACATTTTGGGTCACGAGGTCAAAGGTCAAAGGTCACAGGGCTCATTATGTATGCAAAAACAGCTTGTGATCGCGTTATCTGAACAACCGATTGATGGATTCCTGCCAAACTTTGGTCATGTGTGTATCTTGCAGAGCTGATGAACTGATTAGATTTTGGGGTCACGAGGTCAAAGGTCAAAGGTCACAGGGCTCATTATGTATGCAAAAACAGCTTGTGATCGCGTTATCTGAAGAACCGATTGATGGATTCCTGCCAAACTTTGGTCATGTATGTATCTTGCAAAGCCAATCAACTGATTAGATTTTGGGGTCACGAGGTCAAAGGTCACAGCGCACATTGTGTATGCAAAAACAGCTCGTGATCGCCTTATCTCAAGAACCGATTGATGGATTCCTGCCAAAATTAGGTCATGTATGTTACTTGCAGAGCTGATGAACTGATTAGATTTTGGGGTCATGAGGTAAAGGTCAAGGTCATGCGGCTCATTATGTATACAAAAATAGCTTGTGATCGTATTATCATTAGAACAGATTGATGGATTCCTGCCAAACTTAGATCATTTATGTATCTTGCAGAGCCAATGAATGGTTCATAAGATCAAAGGTCATGGGCTCATTATGTATTCAAAAATAGCTTGTGGACGCATTCTCATTAGAACTGACAGATGGATTACTATTTAACTCAGGAAATCTTGCAGAGCCAATGAACTGAGTAGATTTTAGGGTCATGAGGTCAAAGATCAAAGGGTCATATATGTATATGAGAAATTGCTTGTAATCACGATATTCTGAGAACATGTTAATGGATTACAATTGAACTTGAATTTGAAAAATTTCTTCCGTTTCGGTTTGTAAAATTGCTCTATGACGGAGGCATCATTTTCGACTGCGCGCAGTCGAATTCCATCTAGTTTTTTCCTGAATCCCTTTTTTTTTTTTTTTTTAACTCGAGAGGAAACATTGAGTATTATTTATTTTGTTTTTGTTTAGTGCTCACTATCACCCCTGTATTATTTATATGCATGTACATGTACATATACATGTATGCTTTCATTATGCTGTGCATGCACTGTTTCTTCTTTTACCTCTAGGCTAAATGCATCTCATGTATGGGCGCGAGATCAAGTGAGAGTTTAGATTGAAACACAGATTGATAGTTTAACCTCTGTCAAAGTATGAAGTACCACCTTTAAAGGTATAGACCAGTTTTGGAAATGACTCTCTCTCAAAAAATGAAATGGAAGCTCTTATTACCAATCACATGAAAGAATATGTTTTGACTATTAAAACCCCCTACTACACGTAAGTGATAAATTATCGTATGGATCTGGCCTGGATAGATATCACGAATGCACTTCAACATTTAACATTTGGGCATATATTTCTGCTTTTTTGCAAATTTAGGTTGAAGTATTGCCATCTAAACCTCTGAAGGCAATATTTAAACAATATTGAATGGATATTTTGCACCCGAAACCCTTGAACCACAATTTTTACCACTACCGGTCTATATCTTTAAGATAATAGAGGCTATGATATTCAGGAAAACAAATTGCACATTGTATGTTTCCATTAACCTCAGCTGAACATGTACTGTTGTTTCTTACTTATCCCCAGGCTAAATACATCTCATCATGTATGGAGGAGATCAAGCAGGAGTTGAGGCAGGAGAACTCAGCAGTCAAGGCCAATGCAGTAGCGAAGCTGATTTATGTGAGTAACCCATCCATCCATTGAATTCCTGTTGCAAAGCGCGAATGCTTTGATATTTCAATAAATTATTAGAGATACAAGACGATTTGTTGGCTCGACTCTTAATCCTTGTCTGAATTTTCCAAAATGTTTCTTTGTCTGCTCCTTTTTCTTTCAATGTCCCTTACTTTTTTCTCTTCTCTCTCTCTCTCTCTCTCTCTTTTTTTGGTCATCGTTTTTTTGGGGGGCGACCACAGCCCCTCCCACCCCCCAGGCTCCGCGCCTGGTTTGTTACATAACACGATTGCAATGACTGTCTTAAAACCAACTCCAGGGCAATTTACCCTATTGTATCTCAGATAAATCATGTTCAGATTACAGTAGGCATTGCGTCATTGTAATGTTTATACGTTTCAATAGGAAACAGACAAGGCTTTTTTGTAAATGCTGTAGGTTAATTTGAAAATCTTTGTGAATGTGATACATGTACAATTAAACATACATATATTCATTCATTTCATCATCTTCATTTTGGTTTCATAGCTAAACATGCTTGGTTACGACATCAGCTGGGCAGCCTTCAACATCATCGAAGTGATGAGCTCACCCAAGTTCACCTTCAAACGTATCGGGTACATGGCCGCTGCCCAGAGCTTCCACGAAGGAACGGATGTCCTCATGCTTACCACGAACATGATCAGAAAGGTATGATGATGTTTCATTCAAGGTTTTATTCAACGTTTCATGTAATGCTTCATATTTTAGTGACCCTCTGTCTCATAAATTCAATCTAAAAGATGATAGAGCTGAAGGAACAAAAGTCCTCATGCTTACTACGAACATGATCAGAAAGGTATGATGACGTTTCATTCAAGGTTTTATTCAACATTTCATGTAATGCTTCATATTTTAGTGACCCTCTGTCTCATAAATTCAATCTATTAAATGATAGAGCTGAAGGAACAAAAGTCCTCATGCTTACTACGAACATGCTCAGAAAGTTACGATGACGTTTCATTCAAGGTTTTATTCAACGTTTCATGTAATGCTTCATATTACAGTGACCCTCTGTCTTAATAGATTCAATCTATTAAATGATAGAGCTGCTCTGTAATCAGAGGCTCTTATAAGGAGCTTTTATTCATCAAAGTAGTATTTTTGTACCTACATGTACCTGTAAATCTAGGTAAATTCATGGATTTGGTAATGGAAATATGATATTTGCTCAAACTTTTAAAGATTAAACTTCTAAGAACTTTGCTTTTAAAAGTAAACAAGAGTATGTAAATAGATCTTTGTTTATTCAAATGATTAAATGTACAATGTAAAACAAGTTAGAACATGTACATGTATTAAAGACTGACTACCTAAGCAGCATATGAAAACATCGGACTGATAATTTCTCAGCATGTAGTACTGAAGAAAATGAGTTTTCATTTCCATAATTGCATTTAATATCCTGAATTCTCTCATTCCCATAGGCTTAATGTACATGTATGAACCACTCTGTTCCCTTTGACAATCAGTTAAAGATAAACTTGAGTTCTGGTAAAAAAAAAAAAAATTAATTCTCACAGAATCAAATGAAACTTACACTTAATGTTCAAGATTACAAATAAATGACATGTGCCAAACAATTTTGGAAGAAAATGTATCCTGGCTGAGTAATGAGCATAGAAAGACAAGGAAAGCAAGGTAGTACTAGCCCCGACACCATGTGTGTTGTCCCATATATAGCTTTCTGTGTTACTTTACCAAGACTCGGTCAAATTTATTACGATTTTGATAACTCCAGAACCTTGCAGTGCACACTAATAGTTACATGCTACATGATCAACTGATTCTGATCCTTTCCACACCTTTTCTTTCACAATACAATCGCATTACCAGTACTAAAGTTTATCTTTAATTTTCAGAAACTTTTAAATCATTTGATGCTGTTAACCCATAGTACTGTAGTTTAGAGTTTGCTTATTTTATGAAGTTTTCCTCCTCAAATTGGCAGCAATTATTCTTCTTTCCACTCCTTCATAGTTTTTTTGGGAAAAAAAAATGTATATTACATGTAAATAAACCAAAAATTGCAAACTTTAAAGGTACTTATGTCCCATTTGCAGGCCCCAAAAAATGAAAAGGTTGAATTCTAACGGCATTTGAAATATAATATTAATTTAGAACTTCCCTCAAAACAAAAGGGCTTGAAAATGTCTTTTAGTGGGAAAATAATGAGCATTAGTTGTCGAATTAAATTTAGTGGTTGCAATCATTTTAGTAAAAGTCTGATTTTCAGACCCTTGTGCTGAACGGTCGTATGTTTAGTGCTGCGCCAAGATTCAATCTTTAGAAGTAAATTTGGCAGACCCCACATATTTTCAACCTCTCAAATTGTCCATCAGTATTTACATTATATGTACTCAATACAATTTGCGGCTCTGAGAGGGCGATAGACCCTTTGTGCACTATTTTACTAGTACATGCGTAAAGCGAAACCATAAACTGTGTAGCAAGAGGGAAACTATAAACTAGTAAGAAGTATTTGTTACTTTAATAAATAGAAATGCTGGTAATTGCGCATACCTGTACATCTGCACCTTGTACAATGTACAATGTACATGTACATGTACAGTTGTACCTGTACTTAAATCTGCTATTGTACATGCATGAAGATCGCGTGTATGATTTGTCCACGTGAGTCGATCTCTGCCTCTCAGGAAATGCAAACACACACACATAGGTTTTGATCTCACTCATCATCCTACTACCTTTGAATTAAGTTCTATTTTTACAAATGAAAGTGAACTGCAATTTTTATATGATAGTGCTCTTACATTGCACAAGTGTGTGTGTTTACAAACATTTTTCCATTTTTCTTTCTGTATATTTTTGGGGCCTGTTTGTGTACAGATTTTTCACTTTGTATTTGATAAAGTCTTTGGAATTTCTATGTTCTAACATCACTATTTTGACTATTTAGAGCAATTGGTTTGGATTGAAAGACTTTTTAAAAAATTTGACATAAAACTGTGATTTCTGTTGGTGCAAAATATTATGCAGGCCTACAAATATAGAATTGTGTAACTTGTGACAATAACCCTACCTCTGGTACATTTTTTAAATTTTTTTAGATACGATTATTAAAATTACTTTTATTTGTATTATTATTATAATTATTTTAATTTTGTTTATGTATTCATTTATTTATTTTATTATTATTATTATTTTTTTTTTTTTTTTTTTTTTTTTTGGGGGGGGCAAGTATTTACCTAAGTTTCTGAACGTATCAAGTGGAGAGTGCCCGGTAGGAACGAAACACCTTTTGTTTTTGTAAATACTTGTACATGTATGATGACTTGTATTGTAACAATGAAAACAAAAACAGGATCTGAATAGCCACAACCAGTATGAGACGGGCATCGCTATCACAGGCTTGGCATGTATCTTGACCTCTGACCTTGCCCATGACCTGGCCAATGATATCATGGCACTGGTAAGTCTGGTCTGTGCCATCCATGTCAGCCCTTGCCTCTGTCAGCTAGTGGACCAGTGACTGTTATCTAGCCCAACCAGTGTTTTTTTTTTTATCAGTATACATTTGTGGCATTTGTATGAGTTCTGCCAACATGACCGTGAAAGTGAATCTAATGCATTACAATTCTGTACCTGGCATGTGATAAACTTTTGAGTTGAAAAGAAATCACATATACCTTGTGATCAAGAGGCAAAATTTCTTTGTTAAGAACAATCCTTTTCATATAAAGTGTCATTAAAAAAGACAACTCCACTGCTAATTCTCTTCAAAAATGTTGCAATACATAACTTGATATTAATAAAGTGGACAGACACAGACACGGTGACGCACTTTCAGTTTCATCAACCAGTCTATCATATGATGATTATGAACAGACTATTCAATTGCTGCATTTTTTATGGCTTCACGCCTATTACCTTTATTTATTCATAATAATGTGAAAACAAAGGGATTATCCGTTATCCCATAATGGCATAATTGTTCAAATTAACAAGTCAGTCTTAATTTAAAGGAGTCATTTGCGTATACACTGTAGGCTCAAGCCCTAGCTATTACATACTGGTGAACATGTACATGTTTTGTACACTAAAGACCTATTAATCAACAAAGCATTAGATGATTTTCTGTGAGTGTCATGGTAGCAGATCACGTACAAAAGAAGCTGAGAGCGTAGTTGGACATTGTGAACCAGTTATCCCGATAGTGCCTTTGTGGGATGTTCTTGATGGTAAAGGTGGTGGTAAACTGTGTGTATAAACTACTCTCTTACCCTTCTACCTGTATGAAGTACATTTGTCAAATCTTAAAACCAGTTGGAAGAGACTGAAAGTATGAACTCTCTTGAGGCCTGTCTTCATCAGCTCGAGTTTACCAAATAACCCGCTATTTCAAGTATCCCGATCGCAAATTAGCCAGTTAATTTGCGTTTTCATCAGTCCGCAGTTCCAATTAGCGAGATATTTGGTTGAGAAAATATCCAGAGAAATCTTGGTCTTGTATCCAAAATATCCCATTATTTGGGAAATAGCGGGCCAATAGCTAGTTTGTGATGAGCATATCGGTCTGGTGAAGGCGCAATTTTGAGCCTCGGGATAATATCCAGCGTCTGAAAATAGCGGGTTATTGGCAAACTCAAGCTGATGAGGACAGGCCTTTGCGGTTATCTTTCAACTGGTTTTAAGACCTACTGAAATGACCACATTTGAGTAACCAGTGAACAGTGTTGATATTGTCTTTTGTTTACCTTTCTCTTCCCAATTTTTCTTATTCCGATTCCAAATTCCCACTCATCCTCCCAAAACTCCATGAATCCAAAACCATCCTTGCTTCCATGCACCCCCCCCCCCCTCTCATTGATCTCATGTTTTCTCATTGTTCCTCACATTTCCTGTTTATACTTTTGATAATTTTGATGGATTAATTTTTGTATATTTTCATTCTGTTTCATGGTCTTCTTGTCCATTCTTTTGTAATCCCCAATGCTATTACTTCAAGTACTGTTTTGTTGTGCAAATTCTCTGTTGACCCTTATTCTTTCAATTTTTGCTTTCAATAAACTCACCGTCTCTCCGAAAACTAATCTCAAAATGATTGTTGCGTTCCTCACAATTTTCCTTTATCATTCCATAATTCTAATCAATCTGCATATCCCAAATTTCCCCTACATGTCTTAACAATAACATCCCTCTTCCCAATTTACCTGTCTACATGCATCCCATTCGACCTCTCCACCAACTTTCATATCACCCTTAATTCCTTGAATCAACTTTGCTCCTCAATGTACCCCCTCACGATCCACCGCTCTGCCAACTCTACCTACCAAATTTTTCATATTTCCTGTCGTAAAATGCCACAATCCATCTTACGTCTGCCCCCATTATTATATAACATCATCTATCCTGAAACTAATGCCCCTCCCCCCTCCATTCATCATGTCTGTCGTACTCCTCCCACCTGCATCTTCCCTGCATCACCTTGCACCCCATGGTTCCTCTCTCCCAACTCATGCATGCAATCCATAATCAACCTGTCTCTGACTACCACCTTTCTACCCCCATGCACCCCTCTCATATCAACCCCTCTATCTCTCTATTACCCCACCCTTCTACACCACTCCTGCATCCCCATATACCCCTTCTGGTACCCCTCTGTACTCCTCTGATACCCCTTTCACCCCTATCTACCACCCTCCTGGCTCCTCTCCAACGTACCCCTTGTAGGACATTAACAGTGTCAGCCAGTATGAAGCGGGCGTCGCCATGGCAGGGCTTGCATGTTTCACCTCCCCTGATATTGCCAGAGATCTGGCCAATGACCTCATGAGTCTGGTGAGTTGATTTGACCCCTTGAATCCTACATGAATTACCGCTGACCTCCCACTGTCTTTCTTGTCAAGGAGCTATATATGGTATACAATTTGTGCTATTTGTTTTTTAATGTTTTGTTAATAGTAATGTCCTAGACATTTGCAATATATTCATACGTGTAGATTTATATATTCCTATATATTCAAATTTGTTCATATATACTCATGTGCATTGTAGTGTTACTAGTTAGTACTTGTTCTGCAAAGTATTAGTATTCTGATATATATTTATTTATAATTGAACTTAAGATGAATTAAAAATGCTTTTATGATATTTGGAGTACAAGGTGATACAAAACAAATCTAAGTGGAACATGTACAGTATTAAGTTTTACTGTAAAAGCCATGTTTCAAATTGTTTTAAAATGTTATATTTGAACTGGTCATGTTTATTTCCATTGACACTTTTGGACTAACAAATGTGTTGGAAGTAAAGGAACCAATTTAATTTTGTCTTCAAAAGTAATGTAGCTTGGAGTGCATCAAATGAGTTAAACAAGTTCTTCTGAAGAAAAAAATAACATATATACATACATATTGATATTTATATAGCGTCTTTACATAACATGCTTAAAGCGCTTTACATTAGTAAAATGTATGGAAATATAATACCTTATTCCTTTCATTTATTGCAAAAATATTTGTCATTCTTCTAAATGTGCTTGTGTCCTTGTATTCTTTGACTGAAGATGGCATCTACAAGGCCTTATATCAGGAAGAAGGCAGTGCTCCTCATGTACAAGATTTTCCTCAAGGTTGGTGGATTTATAATACTTGATTTACTACCCGACTTACCTGGTGATATTATTGAGAAAGTTTTGCCTTAATTGTATGTCTTCAGCTTAAGGCTGCGACGGGTAGTCGAATGCTCGAGTACCCGCACGGTTGACAACTACTCGGGTACGATTTCTTGTACCCGAATATTCGGCCGCAATAAAAAAAAAATTTAAAAAAAAAAAAATGTCCCGGCCCACGCTTACCCGTGCCAGGGAGAGCGGCGTCCGCTGGCATGGTACCGTGGGTAAAAATGTTTCCCAACTCAAGCACTGTCAAACTCACCTTTCAGAAACTGGGACCAAATGTCCAGATTTCTGTTTGGACTTGGAGGAAAATGGATTATTCTGCCATCTTTGGTTTTTAAAACAGCATTGTTTACTGTTATTATTCTTATTAAATAGGCGCCTTCAACTGCAACTCAAAGTAAAGTATGCGTTTTCAGCGAGGGACCTGAGAAACTGCCGAGTGGTATGGTAGTGGCAAAAAAAGAAAAAAAAATCCAAAAATTAAAAAATTAAAAAATTAAAAAAAAATCAAAAAAATTCAAAAAAATTCAAAAAATTCAAAAAAATTATAAAAAAACATGGCGTCCGAATATTCGAGTATTCGCCTGTGAGCCTGGGAGTGTACTCGGGTACCTCATTACACTGTTGTGCACAGCCCTACTTCAGCTAAATATTTTACTTGTACTGTACATATACATTCCATTTCATCTAAATTGGGTGGCTATCTGCATTGTTATTTTTGTTGCGTTAACAATTATGCATTTCTTGTTAGCAAATGATGATTTAGAAGAAAAAAGAGAGAGATGGCACATAATATAATGACTAGCTCAATGACTATTAAGATAAAACTTAATGTTAACTGTTTAATATCAAGAATACTGACCATTGAGTTTAAACTACTGTAATTTACGGTGTATTAACCGCACCTTTTTGCTGCCAAAAAAAGTCGGGGTGCGGTTTATTGATTTATTCTCCTCCACCTGGCGCTATGCTCAGCTCAGTAATCGGTGTGTTGACTCACCACTTGGAAACTAGAACAACACTCAAATTTGTCTGTCATCTTGGTTTGAAGGTAATCTTTCTGATAGATTTCAATATGTAGTTTATAATAATTCCTCCAATTTTTCTTCTATTACACAGCGTACCACAAGGTTCTATCCTAGGTCCTCTACTGTTTTTTAAGTCGGCCAAAAAAAGAATTTTTTTATTTTTTTATTTATTTAAAAAAATAAATATTTTAGGGCGAAAAAGAGGGGTGCGGTTAATACACAAGGGCGGTTTATACAACGTTAATTACGGTATAACATCCTTCAAGTGCATTAGTGACAAGTCCTTCTTGTTTTTTTGTTTGTGGGAAATTGCTGTCAACAATATCAATATCATTGTGATATTCTGTACAGGTAAACATTGTTGCTGATGGATTTAAATTGAGTTATAAACATGTGTTTATTTTTCATTTGCCTTTTGCAGTTCCCTGATGCACTGAGACCGGCCTTCCCAAGGCTGAAAGAAAAGCTTGAGGATCCAGATCCAGGTAATGTAACATAAGGACTCACTGAATCAATAATTGTGGAGATGCGATGGCTCAGTGGTAGAGCAGTGGTCTCGTAACCGGGAAGTTCCGGGTTCAAAACCAAGTCGATGCCATTGTGTCCTTTGGTGAGGCATTAATCCTCATTACCAAGTCCCTCGGAGAAGACTCAAAGCCCTTGGTCTTCTGGTTGCTTACTTACAGACTAGCATAGCCGGGTAATGTTGGAGCGCCTTGAGGACCTTTGCAAGGTCGATACGTGCGCTATATAAGAATCCAATATTATTATTATTATTATTATTACACATGCTTTCTTAGCAGTCAGGTGAAACAAAACCAAACCAAATGAATGTTAGAGTGACTACTTTTTATAGCAAGTCCAGTATAGCAGCTGCCTATAACATATACATGTAACTGTATATAGTAGCCACTTGTTTCCTTCCTGTTTAACGTGAATTAGAAATCACTGAATTCAGACCTTAACTTGTTGCTTCCTATATAGAAAGGCAACTGCACAATGTAGGGCATGTCCCCTTAACTTTCTTCCAAAGGGGATTTATCCTGGTGATATGCTCAGAATAGTCGGGTTTCTAACCTAAGCATTGGACACTAAAGGGTCCTACAGATATGCAATGTTTTTTTAAAATATTTATGATGACATAAAGTGTAAGACCCCGTTCTCACTCACTTTGAAAGTGGTCTTAGTTAGACCGCTCCAGAGGAACAGGTCTTGAGGAACGGTTTGCGAGCGTTCACACTCCGAGCAGTTTTTTTATGGCTCAAACCGCTCCACGAGTCAAAGTGGTCTTGTTGCTATGGCAGCTCAGGTCAGCAGGTCAATTTTTTCGCGCGCGGAATACAAACCATATGTACCGTACTACATGTTTCGCACGGAACGTCACTAGCTCACTTCCGCTCAAAGTACGCTTCCATTCACATTGCACGTTAGAGCGGTCCAAACTGCTCTTAATAAGACCCGTTCCTCAAGACCATCTCCGGAGGTTGTCTTCTGGAGCGGTCCAGAAGTCCACTTGCTGGACCACTTTGACCATTCTCACTCACCTAAGAACCGCTCCTGAGGAACGGGTCTTAGTTAGACCGCTCCAACGAAGTGAATGAGAACGGGGTCTAATACGCTTCACATTTCCGTATCTTATAACACAAAGCAAGTGCTCTGTTGCACGCAGTTCAAATTCATTCACATGTTACAAAACACTGCACCATATCTGAACAAGCCTTTACTCTGTCGACATAGGAAACGCAGAAACTTGCTCATAATAATAAGTATAGGCATTTCTATAGCGCCGTCTATCTAGAAATGCTATTCCATGGAGCATTAATTATTACTCCGGCTTTAGCCTAGCTGCCATTACAGCGCTCTAGCGTTTTAAGGAATAGAATTCCTGCCAGGTACCCATTTATCTCACATGGGTCGAGTGTGGCAAATTGAGATTAATGCCTTGCCAAAGGACATTAGTGCCGTATCGGGGATCGAACCACGACCTTTGAATTGCAAGTCAAGTGCCGAAACCACTCGACCACGACACTTCTACGATGGGTATTCTTTTCATGAGTCCGCTTTGTATCATCAGGTATTAATGTTACCATGGAGAGAATGGTGGATTTTTTGAGGGGGGGGGCTGACTTAATACTTGGCATCGTCTGTTTTTACTCCACAAAATGAAAAATAAAAAAATCCATTTCAATTCTTTGGTCTAGAAGATTTACATAACATTTTGATGCAACAAAGTAGTCAATCTTCATCCAATTCTTTTCCTGGCCTCATTGCAGGTGTCCAGTCTGCAGCGGTGAACGTAATCTGTGAGCTGGCCAGGAAGAACCCAAGGAACTACTTATCACTCGCACCACTATTCTTCAAGCTAATGACATCCTCTACCAACAACTGGATGCTCATCAAGATCATTAAACTGGTAGGAAATGGAATTATGTATGTGTTGAAACATCTCTCAGCTGTCCCGTTTGATGGCAGTGGCTTAGAAGTCATTGAGCAATCGCAACATATTTGTAAAAGCCAATATTTTCATAGTTATGTAATGAAGTCATCTCTGAATGTTGTCTGGGTTTCGTCGCAACTAACTCATCACCATTTTTTCATCCCTTTTTCTTTAAAGTGTGTGCCAAGTATGTTGAACAGTTTCAAGGTCTTAAACAAATCATGTTTTTTAGTAAATATGGACTTAGTGACATGAATATGAAAATTATGATTTTTTTTAAAATTCACCCAGAAACTTTCTGTGGATTTGCGATGGTTGTTGATTTACTAATTGATTTTATGTACATGCTTTGTTTTATTCTTCTTTGGCAGTTTGGTGCCCTCACACCATTAGAGCCTAGACTCGGAAAGAAGTTATTAGAGCCCCTCACCAACCTCATCCACAGGTAGGTACTCAAGCATTCTTATAATACACACAAGTATTAGAGCAGACCCTAATCATTGTTATGACCAGGGCCACTTATTACAAAGAGTTGATATCAATCCCAAGATATTTGCGATTCATATCAATCGCAAGTATGTACATAAGAGATAGGAGACTGCAAACTTGCGATTGATTTGGAGGACTTGCGATTGATTTGGATCAATCGCAGCTCTTTGTAAGATGGGCCCTGGGATCTGGGCCCGCATGTTTTTATAAAACGTGTTATCAATAACAAGTTCCAATAACTGTCATAAGCTACTAAAATCGTGGCATTTGATTGGCTGAAAGCATATCTGTCATAGAATTTCAGTATTTGTTATTGATGACAAGTTTTATGAAACCGGTTCTAGATCAGTACATAACATCCTTAGCAGAAATCCTGTGTGCAGGGAGAAAACTGTTGTGATCTGAACGCACCAATCCCTGAAACCATTCACTACCTATTGAACTTTTACACTATTTTGGTCATCCCTTGATAGTTTACCCTTGTATTTAGTATCGAATTAGAAGCTAATTGTAGTGTCGATTGTGATAAACTCATGATTTGCTTAGAAAATACATGTAAGACTTACAATTACTGCGGACATTTATTTGAAACTGTAAATAGAAAGAGCTTGATTGACAATACTTCTGATCAAACATGAACCCCTACTGCAAAGGTTCATTACTTGATATATATTGTACATGTAGGTCAAAAATTGTGCTGGATTTTGATCTACATTTTGTGATAACTTCAAGCAGTCTAAATATACGAATAGTGTAATAATTACTAGGAAATTTGGGCTCGTAATTGTAATACCTTTCTTTCATATTTGCTTTGAAATATCATATTTTGGGTCCACTTTTGTACTATTCATGGTTGATTCTGTTTCATGTTTTGGGTCACGTATGCCTTTACTTTTCAGCTAATAATTTGCATGCGTTTATTTGATCTCAAACACAGACATTAATCTCTCTCATATCTCTCTATTTTCCCACACTGCAGTACTTCAGCTATGTCCCTGCTGTATGAGTGCATCAACACAGTTATATCTGGTAAGAACAGCTAAGCTCATGAAATTAAAATTTCAATCTCATTTTTAAGAATCTGCCCCCCCCCCACACCATTTCCTTGATTAAGTTCATTGATCGATCAAATCAACTTTAATATCCTGTTATGCGATTCACCATAAAATACCTGGCAACAGCAAAACAGCTATCTTTTTTTGTCTGGAACGCCTGAATTTATAACTTTTTTATGAAAGAAAGAATTGAATTACTAAATATTAAATATGTAAATAGAAGCAAATATTATGCTAGTCTTGTTAATTGTGGAAGTTCCTGGAAGTGATCTATTTTAATTGACACATTCTGTTATGTCATCTATATTTGTTAAATTCATAAACTGTGTATCTTAAATAAATAAAAAGGAAAGGTGGTGTAACAAATGTTGGGATAGAGCTAAAGAGATATTTTCACTGATCTACAAATGAATGAGCACCGTTTTGGAGAATAAGTACCGGTAATATGAAATTCCTACTAGTTATTAGGAAAAAGAAGAGAAATTTATATTTTCTCTTTTGTCACTTTAGGCCAATACTGTCACTCATGTTTGTCATGTAATGTTTTTCATTCTGTTTGAATTTTTATTTCATTTCCATTTCATTATTTTCACTTCAGTTTAATTATACTAATGAAATATATTCTTTTATACAGGGTTATTATTTTGTTTACATCAGGCCTATGGGAAGTGATTGAAGGTTTGCAATTTTGTTCTTCCACCTTTTTCTCTCTCTCTCTCCCTTCTCCTTACCCCTCATCTTTTCTTCCATCCTTTCCTCCTTGGTTTTATCCTATTTTCATTTTTTAAAACTATCTTCTGATAACCTGCAGTTTTGATTTCGTTGTCTTCAGGAATGCCAGATCACTCTGCGTCGATTCAGGTAAATTGGCAACATTCCTTGTTATTGAGAATGGGGTGCTGTAAGAATTAGTTCTTGGTGTGTGAAACAATGCTACAACTCATGCTTGAACACTTATCATTAGTTAAGAGAGAGAGGGAGAACTTTGTTTACAGACTTCATCTATATTCTTGAAAAGTGCTAGATATGCAAGTTGTGCAACATATTAGATATCATAATATGATATGTATGCAATTTTTTTGCCATTGCAATTTCAGTAGCAGAAAAGTTTAAAATAAAAGATGTGACACACCGCTCAAGTGAACAGCTGATAGCCAGTGATTAAAATTGAAACAAAAACAAACCAAACTAAGAAAGAAAGGTCATGTATTGCATGCATAAAGTACTACTGGCATGCTGGCGCAATTAAGAATACGTTTTACAACATTGAAACTAGAAAATGAAGGAAGTTATCATTTTTCACTGGAATCATTTGCGATAAGCTTTTCAAATCTATTTTGAAGAAGAAAAAAAAATGATAACAAAGTTCTCTCCTACTCTCATTTCTCTCTCATCAATGGGGCATGTAGAATCCAATTTTTACTTTAAAATAAAAGTTAGAAATATTCATGCTCTTTTATAAGATGACTCTATTCATTTATAGCACACACATTAGTGCATGCTACATTTACAATACATCTCTGTAGCTGAAACTCTCTTCTACCTCTCCAATTTCCCCAACATTGATGTCCTTTATTATTACAAGTAATACCCTAAATTTTTTGAAGTGCTACTAACGGCATAATTATATTTTAAAAAAAGAGCAAATAATTACTTGCACAAAGCTTTGTATTAAAAAGCTAACTGCCCTAATATTCTTCTTACTTCCTCTCCCCTATGAAATATAATATGTTATTATGTATTGCATAGCCTTTCATATTGTATGTATAATTTATTATCTACAAGTGTGTATTCATATATCTGTAAATGGATATATGATATCAAATATTTTTTGTTTAGGTGGTGGGGAGGAGAGGGAGGGTCTTCTTTGTGGCTCCTTAGGTATAGGTTTTAGTATAGAGCGGATGACAAGTTGGTGAAAATACAGGGCGTACAGTAGGCTTATATGGAATTGGAACTTTTACTGTTAGTAAATGGGTGCCAGTGGAGTTTAGGTAAAGACATTATATAAATTATTCCAAGACTACTGGTAGGTACTCCAAACAAGTCAAAAAGAACTAATTTTAGTCACATGGCAAAGATTCAAACTTAACCAATACATATATGGCATGTCATATATACAGGAAGGTCCCAAGATTATTAGTACTTTAAGATATATCACTTTTGCACAAGGCAAAAGAGTACTTGACTTCATTCACATGGTGATGGTACAATTAGAGGTGGAATTAATTGAAGGGGTATCATCGGGGCATGTGGGAGCTTGCATTGCATGCATGGAAGAAACTCTTAAGCCCTCATCATTTCTGATGTTCCTTTCGTCATTGTCCCTCTCAGAGCATGGGGTGCGTTCACCAATTTCAAACATTGTTGTTTGTTCGACAGATAAGTTATGGATGATTTCACGATGTATGCATGCCCTCTCTTGCATTTATTCCACTTTGAGAAAGGGAAATAAGAAAAAACAAAGAGCTTTTACTTTTTGTGAACAATCAACATGCATGTACATTTACATGTATGACAGTCCAGAGTTTACAGTTTGAATTTCAGAACGTTTGTACCGTTCAGAATTTTGTTTGAGACCCTGATGGAAGGGCTGTTTTCTTGATGATTGGCAATAATGAAATATATGTAACCTGTAGAAGGCCTGAAATTATTCCTTATTCTGTATGACTTACAACTTTCTGAGGCAGTACACCAAGTTATTATAATAATAATAATAATACATGAGATTCATATAGCGCCATTATCCATTTTAATTAAATGCTCAAGGCACTTATAGGCATTTCATTTGTGAAAAATATATTATTCCCTGTAAAAGGACATTGCAAATGATATAGTTTGATTTCAAGGACCGAAGTGGGACAACTGTGTAGGTTTTATCAAATGTAATTTGTTATGCTCCACGTAGAGGGTTACGAATAGACGATAGCATATAGCATAGCAATAGTTGTGACATGTGTACCCTAGTGGGTCATATGTTAAAATCATGGAGCTCCGAATTGTAGTTCCCTCCCGCATACAATCTCTATGGGAGGGGAACATTTTTGGAGCTCCATGAATGAATGGCCAATCAGAAGCAACTTCCAGTGATGCAACTATGTCTCTCAACTAGCTATGAGTGTTCATGAAGGTCATCAGTAATGTAGTGTTTCAATGGTAGCGCACTCATTGGCATTGATTACAGTTTAGACAACCATAATTGTGCACCATATGGAAACTCATCTAACCATGGAGTCTGTCACACTGTGTTAGGTAGAGAGTTACATGGTGTAATGAAAAGTGGGTCAGCGGTGACTGAGGTCGTGCCATCAAATGCTCAGTTTTATCGTCATTATTCTCCTATCAGTGACAGGTCTCATAAATATTGTAATTGTTTTTGTATGTTTGCAGATTGTAAATAACTGCAATTAATCTGGTGTTTACGTGACACAAAACTATTAATGCACACTTTATTGCTAAACGAAAAGAATAATTATACTGCACCCAACTAATGATGCATAACTTTTATTATTGAGTGAAAAAAATATTCTGTATTTACACCTAATTAATGATGCAATCTTTTTGAGTGAAACAAATATGATTTACCCAAACTAATGATTCAAAACTTGTATTATTAAGTGAAACAAATGAAAAATGTGCACATACTCTCTCTATAACTTTGAATTAGCTCATGTTGTAATTGTGCAGTATATACATGTACAAAAAATGCTCTAATTTTTCTTAACATCTTATTTCTATGTTGTAGTAAATGTATCTCTATACTGTCCTTCCATTAGAGCTGCATTAAGTTTGGTATCATTTAGACTATGATATTTTATGTAACTAGTTAACTAATTGTCTTGTAAATCCAGATTAAGAAAATTTCTTAGGCATGTGCTTTTATTTATTAGAAAACTTCATTCACACAGTACTTAAATATATTTTTTAAACAATACATAGGCATAATTATTAAAAATATAGAAAAATAATGTTATTAACCCTGTGAAGGAAATTCTGGACGATGCTGAAAGAAATTATGATTTTAACAACAAGTTGTTTTTACATGAAATCTAAATTTATTGGAGTTGTATTACTAAAGCTTGAATGTAAAGTAAAAAACAACAACAAATTTTTCAAAAATACATGTCTAAAATTCTTTTTATCCTGCCTAACTATGAGACTGGTACGTATTCAGTTCATACTATGACTTTGTAATGTTATTTCTTTATCAATGGCTGTTCTATTTAATATCGTGGTATGTTTTTATGTATATATGTTCTTTATCTAGCTATGTGTGCAGAAACTGAGGATTCTCATTGAAGATTCAGATCAGAATTGTGAGTATTCATTTTCTTCATCCTTTAGTACTACGAGTAATTAATTTTGATGTCTATCTCACTAGTTTATTTAATTTCTCTATGAAATAATAGGATTATGAAGTATTAATTCATTTGAGAATCTTTGATCAAATAATTCTGTATTTGTAAAAAGTAAAGACAAGTCATTGTACTAAATATGGTATGCTTATCGGTCTTTGATTTGGTAAAATGCACACCATAGACAATTTGGTAGAAAAGTCCTGCTCTTTATGAACACCATGCATACCTTGATATATATGGTAATCATCTTTTGTTGGTTTGACTTCAATTAGATACAGAGGCAGTGACTCAGTGACATTTTTTGAAGTATTGTACACCTACATGTACATGTCTTACAGAATGATGATATTGTTTGCATTTTGTTTTGCAGTGAAGTACCTTGGTCTGTTGGCCATGAGCAAGATCTTGAAGACACACCCCAAGTCGGTCCAAAGCCGAAAAGATTGTTTCTTAGACTGCCTGGATAATAATGACATGTCTTACAGAATGATGATATTGTTTTTGTTATGTTTTGCAGTGAAGTACCTTGGTCTGTTGGCCATGAGCAAGATTTTGAAGACCCACCCCAAGTCGGTCCAAAGCCACAAGGATCTCATCTTAGACTGCCTGGATGATAGGGATGAGTCCATCAGACTAAGAGCACTTGATCTACTCTACGGCATGGTAGGAACAGGGTGAAAACCTCTTCATTGGAAAAATTAAGTGTTTAAAAGTAAAGTGGGGTGGGACCTTCTGCGTGCAAGAATAATAAAAAATATAAATAAGTAGGTCTGTTGCCTGTGAGTAAAAGAAATTAGTTCAAAGCTAAAAGCCCCTCTCTGACATGATGGAAACAACTTGAAATGTTCTTGATTGAGTGTGTGTTTGTGTGGTGGTGGTGGTGTGGGAGGGGTTGGGGGTTCAAACTGCTGTTAAAAGGTGTCGAAGAAGAATCTGATGGGAGTCGTGGACATAGCGAAGAATCTGATGATTCACATAAACAAGGCAGAGGGATCGGTGTTCAGGGATACGCCTTTATCGACCGTGTTACCCCATTTTAAAACTTTGAAGTGCACAGCCTATATCTAGTGTACATTCTCACTCTGGGTAATGTAAAACTTGATTTAAAGGGAGATGGTCATCAGTTTCCTCGTGCAGAAGGTCATAAATTCACTGACACCTGACTTGGTGGAAATACCATTTATAGGTGTAAAAGTCTGCACACAGCAAACTCTTAGGCCAATCAAGAAATACAATCTTGTCTCTAGGAGAGTCTTCTTTGGGTGATGCAAATGTCAGATAATGACTTTATCTTATGGGGGAAAAGGCAGAGCATTACATAAAGCCTGTTGGTCATAAAACTGAAGGCTAATCCTGCTAATTGATAACACCTGTTATTGGGTAAACACCCGAACAGTGTCACATTCCTCATGAGAGCCCACTTCTATGTGTCTTTAAATCTTGACCCTAGGTATCAAAGAAGAATCTGATGGAGATTGTGAAGAAGCTGATGGTTCACGTGGACAAGGCAGAGGGATCGGTGTACAGGGATGAGCTTCTAGCTAAGATACTCGAGATCTGTAGCCAGAATAACTACCAGTACATCATCAACTTTGAGTGGTAAGATACATTTTGGATAAGTTATTTTTCATTGTACATACTTCTCTTTCATTTCATGGTACACCTTTTCTTATCTCACTTTGTGTTTCTTATCATTCTGTAATCATATAATAAGGTAATATATTTGGGCTTAGGAACTGTTCCCTGTCTATTTAACACCATAAATAAGAACCCCTTTTCATCTTCTCCTATTCTGTGGTACATTTCAAAATATAATCATGCAATCATAGATTGTTGATGGTGGGGGAGGGGGGGGGGGGGTTGGGGGTCAATTTATATCTGTTTGTTTTAGTCATATTTCTATACTGTACTATTGCTGTCACTGTAGCCTAAATGAAAATGTCTAATTTAATTTCTTTTCTATCACATAATAATGACCACTTTTATGTAGCTTTAAGAACACCACACAAATGGTACATTTTGAATACTGGAGTATCAAATCATATTACATGTTTATATGAATATTGTCCATATATTCTCTTCAATCTATTACATTATATTCTCTTGTAAGTAGGCAGTGTAAACATTTTTTATCTTATAATTCGTGTTTAGGTATGTGAGTATCTTGGTAAAGTTGACAAGGATAGAAGTTACATACATGTATTACTGGTTATGTTTATATACATATTGTCCAAAATGTTGTCTTCAGTTTATTATTCTGTATTCTCCTGTGGGTAGGCAGTGTAATCATTTTTCTTTCTTGATTCTTGTTTAGGTACGTGAGCATCTTAGTAGAGTTGACGAAGATAGAGGGCACCAAACACGGTCACCTGATTGCGTCTCAGATGCTGGATGTAGCTATCAGGGTCAAAGCTATCAGACCCTTCGCTGCCAGACAGATGGTAAGATGGCTGTTAATTTTTTAACCCATTTGTGATAATCTTTAATTTAAAAAACAATTATTATTTAATATGTGTTTCAAAGTGGTAAAATTTGAGTTATCTAGGTTTTGGTAGATGACAAATAATGTTGTTGAGTAAAAACATTAACATGATTATGGGATTGGACTACAATTGAAGAATAGCTTTAAATACAGACATTTACAAACGTTTGAAGCTTTTCTTTATCAGAGTAAAATGCAAAAAAGGAACAGAAGGTGAAACAATGCATGCAGAAGAGATAACAAGGTCTGATTGACCTACACAAATGATAGGAAGCTAGCCTTGATTACCAGCAGGTATATGAGGCTATATTGAATAGAACTGGGGAGTGTTTCACAAAGACTAAAATCAAATTTAAGTTAGACTTAAATATGACAAGCCATTCATGCCACTGGTTGCTCTCACCATTGGTCTCTCAATTATGATCTTTAGATGATATTTTTTCCTTCAATAATGAAGTTTTAAAAAATCCTAAATTCTACAGATGTGTGACAATGATTTGTACGTCCCTTGAGAGACCATCGCCAATAAATGGTGACAGCAAACACTGGCATGAACGGCCAACCAACGTTAAAATCCAACTTAAAGTCAATCTTGGTCTTTGTGAAACACCCCCCTGAACTCCTTTCTCATAATATGGTATGAAACACTGAATAAATAGAGAGATTGAAATCAGAAAGTAGAGTGTGTGATGGGAACATTTTAGTTCTTGCCGGAACCCTGGTCGACATCCACGCAATAATGATTACATTCGTTCACGACAGGCCACCTTACTGGAGAACACCCACCTGCTCATCGGCACTGCGGCGCAGAGGAACGGCATATGCGAGGTGCTCTACGCCGCAGCATGGATAGTAGGGGAGTTCCCCGAATACCTGGCCCAGCCGCAAGTCACCCTGGAGAATATGCTCAAGCATAGGGTCACGGTCCTACCGGGCCATATACAAGTGAGTTATCCTTACAATTTTCTCTGTTCGTAGATTTAGAATCATCAATATGCTCAAGCACAGGGTGACGGTCCTACCAGGCCATATACAAGTGAGTCTATCCTTAGGATTGTCACCGTTTGTAGATTCATAAACATCAGAATGTACTGTGTTTATGAAAATCATGAGATTTAGGTCTCCGACTCAATTTATGGAAGTGGACTTCTATGAACCTAAGCTTGTTACTAATATCTTCTCTACCACTGAGCCATCGCGCCTCACTCACTCCTAGTTACATTGCTTCTTCAGCAATAATAATAATAATTTTCCGCTTTTATATAGAACTTAATACATCTACGATGTCTCTAAGTGCTGCACAGATACACTATTACCTCGGTTATTGGATTGAATGCTTGCCCGTACACATTGTGTGCACAATCTCCACTCCCTGGGGAGTATTCCAGCCAGGTGTTACTGACCAGCAATATTGAAATGCCGACTTGCTCTCCTTCTTCACAGGGCATCTATGTGCAGAACATCCTGAAGCTCTACAGCAACATCCTGGTGAAGATGGAAGAGGACGATAGCAAGGAGGACGTGGTCAGAGTAACCCAGCTCCTCATCGAGAAGCTTCCATCTTTTGCAGAGAGTGCAGACCTGGAGGTCCAAGAAAGGGTAAGACAGCATTAATAATAATAATATGGATATTTATATAGCGCCGGTATCCGCCAGGCTCTGACGCTCATGACCCTTTACACATATTACCCTGATTATAGCCAAGCTGCCAAAGTAACTAGCGCTCAAGCATATCAGGTACCCTTTTACACCTGGGTTGAGAGTGGCAAATGTAGATTAATGTCTTGCCAAAGGACATTAGTGCTGTGGCGGGACTTGAACCCTGTACCTTGTGATCTGCAGTTTGGTGACTTTTTGTTGGTGAACATCGTAGAGGTGTTGTGGTCCATCAAGTGGATAAATCTCTGAACTGTGCACCGCAAGGTACGGGGGTTCAAATCCCTGCCACAACACTAATTTCCTTTGGCAAGACCTTAATCTACGTTTGCCACACTCCACCCAGGTGAGGTAAATGGGTACCTGGTGGGATTATTCCTTGAAACGCACTGCTCGCTAATTAGGCTGCTGGAGCTAAAGCCAGGGTTATAATTTCTAAATCTCTTTGGAAGCGCATAGGGATGTTGTAACATAATTTGTCAAGCGCTACACAAAAACGGATAATAATTATTATGCCCCTGTATTTTTACAAGCTGCTGCTGCCTCTTCTCAAGTTAATGTACAAGACTCATTCAGGGCAGGATGCAAGGTCTGGCCTTGGTGTTAAACCCTTCCATGGGAGTGTTTCACAAAGAGTAAGATTGACGTTAAATTGGACTTTACTATGGAAGGCCATTTGTGCCACTGGTTGCTCTCACCGTTATGATCTTTAGAAAATACTTTTTCCTTTAATAATGCATCATCAAATAATGTAAATTCTGTAGATTTGTGACCACGATTTGTACGCCCCTTGAAATACCAATGCCAGTAAATGGTGAGAGCAAACAGTGGCATGAACGGCCTGCCATAGCTCTTATCATGCCACAGGGCTAATCCCTATTGTGCCAAGCCCCAAATCCCCCCGTGCCAGGTTGTTTTGGAGATAATCTGATTAACGCGATGGTTCTATGAATGGCGAGGGCAAAACACACAGCACGGTCCAATGAGCATGAACAATAACTGCTATTACGAATGCTGCATTGCACGCACATGGCACTCAAGCGTTGGATCTCTCGCATGTACAAAGCACTATAGCGATAGCGTGCATGCAGCCTTATGGCAGGCTATGAGTTAAGTCCAACTTAAAGTCAATCTTAGTCTTTGGGAAACACCTCCTTGGTCTTTGGAAGTACAGTATCTATTAAGCAGTATTTCCATGCACTTCATTTGTGGTTTAATCCACTTTCAATATCATGTTCTTTTTATGCCTCCGTTACGAAGTATCCGGAGGCATTATGTTTTCGGGTTGTCTGTCCGTCCGTCCGTACGTCCGTCCGTACGTCCCGTTCTCGTGATCGCGTTATCTGAAGAACCGATTGATGGATTCCTGCCAAACTTTGGTCATGTATGTATCTTGCAGAGACGATGAACTGATTAGATTTTGGGGTCACAAGGTCAAAGGTCACAGGGCTCATTATGTATGCAAAAACAGCTCGTGATCGCGTTATCTGAAGAACCGATTGATGGATTCCTGCCAAACTTAGGTCATGTATGTATCTTGCAGAGACAATGAACTGATTATATTTTGGGGTCACGAGGTCAAAGGTCAAAGGTCACAGGGCTCATTATGTATGCTGAAACAGCTCATGATCGCGTTATCTCAAGAACCGATTGATGGATTCCTGCCAAACTTAGGTCATGTATGTTACTTGCAGAGCCGATGAACTGATTAAATTTTGGGGTCATGAGGTCAAGGTCAAAGGTCATGCGGCTCATTATGCATGCAAAAAATAGCTTGTGATCGCATTATCATTAGAACAGATTGATGGATTCCTCCCAAACTTAGATCATGTATTTATCTTGCAGAGCCAATGAACCGAGTAGATTCTTGGGTCATGAGGTCAAAGGTCAAAGGTCATGGGCTCATTATGTATGCAAAAATAGCTTGTGAACGCATTCTCATTAGAACTGACAGATGGATTACTATTTAACTCGGGACATCTTGCAGAGCCAATGAACTGAGTAGATGTTAGGGTCATGTGGTCAAAGATCAAAGGGTCATATATGTATATGAGAAATTGCTTGTAATCACGATATTCTGAGAACCTGTTAATGGATTACAATTGAACTTGAATTTGAACAATTTCTTCTGTTTTGGTTTGTAAAATTGCTCTATGACGGAGGCATCATTTCGACTGCGCGCAGTCGAAGTTCCATCTAGTTTCATCCTTATCATGCTATTTGATCCCTTATCTCCTGTCCAGGCATGCTGCATCCTGCAGCTGTTGAAATACGTCAACAAGCTCCTGGAGAAAGATGAGTGTGTGGCCACAGAGCTTGCTGATCTCTTTGTAGGGGAACTTAACCCTGTGGCGCCCAAAGCGCAGAAGAAGGTCCCCGTACCAGAAGGGTGAGTTTGACCTTGTTGGTCTCTAAATATGAATGAGGAGGTGCGATAGCTCAGTTGGTAGAGCAGTGGTCTTGTAATCCGATGAACCGGGTTCAAAACCGAGGCTATGCGCTATTGCCCTTTAGTAAGGCATTAATCCTCATTCTCGGGGAGGACCTAAAGCCGTCGGTTCTCTGGTTGCTTACTAACAAGCATTTATGTTTTCTTAGCAGTCTGGTAAAATAACCACCACTACTACTACTATAAAATCTACCATATTGATTACTTCAGATATGTACAAGGAAGAGATTTTTGTTTGTTTGTTTGTTTTGCCTGACTGTTCAGAAAGCATCTGGTTGCTTGTAAGTAAGCAACCAGGGGACTGACGGCTTTAAGGTCCGAGGGACTGGGTCATGAGAATTAATGCCTTACCAAAGGGCACAAGTGTATCGACTTGGTTTTGAACCCAGGACAATCCGGTCAAGAGACCACTTCTCTATCACTGAGCCATCGCCCCTCCCCATGGATTTATGTTTTTATGGCTAACCTGTTGTATAGGAACCTTCCTATCGAGGGAGGCGAGGATAAGCATTTCTTGAGTGTGTCAAATGTATTCGGGAAACTCCATATCTGTGCAGCGACAGAGGAAAGAGTGCAGAAGGACTCTACATTCATGTAAAAATTAAAAATTAGCATTTTTCTGTGGTTGAAGATGCAGACCAAATAACTATGTTTGTGCTGTCAGACCTGCCAACCAGTACGATTTAGTTGTATTTAGTACGATTTTTAGAAGCAAATACGACAGTACGATTTTCCTTAATAAAATACGATTTTCAAAACAATTTTTTTTTTTAATTTTTTTTTTAAAAATTAATATTTTGTGTGTGCGTCCGCCATTTTCAATGGCAAAATGTCCATTCTGTCCTGTAAAGTATCCTACAAGTATCTCACATCGGCAATTTGGGGATGATCATTGGTTCATCGAACACACCAGTCATGACAAAATCATGCATATTCAACCAGTGATCAATAAAAAAAATTCTTCCTGTAGGTAGAAACTGTAAGAGGCATTGATCCGCTTAACAATCCGTGTTTATTTTCAAGAATACAACTTTTGTCAGTAAAATACAACTTTTGGGACTAAAGAATACAGTTTTTGAACTCCAGAGGTTGGCAGGTCTGTGCTGTTGAAAATATGGACAATGTTCTTGGGAATACAGATACAGTCAAACCTGTCTAAAGCTACCGCCTTTGTAGACAGGTGGTCACTACCTCAAATTTGATTATTTGGATGCATGTTTCTATCTACTATTCTGTTAAAGACTGGACCTGGACAAGTGGATCAACGCGCCTCCATCCGACAGCTCTGATGAGGAGGTCACCATAGACACCATGTTCATCCATGATGCGCACAGGTAAGAATGGGATTTGCACACAGCCAATGTATGGTGATAAGGATGATCTTGTTAATAAAGGTATCGTTTAACAATGTTAAATCTGAGATGCATGGCCCTACATGTTATCAGTGTCTGTGATATGGTCTAATATTTAAAGGTACAATGTCCCATTTGCAGGCAAAAAAATGAAAAGGTTAAATTCCAATGGCATTTGAAAGATAATTCTAATTTAGAACTCCCCTTAAAAAAGAGGGCTTAAAAAGTGGGAAAATAACGACTATTGGTTGTCAAATCGACTTAGGAGCTATAGAGCCAATAAGTAACAGTCTTGATTTTTAGACCATTGTACCGCATGTTCGTACGTTTTATGCTGCGCAAAGATTCAATCAGTTTAATTTTGGCCATTACAAGAAGTGGGTTATTGATGTAGACAAATCCTTTACAGCTCATTTTATGTATGTTATTACCAAAGAAGAAAAAAAGCCAGTCAGTCACTCAATAGTGTCTGACAGTGAAGTCTAGCAAGTAAACGGATTTCCTTGCATAATTTGAATATTAGGACACTGTTAACGTTTAAATTTCACAGATAGGACATACATGACATATTCATGATTCCTGCAAAGTTCTACAGAATTTGAGTTTGGCTGCAAAAGGGACATAGTATCTTTAAGCCCTCAAAAAAGTAAAAATCTTTGAGTGACCGGTTTTACCATACTCATTTTCCCTAATAGACTGCAGTGTTATGAAAATCGTTAGGAAAACAAAAAATGAAATTTCGATTTCCAATCATAGATATCTTGATAATCAAACAGGCGATCGGCTTGTAAAAGTCATGGGATTCCTGACTGACTTAAGGTTTATAATCATGATTGCAGCATGAGCTAAATCCAGGTCACTTTAAGGTGATGATTTTCGTGACAATGTCACATCAAGATTGTAGTGGTGATCATCATCATGCTCGTTCACAGGTACCAACTTGACACCCAGAGTTGTATCGTAATAATTATCATGATGAAGGTAATGATGATACTGATGATGATGATGATGATGATGATGATGAAGACGACGACGACGACGACGACGACGACGATGACAGAGATTATGATTGTAACAATGACCATACCTCATCTTGTCCCCTTTCCACGCCAGGGTCAAGCACCAGAAGGAGGTGGTGTACGAGGTCCTGGATGAGGAGGAGCTTGAGAAGAGGCGGGAAGCGAGGCGGGTGGAGCAGGCCAGCAACCCCCATTACCTCAAGGATGATCGCAGCAGCAGCTCCAAGAAGAAAAAGCTCAAGGACCTCGCCGCAGAGAACGACGGTACTAACAGTATCCCGGTGGCTCAGATCGACCTCACCGTGCCTCTACACGTCCCAGGTATGAAGCTTCTTTTCTTTCCTTCTCTGGTAGTATTAAAACGAAGGTTGAGTTCTGGGAAGAGGTGTTTTTTCTGCGTACAGTGCTTGTTACTTTACCAAGACTAGGGCCAAATTTGATATCATTTTGATGATTCCAGAATCTTGTTGAATACTAAGATTCTTGGAATTAACCTGCTTGAAATGCGATGGAAACAAAAGTCAAACTACCTCTAGCGGGTGAAAGAATAATACCATTTTTAAACGTAACGTAGTTGGATAAAGATCAATTATCTGTTTAGAGCCAGATGGGCAGTGATGCATATCATTTCCGCAGGGTTAACGCCCTTCTGGCTCCAAACAGACGCAACGTTATAGAGGTGTCGTGGTCGAGTGGATACGTCGCCGGACTGTCGATCGCAAGGTCTGCGGTTCGAGTCCCGCCGCGGCACTTATGTCCTTTGGCAAGACATTGATCTACATTTGCCACACTCAACCCAGGTGATGTAAATGGGTACCTGGCAGGAATTAATTCCTTGAAATGCTGGAGCGCTGTATAAACGGCTGCTAGGCTAGAGCCAGGGTAATAATATGCCTCGGAATAGAATTATCTAGATAGATGGCGCTATAGAAATGCCTATTATTATTATTATTATATCGCTTTATTTGTTGCTTATGGCGTGAAAACCTAATTATTACCTAATGAAATAGGTATTTAAAAAAAAAAATAACATGTGGATCCAGAACTGTAGGGATGACATCACTCATCAAGTAATGAGGGCAAAATATACGGATATTGTTTTACATTTTCAATGGTTGCACATGACTCGTGGTATTGTATGATTGGTACCTTCTACTTTCTATTTAAAACTGGATGGACTATTCTCACTTTATCCATATTCAACCATACTTGCACAATCGCAACCTTCCATTGGACTTATTATCAAATGTATTTTGCCATCTTGTGTATCGTGTTCAATATTGTCCTCTCTTTGTATTTATTTCATATGTAATCTACCCAGTATCTTGCTTTTAATCTTCCTGTCCCACCAACTCTGTTTTTATTCAGTTCCGTAGTAATGTCCTTTGCACTCCTTCATTGTTACCCTATGGAATGGAATATGGCGTATATATATTTTGATTTTTTTTTTGTGAGTCTGCTCTTTAATAGCGATGGAGCACCAAGATTAATTAGGAGGAAGGTCACCAATTATTTGTTAAAGTTTGACAGTTTGAAACTTTGATTTTTATATTATTTTCAAAGACCCTGGAAAGTGTGTCCTGCAAAGGATTTACCGTAAATTTCAGTTAAGCTGTTTTGCTTCACACTAATTATGCAATGAACGCTTTTAGAAATAGAAAAGAGGCTTGAGAATGAAATGCCTTGAAAACACACACTGCCTAGCATTTCATTTTGTCTCTGTCTTTGCAAAGCAACATAACATATTAACCGAACAGGCAAAAAGCAAAGCCAGTTTGGCACTAACCCTTAAGACTGTGCAGTGGACGTTGCTACGGGCGTCAGATCCCCCCCTCTTTCATTTTCTCGCATAATCACGGTCCCCTTTCTTTCAAACTTTACTCGATTCCACTAACACACTTACACGATGTGTAGGCGTGAAAAAGGGCCGGCCTAAGCCCCCAGCATACGACGATATTCCAGGTGACTAAGTATGGTTCATAATAGCATGCTGCTCTTGCCAAAGCTCTCCCTGCTACTTCTTCTTCTCCTCCTCCCTCTCTTCCTTTCATAAATGCCTGTCTTTCGAAATAAAGGGTGCCACATAAATAGCCGCCCATAAACCTTGGCCCAAAAGACTTTATGAAAGACTTTTATTTAAAAATAATTGTTTGGATGTCACTGCTCACATCAAGTCATTAATATCATTTCCGGAGAGTGACCTTGCAAAGCTTCGTAGAATTTTGTTCTAAATGTTTTTTTTTTTTTTTAGCCTTTTAATAAAACCAAATTGATTTAGTTCTAATGATGCATACTCATCAACAAAGTAACTATCAGACTTGATTTTGGTTTTTTGAAATTCAATAATTCCAATGCGCTCTCCCAAATCATCCCTTTTTCCTGTTTATCCCAACATCTGCGCCTCTAAAACCGTGTACTATGCATTTATTGGGATCCTACAAAAAGAGTTTTGGACCTTCATGTGCATATATGCGGTATAGCTGGGTTAATGTAAGACTAAAATATAATATTTCCATTTTCTTCTTGCCCCAAAATGCCTCAATGTTATACACATATCCTCTGTCACTATATTTGATGTCTTTGCCACTGTATTCCCCTTTTTTTTTCAATTGACATTAGCCTTTAAAAATATTAAAAACTTGCTTTCAATGACAACTGCCATTAACAAAGTTGATCATAGTCAATCAAATGCAATGTCTTCAGAATATAATGATAATAATAATCTGGATTTACAGAACGCTAAATACCAAATACCATCTCTAAGCGCTATACAGATATTATGCTTATCTCAATCTTTGCAAATTGGATTTTGCAATGTTTTCTGAAACAGGGACTGTTAGCCCAATATGAAGATTGAACATAGTTGTACGCATGTGTGCCTTTCATCCTAAAACCAAAGATATTGCCAGATTGTAACCGTAGTCAAATGTTCATAATTAGACTACAAGATTATCAAATTCTTAATATAAATTTTTCAGTACAACAAACTCAACATGAACATTAAGCATGTCCTGCTCGATCTGCAAAGGATTTGGGGCACTTTCTATGGATTTGAGATAAAAAAAAATGTTGCATTTCTGTAACTCTATCATTCTGCAGACCTGGGCCCTGTCCTAAAAGATTTGCGATTGATCCAAATCAATCACAAGTTCTCTAATCAATCGCAAGTCTGCAGTCCCCCTATCTCTTATGTATATAGTTGCAATTATATCACTTGCAGGTTTAATTTAGGGCCCTGTTCCTCCACAGCTTTTCTGTTCTACCCTAGCACCTTGTCCCTTTAAATCCCTAGTTGAATATGACTCTACCCTGTTGAAGCATTGTGCTAAATCTCCATGTATGCAGTGAACATTTTATTTTTGAATTTTAACCTGCTTTTCCTTCCTCTTTTTTTGAAGTATTTGATTGTATGTGTGTTGTGCTGCTACGCTGCTTTTGTTGCTTGAAAGATCTAGCCCCTTCAACGTACGTGTAATGCTGATTCTACATTGTTTCATTTGAAGTTTTTTCCCTCGTTGAGTTGTACATGTATCAATGTTTGTTGGTTAGATCATTTGAACAACTGTTACCTGTGCTGATTTGACATTGTAAAAATGCTTTTTTTTTTAAAGAGTAGTAAATGTATATATCTGTAAGTTCTTACCTGTATGTGTTTCAGCAATTTTGTACTCCTTAGCATCAGAAGGCTGATGGACTTGGCTGAAATTAGTCTGATGTTAGAAGCAGTTATAAAACTGAAACTTAGTGTGTATGTGACCTCAACTGAAGTAGATGATTATTTTTTTTCAATTCCAGTTTTATTTAATCAGGGATTGCCTCTTCAGGTATCAAACTGCTATCAGCTAGGGCCCTTGACCACTTACAAAGGTCACTGAAATGTGCAGTTTTGCAGCAGTCACGGTTCTGACATGAGATTCAGGAGATTGTTTGTCATAGCCCTCCAGCAGAGACAAAGATTTAGAATCCACATTTGTTGTATTAAAGACACCTTACTGACTCCATCCATCCTAATCTCATTCCTTCCTTGTTTAATATCTGGATAATGCTTTCAAGATATGGAAGATGGCTTTGAACAGACTTGCCACCTCTTAGGTGGAGCTAGTAGAGACTATAAACCGTCTGTTCCTGGCTTGCCCTCTTGTATGTATTCCGCTTAATTCCTTCTGAAGAAAAAACAAATTGATTTTTTTTTTTTAGGGGATTAGTGCAAAGGGGCATGAGGATAAATGAATTTAGAGTCCTGCATGGCACTATCTACATGTATTTCTTTTAAAGAGTCATAAATCTTTCTATTGCCATCATTTTTCTGGTATAGCTATTTCTGCCTACAGTTTCATATCTATCTTGTAGTTTAGTTAGTAAAGGTTACTCCAGCAACGTTGTGTCTGGAGATTTGCTATAATTAATATTTGATACAAAAAAAAAAAACATTACATTACAAATCACATTTATATTTTCTCTGACTCTATGAAAGTTCTATTTTCTTGCAGACCTACAACTCATGCATTACATTCTGAAATATATCTGCAGATGTAAATGGTGCCACTGTTCAGAGTTTTGTTCCATACAAGATGGAAGAAAATGTTTAAAAATGAATAAAAGAATGGGATTGAATTATTGGAAATGATTTATTGCTGTCATCAGGCTGCATTCATTAATAGTTTTATCAACGGCCTTGCTACATTTCAATGCATAGTAAATAGAATCCTTTAGAATGTCTTTAGCAACCCCTTTTCCAGCATATTTTTTTCTTCTTTTTTTCTTGGGTTCTTGGTTATTCTGGCTTCTTCATTCTAGCAAATAATTAATTGCAGTTTTAAGAAATAGGAAGCAAACAATCATTTTCAACGATGCATTTTTTTTGACTGCTTAGTAATATAAAACATTGGTTATGCCATGGAACATACAATAATGTACCTGTATTCATGATTATGCACTCATGCCTTCTGGGTTATTGCATATTGAAGAGATGTCGTGAATTTGTGACCACTGACCAGCATTCTGAAAGATTTCATCAAGCTCCATCATGCTTCTTTGTGCTATGAATAATCACAAAGACTGCTCTCTTTGTAAACAGAATATTCCTGCACTTATAATTATATAAAGGTTAGGGGTCTTTCTTATAAAGAGTTGCTATTGATATCATTTACAACTATGTACATAGATAGGAGACTGCAAACTCAATCGCAATTCTTTATAGGACAGGCCCCAGATATGATCATGTACATAAATTATGTAGCAGGATTTGATAATGCCTAGTAAAACTTGTCCATGTTCACGTTGGTCAAATTAGCCCCTAATTGCATTTCAGACGAGATGTGTGCATGTTGGTGACAGAGGATTGCAAATGTGCGTTCCAGTACTAAAAATGAAGTATAGATATACTGTATAAACATTTTCGAACCTGCACGTCTTGTATGCAATTTGTTTTCATGTTTTGGTCCAGTTTGTGTGGGTTTGTTTTTGCCAAATCCAAAGTTGAATTTGTGGAAATTTGTGTGCTTCGATAATCGATTTGCTCATTGCCTTTAAAAAAAAATACTGTATGTTTGTATGTATGTACAATGTATTAGCTTTCCAGTAAAATGTAATCTGTGTCAAATATTTTAAAGATATCTACATGCTTTTACTCAATTTATCTTTGCTGCTTTATGGTGTCTTCAAATAAACTCCAATTTGTAGAATTTAGAAATTTGTTCATCATGTCAAAATATAGATCAGGATACAATGCATTTTGTTATCTTGCCTGCCACAAGCAATATATTTCTTCTCTTTTTTTATAGCACTTTGTCCATTTTCTTCTATACACCCTGTAGCTGCATAAGATGGTCAAAAACTTTATATTATTTCCTGGTAATTATTATTTATAAGATGTGCCATTACCAATACGTCTCTCTTTTCTTTTTTCTCTCCCCACATCTCTCAATTTCCTTCTTTGATTCCGTTGTCTATTTTCCTTTCCCTTTCCTGACACTTTCTATCCCATTCTTTCCTTTATCTGTCTCTCTTTCTCCTTCTCTCCATTTTGCTCTCTTTGTTTTTCTTTATATATCTCTCTCTCTCTCCCGTTCTCTGTGTCTGTCTCTGTTTCTCTCTCCCTGTATCTCTTTTTGTTTTTCTTTCTGTCACTTTCTCATTTTTACTTATCTCCAAATATCCCCTTCTCTCTGTCTGTGTCTTTCTCGCTCTCTCTCTCTCTCTCTCTCTTTCTCGTTCTCCTTTTACTTCCCCCTCTCTCTCTCTCTTTTTCTCTCCCTCTCTCTCCCTCTTTCTCTCCCATTCTTTCTCTCTCTCGTTCTCTCTCTCTCTCTCTTTCTCTCTCTCTCTCTCTCCCTCTCCCTTTCTCCCCTCTCTCCCTCTCACCCTCTCTCCCTCCTACCAACCCTCCATCCCCCATCTCTGTATTTAGGGGTTAATGTCACAGACCAGTACATGGAGCAATCTAAGCCCAGTAGCAAGAAGAAACACAGGAAGCACAAACGGGGCAAGAGAGGGCGCCATACATCCGTCTCCAGCGATGACATTCCCGTCACTCACCAAGTCGACATTGTTGGAGAAGAGATGCCAGAGGTACTGTTTATAATTTGAAATGATATCTAGGCCTTGTTTCGTAAAACTTGTTAGCAATAACAAATGCTAGAATTCTCTGACAAAGTTGCTCCCAGCCAATCAAATGCCATGATTTCAGTAGCTAAAAATATTGATTGTAAGAACAATTTTTTTAATTAAATGAAACACTTTTAATGACATATTTGATTTTTTTTTAAATTTATTTGCTTGGCCAAATATGAACTGACCAATTAGTTATGTTCAGAATTTATATTACATGATGCTAAGTTTCTTTAGCTTCAGGCAATCTTCATGGACTTCAAAATATAATTTTATATACATGAAGGTTTTGAATGGAATAGTCTTATTCTTGGTAACTTAACTTTTCTCAACTTGTGCTTCTATCACTACCTATCACTACCTTTCCATTCACTGGTATAATCTATGGTACACAGGTCCATTCACAGCTCAATCTATCCCTCCCTTTCTTGCTCTGCCCCTCTTCTCTTACATCCATGTAATGTATCTTGGTCATAAACTGACAGCTTTGAAGATAGAATGTACATGTACAGTACATTGCAGTGAATTCATTAATCAATTTCATAAAAACATGTAAAGTCAAAGAAAACTAAAAAAATATTTCTCACATATAGTGATAAGACAATAAAATGGAAACTATTAAAAGGAAATTATGAAGTGGTTGGATCATCTAAAAGTTACATAAGTAGATGATCCTACACTAAATGCAAAAACTAACACACACAACAACAAAAAGAGAGACAAAGAAATAATACAATGGTAATTATACACATAAAAAGTGTGGTTGTGAAATTCAAAACTTCTACATGTTTTTGTTTTTATTGTCTTTTGACAGGGTGCTGTGCTATCCGATCATGAAGAAGACGATAGAGCTATGGATGACCCACATAGAGCATTGGACATTGATTTAGAGAGGTAGGTTTGAAATATTATTATGACAAGTGGTGGTGGTGATGATGATGGTTGCGATGATGATGTTGATGGTGATGGTTGTAATTATGATTAGACCTAATAAAAAAGATGTTGTATTGCCCTTTAGGTGCCAGAACCTGGGTCGGTTGGTCAGATTTTTGCCCCCCTCAAAACAGCGACCATTGCCAAAAAAAGGCTAGAGCAGGAACGTCGCCCAAATCTCGCTGGTTTCTAGCAGGTGCAGTGCATGGTATATACACGTACACAAGGATTGGGTCTACTTGTTTACGCTAGCAGGATAATGCGAAGATTACATTTATTTTGATTTTGATGTTGATGTTTGAAATTTATTATAATTAACAGAGAAATTTTCATATCCTAACATTTACCTTGTGAAAATATTCCAAACTTTCCAAACTGCCACAGTAAAATAACCATTCCATTTGCATTGCTTGACCGTTTGACAGGCCACTGGATGAGAGGGACCATCTACCAGTGAGGAAGCATCGGAACGCCCCTGAGCTGACCACCACACAGGAGGAGGCAGAGGTCAGCAAACTCCAAGATAAACCAAAGAAGAAGAGGTCAAAGGAAAAGGAAACTAAGAAAACTTCCAAGGACAAGAAGAAGGTACTTTCAGACTTCTGATTGATAACAAAAAAAGTATAGATGTATAAACTTCCAAAAACAACATCAGCAACAGCCGGTAGATCTTGATCTAAGTTCGTGCCAGTGCATTGCAAAAGTAAAAGAAGGGCCCGTTTAACGGAGCTGCTGCGAAGTCGCCATTTAGAATCCATTTCAATATACACAAGAGCTATGGCGCAATACACAATAGTGTATAGATCAGAGAAAACTACAGATGATAGTATCTGTGCGGGATGGCCGAGGGGTCTAAGGCGGTGATTTTAGTCACATGAACTTTGTACGCAAGAGATCAAATCCCGTCTTCGACAGAAGTTTTTTTTTTTTTAAATCTTTTTTTTTGTTGTCAAAACCGGGGGTGCAGCCTATACGGCGCTGCGGCCTTATCGCCGGCAAATACGGTAAGTCTGTTTTTATACCTCTTTGATAATTGCTAGCATTTGAATAATCAAATCTTGCTGTTGCAGAAGAAAACCAAGTCCGCTAAAGTAGAAGAAAGTGGAGCTTCGGCAGGCCTGGATCTGATGGAAGGAGAAACCAAGGAGCCTGCAATCAATGGGAACGCAGAAGAGGCTCCTGAACCAGCCCCTGCTGCGCCCAAGGAGGTGGAGCCTGTGACGGCTCCTGCTGCTCCTGCACCTGCTCCAGCGGTAAGTTTGTTTGTTTGATTGTTTGTTTGTTTGTTTTAACTGACTGCTGAGAAAGCATGTGTATGTTTGTAATTAAAGCAACCAGGTGACTTGGTAATGAGAATTGATGCCTTATACACTAGCTTGGGTTCGAACCCGGGACCTCCGGGCGTGTGTTTCACAAAGCTTGTCATCATCAGTGACAAATGACAGTTGTTGTTATAAGCCACTGAAATCCTTGCTTCTGATTGGCTATCAGCAGATTTGTCACTGATATTTGTCATTGAAAAAAGGCTTTGTGAAACGGGTCCCAGGTCTACCACTAAGCTATCACGCCTCCACACTAACGGTTTTGAAAGTCTGTTCTTGATGTCAAGCTGATTTCATTGTATGTAAATATTATTTGGTGTATTGGATGGAAACTGTGCATGATGTTACAAAGTTGTGTTGTATTAGGTGCAAACTTTGCTGGATGTGAAGTTTAAAAGATGTCATAGTGTTTGGTGTAAACAGAGCTTGGTGTCAAATTAAAGGGATAGTTGATTTCTGTTTTCAGACCGCAAATGCCTTCAAAGTGCATGGTTATTGCTCTTATTCTTATTTATGACATTTATAGTGCCCTTTTAGAACCTAAAATTGCTATGAAGGTAAGTTTAGACCCCAAAATGTGTGAAATTTAGCCAATACGATCATACCAATTCAACTCCACTTTCAAAAAAACATGGTGACCGTTAATGAATTATTTTATTAAAAATAACAATACATGAGCCGGCTGATTGTGGATAACATAAGCAACACAAAAATGCCAACCAAAAAGCCAACATTGGCATTGGCTGAAATACGACGTAAAAGGCGTTATTTCTTTTTTTTCAACGGTTTTCAACGGTTTTTTCAAATTTTTCAAAATATCTAATATTTGTGGTGGTACACAAGTATTAGAAATCGTTATATTTCAGCCGTCTCTGAACCGATTTTGATCAAACAAAGATGATTTTTGTCATTTAAATATTATATTCTTTCAAATTTGACACTCAGTTTTTCATTATCTCACAAACAAATTATTTTGTGTAGCGCCCTCTGCAACAGAACTCAACTATCCCTTTAAGTGTAAACAGGTGTTTGATGTAAATAGTGCTCTGTAACAGTGTTGGTATTTAAGGTATAAACAGGGCATAGTGTCAGGTAAGGTGTTCCATCTTGTCCAGAAATGCATGCATGACCTACATAAGGATCTGATGTACAGCATGTTTGATATTTGACTGGTTGCTCATTAGACCACCAAAATCTTGTAAATGTGAAATTCCTTCGGATACTAATTCATCTTTTAGTCACATTCTCGACCAATCACTTTCTCCTTAATATTTGGATATGTGTGGCATTTATTGTGAATTCTGTCATTCATTGATATTTAATGACAGACTGATTTAAGGTGGTTGTTCATATTGCATCTGTGAAGAACAGAAATTAGGTTCTGCATAGAGCATGTACAATTGCTTTTAATGTTTTCTATTGAATGAATTTCCTTAGCAATTTCCTTACCAATTTCTGAAAATATGTTATTGTAATAGTAGCATGTACACAAGAAATGTTTATGCTTTTTACAGAAAGAAACACATGAAATCAAATAGTATTTACCACTTTTTATGATGCACCGTATAGTGCTGCATGTACAATTCAATGAGAATATTTCTCAGAAATGAATCTTTACATTCAAACACTGTATAAGCTGCTATTTTATCAACACCCCAAAATATTGCCACCTCATCATTCTGGAGCGCAAAAATATCAGCATAAAATTATGTGCTTGTGCCCTCTTGAATCTTGATCGCCAGCCCCATTCGCCTAGTTAAATGTTCATAATGCTGTCGCCTCCCGCCCATCGCATTCCTTCTCTCCCTGCGCGTAGATTGCCCAGATTGCATGACACATGCACGCACGCACATACATGTAATCCTCGTATCGAACAAACTTGCTTGTTTACTTATGTGTACTGAGTCTGTGTGTGTATGTGTTGGCGGAGATCAAGAAAGTTTGTGAATACATCATGCCCACCCATTAATTATGCTGTCTGCTATTCACGAAAGCAGCAACTCGCGAAAATGTCTCTTAATCTGTCATTCGCGTAAATATCTGTAAAAATATCAGCTTATACAGTAGTATGTACCTCTTTTCTTTTACACCTTGTATATTTTTGCATGCTCACTTCTACCCTGTGCATTTTATTTTGGTATACCCTGTAGTATTGCATGACTCTGTGAGATCTTTGTCTTTCTATGTCTCTCTTTCTTGTATACCAGGTGGATGATTTAAACTTCTGGTTATCCCAAGACACGCCCACACCCCAAGGCAAACCCGCACCTGTTGCCCAAACCCCTAACCCCGCCCCTACCACCAACGGCAATGTAGAAGAGGTTTGTTTCTCATCCATGTTTGACCCTTCTCAAAAGCCTTCTTTCAGTAGAAGTTATTGATATTTTTGCATGTTTTAAATTTTTCAATACTTTTATTTGATTGTGTATGCTTATATTGTTTTTTCCTGGTTGTTGATTTTGATTATGAATTGTTGAAATATTTTTTTCTCCATCCACCTTCAGTTATTTTTATTTGCATTGAAAAGAAAGTTTCTATCAATTATGTGCTGTTCAGAAAGTGAATTACAATTTAGTTTATAGTTTTTCTAAGAGCTTCGAACATGAGGGATTTAAATAATTGAAAAGGGATATAATTATCAGATCTTCTTAATAGATGGAGTTGGTTACTGTTCACAATTTTTTTTGTTTTCCATATTTTCTTAATGTCACCAAATTTATGCATATGCCTTTGTGAAGCACCTTGATACAAATTTTATCATTCACCTGAAACATATAGTTGTACCTCAATAGTCAGAATGGTGCATATGTAAGTGTTTGCTAGATAGGACAAACATTCTGGCTTGTCCTACCTAGCAACACGTAACATGAAATTTGCATTCTGACTATTGAAATACAATTATTTGTATCGGGTGAATCAAATAATTTGTATCAAGGCACCTACATGTATGTACAAATTTGGTAACGTTACAAAAATGCCTATTCTCACTAACCATCCGTATTAACAGAAGTCGTCCAAGAAACATCGCAAGGACAAGAAGGTGAAAAAGGACAAGAAGAAGAAGAAATCAGCGAGCAAGGAGAACTATGAAGCAGTAGGAGAGATAGAAGACATCTCAGAAGAACAAACACCAGATCCAGTCATTCCTGTAAGTACTGTAAACAGGTTTATTGCCGTTTGGTCTACAACCCAGCCTGTTTACCTATCATTTGGTCTAATTTCCATTTGGTCTAATCTCCAATAAGTGTACTACGGTATCCATTTGGTCTATTGCTCATTTTGACTACTAGCCATATGCTCAAATAATCTAATCATAAATGATATTAATCATCAAGTGATTATTAGGCCTTGTGGATGGTATACAAAATGGGTATTAGACAAAGTGGGAATTATACTAACTGGTTACTAGACTAATGAACAAGAGACCAAATGGATAGTAGTCTAATTGGAGATTAGACCATATGGAAATTAGACCAAATGACTATTAGCCTAAATGGTCATTAGACTAAATGATTAGAAGACGAAATGATTTTTAGACCATGTGGATAGTAGCAGGTAATAAGGGAATAGAAAAACTGGTTGTACATGTACCTTCCTATACGTGTACATGTAGCTCTTCTCACAAGATATGGATATGATCAGACTACAATCCCATTTTTGAAGAAGTTCCCAAATTGGTAACTTTCACAACTGTATGGCATGGTCATGTGATTACTCTTGCACATACCATGAAATATACCAATTGTTCTGGTCAGCTCATAACCCTTCATAAAACAAGATTAAATATGATCTGTATACACTTGTGCAATGTCCTCGTTAAAGTTTTTCCCATTTCAATTTCACATTCTGCAAAAACTGCTGCTGTGTGAATATTGATTGGGCAACTTATTTGCCTGTTAATATAAAAAATATTTTACTATTGCACAAGTTCATGCAGGAACATCACTTGATAATACAATCATTTTTCCCTTGTTTTATTTCAGGCCATGTCAAGTTATAGGCTTCTTGCCGAGAACGAGTCCCTAAAGCTGGTAAGTGAAAAAAAGAGAGATAAGACAAGACGTTGTATCATAGTGGTAGAGCTTGTAGCCCATCCCCATTTCAGATATGTGTTGAGTTAATGATACAGTGTACATGAATGTATACCAATCACATTACAACGTCTTGTGTACAGCTAGAATGTATAAAATCACCTGTAAAAGAAATTAACCTGGTATTCTACAGGTTCACAGTTAAGAATAAAAAAAGAATAATGTATATAGGGCGTGCACAGAATCCAATTGGGGTTCCAGCTCAACCTATTCTACTGCAAGCATGTGTGAATACGAATGGCTAGTTTACTATGGAGTCGCTCTTCGCTTATTGAGAGTGTATTTGAACATGCAATATCTCTTCATGGAAGAAATATCTGAAGCACAACAAATTTTTGTGATTTGTACACTTTAAATCTCCCTGATGAAACAAAATATGTTTGGCCCACCCACACTTTTCTCACTGTGGACTGCAATCTCAGTTCATTAACTTTGGCAGCAGTAAAATAAACCAAACTCTAGCAAGAACTCTTGATGTTTTTAGACTCAGTTGGTTGGTTGGTTATTTTACCCGACTGCTAAGAAAGCAAAGTGAAAGCTTGTAAGTCAACAACCATTTGATCATTACTATAAATAAAATGCTCTTTTAGTCATTTGTAAACTTGTGTACCTTTTTTGTTTTGGAAACCAAATAAACTTACGAACTTTTATTGTTGTTGACAGACATATGAGACGAGGGTGGACCCCAAGCAGAACTCCCAAGTGGTCATCTCTGTCATCTTCACCAATCTTACATCTTCACACCTCAAAGCTCTGGAGTTCCAAGTCCTTGATTCCCTCAACACCAAACTAATACGAGACGTGAGTTTTATATGGAGGCGAAAGCTGTACTGTTTTTAGATCTTTCAAGACATCAAGTTTTGACTTCTCAATTGTAAAGCATTAGTCTGTTACATATTTGAATAGATTTCAGAGAATAATTTTTGTAATGACCTTTGACCTTTGACCTCACAGGCGGGATCGCAGCATGATGGTGTGAAAGTACCGTTCCAGCTTCCCCCAGAGGCTTCCAACGAGGGCCAGTTTGCGTTCACCATCCATGCTATCACCATGCCACAGAAACTCAAAGGCACACTCACTTACATGGTCAAGGTAAACAATTATGTTTCATTTTTCACAAATAATTTTGGTGCTTGTGATACTTCTGCAACTTTCTTAATGAACAATTATTGACATTGTGTTATCAGTAAAAAAAAAAAAATTGATTCAATGTCCACATTTGTTATTATTATATTGTATACACATTAAAAAAAACTTGTTATATTTTGTATATGATATATTGCTGAAATGTATTTTAATTTGTATGTTGCAGAAGAAAATAAATTCAATTCAAAGTGATACATCACTACAGTTGCACACTCTCTACAATGGCAATGCGCTTGATCGAGGCATAATTTATTGTGACATAGCAATCTTTTGTATAAGCCAAATATTCCTTTCCATGATTTAGAGATGTGCCGTTTATTTGGTGTAAAAAATGAATGCAATGTAGGGAGTAGCCTGTTGAAGGAATGATAGAGTTGCCAAATGTATTTAATTTTCATAGTTTTCAAATTTTATAAATTTACTGATTTTTTCAACTTTTCATTGATCTCGCGTTCTCTTTGATTGAAACATTGATGTTGGAATGGTCTTCAACTTTTATTATTTCCCCTAACCTGCATATGATTTTTTGTTGATCCTCTCCTTTTTTTTGTTTTTTTGTAAATTGCAGGATGATAAAGGTTCAACAAGTGAGAAGATAGATTTCAAGGTTAATCTTCCAGTTTCTTCTTACATGCTGGCCACACCATGCAGCAGGTAAAATAACTAATCGATACTTTCAGTAAATAAATGTAGTTCATGTTTAAATTGTTCTGATTCCAGTTTTCACCTTTAACCAACACTGTACTAGGTTAGGGCCTTCCCAGCCCTCTCTTACCAATTCGAATTTTTCTGGATATGCCTGAAAAGAGGGAGATTTCATTGGAAGGTCTTATCAGTAGATATAAACTCAGAGGCAAATTGCAGCAAACTTATACATTTGTTTAAGGGATTAGGTAACTTTGCCTCAGATTCTAAAAAAAATTCAGGATTTAGCTCATGCTGCAATCATAATTATGAACCTTTAGATCATACATGTTACAAGCCGATCGCCTGTCTGATTATCAGGATATCTATGATTGGAATTAGAAATTTCAGAAATTGTTTTCCTAACGGCTTTTATAACACTACAGTTTATTGGGGGAAATGAGTTTGGTAAAACCGGTCACTCAAAGATTTTTTACTTTTTTGAGGCACTTCATGATCATTTTAAAGCACATTTTTTTAGGGCTTTAAATATTACACCATATCACAGACACTGATCACACGTTAGGCCATGCATCTCAGATTTAACATTGTTAAACGATGCCTGAATTTTGACCCCTTCAACCTGATTCCATCTGTAATACAGAGAGCATTACTCAGAGCTACTAGCCAATGGTGAGCTCTCGGCCAAGAACTCCTTTACCACACCCCCAGGGGGCGTCGACTTTGCCATCACCCTGGCCCGGGTGTGCTTCCACTCCCACATGGCGGTGGTGGAGAGGGTGGAGCGGACTGCATCACTCTTCAGCTGCTCCATGAAGGGACATCAAGTCTGTGTGCTACTCAAGACAATGGTAAGCCGGAAGGATGAATTACCTTTCATTGGCATAGTAGAGGGCTTTCATGGGCTGTCATTTCCCAAATAGCGGGCTATTTTGGAAACAAGACCAAAATTTCTTGGGATATTTTCTCATCCAAATAGCCCACTTATTGCTGCCACTGCAGGCTGCTGAAGACGCAAATTACTGTAGCTGGCTAATTAGAGATCGGGCTTGGTAAAGTATCGGGTTATTTTGCAACTTCGGTCTGATGAAGACAGGCCTTCTGAGAGACTAGGGGGTATTTCTTGATGGGACTACTCACTACAGGTTGGCTGTGTGCGAGACTTGTACACCCATTAATGGTATTTTCAAGTCTGGTGTTGGCGAATTATGACCTACTGCACATGGAAATTGAAGACCATTTCCCTTGGGGGGGGGGGGGGGGGGGGGGGAATAGTGAGCGTTTTGTAGCATTTCGACCAGCATTGAGTGCATTCATAACAGATTTTCCTTTATTTTCATCATGGACATCCCTCTTTCGACCTCAGATAAAGAAATAATTATTTCTTTGATGGTTTGATAGTACCCTTAACACAGACACAAAGATACTTCCATTGTTTTCCCAGGGTTAGAACTCCTGATTCATTGCCAATTTGGTAAACCATTCATTTTTTTCCTGCAGGATGGTGGAGGTGTTTCAGTCGACGGCAAATCCAACGATTCCAGTTTACTGTCCAACTATCTAGATGAAATCAAGGCGACCGTCTTGGAATCGTAGGAGAGAGACAGCATTGCCGAGAAATCTAATATATACACTAACAAGTCTCACTTTTTAGCGATGATACTATCACTATATTTCCAGTACTGAGCCAGGATAGCAGCATTTATTATGAACCTTGTTTTGTTGAAAATTCAATACACTAAGAATTGAAAATGTATGTCACCCGCCCTGAATGTACGATAGTAGAATCTATATTTGAATTGTTTAATGCTTTTTAGAAAGAGCAGTAAATGTATCGCTGTGAATCATTTTGAGGATGTATTGTTCATGTACTTACTGCTAACAAGCAGATCGATGAGGGATCCATCTGCCAGTATTCAAGTATATGGGCATTTTCATAGCTATTGCTGAATGCTATTTGCTGGTCACATGTTCAAATTGAAGCTTGTCCATTGGTCAAACTTTGCTGCTGCTTGTATAAGATCTTTGTGTTTCACAAAGAATTTGTGGTTTACATTCAACTGTAATATCTGAGGTAACCCTCTGTTTACATGTGGACCCCTTCAAAATCAGCTTTTAATAGCTGTTAGTGTGTTCCACCCTTTAAAGGGATCCGGTAACTTTGTCTCAGATTCTGAAACAAAATTCTGGAATTAGCTCATGATGCAATGATGATTATAAACCTTTAGGTCAGTCAGGAAACCCATGACTTTTACAAGCCGATCGCCTGTCTGATTATCAAGATATATATGATTGGAATTACAAATTTTGAAAACCGTTCGCCTGACGGTTTTCATAACACTACAGTCTATTGGGGAAAACGAGTACGGTAAAACCGGTCACTCAAAGATTTTTACTTTTTTGAGGCACTTCTTGATTATTTTGAAGCGCAATTTTTTTTAGGGCTTCAATATTACAACATATCACAGACACTGATAACACGTAGTGCCGTGTATCTCAGATTTAACATTGTTAAACGATCCCTTTAAGAGGAGAAATTAATAAATGAATGAATGAATTTTTTCTCCTAATATCCCATAATGTTATTGACTACCGGTAGTAGAATATTACATCTTGTATAAGCTTTTCATTGTGACTGCCAGATAACATTTTGTTGGTTGCTTAGTTTAAAAAAGCATACCTAAAGTGTAACCTGAATTTGTTCTTTCTAATTGGAAATTGTTCATGATCTGTACAAATGACATAGAATATAGTCTACATTTTGTCCCCCCAAAAATGGTTTACTAAAGATAGCGCTCAGGTGATAATTTAAAACCATTTTCATTTTCTTGATGTCCTTTGGCAAGACATTGATCTACATTTGCCACTCTCCACCCAGGTGTTAAAATGGGTACCCGGTAGAATGCGAAAGCTAATGTGGTTCGATTAGCAATGGCGCTTGTAAAATGGCGACTGGCTGGAATGCTCCCCAGGGAGTGGAAAATGTGCAAACATTGTGTTGCGGGTAAGTCTGAATCCGATGACCGGGGTAATAATATGTTCCGCACCTAGAAACAAAGTATTAGGCGCATTATAAATGTGAGCTATTATTATTATTATTATTAAAAAAAACAAAAAAACATCATCAGTGGTAGGTACATGCATGTAAACACTGAGTAAATTCATTAACTCTTTAATTTTGGGGGAATATTTTTTTTATAAAATTAATTATTTTGTGCATATAGAAAAGGGAAGGACGCTATCAAAATACAAACTCCTATAGTTTGACCGTGGACAACTATATGTATCCCATATATAGGCAAGGGTTTTCTGGTTTGGTTTAATGTTGATAGCATTGTATGTGAAAGTGCTGGTCTGTTTTCTTTTCTTTTTAACTATTGAATGCATTTTAATTTTTGTCAGAGATAGATGTAGTGATCTGACACGTGTTGGTACACATATGACGATGTGTTCAGCTTTAAAATTACTCATCTACGGATGATTATGTATTAATTAAGATTTACTGCATTATTTTATCATGTCTTAACATATGGTATTATTTGGTGTGATGTTTAAACTGCTAAATCGTGCAATACAGAGCATTTTCATTGCACATTGTAGAATTGATTTAAAATGGTGACGTTTGTGCCAAGATTACGGTCATTTCATGCTTATGCTCATCATATTTTAGAGTTTTGTTTCAGAGATGGTAACAGAACTTGTATTTCATTTGTATCATTTCATATAGATCACACTTCAGATAAATTTTAACAGTATTGGACGCTGCCTGCCTTTATCATTTTTTTTTAATGTCAAAAAAACTATTATTTTTAGCAATTATTTTGACATTGCCAAAAAGCTGCTTTATTTGTTTGAAGAAATTTACTGGAAACATGTGGTGATGATTTTAAATGTACCATGCAAATTTGTTGTAGTTATACATTGACAATTAATATTGACAATTAATAAAAGACACATTGTTTCGAGCCGGGGCATGCACTCGTATATTTAACACATTGTTATTATCTGTCTCTGAACAGATGTAATACAATTCATTTAGCTGTCCCTCCATGAAAAAGTCTTCAGATTTGAGGCTTAATTAAGCAAGATTTCGTATCAATCTCTATGTACCCCTTCATGCTATTGGCAGCAAATATGACCTAGTACTGTTTACCTTTTACAAGTATGTACTAGAAGTGATGATTCCCATTTCATCTCTCTGAAACGCAAGTTACAGTTTTAAGATTTTCTTTTCATTTTGGAAGGATATTTCAAGCCAGATTTCACAATAAAACAAGAATTTGAACCCTAGAATTTGAAATCCCAAGCTTGGCTCCTGAAAGTTCTTTAATTATAATTTGTCATACATGTAGTTACACAGGAGAGATCAATTCCTTTCCCCCTTAGCATGAGTCTTCCTTATTACACCGCGTTACTTTGACCTTAATTGTTAGCCACTAACTTGATAAAATGTAGTGTGCTGTTGAGAATGTGCAAAGAAATGTAGGAGACAGATGATTTGATTGATTGAGGTAGAAAACACCATCTACCGGTATATTAGTATTATTTTTTGTTATATATTTCAAAAGAGCCTGCTACTTCACTCTCTGACCAATTTCACCACATTCCATCTCGTGACACGATATGATATAGAACTAACTATAACAAGGAGATACATGTGTATGTGTTATACTTCTCATCGATGTACTTGTTCATCCTGTGGAAAAAAAAAAACCTGTCAGTTATTTTAGATTTTATCCTTTTGTATGAATGTCGTGGCAAACATATCCGTTTGTTAGGTTATGCTTTTAGCTTTATATTGTAGTCACACCCTAAAAATATAGTTGTACATTTCATGTGACTACAAAAATACCATAGTACATATAGAGGAGGAAAGTTTTTGTATACTAAGCTCAATTTATTATAAATGCAGTACTTCTTTGTGCCCTCCCTATTTACAGAGTTAGGAATCAAATGAAGTTGACTTAGGCCAAGTTGTTTTATCACGTCACACTTTTATTAGATACATTCCCTTGTATGTGGTAGAAATGTATCCCCCGGTAGCATTGTTTGCATTAAGACCCTACCCCTTTTATAGCATCTGTCAGTTTATGCATCAGAATATGTATAACTTCATTGTGTATGCCACAGGGAATTTTGTTTTGTTGTAGATCGTGTATTTCTGACTACCGGTATCAGACGACTGTTACATTTGTGTAGCCAAGATGCAAAGCACATTGATGAACGGCTCTGAGCAAGTCGACAAATGCGTATTTCATTTTGTATTGTGTATTGAAACCCAAATTGGATGGCTCAAGTGTGGGATTTCATTATACATTTGAGATCTTAGAAATGAATCTATCCTTAAAGGCAGGGTATTTTACTGACATCGCTACCACTACTGAATTATATTTTTGATTGCGCCATCTTTTGGTTAAGGCGTACATAGAGCGGTTTCTGGTTCCTGTACCCAAGCGTCATCAGTTGGTGATGCATTGTGGGCCACGACTGTCAACACATCAAGATATTGTGAGCAGCAGATGATGGTATACATAAATTTTAAGTAGCGTCAGTAGAGTACCCTGCCTTTGAATACATATCTATATCTATACATGTGCTTATACATGTGAAACTGTTGTTCTTATTGTTGACGTTGATCAACCGTCATGTTTATAAAGAAGAGGGCAACATTAAGAAGTAATTGTGAATGAACGAATGTTATTTTTAGGTGAACGCAAGGAGGGTGTTCATTGTGCATAAATAAAGGCTATAGACACACAATGCCCTTTTGGTATTCAACTATGTAATAGTCATAAAGTACTTGTGGTCAGGTGAATCTTAAATGGTTATATTTGTAGACTTTGATAGTATATGTTGATCTGAACAATTATAGCATTTGTACATCAAAAAATAGGAATGTATTGTCCAAAAGAGATAAATTACTATGAAAAAAACTATATATATATTGATATTTTCTGTGTAGGTCTAGTTATGTGTATTGAGCAACATGCTGTGAATGGATGTGAATGAATAAATGTGATTTAGATGGACAGATGGAGGAGAAAGAGATTATAAATGTGAAAAAATAAAGTATCAGACTGCATATACATTAAAATGAAGCTTTAAGTGTTTTCAGTGATGTCTTGTGTTATTATCCTTTTGTGAGATCAGAGCGATAAAAATGAAAAGAAAATTACCATACAAATTATTAAAGCCCCACTGCACTACTTGCGCCCTCTATATAGCAAACAATGCCTAATCGGTACCTGTTTGTCCCCCATGATCCTCTTTTTCTTATGTTAATTGAGAGCTGATTTGATGAGATAACCACCTGTCAGTGACCTTGCAGGGATTGATCCCCTCTAGCCAAACTAGTACAGACGGGCTTTAAAAAAGGTAATGTGATTCAGATTAAAAAAACAATGTCATAATCAATTTTAAAAAATGCATCAAATTTATAATAAATGAATAAATATGCACCAATATTCATTCCTTTACAGACCTGGGAGGTTTTAAGAAAATCAGACAGTTTTCATACTTCTGAAATAATTTCATTTCTATATGTTATTTCAAAAACAATTCAAGATGCAAAATTCAAAGTTGCAATTAAGTCGTTCAATGTTTCTTTTTTCATGAAAATATGGTAAGTTCTACTTTTTGACACTTCAAGACTGAGTTTATGTGATAAAGATAACAAATCTCATGAAAACCTAGGAAGTAACTTTAAAGTGTTTCACTTTTTTTTTTAAACATCCCAAAAACGAGATGGTTATTATGAAATAGACCCCCCCCCATAATTAAATATAGATAATTACCAAATGAAAACTTTATAAACAAAATCAACTCTCATTTGTTGCACTCTTTCAACATTTTCACAAATAATCATGCACTTTCTCTGCATAGTTGCACTGTTACTTCACAGGACAACTTAGACCACTAGCTATCATGGTTGGAAAACCCTTTCCACAATGCTATGGGAAATTCGATATGAAATGTACCGGTACCCAAATAGTTTTTCTTTTCTTTTCCTGCCTAAATATTCAAGTTACTTTGTTAAATGTAAACATCCATCACAGATAGACTAGGCCATCCCACAATTCCGTTTATTCATTTTACATCAGAGCTACTATTTTTCATTTACAATGTTGGATAGTTTTACTGAATGATCTCTACAATTACAATTTATTAGAATATATTTTTATTTCTAGCCACCCCGGGCTAGCCACTAGTCATTGAGCTAGCTATACACTGCACGAGTTCAGTGGAAATTTTTCCTAGGATCATTGAGGGCGCCCTTGTAAAGAGTTGCAATTTTCGGTCATCTTTCTTGGAGTGGTCGAAGTCGAAAAAGAGACCGAAAATGGGGCAAATGTGGACGGCTTATGTTACAAATCCTGACACAGCACCTGATCTAAACAATCTCCCTACATTTGATCCGGAATATGGATTCCCAGACGGAAGGCCAGAGAGGGGTAATGCATCTTAAATTGAGCTTTTAAATGTGGTTTGACTTGGGGTTTGAGATGGCTAACTCCGTGGAGTTGTTACAGGGATCGGGCCAGCGCCACGCCAGCGGAGCGGCAGCGCGCAACGTTCACGTTGTGAGCTGAAGCTGGAGACCCTCTCCGCATTTTGACTCTTTGACTCTTTGTTTAATAATGAATCTGTATTTAATTAGCTTTAAGTGCTCGGTGATGAAATGAAATATGATATTGATGTCATCTAGCTTTAATTGGCATTCGGCAATCATACCCCTGCATGAGCCATGAAGAGTGATTCATTGTATAAAAAAAAAACATCCAAACAAAATTCCATGTCGGAAGATTTAGATCTAACTGTTAGATCTAACTTTTAGGCCTATAAAAAATAAATCGTGTAGGCTAGACCCCAATCAAATTTGTTTGTAATTGTAATCACCCATGGCCATGCACCTGATAAAACTTGTAAACTCTTCTTTCTACTCGTACATAACTTTGAAATTGGTCAAAATTTAACGAAAATGTTAAAATTTGATACCTTAGTGATGTACATTTCGTCATTTGCTCTCCTTCCATGTGTTCCTGGGGGCCGTTTCTCAAAACCGTCATAACTACAAGATCAACGACATCTCGCCACTGTCACGCAACTTGTCAGCAAAGTGTTTCACGAAGCCGTCTTTGCCAAGATGAGCGACAACTACCGCGACAAGCGAGTTGTCACTGCTCCGAACCCGTCATATCTTTTTAATTGCTGTAAAGTCAGTTTGTTGCCATTCCATGGGCCGCGAAATGTATGATTAGTTACGCTATCATTTTGAGAAAAATATAGACGAGTTCGGTAATTAATTCTCGGGCATACGAAATGCAAATGTAAAGAAGTGATAATACAAATTATACAGAAATTTTAAAAAGCTGAATATAAACATTAAATCACAAATCATTAAACTATAACATATACATAAAAGGGATAAGAATGTTACACACCGTTGTCCATAGTCGATCCATAGTCTTTTCTTAGATACCATATACCTTTGGGGCCTGTTTGCATTATCATTCCCTCTCTAATAACTTCTTCCAAATTATATTTTTAATATCAAATCAATTATATAACGAGTATTTATGAGACTCTAGAATAAAAACTGGCTGAGAAAAGGTATTTTGCCTAAAATTCCTTGTCACAATAAACAAAAAAAGTATGTATTGATAAACTATCACATTACGGTATCCTTCAACTACCTTTTGATTGGATTGTCGAGAAAAAAACACTCACCGGTTTTTCTTCAATCTAAGAATCTTTACAGAAATATGCAAATCGTTTGATGATCTACATTTGATAATAACACTATTTGTTATTTATTTTAGGAGAATTTATATGTATAGTCTATGTTTCTTTTTGAACAATTCTAGCCCCAAAACTTGTTTTGGGTTATTCGTGATAAATCAAATGGATCGTGACAAAGACTATGTTCTTGAGCTGCTAGTATCGCGATATATCGATATCATGTCTGTCATGGCTTCGTGAAACGGTTTATCCACTTCATGACATCTCCGTAGGTCGCCGACAAAGATATATGACTGTCATGGAGTTGGTTTCGAGAAACGGCCCCCTGATGTCTGAGCGAACACGTGATTTACATTACAAAAATGATGACCTCTCACAACAAGAGTTTGCAGAAATACATGTGGTGTACATGAAAAAAGCTGTTTACGAGTTGCCAATTTGATACTTACTGTAATGTAATTTTCACTCATTTATTTCTCTCATTTTTCTGCTTTTTTAAAAACCAACTTAATATCAGCATGGACTTCCCCTCTAGCAGAATTAATAATGTGCTTGGTTGGAGGCTGTCTCCAAAGCTTTTTGTCCAGATTTGCGGTAGCCTATTTGGGAGACAGTCAGACAGTCTACCGGTATTCAAGAAGGGTTTTTTTTGTATACTTTACCAGTTTTTCTATGTTTAAATTTTCTGCAAAAGGAGTAACTTGGCTCTGCTTGAAAATGTGATAAACAGATTTTTCAAATGAAAGTAAACCACCCACGATTTGTGTATGGTACTACAGCCCCATTTGTACAAAAAAAGAAAATAAAGATCTTCAAAATTAAAGATAAAGTTGATGTGATTGCATTGTGAAAGAAAAGGTGTGGAATGGATCAGAAAAAGTTGATCATGTAGCATGTAAGTAATTATTGGTGTGTACTGCAAGGTTCATCAAAATCATGATAAATTTGGCCCAGCCGTGGTAAAGTAACAAGCACTGTATACAGAAAGATATATATGGGACTGTACGGTACACAAATGGTGCCGTGAGTACTTACCGTGATTTCCTTAACTTTCTATGCTCATTACTCAGCCAGTATACATTTTCTACCAAAATTGTTTGGCAAATGACATTTATTTGTAATCTTGAACATTCGGTGGAAGTTTTGTTTGATTCTTTGAGAATTCACCCTCTTTTTTTTACAAGAACTCAAGTTTATCTTTAAATTGCTTAGACGGGAAAACATGTAAATCAACTTATTACATGCACAGACACAATCATGGACTGCATCAAAATCTGTGAAAAATCGAAACAATTTGTTTACATTTAAGATTTAATTTGTAGGCTTATAAATGATATGACCTAAACATGAATATTGGCAACCAATATTTGGAACCACCAGAGCATGTATTCATTACGTTGTGAATTTATTTTACAATCTGTGTGTGCATTGTCTTCTTCCAGAAATGGTCGCTAGCCAGGAGGAGATGAACATGGCCAGAGTACCCATGGACAAGCGGGATTTCTGCGCTCACTTCTACATAGCTTTCTTGAAATGCCGCCGGGACAACTTCCCCAATCTCCTCAACTGCCGACACGCCAAACATGAATATGATCATTGCGAATATGAAGAGTGAGTTTTATGTGATGCACAGCTCTTAACAAGCAAAAATATGGGTCAACAGAGCTGCCAACCAGTATGATTTTAATCATATTTCGTACAAGTTTTAGAAGTAAATACGACAGTGAGATTTTCCTCCATAAAATTCAATTTTCCACACAAAAAAATGAAAAATGAAAAAATCTGCAATTTTGGGTTGTTCATTGGTTCCCGATCATCAGACACACCAGTGAGTTATAGCGAAATCATGCATATTCTATCAATGATCCATTAAACAAAATTCTTCCTGTACATGTATGTAGGAACTGTAAGAGGCATTGATCCGTGTGTTTTTTAAAAATACAATTTTTGTCAGTAAAATACAACTTTTGGGATTAAAGAATACAGTTTTTGAACTCCAGAGGTTGGCAGGTCTGGGTCAAGGGCACCTAGACAGCTGAATTATCTGTAAATGAGCTACAGTTGTATTAGTATACAATTGTGGCAAGGCAGTGTTAAACATATCTCTAAACATATTCTTTTTTGCTGAAAAGAAGCCTGGCACCAGTGTCCTTTGGCAAGGCATTATTTGCTACTCCATACCCAGGAGAGAAATGGGGACCTGGTGCGATGATAAAAACCTTTGTGTTAGTAATGACCATATGGTAAGAATACTCCTTAGGGGAGTGGAGATGGTGTACATCTGAATCTGATGACCAGGGTAATAATATCTGCAAAGTGCCGAGAGACAGTATTTCCTATTACGTGCTAGATAAATCCAGTAATTATTACAAGATGATTTTTATTTGTATAATGCACTCGCATCACAAGGAAGTATTCGGGGGTTGAAGTTTGAAGAGGAAGGGGTTGTACTTATATAAGCCTCTTTAGTGTGTATAAAGGGACAAGCGGGGCGAATTACCATTTTGATGATTACATTTAATGATGTCAGTGGGGTGATGAGCTACAAATTTTGAGGGGGCTGAGTCAGTAAGAATATAAATATTTAAATATTTTCTTGCACACCAAGATTACAATTACATAATTCCTCACCTTACCCAACCCCCCCCCCAAAAAAAAAGGGGGGGGGGGTCACAACATTTTGCATTCTTCTGAATGTAATGCAAACCAGTGAAGATACTCAATGAAGTAAATAAAATGAAGTTTCTTTTATTTTGTCTGTTCCTTTTCTCTTTGATCCTTCCTTCACAGCTTTGTCATCAGGATGAAGGAATACGAGAGGGAAAGGAGGCTGCTCGAGAGGGGCAAGAGGAAGAGGCTGGTAGCGGAGAGAGAGGCATTAGAAGATTGAAAAAGCCTACCTAGGCTACTGGAAATGTGTTTGAAATGCAATTTATACAACAGAGTCTCTATTTGAAACTTCATACTATTCACATGTGGTGTGTCACAGTGTGTAGCTTTGTAAAAATTTGATGTGAAACCTGGAATTCTCACAACGCCTACCCAAAACTTTCACAAATTGTGCAAGTTTGTTGATAAATAACTACATTACATTGCAACAAAGGATGTTTGTAATATTGGTAATTTGTGAAAGTTTCGTGTTGGAGAGAGTTTTGGGTTTTACAGTGTTATTGTTTTCTCACTGTATGGACCCATTCTGTTATTAGAAAGCAGAGTAATGAGTAAACAGTGACATGTGTTTATATCCTGTTTTCTCATATGTTACCTCCAAGGGCCCATGCACAGTGTGCAAGACTCATAAATGAAATTGACCATTTGAGTAGAACAAAGAATTGATAATGATAAGCAATTGTTTGTTATTGCAAGATCGGGATAAAGAGATGATTATTGATATGGTATGGTGATTCAACTGATCTTTTAACTATTGATCTGTGTGTTGTATCTTTTTAGGGAGGCATTTCAGTAACTTTCCTGCTTAACAGTCATAACTTGAGAGCTTCCCACTTTTAACATTGGATTAGTTTTCAATTCTGTTCACAGATTTTGTTAATGAGCTTGCTTGCATAGATTGTACATTTGTCATATTGACAATGGAATGCTGAGAGTGATACCTTGGAAAATTAATCATTCTTCAGTAGTGGTCCTTTATAATTCCTGCAAGCAATTGACCCATTTACCAGTTGTTTAAATGTATGCACGTTTCCCTCCAGAACCCCTGCCCTGGTTACTCCAAGAAGCTTAAAATTAGTAAACTTGTCAGAGTCATATTCTAAGACACATTATGCTCTTAGTTTACAGTGGATGAATGCTCTGAAGTTTGGAATGAATAAAATCTTTGAAGATTACAGGATAATCGCAATGGTATTAATGTTTCTTTATTATAGGATAAGCTGTATTTCATATAAATACATATTCACAAATTGAGGCTTTTGGTAACACAATGTTGTAGCTGTACTGAAGAGGCTGTTGATATATTCTTTCATCAAAAGAACCTGCTTATGAGGCATTCAGATGGAAGCTAGGCAGTTCATTCTGCCGTTTACACTGTTTAATGATGAAAAGCTAACTAAGCTGTAAAAAAAAGGCTGTCCTTTTTAACTGATAACAATTATAATCATCTATCATCCCCAATCGGGGTGAATTCTTTTGATGGAAGAATATATCAACAGCCTTTTCAGTAAGGCTACCTCATGGAATTTACAGAAAGCCTCGATTTGTGAAATACTTGCCATGGAAACGTACAGAGAACATCTAAGAAAGACATAAACATACAAGTTATCTTTACCAGTACTATCAAGCTCAGGTAAAGACCGAAAGAAATTCTTATTGACATCACGTGATCACACTTACACCGAAAGTTCCAACACTAATAATTTGGTATAACAGTAAAATGGGAATTAAATGAGCTCATGTTAAATGCTTACCAGTCCCAACATTTTTTTTACAGGACATTTTCTACTTCTGCATGATGAATTCACTTAAGGGCATTTTTTTCTTTTTCTTGCAATACCATTTTCTTTGCCTGAATGCAATACAGCATGTTTCCCTTTTCAATTCTCTCAAGACAAACAAACTGAAACCAGAAGAAAATGGTGTATGAGGCAATGATTTTTTATAATTTATTCAAGTGATTGATACATGTACTAAATCACCATGCATAAGAGGTGCAAATGATAGTATCTGGCGGTGTTTGCCACAAGTCTACATAAAAAGGCACAAGGCAACATGGATGAATATCAAAGACACGATCATGATGTATTCAAGGTTTAACAGATAAACATATTTTGGCTAACATAGCTGCAAAGGGCTGTTCAATTTAACTGATAACAATTACAAGCAATCATGTATCATCCCCAATCTATCGGTGAAAGTTTTCAGTGGGAGAAAAAAATTGTGTAAATTTTTTTTTCCAGGATTCCTCCCCCCCCCCCCCCTTCTCTAAAATCCTAGGAAGAGATTTCCTTATAAAAACATGTACAATTTCTTTCTTTCACACACTTGGATAAATTGTGGCATACCCTTAGCCATATGGTAACCTTTGCTACCTCATCAAAAAGCAGGGTAGCCTTTCACAAAACCCATCATTAGTACAAGTTCGCAGACGACCCACTGATATGCGTGTATTCATTTTAACACGTGTTTCAATGGGACGTCCGTGAACTTGTACTTACAATGGTTTTGTGAAACTATGCCCTGGATGCTGTTGAAATTTGAAAGTGTCATTTTCTCATCTCGTACTGTAATCAGAATAGGAGAGTTACAGGAAAAAAAAGGATTCCTATTTTATCAAAATCACTGCACGCCCTAAACAAGTTGCATAAAAAACAGTTCAGAAAACGAATGTGATTTTCTTTTTAAATATCTGCATGATTTACATGTACGCTGATAAAGAATTTGTTGCACATTATGGAAACATTCCATTCCAACATTCAAAAAACATACATGCGCAGCAGATTTTCTAATGTCGATATGGGTTGTAGCATTTTTTTACTTCCATATAAAAATAGCGGCACTATGATTCATTTGTATATTCAATTTCAATATCTTATAATCACATTCAAAATACGATACTTAACATCTATTTTTGCTCAATTCATGCATGGCATACATGTACATGTTTTGTATAACATGCCATGCACATGCAGGAGTCGACCATCATACATGTATTTATATTCTAGTGAGAAGTACACATTGCAATGTATATTGCACCATTATGACATATCTACTAAATGTGCAAGTACTTTGAATCTCAAGAAAAACAAAATTGGTTTCAGAATCAGCCTTAAAAACTAAAAAGGCAGCAAGCTTACATTAGTGACTTTTGAATTTGCACGTCGACATACATGTAGTGGACTGCTACAATGTGACGTCCTTTTAAGGCACTATTAGTGCTTTAAAAGGACGTCACAATCATTTTTCAAATTGAGTAAAAAAAGACTGATTTGTTCTTTTGAACACATCCGAGTCAAAACAATAATAATAATAAATAAAATAAAATGAAACTAAAATACATGATACATGCAGGTGTAAGTCTGACTTTGTAAAATCCAAGGAATCAAAAAGAAATATATTAAAACTTATACAAGTTGGGAAGGTCTATATGTATCTCTATAAAATTGCTTGCAGCAAAAAATGCTAAAGAGTATATCAAATATACAAATTTTTAACATCACAATTTGAATATGGACAATTTACAAATCAATTATGAAAGAATCATAAAAATACATCATATTTTAGCACCTACACTGTAAGTAATATAATCTTTGAATCACATTCAGGGAAAATATGTGAATTAATTTTGCAGAGTAAAGTGGAGTTCCCTTTGGATTCACAAAATTGAAACTCCACTCATCTGGTAACGAACCAACAGAAATTACACCGTTGAATCAGGATTACACAATACCAAATATTATAGTATCGAAAGGCATCCAGGAATACATAGAGAGTCATAGACATCATCAACATTTTTTAAAATATAAGACCTCAATCTTTTTCCAATATTGTTCCGTGTAGATCAAAAGAACACAATAAACAACTAGAGCTATTCAAATCATGCAGAATTTGAACTTCGGTCACGCAGGTTTCAACAATCCAATTTGTTTCAAGTTCTATACCAACAGTTACAAATGGCAATCCCAATCCTACATACACTAAAGGCCCATTTTCCTTCCTCTCAGAAAATGTTATAAATGTTATAAAAAATGAGATATTCCAATACATGTAATAATATGGTAATACTGGATATTTTAATAGTGCCGGCCCACGTCCACTACTCAAGGTGCTCCAATAATACTCCCGCATCTAGTTAGGCTACCAATTTTGGTACTCAAGGCATTCAAGGATTCCTTCCTATCAATACCCACACCTATCTCAAGTTCAAGCTCTACCGAGTGGAGGGAGGCAAATGTAGATTAAGGTCTTTTCAAAGGACACTAGGGCATTAGAAGGCATTGTGTTCACTACCTATATAATATACTCAAAGTTAATTTACTAGATATACATTATATAATAACTTTTTTTTTCTCCAGATACATCAACCGATCAAAATGCTTAATTTCGTAAAATAAATACATTTCAATATCCCTTTGTAACACAGAATAGTTTTAAATTAATCGACTGGGCTCTATGAATACTGCATTTACTCTCCCACGTAACAAGCCACCTTGGCGATACCAGCTGCGGATGGGCAGATAAAGGTCATTTATACAAAACTGTAAAACCCAACAAGCCGACTACTGGACACATGTTCAGCACATAATCATAATTCATTTATGCACTGTCCTTACATTTAATGATACTCAGGTGGAAGTATTCTTTTCAAGAGGAGAAAACAAAAGGTATTCATGAGATACCGGCCTCCATCACTTTCGCAGTGATTATTCCAAGATGGACAAAGTGGGCCGTCTCCTTTGCGTAAAATATCTGTGGATATTTGGGGGTCATTTGTACAAGTGTTGTATACGAAGTGGCTTGTTCAATTACAATGCACATCGTTCGCTTCACTTGGAGCCTCCGAGCCAGTCACCACTCTAAATGCACACACATGCTAATCCAACCATAAAGACTTTCATGATGACATTATGCAAGCAGATGCTCAAACAGAACAGATGTACATGAACAGGAAGAGGTAGATTATCCCCCATCGCAGCAAAAAAAAAATCAGAAATAAAAGTTTAAAGTTAGGCATGAAAAAAAAGATATTGTATTGCTCTTCGACCCAAAAATCTTTAAAAATACGGTCTGCTTTTTAGTTTTAAAAAAATTTGAGAGAAAAAATGTTTAATGGATACAAAATATGTATTTTGTTTGTTTATATGGGATATAAATGCATAAAATCATCAAATTATTCCCAAATTCTCACTCGTCTTCTGCCCTAGTTTCAAAATCCTGCTAGGGTAAACAGGTAGACCCCAGCCTCGTGTACATGTGTATACCATGCACTGCACTAGCTAGAAACCTGCAAAATTTGGGCGATGTTCCCGGTTTTTAGTTTTTTGGGCGATGGTCACTGTTTTGAGGGAAGAAAAAAAAAGGTTCTGGCATCTCAAGGGCAACACAACATTTTTTTGTTAAGGCCTAAATTAAAGAATAGCCTGTTTTCCAATAAATATACAGAAAGGATAAATGTACACAATCTAGAACAGACTGTGATGTTTGTCATAATAAAGAAATGGCTAGTACTACAAAATCAACGAATAGCATTGAAGAGAGATATACCAATGCTTTTTGTCTCGTAATCAATAGTGAGTGAAAGTTGCAGAATAAACTACCAAGCTTCCCGCTATTTCTCGCAAGCCAACCAGAGGTTGTGATTTCACCTCCCAAATTGGAAAAGATAGGTCTTCAAAAAAATGGTGGAAGTGGTAAAGAGAAGTGGATTGAGATGGATAGGTCATGTGTTGAGAAGGGAAGATGATGAACCAGTGAAAAGAGCGTGGGATCTGGAAGTGGGTGGCATAAGAGGGAAAGGAAGATGGAAGATTTCATGGAAAGATATGGCGAAGAAAGAAAGCAGTAAGGATGGTCTAAATGAGGAGGATGCTCGAGACAAGAAAAGGAGGTCATCATGGTGCAAAACGAAAGTCAGTAACCCCTCACAAGAGTGAAAATGATGAGTTTAATAAATGATGATGATTGTGACGATGATGTTGTGCTTTGTTCCACCCGTTTCTATTTATTTTCTCCGCTAATGGCTTTTGTTATATTTTTGCTATTCAATCAGAAAATGGCAAGATGGAAAGCTGTTAGTATATCTCTCTTCCTTGCTCTTCTCACGATATATCAAACATGCATTGCACATGTAAAAGCAATTCCCAATATCTACTATAACTCTACCGTATAAAATTTAGCGTCATGTCACATTCACAATCTGACCTAATACTTGCCATTCCAATTTTATACCTAAAATGAATTATGTGAAAAGGTCAACTCTTTTCATAAGATATACACACGAGGTAGGATTCATACAATATTGATTCAATAAAATCAATTTGCATCAATGCTTCTCAATTTAAAAAAAAAAAAAAAATTCTATGGTACCTTGGAAGAATCTTAAGTTCCTTCATGAATTTGTTTTTTAAAATGCTAGAGCATCCATGAAATGAATTATATTCATTATAATACTTTTGTTTTGCTCCCAATTGCTGCATCTTGCAAATCTATATATTTTTTTAATTACCTATACTGGTACATGTATTTCTATTAGCTCTATTAGAACAAAAGAACTGCATCTATGAAAATAATTCTATCCAAACCATACATTTTTAATAATTTATATTCAAACATTTGCATCTCTTTGACTGAGATGCATTATAATTTACAAAATCTAGATCAGTATCAAAATAGATTTTCATAAAAATTAACATCAATAGATGATTAATAATTGCGTAATTTCTTGTTCATGTTTCTTAAATTCTGGAGCTGTTACGCATTGACCGAGATGTATTCATGACGAGATTCAAATCTTAAACAATATATCAGTTCATAAATAATTGACTATTTCATTAATTTATCATCGATATCACTGTTGTCTATATTCTATATCATATGAGATGAATTTTTTCAAAAATCTAAATAAAAGATGAAAAGTGGCGAGTACCATCAGTAATTTTTCTGTTGATAAGGAGTTAGGAATACAGGATTTGATTTTGTGTTTGCACAAAATAAACTATGAATATAGCAATACAATACACATCTGAATGGGAATTCACTGAAAAGTTGAAAAAATATATATTATCACTTTTTTGCAGTGATGGGTGTGTTCTCATATAACAAGTGACAATACTCTGGACTGAACACGTAAAGATAAAGTTGAGTTCTGGTTATGCGATTGCATTGTGAAAGAAATGGTGTGGAATCGGTCAGGAAAGGTTGATCATCTAGCATATAAGTATCATTGTGTACTGCAAGATTCTGGAGTCGTCAAAATGATTAGAAAATTAGGCCAAGTCTTGGTAAAGTACCAAGCGCTGTACACATAAAGATGTATAAGGGAGTACACAAACATGTGGCTGGAAATCGGGCCACATTTTTGAGCTGTTAATTTTCATATTTAGAATATAAAGGCATTTGAAGAGCCATGTTCTTTGAGGAAATATTTTTTCTCTGACGTTCTTCCACACTTGCATAATAACAATGATAACGCTCACAAACTATTTTCCACCTCTCCCCAGAACTCAACCTTCTCTTTAATACATTGTGTATGCTGTGTGAAATTTAACACTAAGAAAATGTTATTCACTGTACAAAAAGAGTGCAGCATCATGAAAAAAATATATCCCGCCATAAACTAATTGTTCAACAATCTTGAAGAAAAAGATTATCACTACAAATATAAAAATGAATTTTCATCTCAACCTCACACACTGTGACACATCAATAAAAATTTAAAAAGGCTTCAAGTTCAAGTGAAGTATTTTCAAGACATGGTTCAAGTGAGGATACATAAATAACTAGTCAAAAGGTAAGATATATGTGCAGTCATTTAAAAAGGTTATTAAAAAAAACCCCAAAACAATGATAATTCCCCAGTTGACCATAAGTTCTCAAGATCAAACGTCCATAGCCCCGTAACAAAAAGCTTAGCAATTGACGGTACAATTGATGGTACAATTGATTTTTGCGATAGATATTACACTCATAGTGATCAACGCAATCAATAGCAAAAAATCAATCGTATGATTGATTGCTAAGCTTTGTGTTACAGGGGGTCTAGAAGATCAAGAGTACCCCACCCCCAACAAAAACCAAACACCTTTTTAAATGGTTGAAGAGACTTCATGACCATATCCCTATAAAGGCCAACTGTCTACAGTGTTCAAATTTACTGCTTCTCTCTAAGAGAAATTTTGTGCTGTGGAACCTGTCTAGAAAGACATTGGCATGATTTTCATGCTTTCCTCAGATGGGCTTAATAGATATACTTGACTGAAGTCCTATGAGCTCACGAGACCAAGGCCCCCTGTCTTTTAAAGAGTTGATATCAAACGCAACTATGTAACTACAAACGAGATAGGAGAATGCAAACTTGCAATTGATTAGGGTGTGTGTGGGTGTATTGGGTTTTAACAGACGTGTATCAATCAGATATGATTATTTCCGTCTGGGGACCAACCTTTAAACATCACCATACGAAAGACGTGACTCAATTTCGAACCTGCGTCCTTTGCTGAATCAGTTTGTACCTTCAATTGCTAGCTGGATTACAGGCGCACGCCACGACACCTAGTTGATAAGAATCAATCACAAATCTTTATAAGACTGGGCCCATATCCATCAGTCTCCTGATCTCTTGGCCTACAAGTCAACTAATGTCCTGCACCCCTAAAACTAACTCAAAGCAAACATCAATCCAATTTATGATAGCCGTTGCTGTTGGAATCCGTCTTGGTGCCGTTTCTGGCATCGCCATTGGACGCACCGTTGGTCGCACCGTTGGACGCGACCTTGGATTCACCATTCTGGGAGACCTTGCCCTTGGGGGTTGGGATGCTGCCATTTGGCCCTTGCGGATGTAGGCTTGCATGTAGAAGTTGAGGAAGAGGACGAGGAAGGCGAATCCGTAGCTCCCTACGATCCACACAAAGATGCTGGGGTACGCGCAGTCAATGAACAGTAGCTGGCTTAAGTGTATTAACACCACTGTAAATTGGATCTGTGGTGCAAGGATATTAAAAAAAGCAATTGAATTATTAAAATTGTTACATGTATATTAAGTCACATAAATAATCTTCCGGTGCCAGATCGTGTGTATCGTGGAATACACATACCAAAGGATTCAAGATGATTTTAACCACTTACAGTGCAAGGTTTATTAATACCACAGCCCAATACCAGTCTTAAAAGGGTTTTCATAGTGGCTAATTTTAACGTTAATACATATAGATACCGGTATGGGTACACTGTTTGCTGTGCGCTTTGAGTTCATAAAAACATGAACTGGACAAATTTTATTCCACTCGAGATGGTTTGTTCACCAATTTCAAATTGTGTTGCATGACTAAAAAGAAGATTTTTTTAAGCGAACTCCTCCGGTACTTAGGTTCATAACGTGGGAATAGGTGATTACGTAACATTTGTGTTTTAGTTTATATGGCTCTCCACACAGGTGGACGCATGCCAAGTAAGGCTTGGTGATATCAATATCACAGTTGATGAATCACCAAGCCCGTAAGGCTAAGTATATCAATGTGTATTCACCATCTGTTAGTTCTAAACTTTATATGAATGCATGGTACAAGTGTATAGCCCAGTGTCTCCTGTAAGTGATGTTTTGGCATTATCTTTGGATCCAGATTGCTAGGAACTACACATTATACACAAGCAGAAAGAGCAAAGGTCACAGAAAATTTAAGTCTACTTCCAATGCAGTAAGCTGTGCAATTTTCAAATAAAAGCAATTTAATTGTAACTAAATCGGCAACGCAGTGTTAAATATAAAACCATTACTTTCATGTACAAATTGGCAATTTTTAGGTAAAACTCTGTAACTTTCTTTGACATTTGTTCATCTAAAAAATATTGTATTTAATTATTTTTTTTAATCGGAGGGAGGAGGGGGGAGATAAGATTAATAGTTGCCAATTTGAGGAAGGACAACTGATTAACTTAGAAAATGAGAAAACTCCTAACTGCTACGGGTTAAGAATATCTCCTTCCTCTTACCAGCTGCATCTTGGTCATGTATTTCTTCCACCAGAGGTACTTCTGCATCTTAGGGCCAAACGCTGCAAGGCCGTAGTAGGTGTACATCAAGAAGTGGATGAAACTGTTCAAGAAAGCGTGGAACGTTCCAAGTCCGCCTAGAGAGGAATTAAATGGAAAATCGAGAGACCATTATCAAAATGTTTTTAAAATCTTAATATACAATGCAATAAGCTATTATATTCACCTGTTAGTAATTCTTGTACCTCAATAGTTAGTATGCAAATTGCATAAATTAGTTGTTGCTAGGTCAGACAAACATTGTGCTTGCCTGACAACACATAATGTATGCAAATTGCATTCTTTTTTGTCTTCTTTTCATTGATTTTTTTAAAAATTCAATCATTCTTGAGCAATATTAAAACAATAGATTCAAACAAAGTACATTTTTTGACATATCAGTAAAATAAACATTGTTACATCAGTTGCACATCTCTCCATTTATCTAGAAACAAAACAAATTTATTGCGTTTGATAGTCTGACTATAAAAATAAAATTAAGAGTACAAGGTGAATGAAAATAATCCTTCACAAGGCACTTCACAAAGATGTACATGTACATTGTATGTATCAAATCTGACATTACAAAAATATTGTACATATATGTGATTGCATTCTTTGGAGGGACCAATATTGTTAAAGTTCATGTACAGTTTTGGTAAGCCCTCTAAAACTATTTAGCAAATCATTATTATAACCCCTTTTAAGAAACAGGGTCCAGGGGCTCGTTTCATAAAACTTGTCATCTATAACAACTGCTAAATTTCTATAAATTTGCTCTCAGCCAATCAAATGCCATGATTTCAGTAGCTCATAACAGTAGCTTGTATCTTGTTATTGATATCAAGTTTCATGAAACAGGTTCACAAAGACTAAGATTGACTATAAGCTTGACTTAACTATGGCAAGCCGTTCATGCCACTAGTTGCTCTAACCATTCCTGGCATTGGTTTTTAAAGGGATGTGTAAATTGTGGTCACAAATCTACTGAATTTTTAGCTTTTTTGATAGTCCATTATTAAAGGAAACAATATTATTTAAAGATCATAATTGAGAGACCAATGATGAGAGCAGTCAGTGGCATCAACGGCCTGTCCAATTTAAAGCCAATCTTAGTCTTTACGAAACAGGGCCCAGATCTTACCTCCACTGAATCGGACTCCGACCCACCAGGTGAAAGGCATGATGGAGTGATGAAAGACATGCAGAAACGAGATCTGGGACTTCTTCTTCCGAAGTATAAAGAAGAACTGGAATGAAAGGAAAACAAAATATATACATGTACATCACATTAATAGACTTTAGATGAAACATTTAACAAATTTATTGAACTCACAGTAAACAGGCACCGGTACTAATAAAACAAAAACAGTTATTTAAAGCAATGATTGTCTCAGTATTGAATGGGGATCGAGTATCCTGCCCATTCCCTCTACCAGAAAAAAAATTGCAATCAGAATAAAAAAATATTGAAAAAAACAATTTTTTTTTTTTTTTTTTTTACACAGCAAATATGATTTTTTTTTAAAATAACTCTCTAATCAAGAAGTATAAAATGTCTACGGGTAATCATGCATGATTATAGTTAAGCTTTTTTCTCCATAACCTTCATCGTACTACTGATCGTAGTTTCTTAATCAAACAAGCCAGACCTGGTTTTTAGTCTTGATTGTATTTCAATAGGCGGCATATGAATTGCATCTATTAGTTGTTGCTAGGCAGGACAAATAGTATGGCTTGTCCTAACAGACAACATGCAATATGCAATGCAATTTGCATTCCAACTATTGAAATATGATTATTCTACCTGGTGAATGAAATAACTTGTAACAAGGCACCTAATAGCAAAGAAATATATTCCATAAATTGGATTACAAAATATGGAAATGGTCTTTAAACTATCCTCCCAACGTTATGCTAGTATGCATAATGACTATAGCGGACTATTCTGCTATCAAGCTTACATCATGTAATACAAAAAGTTTCCTTACTTTATACCCACTTCATACTGCTAAACCAATTCTAAACTAAAATTCATGAAATCCTTGGATTCATAGTAACTTATGCTTTTTTTATTGCCAATCTCTTAAGTATAAAATAATACAATGACAGAAAGAGTAAATTAATATGGGCAAGGACATAATGGTAATTGGTGTTCTTTATCTTCCACATTTTAAAATTACACATACTACAGCAGACTTGTATGTAATGTGCAATCTTCCGTAGGTACATGTAAGTTTCAATTTTTTAAATGAAGAATAACAGCATAGCATCCCAAAGAATAAGATATAAAGAAAATGAAAGAAATAATAAATCAATAAGGGCGAGGGCATAATGGTGATTGTCTTTTCTACCACATTTTAAAATTACATACTACAGCAAACTTGTGTGTAATGTGCAACCTTCCATATGTAAGTTTCTATAATTTTTTTCATGCACGAACGCTTGACCTTGAATGACAAAACAACAACTCATGTTTGCCGACAGAACTGGGCCCTGTTTCATACCAATTGTTATCAATAACACATGCTAAATTTCCAAGACAAATTTGCTCTTAGCCAATGAGATGCCACAGTTTCAGTAGCTTATAACAGTTTTTGTAATTTGTTATCGATAACATGTTTTATGAAACAGGGCCCAGATCAACACCAATCATGCAAAGTGTGATTGCAGTACTAGTGCATTGTGTCTTGGAGAGTGTGGGGGGGGGGGGGGGGGGGCAAGTATCACTCCAGCTACGAAGGTGAGACACAACGCATTATTGATCGTCTTTGACCCACTGAATGCATAGGAAATCAATAAAGCATTGCATTGTTAGACATCATGCATTGTACAGTCAAACCTGCTTTAGTAACCACCTGTCTACAACAAGCACATTTATTGTTTCCCTTGAAAATGGTTTCTCATTGAAACATGTACTAAAGGAACCTGTCTACAAAGACCACCTGTCTACAAAGACCACTTTTTGTGTTTCCCTTGGGCGGTCGCTGCAGACAGGTTTGACTGTAATAGCATTATACATGTACACCTGTACATGCCCCATCTAATTCCCTCAAGAGAAAGTCAAGTTGGTTTTCATGAAACAATCAAACAAATTGGGAACGTCTACAATGTTTCCATCACAAGCAATAAGCTATTTCTTGTACTGTACAAAGGGGGGTGAAAATGATCCCTTTTGGGAGTTTCGAAATACAAATGGGGAGAGATGACATGTCTAGCTCCAGCTATGCGTTCAAGACAAAAATGGATGATAGGTTTGATCTCTGACCGACTGGATGCACAGAGACAAACACATTTCCTAGACCTTATGACCTTGACCTTATGACCTTGACTGGAATCAGTGAAATGCATTGTGGTCACATTATACATGCACCATGTCTTTTTGTCAATAGGAAACCCACCCTGCAAAATAATTTTGTTTTCATAAAGGCAGAGAATTAAAAATTGTAGAAAAATCTGATGGAGGAGATAAAAGAGTTAGCAAGGGTCAAAGTGATTAATAAAAAGCAAACCAGGCTTCTCACTATTTACAATTTCCTTTGCAAGCAGCTCTTTGTTTACTTCAATTTTAAAAGACTAGCAAAAAGTATCCCCTTATTACCTAGACCTTATGACCTTGACCTTATGACCTTGACTGGAATCAGTGAAATGCATTGTGGCCACATTATACATGCACCATGTCATATTGTCAATAAGAAACCCACCCTGCAAAATAAGTTTGTTTTCATAAAGGCAGAAAATTAAAAAAATTAGAAAAATCTGATGGAGGAGATAAAAGAGTTAGCAAGTGTCAAAGTGATTAATAAAAAGCAAACCAGGCTTCTCACTATTTACAATTTCCTTTGCAAGCAGCTCTTCGTTTACTTCAATTTTAAAAGACTAGCAAAAAGTATCCCTTATTAAAGAGTGTATAACGAAGAAATACACCTTCACATGAGATATGTCTCTGGAACAAGTACAGGTATGCAGAAAAAGAAAACAAATTGGTAAAAACTTGAATCATCAAACTGTGCGTATGAAACCAATTGAGGTATGCTCTTAATGAAATTCATCACACATATGTGTATGAATGTGATTAGCTGTATGTTCGTCAGTCCTTCCATCTATCCCCCCCCCCCTCTCTCTCTCTCACACACACACCCACACACACACCTTCTGTCTTTTCACTTTCTGTTGACCTTCATGAATAGATATTATAACATCTGTTCTACATGTACATGTATACAGTGTGTGCGAGCATTAATCTATAACTAGTACATGCAAAATCAAAGGAGAAACCTTAATGCATGACTATGACACTGCTATTTCAAACTCTGCTTGTACAACAGAAGTATACCAGTATATGTCAAGTATGTGAATGACAAATGACCATGGTCAAGTATCTAGAGTTCAAAGTTTCCATTCAATCAAACATGGACATTCCTAATATCAATATTGACTTACCGTGTCCCACATCTCAATGAATTTGGAGAAGTAAAACCACCAACAGACTTTCAACATCTAAAGATAGAAACAAAGAAGAGTATTTCAAGTTGATTATCACTATCTTTATCTTCAGGGGTAGTTTGTCATTTTACAGACACATGCACTGAAGACATGCTACTATCTTAGCTGCACCAAACAAATAGTTGTGTTGAAAACAATAGTTTGCAGACAAGACTAAATTATAAGAACAAATAGGATCAAGAGGCCTTTTACAGTTACAGCCAACTAGATTAAATTAATAATCACAATGAGAGAGAGAGAGAGAGAGAGAGAGAGAGAGAGAGAGAGAGAGATGGAGGAAGAGAGGAAAAAGAGGGGTCAAGAGAAAGAGAGGGGAGTAAAGAGGAGAAAAGACCAGGAGTAGAGGAAAGAGGAATAGGGGAAGATGGAGGAAATGATATGAAAAGACTGGGAGAAGAGAAAGAGGATGATGGGGGAGAGGGGGAGAGGGGGAGAGGGGGAGAGGGGGAGAGGGGGAGAGGGGGAGAGGGGGGAGAGGGGGGAGAGGGGAGAGGGGGGGAGGGGGAGAGGGGAGAGGGGGGAAGGGGGAGAGAGAGGCAAAAGAGATGGAAAAGTGAAAGGAAAGGGAGACAGGAAGGGTTGGGGAAAGGAGAGGGAGGAGACAGTCCGGTGACGAAGCCATTGAAGAAGAAAAAAAGGAGTCTGGGCAATTTTGATCACAACTTACAAGAAAAATACCAATTCATAAAATACATACCACTATAAAGAGTTAGCTAAATTTAATTTTAACTGATAATGCCAAGATGCTCCATAAAGAGTCATTCTATGGTACAGAGGATCCACAATACAATATTCTGATGACACCCCCCCCCCCCCCAATAATATTTGCATGCAACCTGAGTTTGATAGCAGCCGTATTGATATACTTTATAAAAATTGTTATTAAATACTCCTAATTTTTCAGCAAAGTGAGGGACTTTTGATTCTGGAACGTCACTTTGTATGAGATGTTAAGAGTTCCGGGAACCAGTCCCCTTGTTTTCTACATAGAATTAGTGTACTTACTATCATTGCCTTTGGACTGTTGCTGTAATCCACGAGTTGACAGCCTAATGTGTAGCCGTTCAGCCAGCCACCACGACCAAACTGCATGATAATACAAGTAAGATAGTCAATTGTTGGAAAGGGTAAGGCACAATGGTCTTGAAAACTAGATATCACCGTTTCAAAGTGATCCAGTGTCCCTGGAAAAGGCAGTTCTCAGTTACTAAGTCAATGCATTGTAAATGTCACACATCTCAGCAGTGTTCGAAGAGCTCTTCAGGTGCTATGCTGGGGCTGTATTTAAGCGTTTTGTAATTGAAAATAATCATTACTTTGAATGTTACCGAGCATTGCATTTCGATAAAATTTTCCAATCAAAGTTTCACCTTTGCAATAATGAAAATAAAGTTAGTCTTTAAAATCTTCGCACAGCTACTTTAAGTCCAAATTAAATTCGATCTTAGTCTTTGTGGACACTTAATTTCTTTAACAAATGTGATCTGATTAAAACAAATCAAATCAAATCAAATGCAAACATACCTGAACCACCATGTACAGAGATAGTAGCACCATTGCAAAGTTGTAAACAATAAGGACCTCTCGGAGTTGGAAGGGTTGTCGTTTCTCCATCAGCTTGGGTCCTACCCATACGATGACGAGATAGGCCAGGACCATGAAGGAACCGGGCCAGGCGCTGTCCATCAATAACCAGCCATCGGCCCGTGGATCTGAACAGATTCAAATATTAACTATTAAAATGTTCAAAATGCATACAATACTTAAATTCACCAACTTAGTCCAACTATCATGCATTGCAAATAAGAATCTAATAATTCCTCAGTACAACCTGATCAAAATATAAAAAAGTCTATTTTGCCTTTTAAATAATTTGTACTTGATGCTTTGGAATTTACAAAACTAATAAATACAATATTCATGAAAACAATATTTGACTGATTTAAGATATTTTAACATAGGGTAGGTGAAGAGAGAATAGACCTTCTCCAACTAGTCCTAAACAATTAAAATATATATATATATTAATTTTTTTAAATACCACTCACCTTTATATTCTTCAACTAATTGATCCCATCTTTGAATGTATTCCATAATAATTTGAGCCATCTGCAGAAAGATGTGTAAAAACAAAAACAAACAAAAATATAAACATATAAGTCCTCCAACAACGCATTAACCTGCAGGAGTACTTTGCGTAAGACTTGAATTACACCAGAGAGGCCAGCCATGCACCATTGCATGTACTGCGAGTGTGTACACCTCCGTTTTTCAACCAGGGTGCCGCGAGACATCTCCTTTGTCTACTAGACTCTGGAAATTTGTTCTGCATTCTTAGAATTTAGGGACTGGTGTGATTACTTTCACGAAGTATATATGCTAGTTAAACTTAATACAGCTTAACTCCACCTTTTCAAAAGAGATTCCCAGAAGTGTAGCCAATGAAGTTGTGTACCTCCTTACTACTAATCTTCAACCGATCAGTGTTCAATTCCATGTCAACAAACTTTTCCCCCTTGGACAACTTCTTACGCTTCACCATAGCTGCCTTATGCCGTTTACATTACCGGTAATCGGAATGTGGAACAACCTTCTGCACATCCTGTCTATGTACAATCTGCCAAACATCGAATAGGCCATAGCATTTATATAGGCGTGGCATTAATCAGGATCGTCAGCATAAACGAGGATCATCTTCGTACACGCGGACAGATACGTTCGCAAAAATAAGGAAATACATGTAGGAAAAATACTCTGAAAAAGATACGAAAATTGACACGAAACAGGTAGCAAACATATGGACTTTTAAATCATGACCTTTATTTGGACATTTGATGAATATTTACTTCATTTTGGGTATGTTTTAGTAAGGTATATCCACACCGGTATTTATCGAGTATTAGTTGCGTTTTGCTTAGACCGAAAACTTCAGTCTCTCTAATCGTCGGTTGTTCCACTGAGACTACGTCTCGCTCCACTAGACCTCAGATTATAGAGACTGAAGTATGGCCTATCGGGACTGTACAGGGCTCAAATTAATTTTTTGTCCACGGGGGCTCTTCCAAAAAAAAAGAGCCCCCGTGCGCCATCTACACGTTCGTAATGGCGTTATCACAGTTTTTCCTTCATAATCATTTTTGCCTTCGGCGTAGACTAGAAGGGATGAGATTGATTTAGATGACTCCCGCCAGCGAGAGTTTAACACGGCTTGCAAGATTTTCAACATGGACGTCGATTTTGACCCATAATTTCCTTAAAAGGGACCATTAAACGGATTATTTCAATCAAGTTAGTAAGTGGAACCGATGTATTATAGCCTAGGCCTAATTTACATTTGGATATACACGAGGTAAAATGACATTTTGGGGGATTTTGGGGGCAAAACGCTACGACCTGAAATGGCCGTGGCGTTATCAAGGGAATGTGTATATATAGACGGTTTCCGTCTCTAAAGAGAGAGCCGGCCGACCCTACCCCAATAAGAGGCTAACAAACGAAAGAGACAGAAAATTCGGTCTATGTTTTGGTAGGTTGAACCGGAAATATATCGGCCGCCGGGTAATAGTTCGAATGCATGAACGTACTGCTTCGCGGTTCTGAGATAAAATTGGATAACTCATAATAAGTAAGTCCGTAAATTTCACATTCTATAATAGGTTAGCAAATTTTGAAAACTAATTAGGAGGTATATATACCGACCTAATTTACATCTGATTTAGAAATCAGAAAATTAAATCTAAATAAAGAAAATCGGGGGAGAAATGTCGGGAACGAAACTTTGTTCCGCTGTGGCTCTAAATTACCCCCACGGTACGAGATCTCTGGGTTGCCGTCTGTATTGGGGAATGTCAACAAATGTCAATTTTATTAAAGAAATGACCCAATCAGACGGTTATTTCTGTCTACGTTTTGCTATGTTATCTATTGGTGACAGTGGTACTATCCTCGGTATAAATTGCTTCATTGTATAAATTGTACAAATTGCTTCATTATACGGAGAGAGGTTTTAAAATAACGTCCTAATGTAATGAACTGATCGCAACTAATATTCAACCACTTCATCCTTTCTTTCCTAATGAATTCTTGAAAAAAACAAGCCGAATAACAATAGTCTACAGAAAATAACTAGAGTAGTGGCTCTGGTCTGCGGCCGATCGGCGGGAACTGCCGATTCTATTTTTATTGGAATACTCACAGAATACTTCAATACCCTCAATAAAGAGTCCATATACTTACTTATTAAATAGAAGTCACAAATAACCTAACTGACCCACAGCGTGGTCAGCATTGACCACGTTTCGAAATGCTTCGAGTTCCCCGGTTTGCGGGCACGCATTACCGGTTTGCGGCACGCGTACGTCACAAAGCTTTATGCGCTACGTCACGATGAAAGCATGTACCAAATTACTACGGGTAACCCAAATTCTCATGTTTATCTGTTGCTACGGTAAATTTGTCAAGTTTTAAACAATTTCACCTTTTTCTCGAATGGATCATCCCATCCGGGGGTAAGTACTACTAGAAACTATCGGGTCATAGCGGGTACACACATCAGCACACATACCATCATACACGATCCCGCATGTTATGTGTGTATTAACACCCCCCGCCGCAAACCAGAAAAAACACGTAATTACGTGCCGGTTTGCGGCCACCCCATGCAACTGGCCATGCGGTGGCACAATCAAAATATCTGCGATAGGAGACAGACCACAGCCATCATACTTCCACAAAAACATCAAATTTCACCTCCAATCGGACAAATATCGGACAAATAGAGCTACAATATTGATCTAGTCATGCCTCGATCTCTTAACTTAAAAGTTAGCACCTGCTGGAATTTTCATCGGCGACTGGTGCCGTAGATTTCCGACATCGCTGACGGATACTCCGTACCGACAGGAGCACCTGCTACGGACATTTTCGGCAAAGCAGAACTTACTGTGGAATCCACGGTAGGTTTCAATGATTATTATCGAGTCATATTCATTTTATTTTTAAAACAAATACCCCTGGCCGCAAACCGGGCGATGCCGCAAACCGGAGACTCTACTCTACTAACAATTTACTGACATTGTTAATTGCACAACACAACGCCACTAGGCTATTGTCGATCCAACAGTAAAAGTATTAAGAGAGGACCAGTAACTACGCCCTCTCACAATGCCTGGCGGAAATCATCGAATGACGATGGAAACGCCATTAATCGCAACAACAACACCGGAGTTACGGGTCATATTTTTTGGATACCGGTAGACTTCTGAACTAGCGCCTCACTTTGTTCTGTCCGAAAGATTATAAGAAAATTAAAAAACTTACAACAATTTTCAGAATACCACCCCTGGCTGGCCTGGATTGGGTTGACGCAAAATGTTTTGTGTTTTGACTTTGAAAAAATAGAAGGTTGTACACTTCCAATCTCTATCACTTATCAGCTCCGCTTGACTACGGAAGCGCAGCTTGAGATTGACGCTATCGAGCCGCCGGACACGCATAGCGCATGCCTAGCCCGTGGCGTCGGCATGCTAGTACAGCACTCTCGGCCTCACTCCCAGTCGAGTCGGCGCTCACATTACAACAAAATATATTTACTTCGTGCTTTGCCAGCACATTAACTTGGGTTACAAATTCCTCTCAAGATCGAAATTAAGATGCCACAATACGTACCATGTAATTTAATTTGGATAGATGTACCTAGTACCGTCTGTCACTGTGAGAAATTATTTTTATAAAACTAAAAAGGGCGGTCCAATCAATGTGCTCTCCATGATCCATCCAGGGAGTGCCATGCTATGCTACAACGTATATGTACAGCTGGGTCGTCGTCATGCTCCGCTAGCGAGCTTTAGGCCTGGTAGACATGTGCTTTATGTGGTGCAGTTCTGTGAGCATGGCCCATTTTTCAAGTACATATATGGCCTAGTTGTCGCGCGCCTGTAACCATGGGGTCTCAGTCGAAATGCAGGTTTTCCAGACAACCCCCTAAACGAGGATTGCTTCTGAAGCCAAAATACACCCTAAATCGGGATTTCGCATGGTTTTTCCCTCGAATTCACACCCAATTCGGGTATTTCACAATGTACTCGATCATAGTTTTGTAAAATTGTTACCCGGCCTAATTGAGCACTTTTAAGTACGATATATACCATAAAGTTGTTGACAATTATGTATGCATAATTGCAATCCGAAATGTGACAAATTATTTCAATAGATCATCAACCTCGACAACCTATAGCACTTCCAAATGACTATTTTAAGTTCCAATCTCCCGTTGTCTCCCTTGCATCCCAACTTCTCTATTTAGGTCCTCATTTTTTGATGTCTTGATCTCTCTCTCTCCCTCAGTATGTTAATATCTCCATTTTTAAATTGTCTCTTTCTTCCTTCCATCGATCATCATTCTCTCTCTCTCTCACTCTCATACGGTCCTCCACTCCACACTGTCTTAATTCTCTCTCCCACCATCCTCGATTCTCTCTCTCTTTCCTCCAGTCAATCATCCACATCTCTCACCCTATATAGCTCTTTCAATCAATCCCCTTTAGTATATCGCTCCTCTCTCATCCTTTATTTCCCTCTCATCCCATTACCCCCCCCCCCCCCCTACCTGATGATATTGTTTCTCAGTCATACTTTCACATACAATAAAATTGATCACACCTGCATCAGCAAGTTTATTTTTCTCCTTTATTCCAGTGAGTATCCTGATTTACACATTTACTTACAATTAATTCCAGTCATATACATGTATGTATCACAAAAAATGCATGCAAGTATATACAAAAGAAGTAGGAAACCATGTCGATGTATAAAAAACATTAACCGACAGATAATGTAATACATGAAAAGGAAGTGATTAAACAAGTTTGATCGAAAATTCCCTTTTATCAAACAATTTCAAATAAGGAAGAATGGAAATTGCAAAAATTTGCTATTGAAAGCACAAGCATATCCCGATGATAATTTTTTCATCTTCCTGAATTGAAAACACACTTCAAAAACAATAAAATTGAGATTAATGTGTAAAAACAAAGCACCAGAGTTAAATTCACCAAAATGCACAGAGAATATGAACAAAAAATTGGAAAGGCAATCATTGAGAATGAATAAGTTTCATGAGAAGAAAAATCTTATGAATGTACTATCGATGTTGTTAACTTGCAATGTTATTCATCATTATTATGCCTAATTTTTTTATAATCATCACTTCTATCAAAGTACAGGCTAAAGAGAACAAAGCAACTACTACTATTCCACCCTAATAAAAAGGCAACCTTGTATAGATATTGTAGATCAACATTTGACTGTTTTCCTTAAATACAATATACAATTTTCTACCACCTAAATGAAGTTGTCAGAAAAACTCTATCCTCATAAAAATAGCCTTATACCATAAACCAATGTCTCACTGTTCTCATTATAATATATACTTTTCTACCCAGTTGTATGATTATAATGGCTAAATAGTATGCAATTTAAATGAGATCATTACTACTTTTGTTATACATGTGTAAGTACTAGGATTATATATTACATTCTCATAATGATTTCCCACATCTAGCAGGCTCAGTATTATGGTTATACAAATAATAGGATACAGTTTATAGGAATATATTATCACTTTTAAAGTTTTAATAAAGCTATAAGTATACATTCTTTCTAAGCTAATTCAACTATTCTATTAATAATTATTGCAAAATGCAAGTCAAACATATTGTACCAAACATACAAATATATATATAACTAGATTACATTACAAAAAGACATATAACAAATTCAACACAAATTGTGGTTATTATGACTCAAAATAAGATCATTCTATCTGACTCTATTATGTCCATCAAAAATTGTCACTTCTGTATTGTCTATGACAAAAAATAAATGTTTGGAGATACAAGATGGAAAGCAAAGGGCGAGGAGGGGGGGGGGGGGGGGGGGGGGGGGGGAGTAATCAATGATTCCCCCATCACAGGCAAGACTTATAAAGTATATGTATTTCTTTCTGCTTTTAGAAATAGCAGATATGTGCAATTGATCGCACTCAGTATAATCAATTGATCATGTGTTTAATCAGTCCATTTCTTTGGCAAGACATTAATTTACATTTGCCACTCTTCACCCAGGGATAGAAAATGGGTACCCAGTAGGAATTCAGCACCGACTGCCTTAGGGCAGCTGTACTAAAAATCCAGGGTAAATATGGTACTCTCTGGTGCCTTGAGCATCCCCTGGGATGGATATAAGCGCAATGTAAACTTGTAGCTATTATCACGATTATCGACTGCTACACTTTGTTTAACAGAGCCCTTCTTTGAGGATGAAATACCCCACAAAACCTACTACCGGTAAGCCGACCACTATAGAAAGGTCCAAAAGGGCTATTCATCTATACTTAAATTCGAAATTGTATGCTTCCAGAGATCACATGTATACAAATTCACTCCAGACAACAGGTGAAATTGAGCTCCAACCCCTCTGTACACATTTATGCGTAGTATCAACTGAAAGGTAGCATTATTTTGGTTTAATTTAACTAGAAGTATTCACAAAAGAAAAACAAATGAAAGGTAATTTTATCTTGGTTATATTAAACCATAAGTATTCACAAAATTAAAAAAATAATCACACACAAAATGAAGCAAACATCTGGATTGTATACGCGGTAAGTACAAAAATACACACATATCAACAAACGTAGCAACAAAATATAATGGCGGAGAACATAATATACGAAATATTTGCTATAGACTTCATCGTAAGATTGCAAACTACACATCTATGAGCTTGTGTGAGAAAAGTTCAGCAATTGATAAGCCTCTATCAACAAGAAACACGAGAAGGATGAAAACTATAAGGGGACCTTAAGAAAAAGTTATTATGTCATGCTCCGGATTACTATAACTGGAAAAATTGAACGCATGTCGGTGAGGAGCTCAAAATTATAATTACATTTTTACTTTATGTACGTTGCATGTATGACTTGTATGAAATTCCCAAATAAATAATAATAATGACAATAATAAAATAGGAAAAATTTAGAAAAAAGCCTCTCTGATCATTACATATACATGTATCATATATCGTCTGTTTTACGCCACAGTACTAACTATTATTATTTTAAGTGGAGTAAATGCCCTTTTCGCTCCAAACACACACTATATGAATGTAAAAATGAATATTTTCTGAATATGTAAATCTTTATGTCAATTTGCAGTATAGGCAGTTAAAAACATGGAATAATAGGTGGTGCAATAAGTTTACATTCTCTTTAAAAAAATGGCAGATTTGTTCCCCCTTTCTTTTATATAAATTGCACTACAAACAAAAAGAAAACAGAAAAGATACCTAGGCTAGTATAGTTAGTTTATCAGATGCAAAGATTTCAAATTTCATTTGATGTTGTATCCTTGGTATAATCAAAATGATTAAAATTTAAACCCAAACCCAAGAAATACTTAAAAAACATAAGAACTAGTAAAGTAAACATTGGTGCATTTAACACATTCACACAACTACAATCTTTTCTATCCTGAATACTGGATCTAATTCGGGAAACCGCACTACACGACTTAAATACATTGAAATCAATCTAAATGTAAATATAACATGGTTATAATACCCTTGTTAACTACAGTTTATATAGCCTCTTAATGTGTCATCTACCGCACATAAAAATATAAAGCCTCACTACGCAGAGAATTACACATACATGATGTAAATTTCACACTTCAGAATCTAGATTAATTAACATATAAATCCACACTATTGGGGTAATTGAAATAGGGGGAGGGCAAGACACTTCTAAAATATACCCTGTGAATTGATATACTCATACTCAAATATCTCAACAACAGAGTGATTTCAACTATTTCCATCAGGTTTATTGTCATTTGAAAGCCTTATTGGGTGTGGTATACCATACTAATCATGGCTCATGGTCATAGATTTGATTGAAAAATATATATTTCACAGAAAAATGCATACAATGCCAGGAAATTAATATCCATGATGTTCATAACTTGTTTTGTGTGACATACGTTACCAAATATTACGGGGTAACAAACTAAATTGACATTAAATGATCATCTTCATCTTCATAATTGATCTGACTCCGATCAAAGTTGTAGTACAGCTAGGAACCCATTGCCTACTGGAACCTAGTGGCTCCTGTATAAAAGCCTATGGGTGTGAGAGAATTCAGGAGTCAACTGCTTAATTCAATAAGATCACCAGATAAACTAAAATCCTGGAAGTGATCAGTAACCTAAGCTAAGCGAAAAAATACCTTGGACTTGTCACAATTTCTTGTGATTTGTGACCAAATGGTGACCAAATGGTTTGAATAATTAAGATAAATTGATGCAAATCCATTGATTTGGTTGTGCAAGGAGGCTTGGGCGAAGAAAACTAAAAGAAAATAATGCCTCCGGCTACTTCCTAACAGAGGCATAAAAGCTCCCCCTGCTTCAGTCGAGCTGATAGAGGGCGGTTTGCGTCCAGTAGAAATGGCTGGTATTATACGCTCACAGGGGAGGCTCCTTCCTTATCTGCTTCAGGACTGCAATTAAAGGACAAAGTAATAGTAATGATAATTATTATAATGTGTTTATATAGCGCATTTTCCATATACATGTAAATATTATAATCATACAATCATCAACAACATGCCTCAATAATTTTCTTGTCATTTTACCCCTGAGCTCATGAGTTATATATATGTAATAAACTAGATTTTTTGTTTGTTATTTCTCCAAATTTCAAGCGTGATATAAAAAAAAAATCACATGCTCATGCACATTAACTGTTTACTACTTCCAATAATTAGCCTTGTGAGAGCTGTATACAAAATATAAACATGTAAGAATTGTACAAATAAATTTCTCTCTCTTCTAGAGTATAAAAAAGAAATCTTATGATCGGGCCAGTAGACAGGAAGATATTGATTTTGTAATGTCTACAGTTCTACACAGTGCTTTTTTAGAAAGTGAATTTCAAAGCACTGTGTTTCCTGTTTTTGACATATATTACAGACATTGTATAACACAATTAGACGCAAAGTCACAGGTAATTAAAGCCACGCATATTAGAACTGTGCACTGACATGTAAGACTTACACCTCGATTTCTACATTTTCTGCCTGTGTGGGCTGTGCAGGCTCCTCTGAAGAAAGTAGTTCAGTCTGGAGTAGTGCATGCATGAAAGGATGAGTTAGTATACCAATGTAAGTTCAAATGAAAGCAAACAAAATGAAGAATGTGTGGGTTAAGACAGATAATTATTTGAAAATGAATGGCAGAAATGAATACCAGTAAGAATGAAGACCCTGGATAAAAATAAATCTATATTAAATACTAAAATGAAGTGTGATAGGTCAGTAAATATTGAGAAAAGGGAATGTTGTGTTATACAAGTAAATATAAACCGAACTGTGCTATTAATTTGGAGAAACAAAACTGTTTTCAAATGGAATACATGATCATGATTTTCTTTCATATATACATTATGCATGCATGAATATTTTGTTTAATTTTCATATTCTTTATCAATACTGTGAAGAGAATTAGCTCTTTGACAAAGTTACCATGAGCTAATAAAGGGAACATATGATTTAAACACAACTTTATAAATGACCTTCTAAATGCAATGGGTTATATGGTAATGATGATGATAATGATGTAACTTCAAGAAAGTTGGATGTTGTGACAGGTTGCTACCACTCATCATCATGTCTAGAAGTTGTTAGAATTAGTTCTTCCACAAAACTGTGTGACATATTATATAATTTTTTCTAATATATTAATCATCAAAATAAATGACTTGGACATGCAAGTTTCATAGAGGATGTTGCATTATCCATGCACTGAAGAGAAAGGGAAAGAGAGAATCGGAGAAATAGAAAAGAGAAGAGGTAGAAATAGAGAGAGAGTCGGAAGGAGAGAGAGGGTTGGGGGAAAAAAAGGGGGGGGGGGGTAAAGAGTGATATGAGAGAGATAAAGATACACTGTACATGCTAAAGCAGAGAGTGAAAGAGAGACAGACACAGATAAGAATATTTTTATAAAAAGAAATAAAGGAAGAGAGTGGTAGAAGAAGGAGAGGAAAGAGGGTGAGCAAACAAAGAGTATTAAGTGAGATATATATATAGAAGAGCATAAAAAAGGCAGACACAAAGAAAATAAGAAATATGTGTTCATATAGGAAGAGAGTGATAGAAGGAAAGAGTGGGAGAGACAACAAGAAGAAAGACAGAGGGTAATAGAAAGAAAGAGAAAGCAAAAAGGAAATAAATAGAAAGAAACAGAGGAAGAGATAGAGTGTGTGGGAAGCAAAAGAGAAAGGAAGAGAAAGAGACAGAGAGAAAGAAAGAGAAAGGGAGAAGGATAGAAAGAAAGAGAAAAAGAGAGAGAATGAAAGGAAGAGATAGGAAGAGACAAAGAGAAAGGAAGAGAGAGAAAGAGAGAAAGGAAGAGAAAGAGACAAAGAAAGAGAAAAAGAGAGACAGAAAGGAAGAGAGAGAAAGGAAAATACAAAGAGAAAGGAAGAGAGAGAAAGAAACAAAGAAAGAGAAAAAGAGAGAGATAGAAAGAAAGGAAGAGACAAAGAGAAAGGAAGAGAGAGAAAGAGAGAAAGAGAGAGAGAGAGAGAAAGGAAGAGAAACCAAGAAGGAAAGCAAGAAGGAAGTAAAGAGAGAGAGAGAGAGGGGGAGACGGAGGGAAAGATAGAGCATATGAGAAGCAAAAGAACAAGGAAGAGAGAGAGAGAGAGAGAGAGAGAGAGAGAGAGAGAGAAACTTACAGCAGGTTTAGCAGAGTCAGGTTGGTCCTCTGCATCAGAAGGAACAGACTAGGATGGAGAATTATGAGATGAATTGTAAGTGAACCTAAGTGTACTAATTTCTAAACTACAGTGATTTTTTTTAGCCAAGTGTGAACCTCCTTATGATATCCAATAAATAAAAACCATTTTGTGACTCAATGAATAAATACAAATCATGTCAATAAAAATAATAATAATAAAAGTGATAATAATCTGGATTTATATACATGTAGCGCTTAATATGAAATACAATTTTGGCGTACTTTACAGATATTTTTACCACGTTCATTAGATTCATTTACGCACAATGTGCACCATCTCCACTCTCTGGTCAACGTGAGGGCATTTATATGGCAATTATAAACAAAATGTCAATCGTCATCCTGCCAGGTCCCCATGATATCAATTTCTCATTTTCACATCATTCACTGAGTTTCTTTTGATCATTCATTATGAGAACCATATCACGGTTCAAAACAATAAAAGTACATATATACATGTACATGAAAAGCAGTGCATTTTTTTTTAGTGTGTATTCAAAATGAAAAGTTATATACAGTGCTTGTATTAAATAGGACAATACACTCAGGTAGTTCAAAAATGATTTCATCAGAGATATATATTCACATGAATAAATAGTTTTTATAGGTGTATCCAATACTAAGAAAATGAAGGAAATCAATTTTGACCCCCTGTACCAACACTGTGCATTACAATCTTAAGGTGATAAGACTGCCATTTAAGAAATAGGAAAAAATAGTGCTTTGTTTTCAGAAATAAATGGGTGATTATAATATTAGAGGAATAAGTATCACAGCAATGGTTTGATGGATTTTGAAGACAAAATTGGTGCTTGATTTTTTTTCTTCTTGTTTAAACCAGTTTGAACCGGTTTAAACTTACCGGTGGTGGTTTAGTGTTGGTCTCGACTGGTTCTTCAGTTGGCACCCTTGTTCGTTTCTTGTTCTCTAAGCCATCGATAGCATCAGTGCTGTTACTCACAAATTCCTGCATTACACAAGAGGAAAACAAAATTGGCATTATAAAAAAGAAGTACAAGTATCTGAAGAAGCTTACAAATTTCAGCAGACAAGGTAAGCTTTACCCCTCATCATGCCATTAAGATCATGATCTTATATTTGAAAATTAGATTTGTAATAGGATAGAATAGTGGCGTGGTCAGGATTTACAAAATAAAGGGGGCGGGGATGAGGAGTAGGGGTGAATGGGTACGTAGGAGATGGAAAGTGCAAAATCATTTTCGTAATGTAATCAAATTTAATGCATAAATGTTTCTCGTGAAAAATGATTACATATAAACATGTTACAAATAATTGTTTTTCAATAGTAAGAATGGGAATTGCATACATTCCATGTTGTTAGGTAGCACAAGCCATAGTGGTTGTCCTTCCGAGCAACAATTAAAGATAAACTCCAGTACTGGTAAAAAAAAAAAAAAAAAAATTCTCACAGAATCAAACGAAACTTACACTGAATGTTCAAGATTACAAATAAATGGCATGTGCCAAACAATTTTGGAAGAAAATGTATACTGGCTGAGTAATGAGCATAGAAAGACAAGGAAATCAAGGTAGTACTAGCCCCGACACCATGTGTGTTGTCCCATATATAGCTTTCTATGTGAGTGCTTGTTACTTTACCAAGACTCGGTCAAATTTATTATGATTTTGATGACTCAGAACCTTGCAGTGCACACCAATACTTACATGCTATACGATCAACTGTTTCTGATCCTCCACATCTTTTTTTTCACAATGCAATCGCATTACCAGTACTAAAGTTTATCTTTAATGTATGCAATTCTCATTTTGACTATTGAAATACAAATATTTGTAAACATGTGAATAAAATAATTTGTGAATGAAATAATTTGTAACAGAGCACTTAACAAAGCCAATTTATGCACTAAATTTGATTAAATTACTAAAAATGGTCTATTGCTACTTGTTGTGCATTATAGGCCCCATATCCAAAGTTATTGAGACATATAATGTGATATTCGCTAGTATAAAGCAAGAACACAGTATCTTCTATCATAATTTCAAAAGAATCCATTATTATATACTCACCATGAGATCCCTATCCATGAAGTAAGGCTTCTCAGGAGAGCCGTCATTGACGCGGGCATCCTCACAGAAACAGAGCAGAAGGGTGTCTACTGCCATCTATAGACGAACAACAAATGTATATTTTACCACATGCACTACCATTTTCATTTCCTTGGTCTTTGCTTTTTTTCTCCCTCACATTCTCTTTCCTCTAATCCCCTTGGTATTATTTATTCCCTCTCTCTCCTCTTTCCATTGAATTAGATTGAATTCAATTCAATACAAATACTATTAATTAAATTCAACATAAAAACTACTAATCTTATAACATATTAAAACTGATAAATTTCAGGTGTAAATTGGTATATATTAAGACAATTTTCATGTTTCCTTGGAGAGAATGTTTACAATCTCTATTACATCTTTAAAATGATATTTTTAAAAAGGCTGATTTACACAAATCTACCAAAATCTTGAGTGCCAATGGAAAACAGCATCTCAAAAATAGTTTTTGTAATTTTGGCAATGCAACAAAGTATGTTTATTCATTTTAATGTTATATATACTGATATCATTCTTTATTGTAAGAAAAAAAATATGTTCCTATAAACATTGCATTTCTTATGTTACTATCATAAAAGGGAGCGCTAAGTTACATGTATATAATTGATTCCTATATTGTTCCAGTAAATATTTTCTGATTGTAGCTTTAAAAAACAACTTCCAGCACTCATGTATTCTTCAGCCTTCCATGTCGATTGCAAAGACTTATACAGACTTACCTCGTACACCAGAAAAAAGCTGCTCGCTATAAAGTATGTAAAAATTCCAACTATCAATGCCGCAATGGCATAGAAGAGGAGAGTCTCGTTCGTCTATGATATATGTGGGGGGAAAGGAAGGGGAGTAGAAGAAATTTTGTCGATCAAATATCAATGATATGAATGTTCTCCCTTTAAGGTCATCTTGTGCATATGCAGGCACAATGCCATGGCCAGTGACTCCAGCATGCAGGAAGTTTGTTTTGGGAAAAGTTTGGGGCATTTACGGTCAGACGGTTTGCTTGACTTTATGCAACTTGGAGTAAGGCCCTCGATAGACGAGCTTGGACAATGTCACAGATGTGTGTTTGTGACGTCTTGATCTGGGGCAAGCTCTGGAGAACGAGGTAACCTTTTTCCAAGCTGCATAAAATCATTTTTGTGCGACAGCGCTACACACTCTACTACCTTCTGTCTCTAACCACAGCTAAACAGACAAACAAATAAACAAACAAACAACTATAAAACATCTAATTACCTTCACAGAAACTACAAAATGTTCCATCATTCTTTTTTGTTTTACCTTCAATTCCTGTCTTTCTCTTTCTATATTCTCTTCTATTTTTGATCATATAATCAGGCAATATATCACCTCTGAAACCCTGCCAGCATACAATAAAAATTGAAAATGGAAATCTATTGCAAAAACTAGTCTTTATTGTTGGACTACACGAACAGCGTGTTTAAAGCGTTTGGTCTGTTTGGCTGATTTTTTGTTTGTTCATCTGTTTAGAAGCAGTTGAGAGACAGAGGGAGGGTGCGCAATAGCTTCACTTTTTACCTCATACACACTCAACATAGTGCCAGCAATGATGTAGGCAAAGATGCAGGCAACTACCACAGGTACTGCATAGAACATGAGCTGTTGCATGGTCTGCTCACAACCCCCAAGGAGTGAAGATGCAGCGTGCAATGCAGATGAAGAGTGCATTTTTGAGAGATAACAGATATAGACAGAAAGACAAGACACATATTTAAACACTTGGGACCAAGCACTGCTAAACAAATAGAGAGATAGTCTAATTAGCTCTAAAAGATGATTATTTCTAGTCTAACACAGTTAACAAGCCAAAAGCTTGATATTTCCCGGTCACTTCTGGTCTATAGGACTCTGGGTCAATCATGTTGGAACAATTAAGATTCCTAAAGTTTATGTTTAGAGTTTTTATTAAATAATATGGTAATCAGAAATAAGGATTTCACAACATTTGTTCATTTTTTTCCTCTTTTTTTCTGTTTAGCAGTGCATGATCATATTCATGACAAATTTCAAAAATGAAGATTAACCTAGCTGACAATTAGATGTTTTTCATAAGATGTAAAAGATTCAAACCTCAGATTTTGAGATTATGAAGGCAGGGTCGAATGGTTGATTCAAAACATTTATTTCATCCTGCAGAAATGTACTTGTATTTCATGCGATGTGCTTAATAAAATTCAAAATGTAAACTTTTACACTGAAATTGCTTTTGAAATGATAAATTTGAACATTTCATGTAGCTCTGCAACACACAAAAGCTTTAATTTTTGTACAGCTAGCGCAGCCGTTCACGACTTATTTTGAAGATTTCAAGGGATTTCATATATGTATGATTTCAGTCATCATTATAGTTCAGGTACAGTTTTCAAGATGCTTCTCTTATAAACTATAATCAATTTCAAAATTAAAAACAAGCTTCATGCAACATGCAAATGGAAAAACTTACATCAAAAATGATCGATATGAAAACAGCATGCAACAAGCACAATTTTCATGCAAAAGCAAATCAGTTATAAAACATTAATACACAAACTAAAACAAATCTAATGCATGCAATATATCGAAAGGTGAAATCAGATAAATTGTACATGTAGAAAGTTGGTAATCAACATATCACATGAAAGTATTCAAAAATATGATGCGTTGTCTTGCAATGGATCATGGGAAAGACATTTTATATACATGTCATAACATTCCAACAGTTCTGTTAATTTTACCATTTGGTCATTTTTTACTGAAATGCTCTTCATTTTAAACTGATAAAGTTTTTATATTTCACTCATCATATTTTTGTTTTTTCTACACTACAATATATTTTCAAAACTTCATCATGACATCCATCTGACATGGAAGCTTCTCAGTACCTTTTTGGTACATTACAATTTCTGGGCATATCTCAAACTTCAAAGGGGATCTCAACTTTAGCAAACTAAATGCTTTTACTTTAAATTCAGATGAGTGAAATGAAAAAAAAAAAGTGTCAAATTTCTGCAAATGATCAAGTTTGTATCCAGTTCCCATGAAACATTGCATCATGATAAAACAAAATATAATCTGTATTTTTTTCAAATTTAGACATAAGGGAGAATAACTGTAAACAATATGTACATTTATAATTTCATATAAATCAAACTTATATGAAATTCTAAAGAAATCATGAATCATGAAAACTTAACAATTTTGAACTTGTGTAAAAGAAATCTGTCTTAAAATAATTCCAACATGAGTCAAAAGCATAAAACATATTTCACATAAAATAAAATCACAATATATTAAATGAAATGGATTCATGCTCACGTCTCTTGAAAAATAATCTAAATCACACCACTTTCACTTACAATTCACTAATTGTTTTTCTTGTTTTGGGTACATTCAATTCCAGAAGTTGTTTTTCCTCTCTCTATCTCTACCCCCCCCCCTCTCTCTCCCTCTAGACATATAGACTCTTCAGTGTACTACTTCACCAAACAAAACCCTTATGCCTACCTCGATCTCCCCATATTGAAAAAAATACTATTGTAGAAGCCCGATACCCTGTAAGCACTCTCCAGTGTTCCTATGCTAAATATCACACGGCTGCAAGCACTCAGCCCCTACAAGCTTTCCCATACACACTCCTCCCCATGCCAAAAATCACATAGCTGTTAAACACCCTCCAAGCACCATGATGCACATCCTTCCTATATCAAACAACACAATATGGGGAATACCCAAGATCCTTCAGGCACTTTTCAGTGTACTCCTTCCCATGCTCAATATCGCACAGCTGCAAAAACTCAACCCCCTCCCCCCCCCCCCTTACAGGCATCCCTATAAACACACAACTACTAATTAACACTACACAAGCATCCGTATGCATACCTATAAACACACAACTACTAACACCATACAAGCACCCTTATGCATACCTATACACTCCTCCCCATGCCAAATATCACATTACTGTTAACACCCTGCAAGCACCCTTATGCATACCCCTCCCCATATTAAATAACACACCATTGTCAACACCCAACACCCTGCAAGCACTCTCCAGTGTACTCACCCCCATGATAGCGACACCGATGGCTGCTGTGATGGCTACGACCATCAGCTTACCCAAGAACAGCACAAAGTCACCCACACAGTTGATGGCCGCCACACGCAAGGCATTGGACAGCAGCACTGTGAAGGCCTGCGACAAACAAAATGTAAAGCTCATACATCGCTAAATGAAAATCATCAATACTCTATTGACACTTTCATTGTACAGTCATACCTGCTTTAGTGACCACCTGTCTACAAAGACCACATTTTTTGTTTCCCTTGAAAAATGTTTCTCATTGAAACATGTACCATAGGCACCTGTCTTCAAAGACCACCTGTCTACAAAGACCACAATTATTGTTTCCCTTGAAAATGGTTCTCATTGAAACATACACTAAAAGAACCCATACATAAAGACCATCTATCTGTAAAGACCACTTTTTTTGTCTCCCTTGGGTGGTCTTTATAGACAGGTTTCAATGTATCTAACTGAAGATGGAAAGGGTCTGCCATCCTCCATTAATTTTTATTGAGTTTTTAATCCCTAATTGCCACCAGCAAGTCATTAGCAAATTTCAAAAGTTGAGGACCTGTCTCCATTCCTGTTACCAATCCTTAACAACCTGAGACATACATTGTATTTTTTTCACAAAATTATATGCAAAATTGGACTGTCAAGGCTTTCGAAATGTTCAGTCAAGTAGTCAAGACCATTCCTTGGTATATCCTCTCAAGTAAAAATTCATCAGTTTTTACATAATTAGAAAATATAAAAAAATACAAGGGAGAAATATCCGCCTACTAGCCAGAGAGGAAAGATAGCATTTACAGCTTCTGTCATATTCCTATCATCATTATTAAAGGGAAAATCATGAGAGTAGAAAGAGAGAGAGAGAGAGAGAGAGAGAGAGAGAGAGAGAGAGAAAAAAAAAGAAACCTCAGTTTAATTTTGGATGGTCAAATTCACCCATATTTAAGCCAATAATGATTGAACATAACCAAGCAAGTTTCATGCAAAATTTACTCATTTCATTAATTTTTTCTTATCAAATATTTGCAGGATTGCTAGATGAAACTTGTGTGTCAAAAGCATTCTTACCTTTGCAGCAGAACTGCAGAAACCGTCACCTTCAATAGCTGTATAAAAACAACAACAGTAACACAAAAACATGAAATGCACTATTCCTTAATGCATATAAGTACAGGTATTCAACAAATAAAATATCTAAACACTAGCACTTTTCTACTATAAACAGAAATTTCATGAGTGCATAGAGTGCTATCTAATTGTTGAAATCTACTAGATGAGTAGATGTTCAATGGATACATATACCCACACGGGTAAAATTCAACTTCTCTAATCCTTACTGATGAATGGCTCTTGTATAGTGACAGTATCCAGTACAGCTGGGTATATACATAGCACTTGCTCTAAAAACATGTCCAACAGATTGAATGATTAAAGTCAGTGCTTAATTCAATACAATTCCTTTCCATTTTCTTCTTGAGTAATAGTTTTTGTGACTGTTTGGAACAAAAACAGGTACATGATGGAGATCGTGTTTTCCATAACCTTTCTTCATTTCATTCATCGAAAAAAGTAGCTTCGTTGTTGTTACTTGACCACTCACCAATCACGATGTAGGCATGTTCATTCAAGAACTTGAGGAACTTCTCCAGGCACCAGAGACAGCATATGAGGCACTTGAGTACACACTGAGCAACAGGGTTCTGACTGTCTTTCAATCTGAGAAAAGAGGATATGTCTTAGATTTTGACAACACTATTTCTCACTGGAGCCATATAAAAAGGATATGGGTGTATAAACATCATTTGTCTATTGAAACAAATTTTCTTGCTTCGTCAGGTGAACTGAATAACTTGCTGCTCTTAATTCTCAGAAGAAAATCCTATGATTGGAGAAAAAAAAACAGTATATGTAGAGGATGCTATCTTGCTCAAGAGAGCTCTTTAAGATCGTAAAATTTGATTTTCTCTAAGTTCTTAAAAGGTATTTCCATTTTTTTTTTAAATCAGAGCAAACATTTTAATAATAATAATAATAGTAATTACATCTCTCTGTGCTTCCAAAGAGCTTTGGAAATTATCACCCTAGCTTTAGCTCCAGCAGCCGTTATCAGCGCACAGTGCATTTCAAGGAATAATCCTACCAGGTACCCATTTACCTCACTTGAGTTGAGAGTGGCAAATGTAGATTAACGTCTTGCCAAAGGACATCAGTGCCGCTGCGGGACTCAAACCGCGGACCTTGGGATCGACAGTCCGGTGACGTATCCACTCAACCACAACACCTCTATTTTAGCTTGCAAGAACACAGTGGCTCTATCCATTCTGTGTATTAATCTGTTTGTTTTATTTGAAAAATACATAAATGTAGTCTATGATGCAATAATGTTACAGTTGCTTTACTTAGGGACTCACTTGTACTGGGTGTACATGAGGATAGCCCTGGGTACCTTGACAAGGACAATGATGAAAGATCCAAACACCATGGAGCCGATGTGATACCTGAGCAGTCGACCTGTGGAGCGCAGGATGGGAGAGCTGAAGTTATCCTTGTCCCTGCAAATGACACACACACACACACAGAAGAGAGAGTCATACAGAGTTTAAAGGTATTTACTGGAATGAATGATATGGCATGGTACCTCCTCCCTTCTCTTACCCCTCCCCTCTTCTCCTACTACTCATTCCCTCCCTCCCTCTCTGTCCTCATATCTTATACCTAGAGAAATACCAATCTACAACATATGCAGCAATGACAAACCGATGGCAAGCCAGAATGAACTCAGCTGTCCAGATGAAACCTTTGGCACGTTCCCTCTCCTCATCCTTCTCCTTAATGCCGTCCAATCCCCTTCTCCCATTTGACACTTTGCCACCCCTTCTCCTCTCCTCTTCCTTCCTTCCTCCCCCTCCTCTCCTCATCCCCACCTCCCTCCATACCCATCCTCTCTCTAAGACAACCTGATGGAAGGCAACAATGAACTTGGGGTCTAGGTAAAGCCATAAGTATGACACCCTCCATCTCCTCATACCCATCCCATCCTCTTCCTCCAACCTTCCCCTTCAGGTGTGCATACCTTGCTCAGTCAACAAAAGCTCTAAGGTCAAATTCAACCAAGGAACAAACACTGTGCCCAATCAAACCCTAACCTAATACAGAGTCCAATTCGCGATCCCTATTGCCAGAGTATCATCAGATCACCTCCCCTATACCTTCTCTCACCTGGTTAAATACCAATCTACAAAACAAGCAGCAATGACAACCTGATGACAGGCTGGAATAAACTCTGCAGTCCTAAAGCATCCCAAATCACTGTTACCTCCCCATCCTTCTAACCACCCCACTCCTCCACCTCCCTTCAAGCCTCTCCTCACCCCTCCTCTCTCTTTTTTTCCTCAACCCCCCCCCCCCACCCCTTGAGTAAAAAAAAAAAAAAAAAAAGGATTCAGGGGGAAAAAATGGCATCTAACAGAATCCCCCCCCCCTTTTGGGTAAGAAAATTTGGGGAAAATTGGGAAAATAGAGGTAAAATCGGGAAGAAAAATAATTGGTATAAAAAAAAAAAAATCTGGAAATTATCAGGCCTGCCTTACCTAGTGAAACACCAGTCTACCACGCATGCAGCAATGTCAAACTGATGACAGACTGGGATAAACTCTGCAGTTCTAAAGCATCCTAAATCATTGTACCCTCCTCCTCCTACTCATCCCCCTCCCTTCTTCTCCTAATCCCCTCCCTTCCGCCCTTCCTCATTCCCTTACCTAGTGAAATACCAGTCTACCACGCATGCAGCAATGACAAACTGATGACAGGCCAGGATGAACTCAGCTCCCCAGATGAACCCGATGGCGTGGTACCACCACATGTAGCGTACAGGCTGTGGGGGGTTGTAGGAGATGTATCCATGAGGTTCGGTCACAATGGGGTAGCCTGTTGAAGATGTTGAGACAGTCGTGAAGTGATGCTGATAACTGCTTTTAACAACAACAGGCCTAGATTTACGAAGAGAGGTTATCACAAACTGCACCGGCCCCCTCCCTACTTAACATTTCTCATCATAACTTAATTTTTCCTCCATTTAAATGGACACTGTACCTAATCATGCAATCAAGGTCGTAAACATGTACCACACCTATTTTAAATGATTTTTTTTTCTTCTGAAATGAATGATTTTATAATGGTCCGTTTTTCACTTTTTACCTAATAACTGATACAAAAACTCTAAACATATTTGATTTTAGTGTAAATTTTGGGAAAATCTTAAATTTTTCAGAAGAACGACAATTTACACAACTTTGTAGTTATGGGCATGTCTTTAGAAACTAAAAACATTTCAAAGCAATGTACACATGTGTTTGTTTCAAAAATACAAGTTGGATGATGTCACCTGTTGCAGAGATGGCGATGAAGACGATGGTGATGTAGACAAAGAACACGATGAGGATGATGAACGTCCAGAAAGGTTGGATGAGCAGAAGGGGCATGGCTCGGATGGCCTTGCCCGCCTGCCCAAACAGCTCGACGGTGAAAGCTACACGTTTCCGCATGACCAGGATGATGAGGAACAAGATGACCTGATGTGAATGGAAAAGCAGATGCATGGAAACAAGATGCATGGGGTTTTTTTTAAAGGCTGTTCACATATGAGGCGGTAAAGCGACTACTAATGAAAGTGCCACTGCAAACATTACGAGCAAATGAATAGCAGAGACAATGTTGTAGGGGTGAAAACACATAAGGTAACAGTGCACAACAATACCTACAATGAGTAAAACACACCAAGCAAATATACAGCCCAATATGTGCTCCCTTTATTATGGAATTTTTCAAAATTGCACCCCTGTTTACACAGTTCTGTATTGTAGTTTGTCCACAAGTGACATTGAGCATTAATAAGATACAAGAGCAACATAGTGCATTCTGATATATATTTGGGATTCTCTCTTCTAAGGGAAATGTGATCGTAGTAGTGATCTTTTATGGGAAAATTCAGTTGCAGCCAACTGGCCGAACTGCAGAATTTTGAACAAAGTCAAAAGAAGAGGATACCAGAGTAAGTAATCACTTTGATACAAAGAAAAATTGAATGATGAAAATGAATAAACCACAGAAATATATTTTTAAATTCAATTGAATGAACAAGTTACCCATGTAGGCTTAGCTAAATGAAATGCACCAAATAATTAATATACAAGGAGTGAGTTGCACAATATATTGGTATAATCAACACGATCAAACGATTAACACGATTTTTCATTATACTTCTGACATAATCTCTCTATGACTAATACATATTCAAAAAACAGAACGATAAAATGAGGACAGAAAAGAGCACATGAAATGAAAAAGCAGGCAGAAAAAGAAGTATTAAAAGTGGAAAAAACAGAGTTAGAAACACTTATCAATATGAATTGGCCAAAATATGCTTAACCATGTACAAAAATATCATACATTTCTGTTTTTCTTTAAGTCCCTTCTCCCTTGAGCCACTACTCAAAATATATTATAGATAGCATATTATATTAGGTCCTCTAAAAAGAATAGACCCTCCCGAGCAATGAGTTTTTGACAAATCTAAATTTTAGTCTTTTAATATCTTGAACAGAAGTAGTCAGGCACTACATCACATTGACATTACTGCTTCAGCCAATATGAAGTGCCCATACGTATAGTGATTACAACTTTTAAAAATTCATAACTTTCTTTTTTTCATCCAGATTTCATTCACAACTTCACCAGTGTGCTTCTCTGATTTTCCTGCTTTCCTTTGGAGAAGTTTCTTATCATGGTTGGATTTTCCTTTAATCAGTATTAGAACATGTCATGTGACTTACAGTGAAGACGGTAGCAGCGATAGAGAAACCAAGGAAAGCCGTCACGTTCCGCTGGTCTGCTTCTAGCTGCATGGCTGGCTCTATGGCATCCAGAGCTTTCTTCTTCATCACCCAGGTCCACCACAGTACAGCTGTACCAGCTGTGTCACATCAAGAAAATTGTTTGAAAATAATAATATTAAGTTTCAGGGCCCCGTAACCCAAAGCTAAGCAATTGAAAGTACAATTGATTTTTTGATTGATTGCACATAGTGATCGATGCAATCAGTAGAAAAAATTAATCATTTGATCAATTGTTAAGCTTTGTGTTACAGGCCCCAGATCTTGTATAGGACATATCACATATTTATCAACGTCTCCATGCGCTCCTAAATAGCTAGAGATTATTACCCCTCCTCGGCACAGCTGCCCTCATGAAGGTGCTGAAGCTTCAAGGAACTAATTCATACCAGTGCCCATTTACTTCACCTGGGTCGAGTGTGGCAAATGTAGATTAATGTCTTGCTAAAGGATGTTAGTACCGTGGTAGGGATTTTACCCCTGTACCTTGTGATCCACAGTCCGGTAACTTTAATATGGGTCATTCCATGTGGTTGGGGCACAAAATATGACGATGTCCATGTAACGTTGGGATGAGAACTATGTTGAAGATTGTTTTGCAATTGATATATATATATATAAATTAATATGCATTTCTTTTACCGGGATTACTTGGACATTATATTTATAAAGCATAACATAAATTTGGAGTCTTTTTTTTAATGATGACTTAAAGTGTACTACGCTTCCCATTTCTGTATCATATAACACAGAACCCAGTGAATGGCAGGTCCTTTTTTGCGTGCAGTTGTCATTTATTCAATTCTCAACAAAAATTAAAATGGCGGCTTTCTGGCGGCTTTCTGGCGGCAATTTTCCCAGCCATATCTGAACAAGCCTTCAATGGTATATCTGAGAATAGCTTACCGATGGAGCCGATGACGGACACAAAGTAGATGACCCAGACGATGACCTGAGCTACCAGATGAATCAACACCACCATGATAAAGGACAGGACTGACAATGAAAAACAAGAAAAAGAAGATATCTATTGTCATTTTCCTTTCAATTCAGTTATAACAGCAGTGCTATCAAATTCATTTTTGGCTACAATACATTTACAAAGTCAATCCACAGTTTTATGGATAGCAAGATGACTGAGAGAGAGAAAACAAAGTGTGATATATCTTTAAAGAAGAAAATTCTTTAATAGGGTACCGTAACATTTATGACATTTTTGCCTCAGCACGCATTCAGCATTCAGAGGAATATGTAACACTTGCACAAAACGACAAACCTGATGATTTCTATGAAATGTATTTTTACATGAATTCATTAACAGGGTAGTTAGTATTAATCATTGAGGTCATTGTATACGTATGGTGCATCATGGGAAAGTCCTCCAATTATGCATATATACCACCAACCCAGTGATGTGCACATGTAGACCTAGGATAGTTCATCTGGCCACATACAGTTCACACAGAACAAGCTGCTTTAAAAGCTACCAAAAACAAAATTAACTATTGAAGATTGAGCTTTCAGTTGCGCCGCTCAAAAGCTTTGGAATAACCTACCACTAGACATAGGAAAAGCCTTATCTGTTGCTAGCTTCAACGATTTGGCAAAGATGCACTCGATTCAGGAGCTTTTAGATGGTATTTATTATGTGCCTGTAAAGTAACACTGTTATGAGTTTTGTTTTCATCACAGCGCAAGAGAGTATATTTATATAGTGGCTGCGCTATATAAATTGATCTAATTATTATTATCATCATCACTAGTGGAATCCATGAAAATCAACGGGCACTGAAAGTGTATTAAGATTAGGATGAGTTTGACTGCCAGTGGCAGATCCGGCTGGGGGCATGGGGGCATGGGCCCCCCACCCCTGTCAACCCCTGTAAAAAAAAAAGTATTTTTTTAAAAGATGGTAACTACAATTTTACCTTTTTGTTTTGCTCCAGGGGGGGGGGGGGTGTTGAGTTAAAAAAAATGGTAATTTGTAGACAGGTGATCACTAAAGTCTTACTCTACTCACCGAGTGATAGGCCACAGAGACCTAGTATGATCCACCGGGCCATGTAGAGGTCGACTAGGGCCTTAGAGAGGAGCTCCGAGGCGTTCAGGAAGGAGATGATGTTCTCTATGTACTCCTTGGCAATCACAAACAGATCCTGAGGGACGCACCGATTGATGATGGGCTCACTGTATTAAGAAAGAATCACAAATAATAGGCATTAAAGCTTCTCTGAAGTGTTGGGAGCCCAACAAATTTGATTACAAAATTTCACTTGAATTGTATCATAATCTGAAAGAGGATATCATTTAAGACACATTTCTGCAAGGTTTTTCAAGAAAAATGTGTTTTTAGTCGATTATTGATGAAAGAATACAAAATTTAGCTTTTCTGAACAACAGAAAACCCCAATTTTGAGTTCTTTTATCGATATTTGTCATCAAACACATTTTTGAGGAAAAATCTTTGCAGAAGTGTGTTTTAAATTATATCCTCTTTCACATTACGATACAATTTAAGTAAAATTTTGCCAACAGATTTTTGGGGAATTTGGGGTTCCCAACACTTTAGAGGGGCTTTAATCCCTTTTGTGCCATGGGAACAAAGTTTGCATGAGGAGAAGGTGGAGATTTGCATGGGAAAGGTGACAAAAAATTTCTGAGCTTTCTCATTCTTTTTCATGTCAGTTTGAAACAGATTGTAGAAAAGGTTCCCCTGAAAATAACAGCTCTCCAAACGCTCCCATGTTCTAAATATGATGAGAAAGTAGCTGTAAAAGTGGGGACCAAACATTCATATGCCACATGCGTGTGTAGTTCCATATAACTATTTGTGTGCAGTGCACGTGACCTCCAGCATGACCAGGTAAAGCACATGTCACTTTGATGATTAAAAGAATCTCACAGTGTACACTAATTTTCTTATACACCACATAATCAATCTTTCCCAATCACTTCTAGACAGTCCCTTTAACTATGTGATTACAATTCAATTCAATCAAATTCAAATCAATTGAATTCAAATGTTATTGAATAAAATCCAAACAAATAGGGTCCAAACAAATTGGATTGAATTGTGATGACATGACCAGAAGCCAACTTCACCTTTAACCTTTACATGCCTACTGTAAAGATAGGCATGCATTGGTTTAGATAATGGTGCACATCTCCAATGCCCACTAGATATAATGCAATTACATAGATCACAACAATCTATGAACCACATGCATCTCCTAAGGCCTAAAAAAAAAAAAAAATGTTGTATTGCCCTTTGCGACTGACCCCAAAATCTTGAAATCTACGGTCGGTTTTTTAAAAAAGCTATTTTTTTAACCGTTTTTTAGAGAAAAAAATATTAAAGCAATCAAAACTGAGAAATATCAGCCCAAAGAGGGAGTTTAAGAAAGAAAAAAAAGATTTCTGACCGACCGACCCATGTTTTGCCACCTGAAGGGCAATACAACACCTTTTTTTTAAAGGCCTAATGTTAATGAAGTGAGAGGCACAAACCTAGCGTAGACAATCTCTGGGCACGGTCCATTGACGCCAGTTGCAGCAGTGCCATAGTCAGCAACCTCCACGGGATAGTTGCAGATCTTGGAATCGGTCTCCTCCGCAAAACTCTTGTAGTCTGCCGAAGAATTGAGCATCTTATCGGGACACTGGCTCACGCAGACCTCCAGTGAGTCCGTGGGATAGCGCACGTCCATGAAGAAGACATATCTGTGATAAAGGATAATATTAATAATGGTGGCTTCTTATATAACGCACATGTCCATCACGTTGTGACACTCCTGGCGCTGCGCCGATTATTACCCTGGCTTTAGCAAGGCGACCATTACGGCGCTCTAGCATTTCAAGTTATTAATTCCTGACAGGTACCCATTTACATCACATTGGTGCAGTGGTGGGACTCGAACCGTGTACCTTGTGATCTACTGTCCGATGACCACGACACCTCTACGATGGCGATTCATCCTTTCCATTTTTTCATATCACATCTTAGCCCTATTAAATCATCACATGAATCAACTGCCACTCATCTGTTTCTAAAAGAGTAATTTAAAAAGGCTTCATGATTTGTCTTGGATACCTGTGCAAGTAAATAAACATACGCTTCATACCAGAAACTTTCTCTTACAACAGAAGTAACCCAAGTGATCCGAAGCTTTGTGTCATGAATTCACGTTGAATTCTTGCTTACAAAACAGCAGTAATTTAGAATTAGTAAAAAAATTCTGGCTTTACAACCAACTATGAAAAAAATAAGATATATATTGTGAGATTGGGAGGGAACTGAAGGAGGAAGGGAAGGGAGGGGAGAGGGAGGGGAAGGAGTGGAGGGAGAGGAGGAGGAACGTGAAAGGGAAGGACTTACGGTCTGCCTGTCATATCCATTCCAGACAGAGTCACATTCTCTAACGGATCGTTCTTCTGCCCACAGATGTTGCCATAGCTGTCATAGCCGAAAACAACCCTCAGCACGTTACCGAAAACCACAGCATAGCCTGCAATCAGAAACTGTACGCAGAGGAAATGCAATCATTACAAGGAACATCATTCATTTGAATCTATTTTCACAGTGGCGTCAGGAGTATTGACTTTTTTTTACAGAAGTGGTGCGGATAATATTTAATACCTACCTATCTATGTTTATCTATAGATCTATCTCTCTATCTATATAGACCTCTATCTCTATCTATCTATCTATCTGTCTGTCTGACTGACTGACTGACTGACTGTCTGTCTGTCTGACTGACTGACTGACTGACTGACTGTCTGTCTGACTGACTGACTGACTGACTGACTGTCTGTCTGTCTGACTGTCTGTCTGACTGACTGTCTGTCTGACTGACTGACTGACTGACTGTCTGACTGTCTGACTGACTGACTGACTGACTGTCTGTCTGTCTGACTGACTGACTGACTGACTGTCTGTCTGTCTGTCTGTTTGTCTGCCTGTCTGTCTGTTAATCTTTCTATCTCTCTATCTATTTTTCTCTCTATCTACCTATCTTCCTTTTTATTTCGTTAGATTCATACTTGTACGTTGTAGCTGAATAATACTCACCATGCCAATCCAGAATAAGATGAAAATGATCGTACAGAGGCAGTCTGTGCAGTGCCGATCCTTCTTAGAGTTCAGACGGCCCGAATCGGGCTCCTACAAGACAATAAATAAATTTGATATCATGTGAATTGAAAGATTAAACGAGAACTCGTTTGAGATTTAATCTCAATTATATAAGTAATATAAAATGAGGGTTTACGTTAAATGAGACCCCGTTAGTGCGCATGCGCTAATCAGCAATATTCGTAGATAGCCGAGGATGTGCCTACTGAACCAAGCAGAAAGATAACGAGAACTGTAATTAATAACAATACCCAGCACTAGGGAGGGTAAGGGAGGGACGTAAACCCTCATTTTATATTACTTATATAATTGAGATTAAATCTCAAACGAGTTCTCGTTTAATCTTTCAATTATACTACGTAATACCAATTTCGGGATTACGTTAAATGAGATTTCGAAGCTCAGTAGGCCATCCGATCCAGTGCTCAACACAAAAGTATACATTATTGATAGAATAGCAAGCTAAAGCATGCTGCTAAGAAGGTAAACCAGCTGACCTTAAAAAGGCGATGCCAATTCTAGGACATCCTTTAGGACGCCATGATTGCACCTGTGAAATTGACGTTCCTGTTCTCTACTGGTTTCATGTAATAGTTTCGAAACGTCCGTTCAGAAGACCAGCCCGCCTGGGCTAGTATATGCTTGATAGGCAGATTTGAACTGTTTGCTGCTGAAGTTGATGCAGCTCTAGTAGAATGAGCTTTGTAGATGTCTGTGTCGATCCCTGCTGAGGTCAACGTTTCCTTCACCCATCTGGCAATGGTCTGCGTAGTAACGCGTTTGTGCGGTTTCTTGAAGCTGATGAACAGATAGCGTTCCTGTCCCCTGACGCTCTCCGTTCTGTGCAAGTATTGCCGCAAGTAGTTAAGTACACATAACCTCCTGTCTGGTGGATATGCCTTCATTTTCAAGTTGAAGTTCACATTCCCCGGTTTTGTCTGCGTGCAGAATTTATAACACTATAACTAGCTCTTTCACTTTCAAAGAGTTCTGACAAAAAATCAATTACATCATTGGATCTCGCCTGGAGATAGTTCAAGCCTTTTTTATGGCAGTATGTCTTCCATTTCCTTATGTAAACGGCATAGTTTTTTGTCGTTGATGCTCGCCACGATGCTGCTATTACATTGATAGCTCTTGCACTCAAACCTTTACTTTCTAGTGGCTGGCGCAGCACCTGCAACAAAGCAAATCAAGCTGATTATTAAGCGGGTGTGGCTCATTTGTAATAGGCTGTGCTAGTAAGTTTGGCCTTCTAGCTATGAACATTGGCTCCCCAATAATCATACTCTTCAAAAGAGGGAACCATGGTTGGGTAGGCCAGTTTGGAATTACTAGTAGGCCTGTTGCATCATCGCATTTAATCTTTTGTAAGCATTTCGCGATGAGGCAGAAGGGAGGGAAAGCATAGAAACTTAATGGTTTCCAGTCGATTGTGAAAGCATCAACTGTTTCAGCTCCAGGGTCAGGCAGCCATGAGATGTATCTGTCAACTTGCTTGTTTAATCTTGATGCAAATAGGTCTATTTCTGGGGAACCAAATTGCTGAGCAATTTCTTTGAATGCATCTGTATTTAGCATCCACTCTGTCTTGTGGTTAAAGTGTCTAGACATGTGGTCTGCCTCTGTGTTTAGTTTCCCTGGTAAATGGGCAGCTGATAGCCATATGTTCCTACTCATGCACCATTCCCAAATGTGTTTGGCTGCCTCATTGCAATCTGCGGACTTGCAGCCCCCCATATTGTTAATGTATGATACTGCGGTTACATTATCAACACGGAGTAGTACATGCACATTTTCCATATCAGCACAGAAGGATTGAACGCCAAACCCCGCAGCAACTGTTTCAAGGTAGTTAATGCCATAATGCCTAGCTTTGTGCAATTCTTTTTCATTCCATCTACCACGTACCTGTGCATGATTGGAGGTTAGTAGCACCCCAGCCAGCCCCACTGGCGTCCGTGCGCAACTCAAGGTCTGGTTTCGGTCTTCTTATTGGTGCAAATGAAGACGTTACATGCTCGACCCACCATTGAAGCTCACCCTTGGCTTCATTTGAAAGTGTCATTTTTCTATCGAAATGACCTCTGTTTGCTTTTAGTGCTGCAATTTTGTCTCTCTCTAAAGTACGATAGAAGAGAGGGCCATATTGGACTGCTGGGAAAGTTGAAACGATCTTCCCAATAACCCTGGCAACATGCCTTATTGAGGGCTCCTTAGTGTCAATAAGCTCTTGACAGAGGCGTTCGACTTCAAGCGCCTTGCTTTCTGGAAGCCTAATTTGCATAGTATTTGTATTCAGAACAAAGCCAAGGAACGTTATCTCTTTGGTGGGGGTAAGTACCGATTTTTCAGGGTGAATAATGAACCCGAGTTGTGCAAGGATGTCAGTGGTAGCCTTAACAGCTGCTTTGAGCTTTTCCTCATTTTCTGCAATGAGGATTGTGTCATCCAAATATCCTACCACAATGTGACCAGCTTGTCTGAGCTTAGAAAAAACTGGCTTTAGTAATTTTGTGAATAGCCTTGGTGCTGTACTGAGACCATTGGGCAGTGCTTTGAATTGCCAACATTGACCATTGACAATGAATTTGAGGTATTTCCTATCCTCTTGGTGGATCGGTACTGTATAATATGCATCTCTGAGGTCGACAGAGGCTAGAAAATTGTCAGGGGATACAAGATCCAGCACAGTGTGGATATTATCCATCTTAAAATGCTTATACATCATGCATTTATTCAATTCTGAAAGATCGAGGATTAGACGTACACCTCCAGTTCTTTTAGGCGTAGTAAAAATATTAGAAATGAATTCACCCTCTTCGTGTACACAGGGCTCAATAACATTTTTACGATGGAGGCTAGTAATTTCTTCTTGAATGCGCTTAGCATCCTGGACACTCCGTTTATAGCGTTTAGCCTTTAATTCAGGCAAGTCTTTAATTTTTTCTACATCAAACTCGATCTTGTATCCCGTGACAGCCCTAATAACAATAGGGTCTGTTGTTAGCTCTTGCCAATTTTTCCTAAAATACCTCAGTCGACCGCCCACTGGGGGAACACTACTAGTACTAGTACTAGCATTAGTCATATCATTTTCGCTAAAAATGAGATCAAAGTGTGAATCACATACCTTGTCGTGACTTGGTCTTGGGAGTTCTACTTCCTCCTCTGCTGGCCCATGGGACCCCTCTGGGCACCTGGCGCTTGCATTTGAGGCTGGTTCGGAGCCTGAGACTGAGTGTACGGAGGCTGTCTGCCCCTCCTGTTCTGTCTGTACCCTAAAAAAGGGCCACCCTGCGATCCTGACATTGGCCTGCTATACCCGCGGGATTGGCTCTGTGAGCCCCAGCGGTGCCCCGGTGCATTGTAGCCACGTCCCCGATAGGGATGCGAAGCAAAGCGGTTTTTGAATTTGTCCCTCATTACACCGGCCGCTGCCAGTTGCTGATCTTTGAGATCCTTCACCTGCTTTCCAAGATCATCACCAAACAAAAGTCTAGTAGCTGGCAGAGTAGGTTTGCACAGATGCGTAAACCTTGCATTCAAGTCAGGTTTTATGAGCTCTTTTCGCAGGCAGTTCAGTTCGAAGTTAGCGTTACAAATCAACGCCAAAGCATCTTGCTGTGTATCAGTTATACCGCCCATAGAAACGGAGCGGGCAAATGCATTGATGCCATGAGTGAGTGATTTCTGAACTCGCTGTAACTTCAAGTCACGGCTTTTTGTCATCGGAGGTAGATTGTCCCATATCACAGGGTTCACCTTTGGTGCCTCTATAATCTGACAATTGCTTGGAGCTGGGTATTTCGCAGTAACTTCATCAAGAACTTTCCCCTCCAATTGGTGTGTCATGAGATATGAAGTAGATTGGGCTATCTCCTCCTCAATAGGATCTCCGATATCCGACGCCATTGCGAATTTTGCAGCGATCGAGGGAATGACAAAGTTATCAGGTTGAGGCATGTCTGAGTCAAAATTCTCTTCCTCCGAGACGGCGCCCGCTTCGGTTGCATCCGCGGGTAGACCGTAAAAATCCATGAGCCCGGTGGGCGGTATGTCATTCCAGTGGTCGAACGGAGGCCGTTGCACATAGTCTTCCCCGCCGGTAGCCCCGGTGGGGCCGCGAGACGAAGACGGGTGTGAGCTGCCGGTGACAGCCGTAGCATTAGTAGCGGGCAATGCCTCAACCACTCGCGCAAGAAGCCCTTCCATTTTATCAAGTCTGTTATTAAAAGTAGAAAATGGAACCGTTGATTCCACTTCCTGATTTTTCTCGCTCATTGCCTTTGGCTCCGAGTCCGACTTTGTTTTACTTTTAGCTTTCCCCGGCCCACTCTTGCTGACTTTGCCAGCCGTGACTTTGCCACTGGAGTTGGGTAATTTTTTCTTTCCGTCGGAGCCCGTGGCTCCTGCGCTACCAGGCGGTGCCTGGGGTGAAAGCGCGGACGGAGGAAACGCAGCAGTGCTGCTATCCATTTGAGACATTACAATTCTATCGATAAAATATCACTTCAGAAGGGCGTGATTTATAAAAATAAGCGTCTCAAAGTTATCAGTAAATGTCAAGGGTGAAACTAATAACGTTTTTTACCTTTGAATTTCGGGGATTGCGTGGATAATAAATCTGATTTCTTGAGCCAGAAAGGGGTCCTTTCGCTCAAATAACACGCGACTAACGAATTGCTGATTAGCGCATGCGCACTAACGGGGTCTCATTTAACGTAATCCCGAAATTGGTATTACGTAGTATAATTAATAGAGTAACATTATAATTAATTAACACAATAAAGCTAGTGGGAATGTAAGAGAGAGTGTCGGATAAAAGCTATAGTTTGCGACTTTGCAGGCACAAACCACTTTTAATGATAACATAATGAAGCCTGCGGGATAAATCTGTTCCGAGGAGTGGGAGGGGGGGGGGGGTGGTATGATGGTAATCAGGTGCTAAAAATTTCTCACATGAATATACATAAATACATGAATATGTCTCCTGACGACGGATAGTCAACCTGTTTGAAACGTCGAGCCACTCATCCTCTCCAAGCGCTATATAGTTCTCCTTAGAACTATAAGCTAAGAAAGATAACAAACAGTCCTTTTAAGGATTACACACCCCAAGAAAGATTACCGAGTCAGAGTCCTTTTAAGGGCTCCTCAACCCTCTCTCTCCCTCTCTCACATGGTGCACCCGCAAGCCTACTGTATATGAATATTGTATGTCTGCAATGGAGATGTCAGCAAAAAAAAAAAAAAAAAATTGGGAAACTGAATTTATTTGGGTAATTATCAGGCCTGACAAATATATAGAAGGTATATTTGTACAACACCAAATAATGAGTAAGAATTTTCTATTTAAAAAAAAGATCCATTTCCTGTGACTCACATCTGTAGGTGATCCAAGGCAGGCACATCCCATGATGGCTTAATCTCTACTGACAAATTGGCAACACCTGACAGGATGTGTCACAATGCAAAGGTAGGATATCACACCAGAAACCTGTTGAGTGCTGGGGGTGAGATCGAAAATGAAGTGATCATTAATACACAATAATACAGGATGCAAACGAAATATAGCCATGTATGTGGATATGGAAGGTCTCTTTTCTAATTGTTTCTTTCTTTTCTTTTTCTGTCTCCCTTTCCTCCTTCTTTCTCCCTTTTCTCCTTCTCTATCGATTTCTTCTTTCTTTCTCCCTTTTCTCCTTCTTTCTCCCTTTTCTCATTCTTTTCTCCTTCCCTATCCTTTTTCTCCTTCTTTCTCCCCTTTCTCGTTCTTTCTCACTTTTTTCCTTTCCCTTTCCCTCTCTTCTTCTTCTTCTTCTTTTGTGTTTTGGAGGGGTGACTGCCTCGATCCACCACCCCCTTGTCTACGATCCTGTTTTTTTAGCACAATCTTACAATCTAGCGTTTTGAGTCACGTTATGTCCCTTGATTTAAAAAACTGTAAATTTTGAATGAATTCGCTCTCAGATGACTTTGAATGCTAACCTTTCTCAGTGGGGAAAAAGTATATATTTAAGCAAATTGTAAAGTGTGGAAACAGAGAAACAGTAGGCCTACCATGTTTTAAATACATGACTCATATGATTATCTCTAAATGAGGGTGATTTACATGTAGACTACCTGGTGTCATGAAAACATTCTAGAGGTCTATTGTAACTTGCTGAAATCATTCAAGAAGGCATGACTTTTCTAATTCTATGCTAAACCATTTACCATTATATACACTGCCTTGAGTGTGGATCGAAGGGCAAAAGAAGGTATGTCCACCATTCCCTAAAGTGTACCCAAGCAAACCCCATTCCAGAAATTTGTGTATTCTGGAAAAATGCAAGGAAAATTCTTGTTCTAGAATTATCTGTTCCTTTCTTGTCTCATCTTGTCTTAATTTGTCTAGACTACATGCACCATGTATAAACGTACAAGCATCTTTCAAATCAAATTTACCAGAAATGCATGAATGGGTCTGTATTATAATTATGAATATTAGTAGTAGCACATATCATTGTTCTCCCCCCCCCCCCCCCCCCCATTCCAACCCCTCTCATATCACATTACATTGCATGCACGGGACTGGGTGGAGCTTCATATTAATTTTGATCGAAAGCTCGGGATATTCCATTACGAAAGCGACGAGAATAGCAATTATCAAGTTTCAAATATGAAATTAACATTAAACAGAGATGAAATTTATCATAAATTTGTTCGTCAAAACATCAATATTATATCAAATTCGTCAAAATTACCTGTAAGTATTGCAACACAGCCGTCTACTTCCAATCGATGGGCGCGTCCGTTCTCGCAACTGTTTGTTAATTAGGCTTTCTTCAGAATAAGGCATATTAATTTTATAATCTAGCAGGTATATTTCTGATGATTTACCGTCAAATTTTCATTTTTTTAAATTTTGCTTTATCAACAAAAATATAATTTATATAAGTGGTACAACTATGTCAACCAATATTGAACATAAATGAGAAAATACAAGATAAGCGAATAGCCATTAAATAATTTTAACTGGAAAGCGGCTAGCACGAATATTTTGTGTGAAATGGGCATATAATTGACCTTGTGATCACAACAAACATATCGAGGTCAGTAGGCTTTATCATGTGGAAAGCATTCAACGAAAGGAATAACAGAGTTTCATGAATAAGGTTATAATAAAGAATGGAAGAATTTTTTTCAGCACGGAGAAAGGGAGAACATAAAGGAGAATTAATGATTCAGAGATTTAAATGAAGAACAATTGAGAATATAAGCATTAAGATTCATAAACTCACGAGAATTAGGAATTACAAAAAGAAGAAGAAAAACTGAAGAAGAAGAAGAAGAAGAAGAAGAAGAAGAAGAAGAAGAAGAAGAAGAAGAAGAAGAAGAAGAAGAAGAAGAAGAAGAAGAAGAAGAAGAAGAAGAAGAAGAAGAAGAAGAAGAAGAAGAAGAAGAAGAAGAAGAAGAAGAAGAAGAAGAAGAAGAAGAAGAAGAAGAAGAAGAAGAGGAGAAGGAAGAATTAGGAATTACAAAAAGAAGAAAAACTGAAGAAGATCGAGAGAATAGTTAAGAAGAAGACCAATTAAGAAGAAAAAGAAGAAGGAGAAGAAGAAAAGGGGACAGGATCGAAGAAGCCGAGGAGAAAAAGAACAACAAGAAGAATAAAAGAGTAAGAAGGAGAAGGAGAATTAAAAACAAGAAGAAAGAAGAATTACGAACAAGAAGAAAGAAGAATTAAGAACAAGAAAGCTAGAAGAAGAAAATAAATAAAATAAGTAAAAAGGAAGGAGAAAGAAGAATTAAGATTAAGGAGGAGGAGAACAAAGAAGAAGAACAGCAACAATTAAGGAGGAGAAGAATCAAGAAAAAAGAAGAAGAAGAAGACGAAGAAGTCTTCAAAGTATCAGGCCTATATATCTGACATCGCTTTGATCTATATATGGCTTTCACTCAATCAACAAGGATGTCTACTGTCTAGACACTTTTGTTCGGATCCAAAAAGGCAAAGCGGTATGAAGATTTGTAGTACCCGCTTGACATAATAACATGCGGCCTCTAGCATTGACAGGCTGCGATATACACAGATATAGAAGCACTGAAGCAGAGATTACTTTTAAACCACTTACATGCCAAAATCAGATTTATACATTCTAAACATAAATCATTTCGTCCCGGAATTCCCGGCTCTCATTATGATATATTATACGACCATCAATGGTATTTTAGAGAAAAGTGGAAATCTCTTAAACACCTTTTTTCAGGAACTTTCTTATACATGATCCTCTCTGAAAAGTATCATCAACTTGTGTTCTTAATTTCTTGGTCCGCAGAGATATTACTAAAGATTTGGGATGCACGAGTAAAATTTTGAGAAATGTTTGTGATTTTGATTGTATCAGATGGTCTTTCGTATTTAGGGGCGCAATGAGTTTAAAAGCGGCACTTTTTAGAGTTGAAAAGGGATATCTCTCATACCCAAAACGAGGCACTCATCAGAGGTGGAAAGGGGCACTTATTACAAGGGGGAAATGCAATTATTAGGAAGGGAAATGGGCACCTGTCAATGTAAAAGGGGCACTTATCAGATTCACGCACTATCTGATGTGAAAAGGGGCAGTTATAACAAAGGGGAATGGGCATTTAACAGAAATTAAAACTGGGTACATATGAGAAGGGAAAAGGGAAACTTATTAAAATAGAAAATGGGGCATTTGTTAAAAGGGGCACTCATCAGAGATAAAAAGTTATAAGAAGGGAAAGGCACTCACTTAAAAAAATGGAACCTGTTAAAGTAAAAGGGGCACTTATCAGAGATGAAGAGGAGTATCTCTCATACCTAAATAAGCCACTAACCACAGATGAAAAGGGGCAGGTGTCATAGTAAATGGGACACATATCAGAGGTATAAAGGGGCACTTCTCCCATCTGAAAAGGGGCATTTATAAGAAGGAAAAGGGCACTTGTCAAAGTAAAGGGGCACCTATCAGACTAGAAAATATGAACTTATCAGTGGTGAAAATGGGAACTTACAAAAAGGGGGAAGGGATATTGAAAAGAAAAAGGAGCACTTATCCAAAGTAAAAAGGGGTAACTTTTTATATGTATAAAGGGGCAGTCATCAGAGGTGAAAAGGGACATTTAAGTAAAGGGGGAAGGGGCTCTAATTAGAAAGAAAAAGGTGACTTAATCTGAAGTAAAGAAAAAAAAAAGGGGGGGGGGCACTTTTGGGCTACTAGAAAAAGTGGGAAGGGAGGGGGGGGGGCACTGTGCCAATGTACCTTTAAAAGATAAATTAGCATCATACAGGTATGTCTATAACATCTTCCAACAAATAACAAAGAACTCTAGATCTTGGAAACACCTGATCAAGTTCCTGGAGGAAAAAACGTGATGCACCCTCTTTTGGTTATTGATGAGGCATATGCGGACATTCTGTATGAGTGGATTACACCTGTGTTTATTGAATTTAATTTAATTTATCTCATGTGTAGCAATGATTTTTGTAAACTGAGTTTTAATCAAGTACTTACTTATCACCCATTTTTTTAATTCCGTAACATGAGAACTTTTTTTATTTTTTGTTTGTTTATAATTTAAATTTAGAGGTTTTGATATTTATTTGTTTACTTGTTTGTCATGCTTTCAGAACACGAAGTGATGGCGCCCCCTATAATAACAACATAATTTGCACATATCCATACGATTAATATAATAGGTGTATAATATTTCTCTTTCACGTTTAACAAATAAAATAAATTTACCAAATATTCTCTGCATTCACAGTCTCGCATCTCCACTATCCTCTATTTCATGATGATGGCAATAATCTTGTCCTCGTTATTAAAAGAACATGAAAAAGAATCTTCTCATTCAGTTTTAAAGTTTATGTTTTCTTTGGGTCATTTTCAGCCATGTTTGCGTGTGAAAGTGAAGTTTTCAACCATGTTCACTGTCTCATCCGAATCTGGCACAAATGGATTTTGACGTGCCATTTTCAAAACAATGTTGCTCAGTGTAGCATGTAGGGATTTATGTCATCAACGTTTCATTGGAAAGTATACTAATTCTAATTTATGAAAAACAAGGAAATATATTCATACAGTTCATAGTTTGTTCACAATATCAGTTTGTTTCTAGGTTTCGTTATTTCTTGGATGCTCTATATAGTTTTCTATGTCATGCTTGAATGGGTGTTTCTGAAGTGTAATCTTCTTTTCGGTGACCAAAAACACGGACAAAATCACAATACTACCAATTTGATGATAAAATTATTTATTAAAAATTTCATTTAATAACTACAAATTACACACAGAATTCAGGTTGCCGAAATGTCCATTTAACCTTCTGATGTGTATATTTGCAGAGTAAACAGCAGTCCGATCATTGCAAGCGGTTGACTTGTGGGAAAACCGATAAATCAGGGGCCTGTTTCATAAAACTTGTTATCAATAAAAACTGCTACAATTCTATCACGAATCTGCTCATAAGCCAATTAATTTCAGAGGCTCATAGAAATGATTGTAATTTGTTATTGATAACAAATTTTTTATAAAAACGGGAATCAGGTCGGTGAAAATCCGAAAGAAATCTGGGAGAACAATAAGAATATTATGAATATCTTAAATGAGACATTACCAAACCTATATGTGATTAAATATTGAATTGGGTAAATAGTTATTCAACAAAAAGTAAGTAGGGTGAGATCTCCCATGTGTTAGACTGGATTGGATTGGATAAAACTTTCTCTAGAGAATCTCTAAAAGTTATGTATTTAGAGAACTGCCCCACGTCAACAGAACATCCATTCACAATGTCTGAAGCAGTTTATTTCCTGAGATATTCTCCTCTCATGATCATGTAAATTCGGTCACATGTGGTCGCATGGTTTACACGTTTACCAATTTATAACCCTCACTTCTCCAACACACCCAACTTTAAAGACCATCAATACTACTGGGCCAGAAGGTATTAGACCACACAGCGAGGTCACTGACAGGTGGCTATCTCATTAACTCAGCTCTCAACTAACATAAGAAAAAGAGGATCATGGAGGACCAACAGGCACCGATTGGGGAAGTTTTCTATATAGAGGGAGCAAGTAGCTACAAGTAGGACAGTGGGGCTTTAAAAAAAAATTATCAGGCACATATAGGATGTCATAATTTGATAAGTTACCAATTAAAATCTTGTCCTTCTCATACTCATATAATTTAAAATACATGCATTTATTTTTTAAAACATCTATTTTTCTTTGCAGCTTCATTCATGTGATATCTATGCTTCTTGGGGTTGATCCCGTACGCCCGTAGCCGGGCTTCTGAGACGGTCCCTGCACCGACTTTCACCCTCCCTCTCATCCCCTGAAGACGCTTCACGTTCTTCCGAGCCTTCAATCCTTTCAGTTTCGCAATCATCTCTTTTTTTCTCTGCTTCTTCTTCTCTCTCGACGATAGCACATTTGATGATGATTCAGCTTTGACTTCTTGCGACATAGAATGTTCTCCACTTCCTACTTCCGTCTCCAGTCTTTGATTGTCCGCTGTCTTGATGCTAAGGAGGCTGGGAGTGTTCGTTCCATTGGATGACTCCGCTGCCTGAACTCTGCTTCCCTTCGCAGTATCGGACAGGCTTTCTCCATCATCGCTTTTGGCCACTTTCTTTGTCTTTCCTGCTCCTGCAGACTGTTTCCTCGAGGATGAATTGCTTCTGCTTTCCGATGGTTTGTGACCACCCTTGCGCTCTTTGCCATCTTTCCGCCTGGATTCTGGCTTCGTTCTTGTTTGGGCGCTATCAGCATCTTCTGTTTCCTCAGTGTCACTGGAAGGAAAACAAAAAGAGTGGTAAATACAGACAATGTCAAAATCACGGACAGGTGTCTTAGATTAGTGGTTTCATCACTCTACTGGGAATGAAAAGGTTATGGGTTCAATCCAAGGACGGCACTCAAGTCTGCACTGTACAGTGCAGAAGCTACTTGCTCCCTCTATAGAGAAAACAATGTCCAGGGTAATAATACTGTAAGCACTTTGGTCAGTTATCTTGACAATGAACTAGTCCTAAAATTCAATTTCAGTTCTTACTTATTAATATTTGGAGTCAAGCAATGAAATACATATACATGGGAGGAGTAAGCATGAAGTGGAGGATCCAGGCTGTGCCCAAAACTGTTTTTTGGGGCTATTTTACAGCCCAGTTTGAAAATGAAACCCTAACAGACTATACACTAATACAAAGGTCCAAATATCGGGAAAGATTAATCTTTGTACATTAAAATGATAAACCGTTAATTAACATAATAGATGCAACTAGATGGAATTCGACTGCGCGCAGTCGAAAATGATGCCTCCGTCATAGAGCAATTTTACAAACCAAAACAGAAGAAATTTTTCAAATTCAAGTTCAATTGTAATCCATTAACAGGTTCTCAGAATATCGTGATTACAAACAATTTCTCATATACATATATGACCCTTTGAACTTTGACCTCATGATCCTAATATCTACTCAGCTCATTGGCTCTGCAAGATATCCAGAGTTAAATAGTAATCCATCTGTCAGTTCTAATGAGAATGCGTTCACAAGCTATTTTTGCATACATAATGAGCCCATGACCTTGGACCTTATGAACCAAGAATCTACACAGTTCATTGGCTCTGCAAGATACATAAATGATCTAAGTTTGGCAGGAATCCATCAATCTGTTCTAATGATAACGCGATCACAAGCTGTTTTTGCATACATAATGGGCGCTGTGACCTTTGACCTTTGACCTCGTTACCCAAAATCTAATAAGTCCATCGGCTCTGCAAGTAACATACATGACCTAAGTTTGGCAGGAATCCATCAATCGGTTCTTGAGATAACGCGATCACAAGCTGTTTTTGCATACATAATGAGCCCTGTGACCTTTGACCTTTGACCTCGTGACCCCAAAATCTAATCAGTTCATTGGCTCTGCAAGATACATACATGACCAAAGTTTGGCAGGAATCCATCTATCGGTTCTTCAGATAACGCGATCACGAGCCGTTTTGCATACATAATGAGCCCTGTGACCTTTGACCTTTGACCTCGTGACCCCAAAATCTAATCAGTTCATCGACTCTACAAGATACATACATGACCAAAGTTTGGCAGGAATCCATCCATCGGTTCTTCAGATAACGCGATCACGAGCTGTTTTTGCATACATAATGAGCCCTGTGACCTTTGACCTTTGACCTCGTGACCCCAAAATCTAATCAGTTCATCAACTTTGCTAGATACATATATGACCAAAGTTTGGTAGGAATCCATTGATTCGTTCTTCAGATAACGTGATCACGAGAACGGGACGTACGTACAGACGTACGGACGGACGGACGGACGGACGGACAACCCGAAAACATAATGCCTCCGGCTACTTCGTAACGGAGGCATAAAAACCAAAAAATTTATCATACATGGGGCCGTTACTTGAAACCGTCATAAGTTTAACTTCTTGGACATCCTATTGAAACGTGTGTTATAGAATTAGCAGGTGTTTCAATGGGATGTCCACGAACTTAGGCTCATGATGGTTTCGAGTAACGGCCCCCCGAATACTATGTCCATGATAACTCAGGCTTGAGTCGATCTGTGGAAAACGTGAGTACATCACAGCGTCAATTGCAGTTTAACTTTAATTTTCCTTTGTATTTTTTGTGTTATTAATTTATGTATTCTAATTAAAATGAAATATATTTACCTTTCCTCTTGCAAGCTGAGAAATATTCTCTTCTTTTTGCCCTCATTCTGACCAATTTTCTGGAATAATGCAATGTCTCGCTTTTCCTCCTCTTCAGATCTGAGAGGAGAAAAAAAACAATATTAATTATTCAGGGAAACTGCAGAAACTACAACTGCATAAAGATTATATACCAAACATAATCATATAAAGAGGTTATAAAAACTGGTTGAACTCATCTTCAATAGGCCATTGCCCATGTTCAATTAATCAATGACCTTGTGATCATTGACATCTGACAGACCTTATACTTGTTTCCTTGAAAGAAATATGTACTATTGAAACTTGTACTAAAGCAACCTGTCTATAAAGAACACCTGCCTATAAAGACCACTTTTCTTGACTCCCCTGAGCAGTCTTTATATACATGTTTCACTGTAAGAACATCCACCCCCCCCAAAAAAAAAAATGACTCTTGCAAAATTGAAACTTGTTGTAATGAGAGTTTGTTAAAACAGTTTTCTTTATGAACAGGTGCCACTGTAAGTACAGAGGGGTGTTTTACAAAGATTCAAAGTCGAACTTAACTCTAAGTTGGACTTAAAAAAATTATGGAGAGCCATTTGTAGCCTTATTTTGAAATATATTCAAAAGCAAAAATTTAAGTATTTTAGACTTTCATAAATTCCACATCAGGACCATGAAATCTCCTATGATAATAGAAAATATGAATGATTTGTATCAACATGTTATGCCTTTTAAAATAACTTTTACAAAATATTTTCAAGGATGCTAATGGCTTTCCAAAATTGTTAAGTTCAACTTAGGATCTATGTGAAACACCCCCCAGGTCAAGTAAGTCCTTGGCTGCCAATAAGATGGCCGTTACTTCCAAATTGAGGAATACATAGCCGTTGCAGCCTAACTCGCAGGCCAAAGAAGTGTGAACTGAACTGACCTGTATTGACAAGTCTTCTTCAATGAGGCCCACTGGTTCAACTCCTTCTCTCGAGAGTGGAGGATCTCGTTTGTCGTCAGGCCAAAGTTGTTGGCGGGGACGTTGCGGTACTTGAAGCGGCAGGGCAGATCCCCGATCATGTCTTCGTAGTCTAGGCGATAGTACTCCTCGATGTAATCCTCAAATGATTTGTCCTCTGTGTGAACGAATGATGGATGGGTCAGATGAATAGAGATACAAAATGAGAAAGAGTATTTAGGGAAGAGAGAGAGAAGAAAGAAAGAAAGAGAGAGAAGAGGAGAGAAAAAGAGAGAAAAAGAGAAAGAGAAAAAGAGAAAGAGAGAAAAAGAGAAAGAGAAAAGAGAAAAAGAGAAAGAGAGAGAAAGAAAGAGAGCATACAGTAGTGTAAACTTCCCAAAGAAGATACTTTTAATATACCGAGGAAAAAAAAGCAGGTAGACCCAAATAGACAAACTTCTAAGTTTAAGCTCTCAAATAATGCATGGAAAAGATAAGGGTCTGATTTACATGTGCATTCAGTCATTTTCATCTCAAGCATTTCTGGCAAACATTTCTTCTCTCCTTGTTTGTCAACAGTTAAACACGGTATGTAATTTCAGTATACTTTAAGCTTTCTAAGATGCGTTAATATCTTGTAAACATGTGCATTCAGTCATTTTCATCAAATTCATTACAGGAATCGGTAATCATTTCTTCTTTTTCTTTTTTAACAGGGTATGTAATTTTATACTTCATGCTATCTACGATGTGTTGATAAATAGTAAACAAAAGAGATGAAGTTATTAATTGATTTGTAATGTTTTGTTGGAAACATAACTAAATCGAGATTGAAATTGAAAGTTAAAGATATATCTTGGTATGGATGGAAATAAAAGGTAATTAATGCTCAATCTAAAAACAAGCATCTGTAAGAGAGGGAAGTAAATCTCACCTGGATTGAATACAGGCTTCTTCTTGACCAGTGACTTGGCGAACATGGACATCTTCTTGCGTTTCTTGCGGCTCGCCCCGAGCATCTCGTCGGCCAGATTCCATCTTGCCTGCTCTCGCCTCTGACTGGGATCCATGCAGTCTGCATCCATCTGTTGACGTGAGTAACCAATATTAACTATTAAAGATAAACTTGAGTTCTGGTAAAAAAAGAAAATGAATTCTCACAGAATCGAACAAAACTTACATTGAATGTTCAAGATTACAAATAAATGTTATTTGCCAAACAATTTTGGTAGAAAATGTATACTAGCTGAGGAATGAGCATAGAAAGATAAGGAAATCAAGGTAAGTAGGCCAGACACCATTTGTGTAGTCCCATATACATCTTTCTGTGTACAGTGCTTGTTACTTTACCAAGACTGGGCCAAATTTATTATGATATTGATGACTCCAGAACCTTACATTACACACTAATACTTACATGCTACATGATCAACTTTTTCTGATCCATTCCACACCTATTCTTTCACAATGCAATCGCATTACCAGAACTCACCTTTATCTTTAACTCTTTGTAAGACAGGGCCCAGGTCAACATAAATTATTCCACTATTTGGTATATATATATATATATATATATATATATATATATATCATGAATATTAAACATGTCAAATCAAATTTCCCTTCTCATATTACGTACCACAGATTGAAGATATTCTAGCCCACCAGGGGGGTGTTTCACAAAGATTCCAAGTCGAACTTAACTCTACATTGGACTCGAAAATTATGGAGAGAGAGCTATTTGTAGCTTTAAAATAAAATATATTCAAAAGCAAATATTCAAGTATTTTAGCTTTTTTATAAATTCCACATCAAATACATGAAATCTCCCCTCATAATTGAAAATATGAATGATTTGAAACAACATTTTATGCCTTTTAAAATAACTTTTACAAAATATTTTCAAAGGTGCTAACGGCTTTCCAATTATTAAGTCCAACTTATAGATAAGTTCAACTTAGGATCTTTGTGAAACACCTCCCCCCCCCCCCCCCAGCATGCTGGGTAACATATGAACCTCGTACCAACCACCTACATTGAAATCTGGATCGTCACAATGTGGCTCGCCATTCTCCTCATCGTACTCCTCATCGTAATACTCCTGGTCCTCTTCGTGTGCTTCACCACCGCCCTGGTTTGTTCTTGTCCACTCGTCCCAATCCTCTGTTGGATGAAAGGTTCAAAAGGAAATGGCACAAAGTATAACATTGGTAGGATTTTGTGAGAATTTACATTACTCTATAAACTGATGGATTACTTTACATTATCATTACCATCATTGATCTACATGTAAGTCAGCCTTTTCCCTAATACAGGCCTGCGGACACTACCTACTTCACCTTTTCCTGTCTCTAACATCCTCCTCATTGAGACCGACCTTACTTCTTTCTTTCTTCACAATAAAATAAAACACAACTCAATTATACCTTATATCTTCTATTTTCAATAATCTTACTATGATTTCTACAATGTAAGAGAGAGGGAGAAAGACAGAGACAGAGAGAGAGAGAGAGAGTGAGATGAGAAAATACACTATTAATACCAGAAACTTTAATATGTATGAATGGTTTGTGAATTTTGCAAGTGGTTCAGATTTGCGAAAGATTCCTTCCGCGAAATAAAGAAGTGGAATCGCAATCGACACAACTCTACATTTTTGCAAGTTATAAAAGTTGCCTGCAGTGAAAATAGCCGTTCTTAACAATTCACAAAAGTTTCATGCCCGATATATTTCTGTTTGATAGTATATGGAAACAAAAGTGTGTGGTACATCCGTAACAAAAAGACTGACACTACAGACAAACAAAATGAAAACTACAGAAAAAAATATCAAATATGGCAGTTTCCTTACCTTCTTTAAATTCCTCCTCATTAGCAAACTGAGGTTTGACATGTTCATCCTGACCTTCGTATTCACCGCTAAAAACTTTCTACAATTGATTTAAGAAAAAAAAAGAGAGAAGATTCCATGAATCCCTTTTCAGAACAGGATTTATACTTAGGGCTAAATTGATCACAAAGTGTTCTCCTAATTAGCAACAATTATATAGGGGAGGGTGGTGGTGGTGGTGGTGGTGGAGGTAAATTTGTTCAACTTGATTGATGAAATGTGAAGGAGCAGAGAGACCAGGGGCTGGAAGGGTCTGTGTTGTGTTATTTCTCTACTTTTCTCTCTCTCTCTCTTGCCTTAAGAGAAACATCCGGTGTGGTTATTTCACTGGATTTACCACTACAACTATTAATAATACTACAGCATTTGTAATGCACCATCGATCTAGTAAACTATTCTGAGGTGCAGAGGGAGATCATTACCCTATATTACCTAACTATAACCATCACTACCACAACTATTACCTTCACTATCACTGCCAATTAAAAAAAAAACACTGTACTAAACTGTATCACCAATACCACTAACAATATTACTACCACTTCCACAATCAATAATACTACTACCACTATCAACATTGCTAATACCACCACTGCCATTACCTCCAGCACCACTATCAATAATACTACCAATATTCTTATTAAGTACCACTATCACAACCATCACCACCACTACCATCACCACCACTACCATCACCACATCTATAACAAGAACAACCACCACCACTACCACAACCATTGACATTACCACTACCTGTTCACATCCACAATCACCACTACCTCTACCACTACCTCTAGCACTACCAATACCACTACTGTCACCACAACGTCTTCACATTGCTTCTCATACCTGCATAAGACGGTCATGTTCCGTGGGGTCAAAGTCTCCTTCCAGGTCATCGGGGTCGAATCCGATGGTGTCGTTGCCCGTCACTTCCTTCAGTTTATCAATGCGCTCCATAATCTCCTGTTTCTTCAAGTTCTTAAGGTGTTTGAGATCCTCTTTTTTCTTCTGCTTTTCCTGTTATAATACATTCCCAAACGCACAAAGGTGTTTCATTAAACAGTCTAACTTGCTTTAGTGACCACCTGTCTACAAAGACCACATTTTTTGTTTCCCAGAAGGTGGTTTCTTATTATTGAAACATGTACTAAAGGAACCGGTCTACAAAGATCACATTTTTTGTTTCCCTTAATGGTTTCTCATTGAAACATGTACTTAAGGAGCCTGTCTACAAAGACCAGTTTTTGTGTCTCCCTTGAGCGGTTGCTATAGACAGGTCTGACTGTAATAGAAACTCAATGAATAGGTCTGAACAACAATAAACTGTCGGCCTTCGTCATGCAATCGTCAGAGCTCATTGCAAGAATGACAAGAAAAGCCGTGTTCTGTAAAGTCACATGAAAATGGGAAGCAAAATTACAGAAGTATTGAAACTATTTTTTTCTTTCCTTTTCATAAGTTTTCATTTTAAGCTTCTCAGTTTTAAACCAATGTACCCAAACTCCTGAATCTGTTGGTCACAGTTAACAGGATTCAAGAACTGAACTAGAACCCCTTTGGTCTAACACCAACTGAAACTACCCTAGAAAAATTACTTCCTGAAAAATACCCCCCCCCCCCTCACTACAACCTAAAGTAACTCCCACATACGTAGTCTGGGTTAATATCTTAGGGGGTACTTGTCCACAGGTAGGGTGGGGGAGGGGGAGGGGGGTAGACATCACAAGGGGGGGGGGGAGAGAGAACTGGAAAGCGGTCTCCAAGGTAGGGATGGGGATTGGGAGGGGGAGGGGGAGGGTGTGATAATCAAGGGTGAGTCTTCCGGATGCACCCCAATGTACCTGTTCTTGTCTTGATTTCTTGTCCTGTCTTTTCTCAGCTCTGCCGGTGTCTTTCCTCCTCACTGACTCGGCCACCGTCCTGGGATAACGCTTGATCTGTTTTTATAGCAAATAGTAACAAAGACACCGAAATAGAATGAAGTATCACATCATAAAAGGTTGATTTATCTTTATTACATAGATATGATGCCATCATAAATGGTACATGCTTGATAAACAGCAAAGTACTGTACTTTATCAAAAGGACCACCATGTCAATAGACCATTTATGTAATTTAATCAAATCTTCAAGTGCCTTGCTACAAATTATTTCATTAACCGGTTACGAATAATTGTATTTTAATAGTCAGAATGCGATTGCTTATTTTCCATGTTGTGAGGTAGGACAAGTCATAATGTTTTTCCTACCTAGCAACAATTAATGTATGCAATTTGCATTCTGACTATTGACAATGCAATTATTCATAACAGGTAAATGAAATAATTTGTAACATGGCACTTATCAAAGATCTATGCATTAAATTGGATTACATTACGAAAAAGGTCTATTTTGGTATAAAGTGTATTGTACTTTAACAAACTAGAATCATATAGACTAAAATCCCTCAATTTGCAGACAAAGTCTTTCCTATCTTATTAACAGTATCCTGCAGTTCCAAAGATTACTAGGCATCAAGTCATCATTACCTATTTGTAAAGAGAGGGATGCTTTGGTTTTGATTCCAGTTCTTTGAGGAATCCCAAACAAAATCAAAAACAAACTTTCCGCGGAAGAACAATCATCACATTCCCTCCCCCCCCCCCCCTCAAACAAAAGAGAACATAATCATAGAGTACTTGCTACTCTAATGAACTCCTTAAAAATTCCTTGAAATACAAAATAATATACAATAGGCTTGCGGTTGCACCATGTGAGAGAGAGAGAGGATTGAGGAGTCCTATAAAGGACTCTCAGTAATATTTCTTGAGGGTGTGTAGTCCTGAAAAGGACTGTTGGTGTAGTCTTGAAAAAGACTGTTGGTTATCTTTCCAATCCTCCCTCTCTCTCACATGGTGCAACCGCAAGCCTACTGTATATCTACATCACCATGCAAGCTGATACTTATAAGCAGCATCTAATATAATTATAGCTCAACAAACCATCTACAGGTAGTGAAAGTCAAAAGACAGGTATGCTACTTGGCTACTTGCTTAAAGATTTCCTTTAACAAACCTATTAAATGGGTTTCCTCTCCTGCTTCATAAAATATGTGTTATTAAGTCATATAACAAGACTATGTCAAAAAGCATTTTCGGACACTTCTACTTTGATGTTCTATACTTACAAAGTCTGAATCAGGCTCCTCGTATCTAAAATTGTACTTCCTCTCAAAATCTTCCTGTTCTTCCAACTGTCGTTCTTCTTCTGAGAAATCTTCCTCTTCCCCTTCCATCTTATCCTCCTCATCATCATCCTCATCATCATCCTCATCATCTTCCATATGGAAGCCATCCCTAAGAAGAAAAGAAGCGAATAATGAGCATGTGCCATAAACTTAAGATTTGTCAGTCCCCATTAGATTAGTACACAAATGGTTGGGGAAGTCTTGCTGGATAATTGTCACTAAAGTCAAGTTGTCTATAAGGAATATATATATATCTGTATTTTTGTTTTACTGACCATCATTTTGCCTTGTTGAATTTCACTTCTGTTCTACATGCTATTTACAACATAGTCATATCACATATAGTTCACAAGCATTCCATAGCTCCCTGAATGCTGTTTATATAATTACGCAATTTGTTGTCAAAGTCTCTCCTATTAAGATAGACAATTCCCAGTTTCTTGTAATCTCATACAGATCTAATGTTTGATTTTCACAATTTTAATCAAATGAAATGTGTTAAAAAGCACTCATTTCCATAATTTTTTATCAATGCATTGCTTTGCTTTTGTTGTTGCTTGTTTTGATTTGTCTGTTTATCCACATAGGCCTACAGACTCACCTGCCGGTTGTGTGTTTATCAATGTAACCTTTATTGAGAATAAAATCCCTCAGGAATTTCTCTCCATCGTCGAGAGCAGGATTGGTCCAAAACTTCCTCAGTGGGTCCTATGAAGGCAAACAATAAAACCATTGGCTGACACAGTTGATCTTAAAATGACATGAACAAATGATATTCAATTAAAACTAGAATAACAATACATTAAGTAGCATGTGTATTATCCCTTCTTTTAAGAGTCAAATTGTGATAACCCTTTTTTAAAATTTTGTTTTATTGTATTTATGTCATTGGAAGCATATATGCGATCCTAAAAAATTCAATGATCGTTGTCGCAGTTGAAATCGAGTCTAAAGTGATGAAATTGTGAATAATAAACTCTTTATGTTGTATAGCTCCCTCTCAAGATTGATATTACTTCAGCTTCAAAACAATGTTTCTTGAATGAAATCAACCAATGTTCTATTCCCGTTTGGAAATTATATATCAGAACTGCATATTCTGAGATTTTAATGGTTGCAGCTACCATTGCATGGCCGTAGGCGCTATTTGAAATGTATCGAGAGCACTGATAAATTGGATATTTTGATTTCTCGAAATCCTTAGCGTTTTAGAGCCCAATTTTTTCGATGTTGCTTATTCTAACACTAGGTTTCACAATGGTAATGCCAGTTTTAAATTTCATAATCCAATCCAATTGAGATATTACCAAAACCTTGTAATACCGTAAGTTCATGATGTGAACAAGAATTCCTAATAAAACATGAGCAAATTGTACTATGAAAAGCCATCATAATACATAATGCACTTAGGATCTTGAACAAGGCACTTTAGGTACATTGCTTCTCTCCACCCAGGTGCCAAGGTAGGATGTGAAGGCCAGTATGATAGGATTAGTGTGTGTGTGTGCGCCCGTAAAAAAGGGCGACTCGCTGCAATGCTCCCCATATGGGTTGTGTATGCTGTAGAGTGCAGAATTGTGATTGCATCCAGTGACAGGGTTAATAAAACTGTAAGCACTTTGGCTGGTATATATATACACACAAGTTATTTTCATTGCTGTTGTTGTTGTCGATGATGTTGCAGGTGGTAGTGTTCTTGTTGCTATTGTAAATGTTGTTGCGGGTGGTGGTGGTGCTATTGTTGATGTTGTTGTCGGTGTGGGTGATAGTGTTCTTGTTGCTATTGTTAATATTGTTGCGGGTGGTGGTGGTGCTATTGTTGATGTTGTTGTTGTCGGTGCGGGTGATAGTGTTCTTGTTGCTATTGTTAATATTGTTGCGGGTGGTGGTGGTGCTATTGTTGATGTTGACGTTGTAGGTGGTGGTGGTATGTGTTGTTGCTATTTTTTATGTTGTGGTTGGTGGTGGTGGTGGTATTGTTGATGTTGTTGTTGTCGGTGGTGGTGGTGAGTGTTGTTGCTATTGGTGATGTTGTTGTTGTCGGTGGTGGTGGTGGTTTGAGTGTTGTTGCTATTGTTGCTGGTGTCGGTGGTGGTGGTGGTATGTGCTGTTGCTATTTTTATGTTGTTATTGGTGGTGGTGGTGCTATTGTTGATGTTGTCGGTGGTGGTGGTGGTGAGTGTTGTTGCTATTGTTTATGTTGTTGTCGGTGGTGGTGAGTGTTGTTGCTACTGTTAATGTTGTTGTTGGTGGTGGTGGTGCTACTGTTGCTACTGTTGCTATTGTTGTTACTGCTGTTGTTGTTGGTGGTGGTGGTGTTGATTCCTTACCAGCTGTGCAGCATCAGTACCATCTTGCCCCAAGGAATCCTTCGCTCCTTTCAACCATTCAATGTACTTCTTCTCCTCCTCTTCCTACCAAACAAAACAAAATGGTGATGGTGATGATAGCTCAGTATATTCAGTAACAACGATTAAATCCTTACAACTACCGTAATCATTTAAAATAGTTAAAAGCATTGATCTTGCAAGATAGTTTTCAAAGTCTTTTGAGCTATCCTTTCAGTATAAAATAAGGTAATGTTCTTATTTGTGATGGATTAGTAGAAAATATAAATGAAATGTTGGTATTGCTAAAAGGCTATTTAGACTTCCATTTCATGCCACATATTAGCCCAAACCGTATATTTTTTTTAAACATCACTTTATCGTTCAAACTTGCACAACAAAGGAGAAGATACAATAGCCCAGGACAATTCCATTTTACTGGAAAATGCAGGGCATTAAAAGTACACACAGTGTACAATGCTTATATTCAATGATAAATTGATGCTCCAACATTGCTCCAGTGACAATTGCTCCTTGCTCTATTTCGTTAAAAGCTGAAGGGTTAAGCTTAGGGTTGAAATTAGATTATAGGATAGGTTTAGGTTAGGATTAGGATTAGGTACAGTGTTGGGTACAGGGTTATAGTTTGGAAATCGGTTAGTGTAGGAAATCACAACTGAGCAATTGTCACAGGACCAAGTGTTGTTCAACCAATCAAGTATCTCTGAGGTAAATTCAATATTGGAGGAATCGTACATAGTACATGCAAGTTCCATGTATTTAAACCATATTGTTCAACTGCTCAGTAACCGCGGGTCAAAAGAGCCATATGTCATAAAGCCTTCTTTTCAACTGACATTTGTTATTAACAAAATATTATTTGATGAATCGGGATGATTATTGATTTGCAATATTCAAGATATTCTAGAAGATAATACACCTCATCGGCCTTTGATTTTTTCTTCATGGTTAGGATGTCACCATCATCCTCCTCATCGTCATCATCATCGTCAGCATCATCATGGACAGCTGAGAAGAAGCTGAAATGGAAATGAAAATTAAAGACACTCAGTAGTTAGCTCTCATGGGGAACTGAACACCGTTCAGGTATTTACCCTATGAGAGGTGCTGTCAATCACCAGGATTAGCCTTCAATTTTATGACCAGCAGGCCTTATGTAATGTACTGCGGTTTTCACCCATTCCCCCATAAGGTAAAGTCATTATCTCACTTTTCCCTCACCCAGTCACCCGAAGACTCTCTCCGAGAGACGAGTGGGTATTTTTTTATTGGCTACAAGTTTGCTATGTGCAGACCTAGTACCTGTACACACGTTATTGATTTGTATCCACCAAGTCTGGTGTCGGCAAATTATGGCCTTCTGCACATGGAAACTGACGAGTGACTCCCTTTGATACAAATAATTCTATTTCAGTAGTCAGAATGCGAATTGCATTCATTCCGGTAGGTAGGACGATCATAATGTTTGTCCTACCTAGCAACAATTAATGTATGACATTTTGACTATTGAAATGCAATTATTTGTAACAGGTGAATGAAATAATTTGTAACATGGCACTTAAAGATTAAACTTGAGTTCTGGCAAATATTTAAAAAAAATTCTCACAGATTCCAACAAAACTTACACTGAATGTTCAAGATTACAAATGAATGACATGCGCCAAACAATTTTAGTAGAAAATTTATAGTGGCTGAGTATTGAACATAGAAAGATAAGGAAATCCGGGTAAGTAGGCCCGACACAATGTGCTTAACACTAGTCACTATGTGCAAATTGGAGTTTGGGTTTTTATTGAAGATGATGTGTTTGTTTTTATTACACTTGTTAAAAACCAAATCTACTGCAGGATAAACAATCCAGAATAAATCATAGCAAGTTTTTCTCAAAATACGATTCCTGTACCAGAGCTCAAGATTAGCTTTAACAAAGATTTATGCATTAAATTTGTTTACATTACGGAAATGGTCTAGTGCAAAGAACAGAGATTGTGGAAAATTTTTGCAATCAACCTCCAAGCTGGGAGAAGATGACGTGAAGGATCCATAACCTACCTATCTTTGAGACGTTGTTGCTCCTCGGCGTAAGTAGGAGACATGGCCCTCTCACGTTCCTCTGCATCGTCCTCTATCTCATCCTCATCTTCTACATCATCGGTGAACTTTCCTTCCTTCTCGACGATGATCTTTCTCTCGTAGTCCTTCAGGTACATTGGCTTCTCTTTCCTTGATGATTCCTTAGGTCTGCGTGATGAACCTGGCTGGTCATCTTCTGAATTGGAATCTATTTTAGAGGTAAATTATTCTGAAATGTTAATCTTAGTAAACCAAAGTCTACAGCAAGGTCATACAACCAACCTCTGCACTACCAGGCACAGGTAAATAATAATAGTAAACTATTCTCACCTTGAATATTTCATGATTCTGTCTTTTAAAAAGTGATAAATGAAAAAGAATTACACTAACCACAGCAAGTATTTTGATTATTAATACCATACATTCATACATTGCATTTGAATTTTGACCTCTATCACCACCACAAGCTGTGGCAATCCAATTATTTCCTACCAGAATGGTAGATGGTATTCCATGCACAGATGAATAGCCAAAAACAACAGACAACTCTATTACTCTTTTTACACTTGTTTTGCTTAACCCCGTACTATCCTTAACCCCGAACTAACTGTTTTTGCTTTTCACACTCTTTTCTAGTCCTGTACTTAGTGCCTATCCCGGAATAAGAAAATTGCTGCGGTTCTCAATGCAATTTGTTAGCCCCGTACTTCCTGTATAGCGTATATATTTATTAATTCGCTCCATTGCATAGTACCGGTCTATTTTTTATTTACTTGGCACCCCAATTGCGGCGTTAGCCCTCTTTGGTACATAAGTGTCTGAACAGAAAGTGGAATAGGCTTCATCCCGGACTATAGGTGGGGCTAAAAGTCTAACCCTGTAAACGATCATCGGATCGGCCGCCGATACCGATCCGATCAGGGGTGATCGGCGAAAAATTTCCGATCGCCGATCAATTAAAATGATCGGAAAAAAAATCGGCAATTTTTTTTTTTTTTTTTTTTTTTTTTTTTTTTTTTTTATGACGAAAATTTTCAAGTTTTTGGCTGTCAAATGCTCAAAAAAGTTCATGGCTGGGATTATTTTGTCATTTGGAGTTGTTGTAGACAATGATTGTTGATATATAGTGCCTTTTCATGACTTTGAAATTAATAATATTGGTCTAAGAGCAGAGGCAAAACATGCGGGCCGCCATCTTGGATTATAATGTAGGTTTTTTTGTTTTTTTTTAATGACGAAAATTTTCAAGTTTTTGGCTATCAAATGCTCAAAAAAAGTTCATGGCTGGGATTATTTTGTCATTTGGAGTTGTTGTAGACCATGTTTGTTGATATTTAGTGCCTTTTCATGACTTTGAAATTAATAATATTGGTCTAAGAGCAGAGGCAAAACATGCGGACCGCCATCTTGGATTATAATGCATAGAGGTCTACCTACATTATAATTCAAGATGGCGGCCTGCATGTTTTGCCTCTGCTCTTAGACCAATATTTTTAATTTCAAAGTCATGAAAGGCACAAAATATCAACAAACATGGTCTACAACAACTCCAAATGACAAAATAATCCCAGCCATGAACTTTTTTTGAGCATTTGATAGCCAAAAACTTGAAAAATTTCGTCATTTAAAAAAAAAAAAAAAAAAAAAAAAAAAAAAAATCGGCCGATTTTTTTTGTCGCTCTTCCGATCCGATACCGATCAAAGGTGCGAGGGTGTCGCTCCGATCTTCCGATCCGATCAGAGCCCCAACTTACCCCCACCTACAGTCCGGGTTAAGCACAATTTTGCCAGTGTGAAAACAGTTTATGTCAGCTTACCTTCACTCTCGTAAAACTTGGCATCTTTGGTGTACATCTTGGGGTCTCTACTTTTGATGATGGACAGAGTCTTGAGGAAGTCTTTCTCAATCTGTGGGGTGAGGCCCTGGTATAAAAAAATAATTAAGAAATAAAATATAATCAATTTCTTTTTTTACAGCTGTGACATTCAATTTGTTTTTAAAAAAGGGGAACAAATCAGGGAGGGGGAAGAATAATTGCAGACAACATAATGCTAAATACAGCATACAACTACCGGTACTGTATGCAAAATCTTGCTTACTTCACATACATGTATATCCATCATGTTATTCCCCCCCCCCCCCAGAGACTTTTTCAAAATATAATAAATAGTAGGGTATGTGGAATTAAATTTATAACGTACAACACAATCTCTCTCCTGTCATTGTCTCATGTTGAGCCCAGGGGGGGGGGGGGGGGGGTTCACAAAGACTAAGATCGACTTTAAGTTGGACTTAACAATGGCAGGCCATTCATACCACTGGTTGCATGCTCTCACCATTATTATCTTTAGATAATATATTTTCCTTCAATAATGAGCTATCAAAAATAGTAAATTCTGTAGATTTGTGACCATGATTTGTATGTCCCTTGAGAGACCAATGCCAGTAAATGGTGAGAGCCAAAAATGGCATGAACGACCTGCAATAGTTAAGTCTGACTTAAAGTCGATCTTAGCCTTTGTGAAAAGACTCCCGAGAACTCATAAAGAAATATGTTAAAGAATCAAACAGTAGCAAAAACCAGAGTAAATTAGGTATACAGAAACAAAGATTTGAATTGAAAATTAAACATTTATTATACATGGACTACAATAGTACAATTCTTATCTACATGTAGCTTACCTCTGCATCTTCATCCTCAGTCTCAGAGTTGGAGTCATCTCCCTCATCGTAAACATCATATTTATCTATGACTGAAAGAGCAAGTCAGACATCATTCATTTCCAGTAATGAATCATTTCTAGAGTAGAAATTACCCTATTGCATGCTGTATTAGTATCCCCTCTCTTAAAGGAAATTCAAAGTTTTGGTATGGGGTCATGAATTTGGTTCAAATGAACATATTGGAAGCATATGCGATTTTACAATATTCAATGATCCAGGGGTGATAGTTAGAACTCAAAAAAAAATGGTACAGGTAGGAATGCCAATTGCCAATTTGGTTATCACTTTGTATTAAGGCTGTGCACAACAGTGCAATGAGGTACCTGAGTACACTCCCAGGCTTACAAGCGAATACTCAAATATTCGGACGGCATGTTTTTTTTAATTTTTTTTTGAATTTTTAAAAAAAAAAATTAATTTTTTATTTTTTTATTTTTTATTTTTTTGCCACCACCATACCACTGGAACAGTATCCCAGTTCTGTTGCCGAAAACGCATGCAATTTTACTTCGAGTTGCAGTTAAAGGCGCCGATTAAATAATAATAATAACAGTAAACAATGCTGTTTTAAAAACCAAAGATGGCAGAATAATCCATTTTCCTCCAAGTCCAAACAGAAATCCAGACATTTGGTCCCAGTTTCTGAGTGGTGAGTTTGACAGTGCTTGAGTTGGTAAAACACTTTTACCGACGGCACCCTGCCAGCAGCCGCCGCTCACCCAGGCACGGGTAAGCGTCAGCCTGGACAGATTTTTTTTTTTTTTGCAGCCGAATATTCGGGTACGAGAAATCGTACCCGAGTAGTTGTCAACCATGCAGGTACTCGAGCATTCAACTACACGTCGCAGCCCTACTTTGTGTCATAATCATTGATTTTTATATAAATAGTTTATCAAAATCCAAACACATGTGACCGTGTGAGGAAATAAGATTTTCAGGGGGAAAATTGAACATTTATATTATCAATACAAAGAAAACAATTAGTTGAACTTTATAGTGAGGCAATGACAGTGAGTTAGTTGCCAATTTGTGATTTTCAAAGTTCTTCACGTCATTAAAAATTCATAACTTTCTTAATATTAGTTATCTGATTTTGCTCAAACCTTTTTTGATTGGTTTTTTATTTTTCTGCCTCTATCGAAAGTAAGTTATTTTTGGAGTGGACTAGCCGTCAATTGCACCAAAAGTGTATTTGAACTTTTGAAAACAAATATTGATAAAAAAAAATTAGAGTACATAATTTGGGTTTCTGTTGTAGGCAGAAGACCTAAATTTTGCATTCTTTCATCAACATTCGACTTAAAACACATTTGTTTTGAAAATCCTTGCTCATATGTGTCTTACAAGCCAACAAGGCAATAAGACATCCTCTTTCACATTAACAGTAGGGGCGCTGGTACGAGAATGAGGATCGCTTTTGAAATGTTTATATCTCTTGATAGAATATCTTTTTATTCACCTGCATATGAAATATCTAGGTGATTTGATTACCGAAAAAATCAATGGTTTTTAGCTCCGAAACTTACTTAGATGTCTAGAGTCTAGGCCTACTTACTTACGAAACTCCACGATCCACATCACTTTCGCGCATAGATCTAGTGGCAATTTTTCACGGGGCTGCGCTGGCGTCGCCGCCGCAGCTGTGCATCTTGATGCTTGCCAATGCGGGTTAAAAAAGTCGCAAGTTGCCACACAACCCTCCTTTGACTTGTTTGGTTAAGGGGGGGGGGGGGAGGGGATGAAAAATTGTTGTTTTTTTCAAACATTAAACTACCTTTGGTATCGTTATTTCGCTATTTTATTTGCATTTGTTGACCTAGGGTGATGATCTTGTAGAATATAGTTCTAGTGTCTGGGACCCATATACCAAAGAACATACACAGGAAATTGGCAAGGTCCAAAGAAGGGCAGCCAGAATGGTATGCAATGACTACAGGCAAACTACCAGCGCGACAAAACTAATGGTGGGGTTAGGATGGGACTTGCTTTCTATTCGAAGGAAAGTTTCGAGGGTCTGTATATTGCACAAAGCCTTGGGGGGGCACTTGGCCCTGCCGGTGTCGGACTACCTGCGTCCAGCTACACGAGCCACCAGACGTACCTCAGGAAACTCCTTCATCCAATACTCCACCCGCACCAATTGTTTTAAACACTCCTACATTCCACGTACCATCAAGGACTGGAACTCACTACCCTCCGACATCCAAAGGACCACGAACATTGACACCTTCAAACTCCAAGCAACCAACTTTTTCCGCAACCAAGACTCAAGCAATAAGAACTAAACAAGCACAGTGCGCACCCCCTCATTCCTCCTCGCTTGGTTCCTTACGGAACGTTGAGGAGTACTCCCGAAGAAGAATCTTGGTATTATTTTACATGCTCTTTCGAATGGTACTATTTTCTAGGAGATTCAATGAATTATATTTTTTATTCACGTACATAACTAATGTCATGTCAGAACCCATACTCAAAGTCTCAATAGCCATACAAAACAATCAAGGGGTGGGACTGAAATGAAGAATGACTCCATATTTGCAAGGCTTTTAAATATCTTCATTGTCTACTAAGAGTCAGTATCTACTCACAACACTTACATTTATATTTCTGCAGTTCTTCTTTTCTCCTCCATGTATTGTAATTCTGTGCATAACTTTTATTAATGCCGAATTCCACACCAACTTCAGCAGTTTCGTCACCCATGCTTTGCTTTTAATGTACTGTTTCACGACACCGTCCTAAACAGAGTCCTAAGTTTGCCGATACACCATCGACAATGTGCGTGCATTAATGGTTGTCGGCGAAATTGTACTTATGACGGTTTTGTGAAACACTACCAAAGTTCAGCGACCAAATGGGTGTCGCCGAAACGTCCAATCGAAAAAGGAAATTATTTCTGACCTAGATCCTGTATTTGGTACATTTGGTACTTGATAAATATATCCTAAATGATTCAATTTTTAAAGACTTAAGAAACACGTCGCGATTCAATGGTATTAGGGATCTTACTGTTTTAACTTTAGGTAGCAACATAATATATATACCCCCGAATATATTCTGCTTTGTATCAATTTAGCGCTTGTGTAAAGGGTCTTCGCTCAGCTCAAAATGAGCATTCTATGTTAATAGGATTTGTTCTTGCTCTTCTATATAATAATTAAATCTATAATTAAGTTATTAGGTAGGGCAGAGAGCAATAGACAGACATACAGAGATAAAGATATATATATATATATATATATATATATATATATATATATATATATATATATATAGGTAGATATAGTTATTGCCCCCTTTCTATCTCTATCTTTCTTTCTATCAACAGTTATGTAATTGACAATCTCTTTCAGCCTTAACTTCTCTCCACAAATGAATTTCTCTTTTCCTTGCATCTTATTCTTAGGTGAAAGGTTAAAGCTCTTGTGCCTTCTAAAACTTTAGTTCTTATCTTTATAATTACTGAAGACTTTTTTTTCTCTTGATTTTCATTGGATCCCCACCCCCACCCCCCCCCCCCCCCCATTTCCTCAGAAATTAAGAATTTCTTGTAATAATGTTATTATGTGTACAGTGTATTTGTATACTTATCAAGATAAAAAATTAATATGTACATACATTTTTGTCATACTTTCTGTAATAATATCTGTAATGCCTTTGTTTATTTTTCTGTTGGAAATGAAATAAATACCAATTCAGTACCGAGAATGGTACCCCACCCTTTTCCCCCCTCTCTTTCAATCCAACTTTATCTCATATTGTTTTTGTTTGTCTTCTTGTAATACATTTCTATTCTCCACACCGTAACACTCTCATTCTCTCCCGTCTTTCCAGATTTCCCCTTCTTTTCTACCTTTGCCTCTCACTGCCTTACCTATGCCCATCATATACAACTCTTATCAAACACTTGTGATGATTCAATTTTGACATAAGATGTTCATTTTCATTGCTATTTCTTTATTTTGTCAACTTATAACATTTTGAATATTGTGAAATGTAAACATCAGTTGCAATTTCAACATGAAGATCATGATAATTTTGCGTACTTGCAATGCTTTCTAAAAAATAGTATTTAACCTACCATTCTTCAATGCACTACAGTATTGCTTCAAGATGTAGTAGACACTCTCACTCTGTGTCATGCGTGACTGCATGTATCGATCATTCCATAGAATTCGGTGTGACTTGGTATTATGGTGTCCACTTTATTTCAAGCAAAAACTTCACATAAGATATTATAATTTGCTTATAAGAAGTATGAACAAATCAACATAACAAGAATAGGATGGGCTAGTGATGAAGACATATCAAAAGTAATAGGCTATTTCCGTAATGTAACCAAATTTATGCCTTTGTGAAGCGGCTCAATACAAAATTACAAATTATTTGATTCACCTGTTATGAACAATTGTATTTCCATAGTCAGAATCATAAGGGCATGTACATTAGTTGTTGCTAGGTAAGACATGCATTATGGCTTGCTTTACCTAACAACATGTAGTGTATGCAATTTGCATTCTATTGAAAAAATTCAATTGTTCATAACAGCTAGGTGAATTAAATGATTCATATTCCAGGTACTTAATTACAAGTTAGGTTACATTACGAAAATGGCCTATTTATATAAAGCACTCGTTTTCAATGAATATGAAATATATAGAGATATCAAATATATAAAGATATAAAACTAATAGAAGAGGTTCACACAATACATGGTGAATACAGTAATAATGCTACATGACCAGTGGAACAAATAATATATATCGCAAAACAGTCAATGTTTTGGCTTATTAATAATGGTATACATATACTCTACACAGATATCAATGGTGGAATGGCTGATGAACATTTATCACATTAACAAAGTCATTAATGAATTTATAAAGATTCAAGTACATTATCAATTACAATGTCCATGTTAAAGGAAACATAAAACAGATAACTGTGTAATGCACTATTGCCAATTGATGAATTTTCGAAATGCAACTCGTTCTTTTGTTATGGAGGTAATCCCCTTTTTTAGATTTATGTATACCGTTTATGTAAATATGCATATCCATATATATGTGTGTGGGTGGGCTGGAATTGCGGCCATATGTGAGGGTGAGTGCACACATGTGTGCGTATGTATATAAATGAAGAAGATAGAAAGCCCATATAACATTCTGATACACACAAAAAAATTACATAACCTATATCATCGTCTGCATAAAGTTTGCTATAGGAATACATGTGTTACAGAGCTATGCTCATTTATAATTAAATGACATGTGTTTAGTTTCCATAACATTATCACCAGAAATTATTTAAAATTAGTTCATCATGTTCTGAATATAATTTTCAACTACAACATCATAAGATTATTCTAGGTTGCATACTTTGCATAACCCATCCAGAAAATTAAAGATGTAAACTAATGCATTTTTCTAATGCCGCATTTCTAACTTGAAACATAAACTCACACACAAATCTGGACCTCAATATACGAGAATATATTATGTAATCTCTCAAATATGATATGAATATTACAACTTAGAATAATTTGTGATACTATTTGTACACATCGTACAGTACGAGTTGAGTTGTTCTTCTTCAAATCTACTGTGATTTGAGGCTATGTTGATTTCTCTGCCTATGAAAAAACAATTTGGTTTCCGTGGAATACTTTCCCAACTCCCAAGGGGCGGCTGCTGACCTGAGCTAGTCTACAGCTTCAAACCCTTGTCACTCATAGCAAATAACACATGGTCTGAACTGCAAGACTAGACTGCAACCCACAGATATAGCCATTGGGAAGCGCCACACAAGACACGGTATATTTGGATAACAAGTCAAATGAGAGTCTGCAAGCGCAGACTAGATTAAAGCTATATTGGCAGTTCAATTGGGGGATACATGTAGCATCAATCCTGCATGAAACTTGTGTGCACAAAGCAACCCAGCATGCATATCATGGTCACTCAACCCTCCCCCCCCCCCCCCCCCCCTGGTAAAAAAAAAAGAGGGGCCCCCACCCCAGGCCAAAAAAAGAAGATGGTAACCACAATATACCTTTTCATTTTTGTTTTGCTTCAAGGGGGGGGGGGGGGGGGGGGGGGGGGGGGGGGGGGGGGAGGGGGGGGGGGGGGGGGGGGGGGATGTTACACCCTCACCCTCCCCCTCCCCGCTTATTCGCCGCAAAATATTTTCTCACGATAAAACTAAAGTTTATTGCTCATTACCCCCCCCCCGCCTGCTGGATCCGCCACTGGCTGAAACTATATTAAACAAAAATAGCTTGATTGGTGCACAAGCCCACAGGACACAGATGTCACAGCAAGTTATCGGCCTAATTAACACACAAAATTCATGCAGGATTGGAGCCATTTTCATGATTTCCATGAATGACATTGAAATTCTCTCTGAAGCCTGAGGATGTGCAGAAATGAGCTATGGAAGATCATGATCTAGTCTCGAGGACTTCTCATTCGGCCCTCCTGGGTGCAACCGGCTGGTTTCACGCCTGTATATGCCTGGCAGATGAGTCCAAGTGAATCCGTTTCTGCTTGGTTTTGGATTGCATTGGTGTGAGCCTGGTAGCAAGGGTGGAAGATTTACAGTGGGTTAGAATGGTTTATTGCCATTTGGTCTAAAACCAGTTCATCTACAATACCCAAATTGGCCTATTCCCATATCGTCTACACCCAGGCTGTCTACTATCTACATAGTCCAGTAATCATTTGGTCTAGTAAAGCATAGCGTTGCACATTCTGCTTATGATGATACAACGTCTTTTTTATGTACCGGTATTGGAATCCTGTATCTAAAGACTGTAACACTTTGCAATTCAAACGCACAATAAAGGCATGCTACACATTTGACATAAAAACTATCACTTGTGTTTATTTGAGTATGTTACAATCCCTATAGGCTTCTTAGATATTACTCTGGCTTTAAGCATGGTATACATGAGTATATACTAGTATAACACGTATAAAACACATATACTATAAGAAAATTAAGGACTTTACGAGTGATGGGATAACAACATTTTAGATTTGTTTTGTTTGTTTGTACATATTTTATTTCGTTTTTTGCTTCTAGTTCATTTATCAAGTTCTTATCATAATGCAATTTCGAAATAATTTTTTTAAATCTAATATAAGTTTTGGCACTTGATGCCCGAATCAAACAATATTCTGGATTTCTGGCACCTCTCTCCCTGTCAAATAGAAGGATAATTGGGCATGCTGTTGCCCACATATGGAGATATTCATGCAGGCACTTCGCTGCCTGAAATCATCCTGTTTCTAAATGTTGCGAGCGAGGAAGAAAGACACCTTATTATCTGTAAAAATGTTCCTTCCTCATAAAAAATGTTGTTTTCATGAATTCATGATATTCAAAAATAACTTTTTAAAGCCCATCTGTACTAGTTTGGCTAGGAGGGATTAGACCCCGCCCCCCCCCCCACTCAGTGTTATTTAGGGTACGCATATGCATGTTCCCTCCTTTTGAAAACACCCCCCTAAGTCCGGTGTGTAAAGTCAATACAAGCCGGATTTTTGTGTACTACGAGCCAGACTTTGGTGGGTGAAAAGTACCCCTTTACCGGACATTTTGGTAACACGCAAATTATCCATCCGTTCACGGATGAGAGGGTGGGGCCGGGGATTAGACCATCCAGGGTGGTCACTGACAGGTGGCTATCTCATCAACTCAGCTTTTACTTAACATAAGAAAAGAGGATCATGGGGGACCAATGTTCACCGATTAGGCATTGTTTTCTATATAGAGGGAGCAAGTAGCTACAAGTAGTACAGTAGGGCTTTAATACAACTAAATTTCTCACTCAGCCAACCTCTGGAGTTCAAAAACTGTATTCTTTAATCCCCAAAGTTGTATTCTTAAAAATAAACACGGACTGTTACGCGGATCATTGCCTCTTACAGTTCCTACATACAGGAAGAATTTTTTAATGGATCATTTGCTGAATATGAATATGCATGATTTCGTCAAGACTGTTGTGTTCGATGAACCAATGAACACCCCCAAATTGCTGATGGGAGATGCTTGTAGGATACTTTTTTTTAAATCGTATTTTATTGAGGAAAGTCTTTTTTGCTTTGTACGAAATACGACCAAATCGTACTGGTTGGCAGGTCTGTAGAGATGTCTTGTGGCACTCCAGGGTGCCAGGTTGAAATAAAAGGTGCTCTAGCAAGTATTAGGGGTGTACATCTATGATTGAAAGACATTACTTATGGAATACTTACTCCATTGAGTACAACCCATGGTACATACTCGTGTGGGGGATTCAAGGCCTCTGTCTTAAGGGCCATGGAATGCTCTAGGGCGTTTCCCATAGATCCTTCACTGCAGTTCTGAATGGATGGATATTCAGAGAGGAGGCCCAATTCTTTGGCACACTGGAAAGTGAAGAGACATACATGAACTTAGTGGCTGTAAGACTTTCCAAAACACACAAGTTCTTAAATATAAAGCAAAGCTAGCTAACTAATCAATTTCTTAAATATATAGAAAAGCCTTATGATAGGTCTTGAATCTTAATCTAATTCTTTTTTTCATAATTGTTTCTTCCATTTATTAAAAGTCTACATGTTTTGCATTTCCTCTTCTTCAGAAATATACTTTCTTTCATGACTGACTCTTCTCTCTGTCTCTCTCTGTCTCTGTTTATTATGTCCATTTGGAGAAAAAGGGCAATAAACACAATCCATAATTTACTTCTCACCCTTTGGCGCTTTTGTTGTAGTTTAGTTGTTTTGATTTGTGTTTTTTGTCTGTTTTTAACTATTAGCAAGTCATGTTGAGGATTGACAAACCTGGCTTCCGGCAGTTGCAGGATTGTTAGTTTCCAGGCAGTAGATGAAAGGGAACGCCTTGTCAAAGGGCAGAATCGACAGAGCACAGGTCTCGACGAGGTTTCCGACACATTCCTGAGGTCCGTGCTGGCATGTGTACTGCCATTTACCTGCAACTTCAAGCTCCTATGACGAGAATGAAAGTAAAAGAATTTATGAAAATGGGTTCTAGAATGTAGCCAACCTAATTGAAATTAATCCACGCAATGTCAAATGGCAAGGACTTTAATCTGTGCACTGAGATGCGTATTATACATGTATATGGCTGGCCACTCCCACCATCAAAGTCTGTTTACAATACGTGCGCATAGTCTTGTCATTGCAACTAGAATCCCATTTTACAGCATTTTACTTGACCTAATGTTATAAGGTGCACAGTATTTATCATGCAATATTACATATCTTTCAACTCCGTAAGTTGGCACAGTATATTCTTGGGGTTATATTTGATAACATATACTTATCAATGAATATTCAAATTAAGTTGTCCCCTGATAGATTAGTACCTACATGTATATGGTTGGCAGTTGAATTGAAAATATCGCACTCATCAAACAAAGAATTTGGGGAAGAATTAATGTAAAAAACAGGAAAAAAATAATAATTTGAACAAAAATAATAAACATACAACATAATTTGTTTTGAAATCTGTCTACGGTACATGAAATTAGTCACTTTAGTCTCTATCAAAATAAACTAAAAATGTTAACGTACTATGGCATTTCCATAGGGTACCAAAGTGACATTGACGATGCTTTTAACTTTCTGCCATGCTGGGTAAAGCTCGGTGGTGAGGAGTTGACGGCAGCCAGGGCAAAGGGACTCAAAATAAAGCTCGTAACGCACGAGGGGAGCGTCAGCGGCCTTCTGTTCAGACTGCCATAACAAACATTGCTTCTGAACCTGTAAAATTAGAACATGCATTAAAGAGTAAGAGTCAGAAAATAAGCAGTTGAAATATTGTAGTAAAACTGCCAACTTTTGCTTAAGCCTTAAAGGCTTAAGGGTACATGTTTTGTGGAAAAAACATTGATAAATTTCAATAATCTAGATGCATCACAGCTGTAATTTAGTGTGAAATGATATTCCAACTTCACGAACTTGACTAAACTTTCTTTAAAAAAAGTATTAGTTTTACCATAACCATAACTTTAGAAATCAGGGTAATTAAAACTAGTAAAAATAAGTAATGTAAAACTAAAAGACCCTAGACTGGCCTGGCTTAGATGACAAGAAAATACTTCACCAACACGTGCCTAAATTTTGACAAGATGAGTAGATCTAGATGTTACATGAGATTCACACAAGTCACAAAATAGTTTCAGTTTTCAGTTAAATTTATTTCTCCTCAAGACAAGAGATCAGCAGATTGAAATATAACCAGACAAAGACAATACATAAAGATGAATTTATAAAACGTAAAGTAAGTAAGTAAAAGGAAACAATATGTGGATATTTCGAGAATTTCGAGTCAGACTTAAAGATGAAGTTGAGTTCTGGTCATGCGATTGCATTGTGAAAGAAACGGTATGGAATCGACCAGAAAAGGTTGATCGTCTAGCATATAAGAATTTGTGTGTATTGCAAGGTTCTGGAATCATCAAAATGATAAGAAATTTGGCCAAGTCTTGGTAAAGTTACAAACACCGTACACAGAAAGATGTATATGGGACTACACGAACACGTGGCATAAAAGTCCAACCCCGGAGTTTTACGATGTTACATGTCTATTTAGAATATGAAGGCATTTGAAGAGCCATGCTTTTCAGGGAACATGTCTTATCTAATTTTCTTCCACACTTGCATAATAAGAATGATAACGCTCACAAATTATTTTTCACCTCTTCCCAGAACTCAACCTTCTCTTTAACTTCGTGAAGCTGAAGCCTGGCTTGACTAGACCTAGAGCCTAGATCTACTCATTAACTTACCCCACTCCAGCAAAACATAGAATTTGAATTTTTAAATTATTCTTTAATTTAACATCAGTAAGTTAAAAAAAAAAAGTATTTTACTGCTATTTAGGTGTCATCAATTGTCCCTAAAGAACCGATGTTGAGTGAAATCAGTTGAGTTTTGTACAATGGTGTTTGAAGTGTTGAGAATCAAAAGCAGTTTTACTACACACCCAGCCCAGGCCGGTGATGCTCCTATGTGTGAACTTACCCCACATTGTTCTGAAATTTCTGGTGAGCTGCACCAGAGATTGGGGTGAAACCCGCAACCAAGGACCACTGAAGGTATTATCAATAACACTGCAATGCTAGTGATGATACAAATCCTGCCTGGCATTTTGACAAGTCTTTACACAAAAAACTAAGAAAATTTGTGGAAGTAGAGGCGTTGAACTGTTTAGGTCGGCGTTCATCAATGCAATATGTTTCTGAGAGCGAGGCAGCTGACAGTTAGTTGATCGCCGGTGCGGTTGTAAACATATATCACATGATTACAATCACAATCATGTGACCGACCGGCCGTGCAACCTAGTCTCACTCACTAAATCCGTCTAGAACCCACCTCGCAAACAGTGCAATTTCTGTACAACCCAGACCTTATCATTATTGTGCCCTTCAACGATTCACGGCTCAATAGTTCACAATTTTGTCCCGAATACTAAAAAAAACAGCAACAAACAGGAAAAAAATAAACAAAAACGATTATAGACTCTAATAGGAGCGGTTGAAATCGAGTCTAAAAGTGATGAAATTGTAAATGAATGATAGACGCCAATCAAAACTAAAACATCAACAAACTCTTTGTGTTGTAGCTCCCTCTCAAGACTGATATTACATTAGCTTTAAAACAATGTTTATTGACTACAATCGACTGATTTGCTATTCCCGTTTGGGAATTCTGCATATTCTGATATTTTCATGGTCGCAGCTCCAATTCAAAATTTGAAATATTTGAAAGTTACTCGGGGAGCCCCTCCCCCCCCCCCCCCCCACCCCGTGAACGGAGGGATACCATGCGTGTTACCAGGCGCGGATCCAGGATTTTCGAATGGGGGGGGGGGGGGCCGGAAATTTGAAAATTGCGCATACCGTTTTTTCAACTCAACATAACAATACTGACAAGGTCATATTAGAAGCAACATACCGGTACAATTTTTTTGACATGTTCATCTAGAGGGGAGGGGGGGGGGGGGGGGGGGGCTATAGCCTCTTGCCCGAAAAGTAATTTTCTGGTTTCACAATTCGAGCAAAATTTTGAGCATATGTATTCTGTGAAAGCGTTATTTATTACAAAAAAAAAACGAGAAAATATATCGAAAATTCATATTCGGGCAGCTCGCTGTCCCCCCCCCCCCCCCCATTACGCGCGAAGCGCAGAAGCTCTGATGTTTCATGCAATTATTAGAGAAAGAAGAGGATTCGTTGTACCATTCTCGACTCTTACTCCTTGTTTGAATTCAGTTCCCCCCCCCCCCCCCTCCCGCGCGAAGCGCGGAAGCTTTGAACTTTCATTAATTATTAGAGAAAGAAGACGATTTTTTTTTGGGTACCATTCTCGACTCTTATTCCTTGTCTAAACTCAGTTCCCCCCCCCCCCCTCCCGCGCGAAGCGCGGAAACTTTGACCTTTCATAGTTTAATGAAAATATTAGAGAAAGAAGACGTTCCGCTGTACCGTTCCCAACTCTTAATCCTTGTTTAAATGCAGTTTCCTCCCTCCCGCGCAAAGCGCGTGGAAGCTTTGATGTTTCATTAAATTATTAGAGAAAGAAGACGATTCGTCGTACCGTTTTTGACTCTTTGTCCTTGTCTGAATTATTAAGTCCCCCCCCCCCCCCTCTCGAGCGAAGCGCGGAAGCTTTGACGATTCATCAAATTATTAGAAAAAGAAGAAGATTCGTTGTACCATTCTCGACTCTGATTCCTATAGTCTGAATTCAGTCCCCCCCTCCCCCCCCCCCTCCCGCGCGAAGCGCGGAAGCTTTGACTTTTCATTAATTATTAGAGAAAGAAGACGATTTTCTTTGGTAACATTCTCGACTCTTATTCCTTGTCTGAATTCAGTTCCCCCCCCCCCTTTGAAATTATTAGAGCAAGAAGACCCTCCGTTGTACCGTTCCCAACTCTTAATCCTTGTTTAAATGCAGTTTCCCCCCTCCCGCGCGAAGCGCGTGGAAGCTTTGATGTTTCATTAAATTATTATAGAAAGAAGAAGGTTCGTTGTTCCATTCTCAACTCTTAATCCTTGTCTGAAGTCAGTTTCCTATCGCCCGCGCGAAGCGCTGAAGCTTTGACCTTTCATAAATTATTAGAGAAAGAAGACGATTCGTTGTACCGTTTTTGACTCTTTGTCCTTGTCTGAATTGAGTTCCTCCCCCCCCCCCCCTCTCGCGCGAAGCGCAAAAGCTTGGGCGTTTCATTAAATTATTAGAAAAAGAAGAAGATTGGTTGTACCATTCTCGACTCTTAATCCTTGTCTGAATTCAGTATCGGCCCCCTCCCAAGCGAAGCGCGGAAGCTTTGACCTTTCATTAATTATTAGAGAAAGAAGACGATTTTCTTTGGTAACATTCTCGACTCTTATTCCTTGTCTGAATTCAGTTCCCCCCCCCCCTTTGAAATTATTAGAGCAAGAAGACGTTCCGTTGTACCGTTCCCAACTCTTAATCCTTGTTTAAATGCAGTTTCCCCCCTCCCGCGCGAAGCGCGTGGAAGCTTTGATGTTTCATTAAATTATTATAGAAAGAAGAAGGTTCGTTGTTCCATTCTCAACTCTTAATCCTTGTCTGAAGTCAGTTTCCTATCGCCCGCGCGAAGCGCTGAAGCTTTGACCTTTCATAAATTATTAGAGAAAGAAGACGATTCGTTGTACCGTTTTTGACTCTTTGTCCTTATCTGAATTGAGTTCCTCCTCCCCCCCCCTCTCGCGCGAAGCGCAGAAGCTTGGGCGTTTCATTAAATTATTAGAAAAAGAAGAAGATTGGTTGTACCATTCTCGACTCTTAATCCTTGTCTGAATTCAGTATCGGCCCCCCTCCCAAGCGAAGCGCGGAAGCTTTGACATTATTATTAGAGAAAGAAGACGATTTGTTGTACCGTTCTCGACTTGTCAGAATTTTCAAAAATGTTTCCTTGTCTGCTCCTTTTTCGTCCTATGTCCTCTTACTGCCCCTACCACCCTTGGCTACGCGCCTGCTTTAAAGGGAAAATGAAACAATCATGATTGTAATAGCACACAATTAGGTCATTAGAAATGAACGGGGAAAAAAAGAAAGATCTATTACACCAACAATGGATAAATCACGCCCGGGAGCGTCAGATCATAGTTTTGTGTTATCGGGCGAGGGCCGGGGAGTATAGCGGCCAAGCGAGATTTTGCAATGTTGAATGCTGAAATTATGCATTCTAGAAAATCCCTAAGCCCAATATGTACGTTCTTTCCGCTATATTTCTTTCGAGCTATATTTCTAAATTTCCTGGGGGACGTGTCCCCCTATCGGGCCAGGATTGCCGCCCCTGTCCATGATTACTACAAACATGAGTTCAAATACAAGAATAAGCGAGTCAGTATGAGCTGAATTCAAATGAAGGGCAAAATAAGAGTTGTAAAGCGGCCCTACCGTTAATTTCAAATTATATGAGTATATAGCTTCTATTCAAAAGACATCCAAAATATGGTGCCCTTTTCAAATTGCTCACTAAAGAGTGATGACCTTTGTAGCGCAGGGGCTGTTTTTAACGTTTAACTTTGAATCCGCGGCTCGATATTTTATGCGGCCAGCCCGGCCCCCTCTATTCACGAACGTTTGTCAAGCCTTCTGTAATGACCCCAAATCTCCCGATTACAGTTTTCCCTTATTCGTCGCTACTGTCACTTAGCGCCATTTCCTTTTCTTTCCCCCTTTCTCACCCGACTTTTCTCTTCCCCCATTTTTGTGTATTACGGGCCGGACTTTGTTGGGAGATTTCGGGAACACAAATTCGGTCCCTCCGACCCCGGAGTGGGAGGGAAGGGCGTTCTTCGTGTTATTTTCTACTTCTTTTTTTTTTCTCTCTCTCTCTCTCTGTTTCTTTTCTCTTCTTTCTTTTCTTTTCTCTTCTCCTTTTTTTCTTCTCTTCTCCTCTCTTTTTTCCCCTCTTCTTTTCTTCCTCTTTTTTCCTTTTTTTTGCGCCGCCAATAGGGGGAGGGGGGGGGGGGGCCGCGGCCGTTTCGGCCCCCCCCCCTGGATCCGCCACTGTGTTACCAAAATTTCGGGTAAAGGGGTACTTTTCATGTACCAAAGTCTGGCTCGTAGTACACAAAAATCCGGCCCGTATTGACTTTACACACCGGACTTTTAGTTTTACTTTTAATGTTTCTTGACTACAATCGACTGATCAGTGCTATTCCCGTTTGGAAATTCTGCATATTCTGCATATCCCTTACAAAGGAGGGAACATGCATACAGTGCAGTGACGGACCCTTGAGAAAAAAATCATGTAAAAACAAATTTCGAGGACCAAAAAAAAAAAAATTCGGCCGGCGCGATTTGCAAATTTTCGGGAGCAAAAAAAAAAAAAAAAAAGTGCTCACTATATACCTACTGTTGCTCGATCTCAACAGCGCGGCGCTCCCGGATGTAGGTGTGAGTGTGTGTGTGTGGGGGGGGGGGGCAGTGCCCCCACTTTTTCAAGTACCCCCAAAGTGCCCATATTTACATACGAAAAGTGTCCCCTTTTACTTTAACAAGTGCCCCTTTTCCTTTGTAAGAAGTGCCCCCACCCCTTCTAATAATTGCCCCCTTTCACTTCTGATAAATGACCCTTTTATTTTGACACGTGTCCCCTTTTTCTTGTGATAAGAGCCCCTTTTCAGGTTTGAGAAGTGTCCTTTTTCACTTGTGATAAGTGCCCCCTTAGGCTTTGATAATTGCCCCTATATTCGAAGCTGAGGGTGCCCGTTTTACTTTGACAAGTACCACTTCCCCTTTTTAATAAGAGCCCCTTCCCTTCTCATAAATGCCCATTTTACCACTGATAATTGCCCCTTTTGCTTTGGCATGCACCCTTTTTCATTTTAATAAGTACCTTTTTACTTTTTTTAATAAGTGCCCCTTTTCCTCATTTTTTTATAAGAGCCCCTTCCCCCTTTCATAAATTCCCCTATTCAAATCTGATACGTGTCCCTTTTCCATTCCCATTAGAGCCCTTTTCCCCATCTCTGGTGAGTGCCCTTTTTCAAATGCGAGAAGTGCCCTATTTTTACCTCTGATAATTGCAATTTTCACTTTGACACGTGTCCTTTTATTTTCTAATAAGTGTCTTTTTTCCTATTGATAAGTACCCCCTTTTACTTTCTCAAAAACAAGCGCCACTAATTTAAAGCGACTTAGGCAACTTTTTCTTTAATTCCCCCCAAAGCTCGCTCGTCAGCATTTATACTTGATGAAATAATGATTATGTTACTTAAAATAGGTCTGTTCAGTATTTTATGGTTAGATTGTGCTTAGAACCCATCGGGATTTGCTATTCGTATTCTCTTTACAAATTGTATTTTGTTTGTACTGCGACCTCGCACACCTTTTTTTTTTTAAATCTCGCTTGCTTCGCTCCCTCACTAATTAATATTCAGACCATAGCACCCAACTGCAAGTGTTGGCCTATGCTTAATTAAGCAACATCTTGGACCATTTAAAGAGAGAAGCAAATATTGAAATCAAATCATCCCTGATAATGTAATAACTATCATGAGTCTTTGACAATGTATAGGACTATATACCAATGTCTAAAAATGTTGTATTTTTGCTTTGAGGTTTCCCTTTGTAGGTACCTCCTTTGCCCTTTTCAGTTGGTGCCCCCATACTTTGGAAGACGTTCCGTCGCCCCTTGCCTTTCTCTCAATAATTTGTGGGTCACAAGTTTCCTCAAGCTCCTGAATCCTCAAGTTGTTATAAAAAGACACTGACTAAGCCAGTCGCCTACTGTAACGAGAATTGTTTGCAAACACTGAATTGCAATATCTAGATGACACTGTCTACCATTCGTTGTTAACAGCCGCAGTCGCCCCCACCTTTTCTCCCAGAAAATGCCCCTCCCCCTGCGAAAAGTTATAAAAATACACAAATGCAAAATGTTTATCTTTACAGACACATTCCGTAGTCGTGAAATTATTGTCAAGCATGCCCCCCCCCCCCCAGCTCGTGACAAGAAATTGCCATTAATGACTAAAATCTAATAAGCATACTTATTCTGGGTCCCGTCTAGACTTATAAAGAGTTGATAAAGAGATGATATAAATATATTCGGGCACCGTACTAAAAAACATGCAGAAGTATATATTCAGGCACTTCGGTGCCCGAAGTCAGCCTAAATAATGCAAGCGCGCGAAGCAAGCGAGAAAGAAATACACTTTAAGGGCAAAGTCCACTCCAAAATTAACTTACTTTCAACAGAAGCAGAAAAATCAGACAAACCAATCAAAAAAGGTTTGAGCAAAATCAGAAAAGTAATAGGAAAGTTATGAATTTTGAATGACATAAAATCTTTGAAAATCACAAGACACATTGGCAACTCACATTTTAGTCTCTGACGTCATTGCTTCACTATCAACTAATTGTTTTCTTTATGTTGACAATATAAATGTCCAATTTTTCACCTAAATTTTTTTTTCCTCACACCAACATTCAAGTTATATTGATAGTAATATGTTTTCGTATGGATGCACTAAATAAATATAGAGTAATATTTCAATTAAATCATGAAAAATGTGAATTTGGATAAACTATTTATATAAAAATCAATGATTATGAATATACAATATTCAGAAAATAGTATCAATTATTCTTCAAAGTTTATAAATGACTTTGTGAAATGTCATTGACGCAATATGATACAAATCATAATAACCTGGGCAAAGAAATGGGGAAATCAAGTTTTTTTAGGGGAAAAAAAGGAAATTAATGGGATAGTGAGGCAATGTCGTCACAAACTGATAACCAAATTGTGTAGTGAATTTCTAAGTTCCAAAGTTTTTCATACTTTTAATATCTTGTTATATAGTTATCCGAGTTTACTCAATGTGTTTGGGCTCTGTTGCTCTTGTTTTTCTGCATCTATATTAAAAACAAATTATTTTTGGAGTGGACTTAGCCTTTAAAATAAAATAACATAGTAGATAGCGGTTTCGTTTATTTGCATGGTGTTTCACGGCATCACGCTATCGACTTTAATTTTATTCCATTTTTTTTTTATTACCTTAATTTCTCTCGCGGCACCCCAAAGATGTACGGCACCCTGGTTGAAAAACACTGGATTAGAGGATTTGCGATTAATTTCGATCATTCTCGCAACTCTTCTAGACCTCTATAGCAAATACGATCGCAGTTAGGACTTTCAAAAAAATCATGCCAAATGCAAATCGAAAAACCTGATTAAACCTGACGTCACCTGTGACCTTTGGGAAAGTGCAAAAATTATGATAGAACATTCGACGTAGAGTAGGCAGTTGAGTTCTTCATGGTCATTGCGGTCATGTTTTTAAAAGACTTACAAAAACAGAACAATAACAACATCGAACATTGCAATCACCTATTTTCATCGCTTACGTCATCATCCTCACTGCACTACACATGGTCATGGTCATCAATGTAAATCCCTTTGGTAAATCCTTTCGCTCTTTGGACCACGCCCCCTCTACTACTAGTACGCGACGCGATGACTTCATTGCTTCGAGTGTTACCTTGCTAGTAGTAGCCCTCATATCAAAGTCGCAGCGCGGCGTATGGCAATGATGATGGACCTACGTTTAATATTGTTTATTGGAAGCCTTTTCCTCCTTTTATCTCCAGACCTATTTCAGACAATTCTTGCTCAAGAACAATACGGTACGTAACAGACATTATGTAATGTGAGTTTCGCTAGTTTATAAGGAGAATTGGGAAAATTGTACGGGCGAGCGCGGTCAATAATATCGTCACTATCATAAAGATCCCATTGAAACGCGTGTTAAATTTAATACACGCATTTCAATGGCATGTCGACGTCGATGAACTTGTACTATTGTAGAGTCTAATTGTACTTAACTTATGACGGTTTCTTCTTCTTCGCTATAACATAAGTAGAGGCCACTGCACCGTCGGATGTGTTCTTGTACTAATGTAGGTGCTGTGCAGGTGTTTATACAGTGAGATGGTGCCCTGCTGCCCAAATTCAAAAATTCCTTTTTCTTCACAGTCACATGGCTTTAATTTTATTTTCAATAAACGGTCGCGCTCCCAAAGTATCACAAACTGATTGGCTGATGATAATATGTTTTACGTCATTAGCAGCTTGGAAAGAGGTCACAAACAAGTAGACTTTGATTACCGGTATTTATTGCTTTGCCTCAATATTATTTAATGAAGGCAAAAAATAGAACTGAATAAATATCAAACCCACAACTCCAACGTAGGAGTAGGCCTATACTCTATACGCTGCCACTACCGATCGAGTTAACAATGGGTTGATGAAAGGTGGGTTTGCATGATTATTTACAAAACTTCTCTCTAACCCTACGGTTACCATGTGTGCATGCGCAGGTTTAGCTAGTTCGTAAGCTAAACTAGCTACATTAGCTAGCTTGACTCTTGGCGAGCGGGTTTATTGAAATTTAAGCCGTAAAAATCACAGGCTGTCGTGTAAAGAAAAATTACGCTTCCGGGTTTATAGGATTGGGTAATGGAGATGGGAATTCTAGCCGTTACTTACTACATGTAAGTCACAAGTGGTAATATGAAATGTGATATTGATATCTAAGTTCTAGCCTTAATTGGCACCTACCCCTGTCATTTCTAACATGCTATATCTCTCTCTCTCTCCCTTTCCATTTTCTCTCTCTCTCTCTTTCTCTGTCATTTCCTTTTCTTCCATCTCTCTCTCTCTTTAGGTGATAATATGAAATATGATATTGATAATGTTTGGCATAGGATGATAATGAATAAATAATAAATAATAATAATAATAATCAAAATGGTACTTATAAGCGCTTTCCACCGGAGTCTATAAGTGCTAAGTGTTCTAGCTAAGTGTTGTAAGTGTCAAAGTCTCCAAGTGCTAAGTGCTAAGCCACTAACTAAGATGCATACCCCTGCAACTGCGTAAAGAGCGATGTAAACAAAACCTAAACAATAATGCGTTTGTAATCGCCCCTTCCCGCACCAAAACTAGCCTTACACACTGGCTTTGGGGTTTGCTAGTTGACTCTTCTTTCTTCCCATACAAAGCACTTTGAAATTAATTGGTCAAGAATTGAACCAAAAATGTGAACATTTGATACCGGAGTGATATTGATTTGCTTACCCACCTTCCATGATTCCTGAATCCTGATGATAAAGACTCGATGATACATGCAATTTACATTAAAAAATCCTAAATTAAACATTCAGAGTATTACATTCTGTCCCATTTTGCCCAATCACAGCTTTTTTAACTAGTATAGGGGCCTACCAACCACCAAAACATGATATGCTCTTGAAGTAAGGGATTCCATATGTTGCTATACTGTCGTCAAACTATGAGCTTCAAATATTCCTTCTACAAAGAGATATTGCAGATATTACTCCCGGTGAACTTTAAAAGGCTTGTTAAGTAGACCACTTATCACAGGTATACATGCTGGCATAGAATAGGGCGTGCACGGAATTGACGGAACCCAATTCCAAGTCAGACTTGGGCTCTGTGCGTACAAATATGCAGGGTTTTCCTCGACCATTTACCTATAGAATGCCAGATAAAGTTTTTGTAAATTGATTTTATCCGTTTATAGGTCATGCCCAATTATTTCAAGCCAGGGGGCTAACTTCTCAGAAATCCCATTGAAACTTGTTTCGTAGAATTAACACACGTTTTCATGGGTCCTACCAAACCGAGACTCCAATGAGGATTTGGCAGACGAATTTGGAGAGTTCTTTCATGATAGGATTGGCGATCTTGTCAATGGTCTTGAAGTATCCTGTAATACGATGGACTTCAAGAGTCAGCCTACCTCAAAAGCAATATCTCAGTTTGAACAGGTGTCTGAAAGTACTGTTCGAAAGGTAATACGGGAGAGTCCTTCAAAATCATGTCAACTAGACCCCGTGCCTACCTGGTTGATGAAAGAGTGTTTAGATGAGCTCCTGCCATTCATAACTGAACTTATCAATCTATCCTTGTCGTCCGGAATAGTACCCGCAGCATACAAGAAATCTCACATGATTCCACTTCTGAAGAAGAAGCAATTGGATCCAGATGAATTCAGGCATTACAGGCCAATCTCCAACTTGATGTTCATTTCAAAGGTCCTTGAGAGGATTGTCACAGCTCAACTTCGTGCATACCTAGAGACGAACGACCTGTTCCCGTGTATGCAGTCTGCGTACAGACAGTTCCATTCAACAGAGACTGCCCTCATCAAAGTCTACAATGATCTGCTACTGGCTGTCGATAGAGGGCTAGAGGCTGTTCTGGTTTTGCTTGATTTCTCGGCTGCTTTTGAAACCATAGATCATGCCAAATTGATGTGTCGTCTGCGTCATGATTATGGATTTGATGGAAAGGTACTGCAGTGGCTTGCTTCTTACCTGGAGGACCGTCATCAAGTTATTGTTGTCAACAGAGTTCCTTCTAAAGCATTCCCACTCCCCTGGGGTGTCCCCCAAGGATCCGTTCTAGGACCTCTGCTCTTTTCACTGTACACGGGTCCGCTCAGTGAGGTCATCCATGCTCATGATGGCGTCATGCATATGATGTATGCCGACGATACGCAACTGTACATAGTGCTCAAGCAAAGTGATGCTTCCAGTTGCATTTCCAAGCTCAGCAGATGCGTCAGTGACGTGAAAAGCTGGTCCTGCGGCAATAATCTTGTGTTCAACGGCACAAAAACAGAAGTTATGCATATAACTTCCATGTTTCGCAATTCCAGTGTGCTACCTGATCTTGACATGGATGGCACAACAATCACTCTTTCCCAATCTGCCAAGGATCTGGGAGTCACGGTGGACAACGTGCTAAATGTGAACCAGCATATACGCAATGTGTGTCGTATCGCAGCTTTCGGGATCCACAAAGTTGGAAAACTGCGAAAATTTCTGGATCAAAGTTCTACTCATCGTCTTGTTAATGCCCTTGTAACTTCCCACCTTGATTACTGTAATGGACTATTAATCAATCTCCCTAGCTCTCATTTAGCCCCTCTTCAACATATTCAGAACACAGCAGCACGCCTCATCACACGTACAAGAAAACATGAACACATCACACCGATCATTCGTTCACTACACTGGCTCCCCCTCCAACAACGTATCAAATTCAAGATTCTCATGCTGACATACAAGGCCTTTCACAAACTTGCTCCCTCATATCTCTCGGCACTCATCACTCCTAAAACTCGTACTTCATCTATGCGTCTCAGATCGTCATCCACAGCACATCTTCATCTTGCCCCAGGCCCTCGCACCCACACCCGCTATGGAAATCGTGCCTTTTCTGTCTGTGCCCCCCAACTTTGGAACAATCTTCCCCATGAAATACGCGAGTCCCCAACCTTAGAGACATTCAAAAGTAAACTTAAGACTTATCTGTTTAATATGTAATGTAATGTAATCATGTTTGTTTAACTATAAAGCTTTATGTAAATATTAACTATTATTATTGTATTATTGTTATTAAGAATTTGTTATTATAATTATGTATCATGTATTATATTTTTGTAATTTGTAAGTTAACATTACTTTAATTTTATTTTTTGTTAAGCGCTTAGAAACTTTGTATTAAGCGCTATATAAATGTAATTTATTATTATTATTATTATTATTATTATTATGGGATGTCCACAAAATTCGACTAAATGACTGTTTTGGGAAACTGCCCCCCAGTTTAATTCTCTAGAAATCAAGAGAGCTCAAAATTTTCGTTCACAGCAATTCCTTTTTCTTTTTCATTCTGTAGATGTGAGGCTGGTGGGAGGATCGACTGCTGCTGAAGGTCGAGTGGAGATCTACTACCGGTCATCGTGGGGTACAGTATGCGACGATACATGGGCCAGCGACGAGTCACAGGTGGTGTGTCAGCAGCTGGGTTACTCAGGAAATGCAGAAACTCACGCCAAGGCTGCCTTTGGTCAAGGAACCGGAACAATCTGGTTAGACGACGTGAATTGTATTGGGAGCGAGACGTCGTTGTCATCGTGCACCCACCGCGACTGGGGAACCAATGACTGCAGTCATGCTGAAGATGTAGGGGTCAGATGTCAGACAAGTGATGGTAAGATTGCTTTAAAATCTAAAATCCTTAAACTGGATCCGAATTCCAAGTTTAGCAAAACCTGTATAGAAAGTCTGCCAAGGGGACAACAAACGTAGTTGTTATCTGGGCGAGTGGTCTTTGTAGACAGGTTTACTTTAACATGTGTCACAACGAGAAACATCAGTGAAGGAATACAAGAAAAATGTCTTTATAAACAGGTGGTCTTTCTATACAGGTGATGGCTAAAGCAGGTTTGAATATCCCCTTGTGTACCGGGGTAATAATAGGATTGCAGGCCCCTCAGAAAGAAAAGTATAAATACTGATGAGGCTACCCTGGGTAAACTAGACACGTTATCGTTATTATCATTGTTATTCTTACAGCAAAACCTGCGCATAAAGACCAGTCAGGGAAGACTAGAAATGCAGCATTCATAAGCATTTAATTGTTGGCTATCATTCCCTCGCCTGGCTCACCTGGCTTACTGCTCCACTTGAGTCCCTTCCATACCTGCCACCTACCAATAAAATACAGTATCCAGACACCTACCCCCTGGACAACCTTCCCCGGATAACACCCCCAGGATAACCACCCTCCGGATAACCACCCCCAGGATAACCACCCTCTGGGACAACCACCCCTCCGGATGACCACCCCTAGAAATAACCTAGAGGGTGGTTATCCTGAGTGGTGGTTGTCCTAGAGGGTGGTTATCCTGAGTGGTGGTTGTCCTAGAGGGTGGTTATCATGGGGGTGGTTGTCCGGAGGGGTGGTTGTCCTAGAGGGTGGTTATCCTGAGTGGTGGTTGTCCTAGAGGGTAGTTATCCGGAGCGGTGGTTGTCCTAGAGGGTGGTTATCCTGGGGTGGTTGTCCTAGAGGGTGGTTATCCTGGGGGTGGTAACACTGGGGTGGTTGTCCTAGAGGGTGGTTATCCTGAGTGGTGGTTGTCCTAGAGGGTGGTTATCCTGAGTGGTGGTTATCCGGAGGGGTGGTTGTCCTAGAGGGTGGTTATCCTGAGTGGTGGTTGTCCTAGAGGGTAGTTATCCGGAGGGGTGGTTGTCCTAGAGGGTGGTTATCCTGGGGGTGGTAACACTGGGGTGGTTGTCCTAGAGGGTGGTTATCCTGAGTGGTGGTTGTCCTAGAGGGTGGTTATCCTGAGTGGTGGTTATCCGGAGGGGTGGTTGTCCTAGAGGGTGGTTATCCTGAGTGGTGGTTGTCCTAGAGGGTGGTTATCCTGAGTGGTGGTTGTCCTAGAGGGTGGTTATCATGGGGGTGGTTGTCCTAGAGGGTGGTTATCCTGGGGGTTGGTTATCCGGATGGTGGTTGTCTAGGGGGAAGGTGTTCTAGAACCATAAAATCCATGTAGTTTTATATGCCCTTTTTACAGAAATACTACCAGATAGCATCAGATGTGAACAGGTTCCAACAAATGATCCTCTATTTTGCTTTCTTCTGTAGTTTTTGCTGCAGCCCTTTTTGCCCGGCTGGGACATTCATTGTGGAAATACTGTCTTTTACTGATCCCTGAGGGGTACATGCATGAATAGCATTTACATTAAAGAGAAGATTGAGTTCTGGGAAGAGGTGAAAAATAATTTGTGAGCGTTAACATTCCTATTATGCAAGTGTGGAAGAACATGAGATAAGACATGTTCCCTAAAAGGCATGGCTCTTCAAATGCCTTAATTCATACTCTAAATATGTCAAGTAACATCGTAAAACTCGGGGTAGGCTTTTTACGCCACGTGGTCGTGTAGTCCCATATAAATCTTTCCGTTTACAGTGTTTGTAACTTTACCAAGACTTCGCCAAATTTCTTATCATTTTGATGATTCCAGAACCTTGCAATACACACAAATTCTTATATGCTAGATGATCAACCTTTTCTGATCAATTCCACACCGTTTCTTTCACAATGCAATCGCATGACCAGAACTCAACTTCATCTTTTTTTAAATACAATAATCCAGAAAGATGGGAGGTCTAAATGGTAACATACTTACATTCCATTCCGTCTGCGCTTCTTGGGGTTGAAGAGACAATAATACATGAAAAACGGTCTAACGATTCACAATACATGTTGTACATTCAAAGGAGAAGACCTTTTTGTTAAATCACATCATTTTTCATGGAAACTACTTGGAATTTGAATCCGAATCATCAAGCTGTTCACAATGTTGAGTCTCTCGCTGCTTATATTACTGAGTTTATTAATCTTTTTGTGGACTTCATCCACTCTCTAAAGAATACCTAGAAATATTATTCCTTATTTTTCTTCTTCTCTCTAATAACAGTCAAGGGTAGTCATTAAATAAGAACACAACACAAAAGGATATTTCTTTCTTTACTCTCAATCCCCTTTCAAAACTCAGCAGTCCTCTTTAGGAGCCCCCACATGGGTGGAACCATGGACCTAATGAAACAAAACTTTGATTTTTTTTTTCAGTTACCGAGGGATCGCTGAGACTTGCTGGAGGAGCGACCCCGAATGAGGGACGGGTCGAGATTTACCACAATGGCCAATGGGGCACCGTATGCGACGACAACTGGGATTTTACTGATGCTGACGTAGCCTGCCGGCAGCTAGGCTACCCGGGAGTCGCTGTATTAATCGACGGGGGTACCGGGTTGGGGCCAATCTGGTTGGATGAAGTGATTTGTTTAGGCTCGGAGTTAAGGCTTTCTTCATGCCTCCATAGTGGTTGGGGAGTCAATAACTGTGGTCATTCCGAAGATGCAGGAGTGCGTTGCTCATCCCCAGATGGTAAGATATTTGTAAACTTAATCCTATAAATTATAATAAGGGCACTTGTATAGTGAAGAAAACTAGGCTTGTTTTTAAACTTATAGGTCTATATCTGATCCAAGGAGAATTGTTACAGTTTATCCCTGAAGGGGCTGTTTATTTTGGTACTCTCTTAAGCTATGGTCACAACGCAGATCGGGGACCGACCAATTTGTAGCCTGCTCGGTCGCCGCTGGAATTTAGGCATCGCCCAACAATTTTTGAAGAAGTCGAGCAGGCTTGTAGAGCCCAAGCGATGCCTGGGCAGTGCCTTGTCAATTTCCTGTCAGTCGCTGGTTGATTTTAGGTCAAAACTGTGCGAAATCGGGGAGCTCCTCCAGGCGGCGTCCCGGCAGTGACCGACTGATGACCCACCAGTTCCTGAGTGGCCGGCCGGTGATCGGCGGGGCACCAAAATACGCTCGGTGCCCAGGAGGCCGCCGCCCGGGCACCGACCTAATTAAGCGTTCGCCGTCGAGTGATTTAGGTCAAAATTTGAAGTCGCTAGGTAGACCGATTTTGAACTCCCTGCCCGGTGACCAACTGATGTCCCAGCAACGACCGTGCGGCGCCAGGGCGGCGACAGCTCAGCAGCCTTTGACCTAGTCGATTAGGTCTGTGCCCGGGCGGCTAATGCCCGGACACCCAGCATATTTTGGGCGGCAAGTGAAGAGGGAGCAGGCGCTGCCCAAATTTTAACTCCGCGCTAAAACTTCAACGGCGACTGAGCGATGTCCTAAGAATAAGCGGTGCTCAGGCGAAATTGGCTAAAAACTCACCACCCGGCCGCCGAGCAGGCTACTTTTTTGGGTTGTGACCATAGCTTTAGCCTAGGGGAGTGCCCCCTTGGAATATCGACCAGACCTTGGCATATAAGAGTATCTCATAAAAAATAAGTCAATGAAGATTCATGTCTATGTGTCAAATGGCTTTTGAATAATTACTAATTAACTAGTCACACATCTGCGTTGTGTACAATATATATGGGGTAATAGCAATAGCCCTTTTTTTACCCATCGCAGTACCATTTGTACCCTTCTGTAGAAATTAAATAAATTTGGTATCGAAAGATAGAGGTCGGGTGATTTCTGCCGTGGTCCTTTTAGGGTAAAAAAACCCAAAAAAACACCCAGAGTTTTCGACAGGCGGTCCGGATCGACATGCCCTGTGGTCCGGACCTTGAGAAGCCCTTCGCTAGACCAACTCCTGACTCCCATCAAAACAAGACCTAGGACCCACATGGGTGGAACTATAAACCTATTTAAATAAGACTTTGAATTTGTTTTTCAGTTAACGAGGGATCGCTGAGACTCGCTGGAGGAGCGACCACGAATGAGGGACGGGTTGAGATTTACCACAATGGCCAATGGGGAACTGTATGCGATGACAACTGGGATTTTACTGATGCCGACGTAGCCTGCCGGCAGCTAGGCTACGCGGGAGTCAACAGATTAATCGACGGGGGTTCCGGTTTGGGGCCAATCTGGTTGGATGAAGTGATTTGTTTAGGCTCGGAGTCTAGGCTTTCTTCATGCCCCCATAATGGTTGGGGAATCAATAACTGTGGTCATTCCGAAGATGCAGGAGTGCGTTGCTCATCCCCAGATGGTAAGATATTTGTAAACTTAGTCCTATAAATTATAATAAGGGCACTTGTATAGTGAAGAAAACTAGGCTTGTTTTTAAACTAATAGGTCTATATCTGATCCAAGGAGAATTGTTACAGTTTATCCCTGAAGGGGTCTGTTTATTTTGGTACTCTCTTAAGCTATGGTCACAACGCAGAGCGGGGACCGACCAATTTGTAGCCTGCTAGGTCGCCGCTGGAATTTAGGCATCGCCCAACAATTTTTGAAGAAGTCGAGCAGGCTTGTAGAGCCTAAGCGATGCCTGGGCAGTGCCCAGTCAATTTCCCGTCAGTCGCTGGTTGATTTTAGGTCAAAACTGTGCGAAATCGGGGAGCTCCTCCAGGCGGCGTCCCGGCAGTGACCGACTGATGACCCACCAGTTTCCGAGTGGCCGGCCGGTGATCGGCGGGGCACCAAAATACGCTCGGTGCCCAGGAGGCCGCCGCCCGGGCACCGACCTAATTGAGCGTTCGCCGTCGAGTGATTTAGGACAAAATTTGAAGTCGCTAGGTAGACCGATTTTGAACTCCCTGCCCGGTGACCAACTGATGTCCCAGCAACGACCGCGCGGCGCCAGGGCGGCGACAGCTCAGCAGCCTTTGACCTAGCCGATTAGGTCGGTGCCCGGACACCCAGCATATTTTGGGCGGCAATTAAAGAGTGAGCAGGCGCTGCCCAAATTTTAACTTAGCGCTAAAACTTCAACGGCGACTGAGCGATGTCCTAAAAACAAGCGGTGCTCAGGCGAAATTGGCTAAAAACTCACCGCCCGGCCGCCGAGCAGGCTACTTTTTTGGGTTGTGACCATAGCTTTAGCCTAGGGGAGTGCCCCCTTGGAATATAAGAGTATCTCATAAAAAATAAGTCAATGAAGTTTCATGTCTATGTGTCAAATGGCTTTTGAATGATTACTAATTAACTAGTCACACATCTGCGTTGTGTACAATATATATGGGGTAATAGCAATTTTGGCTGCGGACAGTGCAGCCCCTTTTTTACCCTTCGCAGTACCATTTGTACCCTTCTGTAGAAATTAAATAAATTTGGTATCGAAAGATAGAGGTCGGGTGATTTCTGCCCTGGTCCTTTTAGGGTTACAAAAAAAAAAAAACACCCAGAGTTTTTGATGGGCGGTCCAGATCGACACGCCCTGTGGTCCGGACTTTGAGAAGCCCTTCTAGACCAACTCCCAACTCCCATCAAAACAAGACCTAGGACCCACATGGGTGGAACTATAAACCTATTTAAATAAGACTTTGAATTTGTTTTTCAGTTACCGAGGGATCGCTGAGACTCGCTGGAGGAGCAACCACAAATGAGGGACGGGTTGAGATCTACCACAATGGTCGATGGGGCACTGTATGCGGCGACAACTGGGATACTGCTGATGCTGGTGTAGCCTGCCGGCAGCTAGGCTACCCGGGAGTCGACATATTAATCGACGGGGGCCGTTCCGGGTCGGGGCCAATCTGGTTGGATGAAGTGGCTTGTCGTGGCTCGGAGTTTAGGCTTTCTTCATGCCACCATAGTGGTTGGGCCGAAATCAATAATTGTGGTCATCCCCAAAATGCAGGAGTGCGATGCCTAACTGCAGCTGGTAAGATATATGCAAACGTAAAGGGGAAGTCCATCCTGATATTTAGTTTCTTTTAATCAAAAGCAGAAAAACAAGTAAAACAGAACAGTAGAAGTTAAGGATAAGGTTTTATATATATGGTTGGGGAGTCCTGTGGTCATCCCACAGATGCAGGAGTGCGATGCCTAACTACAGCTGGTAAGATATATGCAAAAGTAAAGGGGAAGTCCATCCTGATATTTAGTTTCTTTTAATCAAAAGCAGAAAAACAAGTAAAACAGATCTGTAGAAGTTAAGGATAAGATTTTATGTATATTTAAAGTTTTAATTGATCTTTCCATGATGTATCTTTCTCTGATTATTTGGACTGTACTGAATATTTCCATTTTCTCTAAAGGAAATACTCATTTATACATGCCACTTATATATATAATTATTGGATTTTTTTTCACATCCCATTTATGAACTAGACCTAAATCGTTATCAACAACCAATTGTTTATTTATATGCAACCAATTTCCTGTCCTAAATTTGATTTGTTTTAAAAAATTAGCATCATTTCAGTTTGAAAGAGAATTAGAGATACATTACCTGGTTATATCGGTGTCCAAAAAAAAGTTTACAAAGAGCTTCGACCAGCAAATTTACCTTGTTGTAAAGGTATCCCTGATGAGCGTTCTTTCAGCCTCTGGACTATCGGATTAGTTTAATCTAAAGATAAAGTTGAGTTCTGGTCGTGGTCGAGTGTTTTAAGGTGCTATAGACTGGAGATGCGAAGGTCTAGGGTTCAAATCCCGACATGGCACTAATATCCCTTAACAAGATATTCACCTATACACTTGCTACCCTCCACCCAGGTGTTAGAATGGGTACCCTGGCTGGAATGCTCCCCTGGGAGTGGAGATTGTGCACACACCGGAGTAATAATATATCTGTGAAGTGCTTAGAGACGTCCGAGATGTATTAAGCGCTATATAAAAGCTGAATATTATTATTATTCTATTGTGAAAGAAACGGTGTACTTGGAATCGATTAGAAAAGGTTGATCATCTAGCATATAAGTATTGGTGTGTTCTGCAAGGTTTTGGAATCATCAAAATGATAAGAAATGTTGCCTAGTCTTGGTAAAGTTACAAGCACTGTACACAGAAAGATATACAGTATATGGGAGTAGACGAGCATGTGGCATAAAAATCTGTCCCGATTTTTATGCTGCTGCATGCCATTTTTAGAATATGAAGGCATTTGAGGGACCATGCTTTTCAGGGGATATTTTTACTCTGATGTTCTTACACCCTTGCATAATAACAATGATAATGCTCACAAATTATTTTTCACCTCTTCCCAGAACTCAACCTTCTCTTTAATCTGTATGTGTCTTTCAGATTTAGAAAAGACATTGAGACTCTCCGGTGGAGCGGATGAAAAAGAGGGGCGCATTGAAATCTTTCATGACGGTGAGTGGGGCACCGTGTGCGACGACAGCTGGGACATCCAGGATGGAGTGGTAGCTTGCCGACAGCTTGGCTACTTTGGCGTTGACACGGTGTACGACAGAGCTCATTTTGGCGAGGGTTCCGGGACTATATGGCTTGATGATATGCAGTGCAGGGGCACGGAGGACAGGTTGAGTGATTGTTCTGGAGGAAGTAGTTGGGGAGTCCATAACTGCGGTCATTCGGAAGATGCCGGAGTGAGGTGCTCATTGACTCCGGGTAAGTCTCGTGAACGGGATTGTCCTTTTGTAATAATGACAACAAAACATGTACAGTCAAACCTGCTTTTGTGACCACCTGTCTACAAAGACCACCTTTCTACAAGGACCACATTTGTTGTTCCCTTGAAAGTGGTTTCTCATTTAAACATGTACTAAAGGTACCTGCCTATACAAAGACCGCTTTTTGTATTTCCCTTGGGCGGTCGCTGTAGGCAGGTTTGTCGTACCTGTATGTCAATCAACATGGCACAGCTACTGATAATGAACTACCGGTAATCTAAAAGAGAGCAGAAAAGTCAGAGAAGCGGTCTGGTGAAAATTGAACAAAATAGGACACAAAATGTAAAATTTAAGGTTTTGCAAAAGGACTATAGTGCCACGGCGGGACTCAATCCGTGAACCATGTTGATGTGATCTAAGGTCCATTGACTTTTCCACCAGACCACCATACTTTCATAGATCAAACAAGTTTATCAATATTCTCCATTTTGAAACACTCAAAGTAACAGTTATTATCAATTTTAAAACGGTAAAATACTGCCCTACTTTTGCACGTGAAGAGCTCTCTAAATATTGCTGCGATTTGTGAAGTCACTCTAGGGACCGATTTAGCATAAGCAGACGATGTCCTATAACGATGCACACATTTGCAGTAACTGTTTCATCTTTTGCCTCACTATAAATTTCGGACATGGTTTCATTTTGCTGAAGAAATGCAGCTATATGAAAAAAAATAGAGAAATCAGTTGTAGCTTCACAATGGATTGTAAGAAAGAAGCAATTCAGCTACATACACAGTTGCATGTGCGGCGTTTCAATCAGGAACGGACACCATCCAATATATCGTTCGGTGAGCTTTTCAAATAGAAAATGGGCTGATATTTCAATTGTTAGTTTTGTCAGTTGATCATTTATCCTTGCACTGAATTTTCCTTAGCAAAGGATTATAATTTTCAGCATCAGCATCACTTTCCATTTACAATGGTGTGTATTATACGTTTATGTTGACAACCAATCAAACTCTTACAATTGCAAAATAATTGCACTGAAAATATTTTCATTAGTTATAGGATGATGTGTGCTCATGCAGGATTGTTCCCTGATGTGACTGACATCATCAAAACATCACCAAATTCCATCGTATAAGCCAATTCCTGAGAATTTCTTTATTTGTGTCAATTTTTTTTAATTGTCTGATAAGCAGTTGATCTAAAACTTATGTGAATATCATCTGCAAACTTCCTGGTTTCTCGGGATAAATTATTCGCCATACTTGTAATTTGTAATTTTCATTGAATGTCCTCTGTCACTATTTGAATGGCACAACTATGTGTGTATATGTCCGGTAGTTGCTTTTTGTGTGTGTGTGTGGGGGGGGGGGGGGGGGGGGGGGGGGGGGGGGGAGGTGATTTAATCATTGACTTCAAATAACATACTGGTACATCTTTACTGCTTTCTGATAATAATCCAAACTTGTGGATTGTATTTTAGAATCGGTTTACTTGATTTGATTATATTTTTTCTATTAATTTGTCCTATTTAATACATCAGTTCTACCCCTTGTTAATCATTGACTGGTGTAGGCAATGGAGAAGTGCGATTGGTCGATGGCCCCTCAGAACGGGAAGGGCGCCTGGAGATCTTCAACGCCTTTCAGTGGGGTACCGTCTGCGATGATAGCTGGGATAGGGCGGATAGCGAAGTGGTCTGCGGGCAGTTGGGCTTCTCTGGGAAAGCGGATTACTTCATTGCCACTGAGAAGGGGTATGGTAGTGTGGAGGGCCAGATTTGGCTCGATTCCGTGTCGTGTGATGGGTATGAAGAGCGATTGGAATACTGCACTCACAGCGGCTGGGGAGTACACGACTGCACACATTCAGAAGATGTCGGTGTAGCATGCCCTGCCAGCTATGCATCAGGTGAGAATACATGAGGGCGGATCAAGAATATACCAAAGGTGGATAGGGGGGGGGGGGGGGGGGACGCCTAATGCCCCAAAAATCTCTGACAAGCAACAGAAAACAGAAGAAACAAAATTACAATTTGCACATGTCATTTTGGAGTCTTCTTTTTATAGGGCCACATGCTGGATGTGCCCCTTAACCCTATATAGCCCAGGCTATTTTGAAACTGCATAGCCGGGGGGGGGGGGGGGGGGGGGGGGGCGGGGGCTTCTAAGGCCCCCCCCCCTATGATCTCGGCCGTAAAACGACCTATCGCCGCAAAAAATTGCATGCATGTCAAGTGATTTAGAAAAATTCACTCATTTGCATATTTATGGTAATTTATGCAAATATGGTAATAACATTCACATTTCTATCCATAAATCATATATTCTTCATATTTAAACATTAATTTTCACTACATATATTATTTAGACCATTTGGGATAATAATGCAGCCCAAAAAATTGGAAGAGACAGGCAAATTACTTATGTTATCTATTGTTTTGATAATTTCTTATGTATTTCTTAGTTTTTTTAACTTATGTATTTTATTGTTTTTGTTGTTTTATTTCATTTCAACTATAATTCAACTATTTTGACCCCAAAATAAACACCTAAACTATGAACAAGACCAAATAACCAATGTTTTATCTCTTTATTTGAAAAATGAGATTTCCATACATTTTGTACACAAATCACAAAAATGAGCGATTTTTTTCGGGCTGACATGCAAAGACAAAAGGACACGTGACTTTGTAATGGTAGGTTCGATTTTCGAAAAATTTCTTTCAAAAGATGCGCAAGACTTGAAAGAAAAAGTCACAAAATTCCAGTGCAAGATTTTCTTGCGTTAAAAAATTATTGCGAAAAATGTCGAGGGGGGGGGGGGCTTCTAAAGCCTCCCCCCTTCCCCGGGCTAGATAGGGTTAAACCAACTATTTTGTATTTTTGTTAATCAATGGTGGTCACTCGTATATGGATGTGTTCCTCATGCCCCTGTAAAAAGCAGTTCAAAACTGGACTGTATGTGGTCAGTTGTGCAGCGGTGGCATAAGACAAATGCACATCATACTCTGAAATGGCCTGGTGCATGCAAAGTGTGAATGATAAGACTACATGAAATGATGATCTGTTACATCAAAGGAAATCCAATCTTAAAAGTAAATTGCTCTGAAGGAAAAGCAGGAAAATCAGTTAATATGAAAATCTATTAATTGTCTGATCATGAGGAATTTTTATATTGAATTCTACATTTTTCTTTTCGTCACTCTTGGTTTCCCTGTTTACAGGAGGAGGAGGTGGTGGCTTATCAGGAGGGGCAATAACTGGAATCATCATCGGATCTATATTTGGAATAAGCTGTTGCTATTACTGTTGTTGTAAAGGAGATAAGAAGAAACCGCCAAACAATGTGCAGATAACGACCCAAACAAGAATCGAAGGACCTCTGGAGTCAGGAGCTATGCTTAGAGTCGAGGATGGGGACAACATCCCTCCAGCCACTGCTATCGATCCTGACCCCGGAGAACCGGACCTCCCACCCCCATCGTACGATGATATCGGCCAGTATTCGTCGTATGGTGGGCTAGGACCGGAGGGGGCATACCCCCCACCAGCATCGGCACCAGCATACCCCTCTGCACCCCCCTCCTCCATGCCCTACCCACCATCATCTACAGGTGCTTCCGTTACATATCATTTTCCTCCTGGTGATTCGGGTGCGGTCCCGTCTCCACCTCCTGCTTATCCCGACAGCTAATCCTCTTCCGATGTCGCATATCGAGGGTTCAGTGACACAAAGACGTACCGGTAACTCCATATTTTGCCAAAATACGTATTTGATGTCAAAATGTTCAGAAAAATGTGGGCTTTCCAGGAAACACAAAGACTTTACTCCACCGACACCCCATAAAAGTCAATGGCTAGTGAAACATAGACTTTACTCCTTAAGGCCCAAGTGCTCAGTGACACATAAACCACTTTTTCTCTAAATGGCCAAAATGGAGTTACGTCTTTGTGACACTGACCCCTCGATATCAAAGTAGATGCAATTCCTTATGACTAAAGGAAGGTTTTCTATACGTTTTTTTTATGCAAATGATCATCTATTACTTGTACTTTTCATTATGTACTCGGTTGTAGCCACTGTACATGAAGATTCCCAAGTTCTATTGGGTTGTTTATATTATGTGTCTGTCCATCATGAGAAAGTTATCTTTTGTCAGATTGCAAGTTCACTCTGATATCTTGTTTGTCATTCATGTCATAATTTTTTTTTTAAATTAGCACCACGTATCAGAAAAAGGAAAATTCAATAAGTGAGAAAAGATAAATTTTTAAAAGTTGTAGTTGATTAAACAGAGTAGCCATCCATTATATAAATGTATTTTATTTGTATTTTTTTTTTTTTTGAACCGAGAGATTAAAAGAGATACCATTTTCTTTGTTCTTAATGAAAAGATGTACATGTAGGGGATCTGTAGGGAATTGAAGGGTTTGTAGAAACCTGTCATAATAGGTTTGAAAAAAAAATTCTTAAAAGAAAACTCGTGAAAAAATATGTACAGCTTCTCACAAAGGAAACCGAAATGTTAAAAAATCCAAACTTTCTCATCCAGATTTTCCTAAAACTTTCTGATTTTTTTCCTCTCATTTCTTTGCCTCGATCAAAGGAAATTTAATTCAAGGAAGGACTTCCCCTTTAGATGTCCTTACAAATTTTTATGAATCTTGCCAGAAAGAACAAAAGATAGACAAATTGATTTGTAATTTTAATAGGTATATAAATTTAATTCTAATTTTATATCAGAGCTTCCAGGTCTCTAAACTTTATTTTTCTCTCTGGAGCATGAGTAAGAGCAAAAATTTTTTTTTTAAGGTTCCATTTATATGGCTACTAGCATTTTAACTCCTTTACTGTGTGTGATATTCCTTGCATTACAAATGTTTGATTTGCTTACAATTTTATTTTGATTACTTTTCTTGTTTTACATTTTTACATATTTTCATAGTCTGTAGTTTAGCCTGATTTGATGAGTGAATTTGTCATGATCTTTAAAATATTTCACAGAACTGTTTGTTACCCATGAACATCATTACTGTTTGCAAGTTCTGTTACCATATTAATGGACATTTATATATCAAGGTTCTGACTCATTTTTATTACCAGTATGTTATGTAGAAAGAATCTAGGCATTTGATTGGAAAACAAAAAACAGAGTGAATAGCAATATTGTGTTTACATTTGGTTGGCCTAAAATATAGAACTCATAGTTGTTACATATAGGATTACATATAAAAATTCATTCTAACAAAAAAAAAAATCTTATTTGTTTGTTTGACCTAAATGCTAAGAATTAATGTGTATATGCTTGTAAGTAAGTAGGCAGGGGACCAACGACTTTAAGTCCTCTCTGAGGGACTTCCAAAGGGCATTGGGGCATTGACTTGGGTCCGAACCCAGCACCTTCAGGTTAGGAAACCAACGCTCTACCACTGAGCCGTCATGCCTCCCTTCTTCCTTTATTGAAATAAAGCTTCACTGCCAGTACTAAAACTTGCTTTAAGTTAATAGCAGACGAGAACCTTAAAAAAGAATGTGTACAGCAAGAATGCATAAAATAAACCCAACTTTTTTTAGCATGTACAGTATCTTATGGGCTAACGGATAAGGGCCGGTATTCAATTCAATACTTAAAATAAGTAAGAAATTTACTAAGTAAATGGCTAATCCAAGAAGTTTACTTATCTCGATGTATTGAGCACTATATAAACACGGAATTTTAATATTATTATTTATTCTAGACTTTTACTTACCCGAGACAAATCTAAGTAAAATACTTACTCATAAGCATTGTGACATCACAGGGTCAATCAAAAGTAATGCACAACTAACGCGTCACAATAAATGCGCGCTAATATAATCGTGCGCAGGTTATAATACTCATTTTTGCATAAGAAAACCATATGCCTGCCAATCAAGGCCTCCAAATAATTGGCCTAAGTCTGGTAGGGAGCAGTCTTAAATTTAGGGTAAATACTTAGCCAAAAGTTTGAATTGAATACCAAAATTGGCTAAGTATTTTATCTACCGGTAAGCCAAATACAAAGTAAAAAGCTTACATTTTGTACTTAAGTATTGAATTGAATATAGGCCAATGAGTATAAAGTAAATTAAGGATAACCTAAAACCTCCCTCACGGAGCCAAAGTCTGACTTGGTGCCCTACAGGCCCTTTTTCTATAGTGCGAGTGAGTAGGGGTGCACTGAGCAGACCACTCACAAGTCACTTTTATTTTCATGGAGAGAGTATTTAAACTTGCAACATATCTCTCTGTAGAATTAGTATTTGAAGCTTTTATTGTGAATAATTATGTAGTATAGTGACATTAAACCCTTAACATGTAAGGTAAAATATATTTTTTAAAATTTTTGGTAGATTTGAAGTTTGTGTAGAGACTCAAACTGCTGTCATGTGCAATTCAGGTAGAGATGAAAAACGAAACCCTGTCATCTGTTTTATATTAATACATGCTTGTGTGCTGCAGGTTATCTTTGTAACATATTTCTGTCTACTAGTTGATATCACTGTCAATTATGCCAACTGTATAAACATGAAACATTTGTGTAACCTTAACCATTTGGTCAATTGTATACAATTTAAGATACAAGTAATATATATGGATGTATTTGAAAATATATTTTATAACGTAGAGCAATCAATGAATATGTCATCAAATTTTTATCAAGTTTATGTGTGTGTGGAACCTGGTACCCTTCGTCTGTCTCTTCATCTCTCCCTCTCTCCCCCTTTCTTCCCCCTTTTCTCTCTTTCTTTCTTTCTATCTTCCTCTCTTTCTCTCTCTTTGTCATCACTCCAACTCTCCCTCTCCTTCACCTCTCCCTTTCTCTTTCTTTTTTAACAAAAATTTGAATTTGATCAATGAATTTTTATGAAATGTCTATATGTTTGATTTTTGATTTATGTCATATGTGTTATTTCAATTTGAATTGCAATTGAATTGTATCTATGTGAAATGGATCGCAGTTCAGCCATTGGCTGCGATGATCTTTTTAATAAAAAACATTTCTATTCTATTTCCTGTATAATGTATGGAAACTCCACATTTATATTTTCCTTTACACGAGTAGAAAATGGTTAATCAGTTTTGATAGGCTTTTTTAAAAAGACCGTTTGCTATTGAACCTCATAAAAGTCCAAAAGAATATGAGCAATTACCATGAATGAAATTGGAGAAGAAATTTTCAGTGTATTCTGTTGGCAATACGCAAGGCTGTAATAAAGGTCAGTGTATTCCCTAACCCAATGACAGTAAGAGCCCTCTATTGTGTAGCCAATGATTTCTCCTTTGCTTGCTACTAAATTTGGCAGATGCAGATATTAGAAACAAACATTAATAATTATAATTTCCAAAGCTCTTTAGAAGCGCATAGGGACGTTGTATAATGTGAAATGCGCTATACAAGAACTGAATATTATTATGAAACAATACATTAATGCAGTTTCTGTGTAAAGAAAAAAAAATTGTTTATAGGCAAACAGACCATACAATTATAAAATTGCTGAGCTGGATTTGTCGTCAGTTACATTGAATGGGTTGATTACTTGTACAGAGCCTTGTATGTTTTATTGTAATTTGTTCATAAAGATATAATATAAATTATAACATATGGTAGATATTATGAAGACTACCTCACATTGGTAACAATTATTTGAATATTTGTAGATTCAAAATTCTTCTCGCCTCTAGCTGTTTTAGAGCCCTATTTTTGTTCTTTATTTTACTTTTAGCATTCCATTGTCATTGCTCTAGTAATCGTGGTGAAGTGCTTTCTTGGTAGATTTCAGGGTAACAGCTTAAAAAAACCTGCCTCATGTCCTCTGTTTCTGCCAGCGATTCAGTGGTTACATAAAATGTTATGAAGTGTAAATTGTATATCATGAATACTATGATACTGTTGGCCAGACACTATTCAGATATGCCAACCTTTACATTCAGCTTTCAGGGAGGTTTCTATCGATTGCATACAGCATAATAAAAATAATCTTTCAAAAAATCAGGGAGGCGTTAGAATTTGTGTGGAGTGACCTATCAAAAAAGTACAAATTTTCAGGGAACCTCCCCCAAAGTCAGTCAGAGAGGGTTGGCATCTCTTCCCTATCCTCTTCTGATGTGATTGTATATGTATTTTTTGTAATATTTAAATGAAATTTTATATGAAACAAACAACTTACATATTGGCTCCGACTCTTTTATTGGAGTTGTCTAGGTGAATTAAAGTATTCATTGTGGTGTGTGTGTGTGTGTGTGTGTGTTGATTGTAGTGATGCATGGTCCTGTACAGCAGTGAAACCTGGGTATAAAGAGCTCTGATGTAACGAAGTATCTGGTGTAACAAGGTGATTTTCCTGGTCCCAGCTCTTTATATTCTTTTGTTTTTTTACCATGATATAACAAGATTTCTGATATAACAAGGTAATTTCTTTGGTCCCGAGGACCTCATTATAACGAGTTTCCACTGTATTAGGACATATACCGGGGAACTCTCAATACCACTCCCCGAATATTTTAGGGTGAATCAAGGAAGTATTCTTGCCAAATGAAAGCTTAACCCTGTCTTACCCAAACTAACATGCTTCCATGACTGACATGAATGTCTCGGAAGCACATGCCCTGTAGCTGCTCATGCACATACTAAACTAAGGAGGGTTTTACCACAACTGAAACCTGGCAGCAGATGGTTGGTTATCCTTTATAATTGCTTCTCTATACAAAGACATAAACATACTTCGTAATACCCATCATGTGCATGACACCGTTTGCAGGACCATGTATTCACAGAATGTTCATATTTGCCCATGCATGTTTTGTAATGGATTTCAGTGGATTACATTTTCCTGGGAAGACGGGGGCATATACATTTCTGTATTCTTTACGATCGCAAGAGTTTGTTACTGGGAAATGATTGGTCCAGAGACGACTGTTGTAACGGGAGTGCCCTGTACCAGTAGGTCCATGCCTGCATGTACACTCTCGTAGTATAAACCGGCTTATGCCATTAGGGTGGGTAGCGTCGCGTCGCGGCGCGTTGACTTGAACGCGACCATTCGTCCAAAGCCCCCCCGGTTTGACCGAAAGGGTGCGTTGGGAGTGTCGCGTCGCGTCGCGTTAACTTGAACGCTACCATTCGTCCAAAGCCCCCCCCCCCGGTATGGCCGAAAGGGTGTGTTAAAAATATTTAAAAAGTATTTAAAAAATAATAATCTTGTAAATCAAGGGTATCGAATAAGAAATAAACCACGTTTGAATAATATTTGGCATCTGTCACCCCCCCCCCCCCCCCCATCACTACGCCAATGTTTTAGGTTTGTTGGCGGGATTAATCGCAACTGTTCCCTTCTTGTTACCCTTTTCTTTTACCTTTTTCTTTTCCTTTTCCTCTTTAAGCTCTACTCTTTACCTTTCCCTTCCCCCATTTTTTGTGGGGAGGGGGGGGGGGGGGTGCCCCTTCTTTTCTTTTCTTCTTCCTATTTTTCCTTCCCTTTCTCTCCTATTTTTCTTTCCCTTTCCTTCCTTCTCTCTTATTTTTTGATGTGGGGGGGGGGGGGGGGGAGGTAACAGCTGGGAGGCAAGGCCCTTTCGCCCCCCCCCCCCGATCTCCTTTCCCCCCATTTTTTCTTATCGTAGCTGATCTCCCTACCTTTCTTTTTTCTTTACTTTTCTCTCCTATTTTCCTTTCCCTTTCTTCTCTCTGTTTTAGGTTTGCTGGGGAAAGGGCTTTTCGCCCCCCCCCCAGATCTCCTTTCCCCCCTTTTTTCTTATCGTAGCTGATCTCCTCTACCTTTCTTTTTTCTTTACTTTTCTCTCCTATTTTCCTTTCCCTTCCTTCTCTCTGTTTTAGATTTGCTGGGGAAAGGGCCTTTCGCCGCCCCCCCCCCTCCCCACAAAAAATGGGGAAGGGAAAGGTAAAGAGGAGAGCTAAAAGGGAACAAAAAAGAGGAAGAAGAAAAGAAAAGGGTAAAAAGAAAGGGGAGAACAGTTGCGATTAATCCCGCCAACAACTTGTGGATCGCGGGGGGGGGGGGGGGGGCGAAAAGCCCTTTCCCCAGCAAACCTAAAACAGAGAGAAGGAAGGGAAAGGAAAATAGGAGAGAAAAGTAAAGAAAAAAGAAAGGTAGGGAGATCAGCTACGATAAGAAAAAATGGGGGGAAAGGAGATCGGGGGGGGGGGGGGCGAAGGGCCTTGCCTGCCTCCAGCTGTTACCTCTCCCCCCCCCCCCACATCAAAAAATAAGAGAGAAGGAAGGAAAGGGAAAGAAAAATAGGAGAGAAAGGGAAGGAAAAATAGGAAGAAGAAAAGTAAAGAAGGGGCACCCCCCTCCCCACAAAAAATGGGGGAAGGGAAAGGTAAAGAGTAGAGCTTAAAGAGGAAAAGGAAAAGAAAAGGGTAAAAGAAAAGGGTAAAAAGAAGGGAACAGTTGCGATTAATCCCGCCAACAAACCTAAAACATTGGCGTAGTGATGGGGGGGGGGTGACAGATGCCAAATATAATTCAAACGTGGTTTATTTCTTATTCGATACCCTTGATTTACAAGATTATTATTTTTTAAATACTTTTTAAATATTTTTAACACACCCTTTCGGCCATACCGGGGGGGGGGGGGGGCTTTGGACGAATGGTAGCGTTCAAATTAACGCGACGCGACGCGACGCTACCCACCCTAATAGCATAAGCCGTATAAACCCGAGACCAATTTAATCCAGTGAAATACATAATAAATCCATATTCATTTAGCGACTTCCACTATATAACAAACATAATGGGTGTAGCGTCTCATACATTCGCACTATACATGTATACAATTTCATGTCACTGTACCGTGCGTCCCCCAAAAAACTATACACTTTTGAAATGGCTGCCGAATAAAAAATATATGATTCTGGGGGGGGGGGGGGGAAGTTTTATATGAATGGAAAGCTCATAAACTCAACTTTCATATGACACCAAAAAGTCCGAAAATATAATTCACGCTTGGGTGAGCATCTGCTCACTTTTGTAAAGGGTATGAAAATTAGGTTGCTCAGGAATTAGCCTTCCAATTTGTGAGGTAAATCCTTTGGAGCTTACAAAATTAAGGGTGATATATGATACATTCATAATTTGATGAGTACTAAAATGGAAAAATTACGGTGGGGGGGGGGGGGGGGTGGATGAAATGGACATTATGAACAAATCAGAACTGATCTATGATAATTCATGTTAGTATCCTTCGTGTGCTTGACTCATAATAATCGCGTGGTAATTAATTGAGTCCAAAAAGTTCGACTTGTTGTACATGCAATATGGCGAGCTTAATTGCTATACCTATATTTTTATGGTGGGTGAACTTTCAAAAGTCAATGGGACATGAGGGTTCCAATGAAAGAGCTAGTGATAACGTACGTCGAGGTGGATGTGCTTTTCGTTTAAAACAAAAAAAAAGAAGAATTTTTAACGAGTTTTGGGGGTAAAAGTCCATAGGATAACGTACGTGTTATTAGGCTGCTAGAATCTGCCGATAGGGGGCGTTCTCAAATGAGACTAAACGGAGCGCGCGCCTAGTGAAATGTCATTCACCCAATATGATACAAATCATATAACCTGGGCAAAGGCATGGGGAAAATCAAGGTGTTTTTTTTTTTGGGGGGGGGGGAT